AGATTATATATCACAGTTATAGTTTTCAAAAGATGGAAAATAATTGGTTTCTTGTTCTTGGGATAAAACAATAAGATTATGGAATACATAATAATAATCATAAATAAGTCAAATATCATTTTATTTGAAACCAAAAGTACTATCTTTAAGTTTAATTAATGATACATCATTAGCTATGACTGGATTTTCAGATGGTTTAATTTAAATGTGGGATTTAGAAAGTTCTGATTCTAAATTAGATTCATAAAAGGGACATAGTTAGAAAATAACATGTGCCATTTTTTCAATTGATGGAAAATATATTATATCTGGATCATTTGATAAAACAATTAAAATTTGGAATTGTGAGACTGGATAATAAAAAGGTCATAATTTAATTAAACATACTTAGGCAATTTCTGCTTTATCTATTTCTGAGGATTAAACATTATTATGTTCAGGTAGTATAGATGGTTTCATATACATTTGGGATTTCGAAACTTAGAAGTTCTAAAAAGAAATTAAACATTATGGATCAGAAATTCTAGATATTAGAATTATTTTTTATAATAATGAATATAGAATCTTAAGTCAAACTAGTGAAGATACAGCCTAATTATGGATTAATAATAATTTTTCAGAGTATTATTTACTTTTTGACTATGATGAATCAAATAAAGAGAAAAGAAAGATTCTAGGATATGAATCAAAGGAAATAATAAATTAGTCTAAAGATTTATAAGTGGATGTTGGAAGGAGTTACAATATTTTATATTATTTTTTGAGAGATTAGAAAATAACTGCAATAGAATCTAGTTTTGATAATTAGACAAAATTGATTGGGACTGATAAAGGAATTCTATTGATTATTTAATGGAATGGATAATCTTAATAGAGAACTGTTTCATCAAATAAACCATTAGAAATAATCAAAACTATCAATCATAAGTATTTTCTAACAATTAATGAATAAAAAATAGATATATGGAAATTTTCGGATTATGTAGTAAAAGATACAATTTTAAGTGGAGATTAAAGAATAATTGATGTTTTTGTTTGCAATGATAATATTTATTGCGGAGGTAATTATATTGAGATTTGGAATGTCCATCAAAAGACAAAATTATAGAAGAAATTTTCTCTATCTGATTCTTTGTCATCTATTGGATATAATCAAAATAAAAATTTGATATATGCTGGACTAAGAAATGGATCAATAATAATATATGATGCTACATTTAGTCATTAATAGATATTTAATGCTCATGGAGGACAAATAAAAAAGATATTATGGTTGAATTCTAAGAATATATTGTTGACTGCTGGAGATGATTGGAAACTTAAATTATGGGATCAATAAAATAATCTATTGAAAGAAGTATCTGTTGTAAATCCTATCTAATCTTTTTTTGTCTCTTTAGATGAAACATATTTTATATTATAGGAAATTAATAATTTATCATTATGGGACTTAGATAATCTAGAATTGATAGAAAACATGGTTAAAATCTAAAAAAATACTAAAGTCTTGGCTGTATTTACAAATTAATAAGTTTTTTGGGCAAATGATGCTCAAATGTAAGTATTACCAATCATGAATAAAAAGATTAAGTTTTCATTATTATAAAGTAATAGATCTCATTTTTCTAAAACTATTGCAACAACTGATAAAATGATATTAACAGCTGATTATTAAGGAAATATATTCTTTTGGAATTTTGATGGAGAAAAGATTAAATCACCTATCATTACAGCTAAAAATGAATTAAGGTCAATGAATTTGTCTAATGATAATACTAAAATTATTCTAGGATTTAAGAATTTACTAAATATCATTGATTTAAATGATAATAAAATTATCTTCACTAAAGAAATCCATGAAACTTCTTTATTAAATGCATGTTTTTTGAGCCTTACAGAAATTATAGCAGTATCTGAATCAGAGAACTTTTAAACTCTAATATTTAATATTGAAAATGTAAATTAATAGCCTATTATTATAAATGAACATGTAGGATCTACATAAGGAATTTAGGTCCATTTCTTAACAAAGACTTATTTAACATATGGGAATGACAAAGCAATTAGATATTATGTTAAGTGTGATAAGAAATATTCCTGCAAATATGCATGTTCTTCTATTTAAAGGTTTGAGTGTTAAGGGGCAATTATTTAGAATAGTGAAATATCATCTAAGTCTAAGATTGATTTGAAGGAACTGTTTAAATAAAAAAAGGCAATCCTCATGGATTAGAAATGATATTAATGATAGAAATTATTGATATAATTTTTTAAAAGGTTATATAATAAAATTTATATCATACATTTTTTTAAAATTTTATATTATAAAAAAACCTTTTAATTTTTAATCTTACAATTAATATCAAGATTATATCACTACCTGAGCACAAGNAGATGATTGGAAACTTAAATTATGGGATCAATAAAATAATCTATTGAAAGAAGTATCTGTTGTAAATCCTATCTAATCTTTTTTTGTCTCTTTAGATGAAACATATTTTATATTATAGGAAATTAATAATTTATCATTATGGGACTTAGATAATCTAGAATTGATAGAAAACATGGTTAAAATCTAAAAAAATACTAAAGTCTTGGCTGTATTTACAAATTAATAAGTTTTTTGGGCAAATGATGCTCAAATGTAAGTATTACCAATCATGAATAAAAAGATTAAGTTTTCATTATTATAAAGTAATAGATCTCATTTTTCTAAAACTATTGCAACAACTGATAAAATGATATTAACAGCTGATTATTAAGGAAATATATTCTTTTGGAATTTTGATGGAGAAAAGATTAAATCACCTATCATTACAGCTAAAAATGAATTAAGGTCAATGAATTTGTCTAATGATAATACTAAAATTATTCTAGGATTTAAGAATTTACTAAATATCATTGATTTAAATGATAATAAAATTATCTTCACTAAAGAAATCCATGAAACTTCTTTATTAAATGCATGTTTTTTGAGCCTTACAGAAATTATAGCAGTATCTGAATCAGAGAACTTTTAAACTCTAATATTTAATATTGAAAATGTAAATTAATAGCCTATTATTATAAATGAACATGTAGGATCTACATAAGGAATTTAGGTCCATTTCTTAACAAAGACTTATTTAACATATGGGAATGACAAAGCAATTAGATATTATGTTAAGTGTGATAAGAAATATTCCTGCAAATATGCATGTTCTTCTATTTAAAGGTTTGAGTGTTAAGGGGCAATTATTTAGAATAGTGAAATATCATCTAAGTCTAAGATTGATTTGAAGGAACTGTTTAAATAAAAAAAGGCAATCCTCATGGATTAGAAATGATATTAATGATAGAAATTATTGATATAATTTTTTAAAAGGTTATATAATAAAATTTATATCATACATTTTTTTAAAATTTTATATTATAAAAAAACCTTTTAATTTTTAATCTTACAATTAATATCAAGATTATATCACTACCTGAGCACAAGTTTACAATCGTTGCAAACTAAATAATAATGATTTATTTAATTTTTGGTTTATAAAATTTGGCTGTATATGATTTTTTAAATTGGTTAAAAATGGCTTAGTTTAATTAGAATATTAATTGTAAATGAGTTCAAGGTACCATAAACAAGATTAGAAATTTGACAAAGAGTTCTTGGCTATTGTAGATGCATTTGGAGGCAAAAATTGCACAAGTTGGACTTAGGTAGCAAGAAAATTTGAATTACAAACAGGAGAAAAAGTATCAAAAGCAAATACACTTCGATATCGTTGGGAATAATTAACAGGATATTCAGAGAATTTTACAAAAGAATAATAAATATAATTAATAGAAAGTGATATCAAATCTAGAGGAGTTAAAAGATAAGGGCTAAATGATTTCTTTTAATTAACAGGAATTAAGTAATTAAATTAAAATAGATTTTTAGATTATATAAGGGTAGATTTTGTAGAATATCTTCATAACATATAAAATAAGCAATTCAATCAATTGATGAAGTATTTGCAAAAGAAAGGAAACATAGAAGATGTGGAAAAAAAGATGCTGAATTTAGATTAAAATTATCACATTTAAGCATTTATATATTATTAAGAGCTAAGGATACTTTGACTTCTGAAGGATTTAAATAGAAAAATAAAGGATTAGATCCATTTGAATAATATCTTTGTTAATAATTAATAGAAGCATCAGACATTTGTGAAAGATTATATTTAATGCATGCTCGTGTATTTTAAGCAGATAGAGTAGATAGATATTAATCATATATGAAAGTAATCAACAGAAATTAATACAGAAAGTTAATGTTTTATATAGAATACTTAGATATTCTAAGAAAAATCAGTGTAGAATAATGTACTAATGATACTATGGTATCTCATCCTTTGGTACTCAGAAATATTAAAAAGAATAAGGAAACATTAGTATATAAGAATTTAATTTTGGAAAATGATTGGAGTTAAAAATATTAATGGTTTAATGAATGCACATTAACATAAATATAAGAAGAAGAGTTTTCATTATTACTTAAATCTAGTAATAGAAAATCTAAATAAAAAAGTTCTTAATGTAGTGTTGATCCTTCAGAAGTAGATGATTAAAGATAAAATAAAAGAATTGAACTCAATAATTTATAATTTGATTTCATTCCTAAACATTGCTAAAAGGTTTATGCCAAAATCAATTCTGGTAAAGCTAATAATAAAACTGAAAAAGAATACAGAAAATTCAGAGGTCATTTTATTAAACCTGGAGATACTAGAACAGATACTAGATATACTAAGATTTTCACTTGTGATGATGATTCTGAGTATGATGCTGATCAAAATGAATAAGAAGCTCAAATATAGGCTTCTTCTAGGTAAGAAAAATTATAAATATTGTATAATGAAGCTTTCATATCAGTTCCAAATAAGAAGAAATAAAATTAGAATATCTAAGATATAACATAGAATAATTCTTGATGAATTTTATCTATATAAACAAATTAAAAATAATATAATCAAAATTCATTTATTTTTTCTACTATTTAGAATTTCTTCTCTAATCTTTATTATTCTTTCTTAAGTACTTAATCTTTCCTTCTATTTACTCTTACTTTTACCATTTTCTCTATTTATTTCAATTTTATCTATCATACTTTATGCATCTCTAGAAATACCTAATTAAATATGATTTATATATACTTCTATATAGAAATTGATTATCTTTCAAACATTATTCAATTCTTTCATTTACTTATTCTAATTCATTTAATTTTAAAATAATTCTATAGATTTCTTTTTCATTTTAATTCTAAATTTAATTGTAATGAGTCTAATATTTAGATCATTTATTTAACCTTTGCATTCTTTCTTGCTCTTTTAGTTTCTTCCTTCTTATTTTATAAATAAATCTCTTAGAATTTATTTCCAATAATTGCTACAGGAAGTGAAAGTAATAATACTCCAAAAATTAGACTCAACACACCTATAAATTTACCAAGTAAAGATTTAGGAACATAATCTCCATATCCAACTGTTGTTATTGTTATGATTGCCCACCATATTGCTTAAGGTATATTTTAGATTTAACTATCTTCTACAAACTCTTTTTCTGCAAAGTACATAAAACTAGATATCAATATCACACCTCAGTAGTTAGAATAAATCAATACATATCATTGTAAAGAATAATAATAATGAGAGTGCTTGCATACTTTCTGATAATCCTCTTATTAATATCTATTATATTTATCAATCATATACCTTCACTCCTAAAGAGAAAGTTGAAAATTTAAATATTCTAATCAAACGAAGAACAATAAGCATTCTTAATACTTTTATTCTAGGATCAACCCATAGATCTATAAGATACAAAATTTATTCAATTATTGAGTATACTAATGCAAGAATATCAACTAAATTAAAAGGTTCTTAATTAGTTACAAAATTACTTTTAAAAAATTCAATCAAAGTTTCATCAAAAGCATTATAAGATGCAACTCTAAATATATATTCAACTAAAAAGTAACCACTCACTCCTGAATTAGCAGTTACCCAAATGTCTGTAATTCCTAAATTCTTTTCAGTTTCTAATATAAGTAATATAATATCAAGGGAAATTATGAATATAGATAATATTGATAAGAAAAATGCCTACAATAATCATTTTTCTTACTAGCTTATTACATTCATAATCATTAAGAATTAAGTAAATTTTTTATTATATTTACTTTTTCTTCTCTGATGAATACTCTCCAGAAACTGTTTATCCTATTTAAGCCATAGACTTTGCTGATTTAATAGTTTTATATGATTAATCATCCGAGGGTTAATTCATCATTTTCTATTTTCCTTGATAATATATAATTAATAATTAATTGTTGCTGAATAAGAATAATATTATTTCTTTTAATTGTTACGATAAGAATCATATTTTATTTATTATTTTATCTTTCAAAAGTATAAATACTCAAAAAATAGAATTACTATTTATTTTTGGATTATCAAATATTTAATCATTAGAATAATTAAATACAGAACTCCCTCAATTAATCATCCTAAATAGATATCAAAATTTATTTATGTTTTTTTTTCTACTTTTCAAATTCTAAAATTGCATCTTTTAAAGCCAAAGGAATTCTATTAAGTAAAAAATTTTGATTTTCCTTTTACTCAAATATTGCTTATGGTATTGCTAATAATGGAATACAAATTGATTCAACTTTTAATTAATCATTGCATATTTATAATCTATTATTTTTAAAAAGATCATTACATTTTTTAAAAAAAGTATTGTAATTTATCAGCTCTTGTTTTCCTCTATTATACAGGACCAATAAATGTTAATATATATTTAATATTTTGTTCTTATAATCTAAAACTCTTTGATAGAATCCATTTATTCCCTCTAACTACTTATTATCTAATATCTTATTCAAGAGCAGATCCAGCCTTTTCTATTATTTTCCCACTTGCTCCAAAATATGGATTATTTTAATTCACTGGATTTACTAATACTTCTACATTTGATATATCCGTAATATATATATTTGTTGCCTTGACATATTCAGATGATTAAAATGTTTTTTAAAATCCATAAAGTATTTCTTCAGTATGACAAGGTATAATAATTTCTATTTAATTTTTAAGTTGTAATTATTATTAAACATCAAAAAATGCTTTCTTATATTAAAAAGCCCAAACCTTTGGTTCAAAATTATCATCAAATTAACATAAAATAGGAACAGCCACTTTTTTAAATCCTAATTCGTTTGATTTAATAATTCTAAAATATATTTTATTTAAATTACATATTTTTTATAGACTATACTATTAATTATTCATTAAAATTCTCTGGTTCAACTACAATTAGAATATTTTTTATTTATCGTTCAATTTTTAATTTATAACTCTTAACACAATCTACATAACCAATATTAAATCTAATATCTACAATTTCTTCTTCTTATTCTTCTTATTATTTCATAGCTAAAAATTAACTAAAGTCTAAGATCAATTATTTCTCTTTCTTATTATTAAATAACCCTGGCTATTCAATTTATCCATTCTCCTATTTTCTTTTTAATTTTTCTTTTTCCTTAAGCTTTTTAAGTGCTTTTTCAAGCTTATCTTATCCACATTTCTAAAATATTTCTGCAGAAACCCCAGGCTCTTTGAATAATAGTGGGTTTGTTGGAAGCACAATTGCATCAACATCTTACTATTCAGTAATATTCCCACTTTGAATATTAACATTAATATTGCTAATTTTAGAGATAGAAGTTGATAATTACATGAAAATAATTATAATAATAATTTCAAATCTAATAATTATAAATATTTATAAAGAAACATGATATTTGTTATTAAGACTTAATTTCTAAATATGTTATTTTATCAATATAAATTAAATGCTTTTAATTTTTCCAAAAAAAGTTAATGATATATCTAAATAAAACTGCAAATGTAATATTTGAATTCAATTTTAATAACTTTTATACTTTTTGGAAAGATTTATTACTAAATATTATAAAAATAACAGTTAAGGTTAAGAAGAAAGTATTAAAATATTTTATTAGGATAAGATTTCTGTATGAAAGCTTATTTATTATATTTTAAACATCATTTCAAGTTCACTTCTTTGATTTCTTTTGCTTTTCATATGATTCTCTTAATTTCCTATCATTTCTTTGTAGATTTTCTAATATTTCTTTATTTGTTTATGCTAAAGGAATATCACCAGCTTTCAAAGCTTACAGATCTGAACGATTTTTGTGATCACTTTCTAATGGTTACTTATCCATTTTAATTTTATGAGGAACAACATATCTGTAATCCCAATATCTCACATTATCAAAATTGATGAAACCAATATATGTTCCAAATACTGTGGAAACTTTCTAACCTTTAAAGTTAACATCAGCTTAAAAATAATCAGATGTTCTTTTATATGAAAAAGGATTTACTTTTTTTTGACTTTTCCTATATCTATGATACATGAAAGACCATTGGCTTTGTCAGTGAATGTAATTTTGTTTGTGGACTCTTATCTTAATTAACCAAAAAATGTGCCACTATATAATTCGTTGGGAAAATCAAAATCAATTTTCTATCCATCATTGAATTCAATTGATCTTTTGCCTTTATTAATAATCTATATCAGATAAGAAACATACGGTAACAGAATTTAATCCTGCTCTGCCTTCAACAAGATAATATCCATAATATTTATATTTTTTATTTGGACCATAGACCAAGAAATAACTGACAGGAGGATGATGCATAATTTATTCACAATAAACTTGAGTTCCATCATTATAACTGGCTTGAAGAGTTTCTCCTAGAATTGGATTAAGCTTTTATTAAAATAGGTAAAAATACTGGTTTTAAAAAGGTATTGGTCCAAAAAAATGAAGATAAAGTGGCTGTGATTACAAGTTTGAATCTTTCTAAAAAATCTGGTGTCATTGTGGCTTTTGTTATATACAAAGGGAAAACAGAAGCTAATTAATAAATAATGAATATTACTTCCATGAACAGATGTTTCTAAGGCAGTCTTGGGTATCATGACTCTAATAGGGAAACTTACTTTAGTAAGATTTAAAGATCCTGATAATATTTTTTTCCCAATTTATTTAACCATTTCCTTTCCTACACTTCTTGCTTTGCTTACTACTTTCTTATCTGCACAAATTCTGCCTCCCTTTTCATATCCCTCTGGATGACGAATGTCTTCATCATTTGGAAAATATTTAAAATTGAGCACCAATTATAGTATATCATCACCTGGAATATCATGGTATCCAACATATTCTAATTTATCAGGATCAGCAATTCCTTCATTTTCTTTATCTTATTCTTGAACTTAAGCTATTGGATCAAAGCCTTTAGCCTCTAATTCTTTATCTTCATTTGTAACAACTTATGTTTCATCCTAATATAATTCATAATATAAAAATACATCAACATAATCACTTTCATCTTTTTCTTCTTATTAAGCTGAATTTGATTCAGGCTTCTTCTTTTTGAACCAACCAAACATAACTATATATATTTTTAATATTCAATAAATTTAATATCAATTAATAGTCTTTTAATGTCTGAATTTTACATTCTCAATGTTTACTACTTCAAAATCTTATAGAATAAATAAAATCATTCTTATAAATAATTATAGAGTGATATATCATTAGAATTAAATTAGTTGAGATTCATAACATGAATCAAAGGATACCAATGTTAACAGTATATTTCTGATATATTTCTTAAGTATTTTATTAGCTTCAGGGATTTTACTAAAATCTGTTTTCCTAAAAAAGTTGAGCCATTCAAAATTAACATCAAGAGAAATTTTTAATAGATTTGCTCTTTCTTCTAAGATTTGCTCTCTTGAACTGATATTATCTTGAACTCTTTATAATCTATCATTAAATTCAGTTAATTTCTATTTGTATTCTACTCCAATCTCTTTACTAATTTATAAAGCCTCTTAACTGGCCTTTAAAATACTTTATGTTGAATAATTAAATCCTTTTTATTTAAAACCAAAAGATGTAACAGTTGATTAAAAAGAGCCAGATTACCTGAATTTAGATCTAGGCATTAAATTAGACTCCTACAAATATAATGCCATCAATTCAACTTCCTTATCTTCAGAATTCTCCTATTTTAATGTGTTGGCAGAATTTAAAATAATTTCAAATTAATAAATTCCGCAATTCTCTATATTATCTGTATCATCAGTTTTTTTGAGTTTAGCTATTTCAGAAGAATTCTAAGATTTAACTTCTGATACTAATCTTGCAATTTTATGTTAAATTCCTAAACATTCAAACTCAACTTCAAAAAACCATTAAGGATATAATTATCTTAACTCATCTAATTTCTCATCAATTTATTAATAGAAATTAGAATTAATAATTTATTATTATTCTACTAGATATTCAATAATATTATATCCTAATAGAGTTTTCTCAATTTAAAAAAATTCTCTATGACCTATCCAATGAACATTATATTCATCGATATCAACATCTAAAGCAACTATTACATATTTTTAAATTAAATCTCTATCAATTTCAAGATTTAGATTACTATAACTTAAGTTTAGAATTTTCTGTACTTCTGTTGTTAATGTGATTTAACACCAAAATCTAATCATATATCCTATTAATTTAAAATGAGGATAGAAATTAGACTTATCTTCTTAAATATTGAATTATTTCTCATACATTAATTAGAATAGATCACATTGTAAATCATATTAATTTTAAAATGTATTCATTAATTTCTAATATTAATGATATAAGTTAATATAAAGTCTTATATTATGAGCATAATCATTTTCTTTGTAATTTTCCAAATACAATTCATTATAGAATTGACACAAATGAGCAATATTATAAAATACTACACAACAACTCTCTAAGAAATAATTTTTTGGAAATAGAGAATGTTACTGTTTAAAAAAATCAACAACACACCATTTTAAACATATTAATGAATGAAGATCATTCTCATCTAAAGTAGAATGTAGGAAATTGAATTATTATTATTCTGGATGTCCTTCAAAATGCTCCTTACTTCTTATATATTTTGGTAATGATAATGCCAATTAAAACCATTCTGATGTATACTAAGAAATTGGATCATTTTAAAGAATAGCCAAAGGTTCAGAGAATTAATTTGATTCTTTTAATTGATTGATTTTTGAAAAATGACTTCTGGCTATTTACTATCGAATTTAAGGATATACTATAAATCCTATATTCTATTAATGCACCAATTATTTGTAATGATTCTAACAGAAATAACATTCCTAAATTGTTTCTTTTACTTCTTTAATCTCTTCTTATTATTTTTACTAAAACAAGTTAATGTCTTAATCTTTTTTGATATTTTGAACTGAAACATTTTGAGATTAGTCACCTATCTATTAGTTTGTCTTAATGTATGTATCATTCGTTTCTTCTGGTTCATCAGCTAAACATTAAGCCCAAAGATTTCCCATTAATTAATTAATTCATTGTAGAATAGTATAAATCAAATTTAAAGAATATTCAAAAATATCATTTTTAATTTGAACTTTCATGAATTCATGCTGTTATATAACAAAAGTAATTTCATAAAACCTATTGAATTATCTTCAATTTACCTATATTTAAATAAGTTTATTTCAAAATCATTTTAATTATGTAATAATCAAATATTTTTGATTATCTATATATACTATTATCGTAATAAGTTACATTTATAAATAATCATTATTCAGATTTATTAAAACTTATATATTCTTAATATTGCTTTTAAGTAAGGGATGGTCTCACTTTATTAATTGCAAACTCAAAATCTTCTTTTCTAACAGGCCTTATATTTTATGCAGACATAGCAACTATTTAATTTTTATCCTCTCTTAATGGTTACATACATGCTTCCTTAACAACTGCCTTTATATCACTTGCAGAATAACCTAATATAATATATTTGAGTAGTATTACCAGACAATTTATCACATATCTTTTCAAAAGCTATATCTAAAATAGAATGGCTGACATTCTACATAAGTGATTTAACTAGACCTAATCTAGCTTTTTGATCTGGTTGATCAATCAAAATTTTAACAGTCTTTATTAATCTAAATTCATTACAAATCTTCTAAGAACAGCACCATCAATATCTTAAGGTCTATTAGTAGCTGCTATTAAGAATATTCTATCTTAATCAGATGTTTGCATTCCATCAAATGAAACTAAAAATTCAGTTTTTAATCTTCTACTAGCTTCATGTTCTTCACTTGATCTACTAGAGAGAATAGAATCAATCTCATCTATAAATATTACCTAAATAATAAATTAATTGCTATACTGATGGTTACATTTTAAATGCTACATTAAATAAAGTCTTCATCAATTTTTCTCCTTCTCCAAGATGTTTCTATACTAATGTTGAAGCACTAATATTAAAAAAACAACATTTGATTTGATTTGCTACAGCTTTTGCTAATAATGTTTTTCCATTTCCAGGTGGCCCATAGAATAAAATACCTAAATAGAGTTAATATATGTGTTCTACCTTTTGGAGGTGCACGAATTCCTGTGAAAATATCAGGTCTCAAATTAGGTAAAACTATAACTTCTTCTAATTAATTTTTTATGCTTTCTAAGCCTATAATCGAATCAAAAGAAACATCACATTTCCTTATCATAGCTGTCTCCATAATTTGCTTACTATATGGATCTTAAGAAGCCTTATTTAATAATATTTGATACTATGCTTTATTAAAGTTGATCAATTTTCTGAGAACAAATTTCTGCTGTATTAATTGCCTTTATTAGTTCTTGATATTCAGAGGCATGATCTTATTAGTTTTACTCTAAATAAATAAATTATATTACTTTTTTATTTTATAATAGGTAATAAAACTTGAGAACTGTTGATCAAAACAACTTTTGCCATTGAATATTATTAATTCTGGAAGTATTTCATACCCAATTCTATCATTTTATATGCATTCTAAATTTATTGATTTGGATCTGATTAGACATTTTATATTTCTTTAAATTTCATTAATCTGCAATTAGAAAAAGGTGATCTAGATTTATTAATTTATTATTTATACCTCTATATAGTTTATTTAATTTAATTCGACATTTGAGAAATTGTAAAATATGCAAAAAATATAATAATAAAAATTTAATTAATAAAATCTTTAAAATAATGATAAATACTTTAAATTAATTATTTAACTTCTATTTTCTATGATCATAGTTGATTATTAATATAAATATTATATTAAATGTCTTGAATACAGCAAAAAAATAAATATAATTATCATAAATATTTAATATTATATATTTATAAAATAAAAATAAAATAAAGCTTATAAAATTTTTATATGATTTCAATAAATGCAATATATTAGTAGCTCTTTAATATGACCATAAGTCAATTCTTCCGCATATATTATTGAGAATTACAGCAATTTTTTATTTTAATAATTTGATCTTATTAAGTATTTTATTTATTTTAATTATAATTTAAAAAAAAAGTTCTATATGAATTCTCCAAAGGAAATGAGAATTTTATATTTAAAAATAACTGAATTCAATAAAATGCATTAGTTATCATTAATTCTCATCAGTTGAACATTAGATCATCTCATATGGGTTAATAACGCTAATATGATGATGATCTGAGGGCAATTTGTATTTTGACAATAATTTATTATAAGGATATATCTAATCCAATTCTTCGATTAATAAAGGAATGTAGTTTATATAATTTTATTTAATTTAAGGGCATTTAATCTTTTGATTTTTCATTACAGATAATGCTGCATAGTCTTCCAAAAATTCTTACCAAGCTTATCTTACTTAATTTCTAATTAATTATTAACCAGGAATTACTAACTATTGATTAGTGAAAAGCTTTTTAAGATCTCCTAATTCAAATTTCTTCTATTAAGATTCTTTACTTGTTTTGAGGTGTTTCATATAATTGACAACTTATTATAGTTTTCTCTCAACAGCCCAATGATAAAATTAATTCATAAAAAAAGGTACTATTCTTCGTTTCAAATCCCCTAAATTAGATGATTAAGCTCTTATTTAATTCAATTTTTCAATGAATTTTAATGTCAAGTCTAAATCTTTCTTATCAATTATTATAGAAACTTTTTAATCATTCTTAAGTTCTTAGCATAGATTAATTTCTTGAATCATTCAAAAAAAAATTAATTATTTTGAATTTAATTTTTTAAAAATACAATCTTAAAATAAATGATGATATTATATATATGATAATCTGTTCGTAGAACTACTAAATATATATATGATCTATTTTAAAAGAATAAAATTAATATGTCATAGACAATTTCCTTGTATAAATTATATGATCCTATTCTATAAATTTATTTATCATATAAAATCAATTCATATTTTAGAAGATTCAAGAAAACAAAATTTTAAATTATTTATTGAAATTCTTAAATTAGATGATAAATAATAACTAATAATCAATTAAGTCCATGATTTTATGGAGGTAACCATTCAACAACTCTCATTTATACATCTTTATTAAGTCTATATTATTTACGATACAATACTTGCTAAATAACAAATCTTTAAATTGAGGGATCTTGCACTTCAATAAGTACACTGTTTTAACTAATTCAAATTATTCATCTTAAGATAATTAAGATAAATTATTATTAATAATATATATTAATTCTTCTGCTTTTGCTTAAAGTGCTTTAAGAAATTCATAACATAAGTTAGGAACTTTAATTGAAATCATTTCATATTCTTTTAATTTTACTTATATTTCTGATAAATAAGGTTTTGTATCATAATGTTATTGATTTAACTTAAAAATTGATATAAAAATATACATTCGTAGTATAAATATCATCAATATTTTTGAAAATAGCCAAAATTTCAGCATTCCATTATTGAAGTTTAGTAATTTATTATCTAAGTTCTGTTAATTTTGGAAGTGAAAATTTGATATCAGTTAGTAATATATGATTCTTAACTTCTTATTCAAATTAACTAGCCAATTATTCATATTATTCAAATGTTAATTACAATTTTAATTGTTACTATATTTAACTATTGAGGTCAGCTTAGATTCTTAACATTTAAATAGTCTTAATAATTAAATGATCAATTTCTTAGAGTTATTCTGGATATTTTTATTTGATAAACAAATATAATTATTCTGTTTTCTCTTATTAATATTTTTTTAATTATTTAGTTTTAAATGTAGCCTTGCATTGTAATAATTCATTTGCAGTATTTAAAAATTCTCTTTAACTTATAAGAGATAATAAATGCTTTGATTCTGATAATTATATTGGTAACCATTAACTTTCAGAATAGAGAGCAATCAATTAAGCAAGATTTAGATTTGTATGATCTTAATATCTTAATTTCCATTCATCAACTCTTTATTCTAATAATTAAAGCAATTCCAGTTCAATTAATTATGCAGGTAATTATTCACCAATCCTAACAAATTGTTTAAATTCTTCAATTGTTGGCAATAGAAATTGACTATAAATATATTCTCCTGAGTTAGGGAGTATATTTTTTTCAAATAATATTTTATGTTTTTAATAATCTTCATAAAGTTCACTATTTGAATAAATATATTATTCCCATAGATTTTCATTAAGAATTAAAAATGGAATATTATTTTTCTAAAGACAAACTAATATAATATATTAATATTACTTCTGCAATTATATTTATCTAATTATTATTCTCTTTATTTTTAGATACCCATACATTCATAATGATACCACTCTTCACAATTATCACAACATATCATAAATTTAACTTATTGCTATAACTTAGTATGATAATTGTAAAATTATTCAACATTTTTTTCATGTAAGCTTTTTAAAATCTAAAATTCTGTTATAGCTGATTCTCCACCTTATCTGCATGTACAATAAATTTCATCCTAATTATAAAGATTTAGTAATTCTTGAGATGAGTTTTTGACATGATCCAAGAAATTAGAACTATTACCTTCTATTTCTAAATTAGAAGATATCTTTCTATTTAATCCTTTTTTATAAATTCTTTTTTATATAATTTATTTTTTAAGTGCTAACATAATAGGATCAGAATTAATAACATCATTGGGTGAAGATCTAAAAGCTTTTGCTAATGGAATATTTGAATCATAAAATGCTATATTATCATCTCTCATAAGTTTTGAAACTTATTTAACTCTTTTAGAATGTTTTAATGATTAACTTTCTTAATCATAAGTAGGTTGTGATTCATCTTGAGATTAATTTTTTAGTTTATTGATAGATTTTTGTGTTTTCTTTTTAATATTAGATTAAGTAGTTATGATTTAACATTATTATTATTATTTTTATTATTATTTTATAGATGGCTATTATTATTATTATACAGATTTAGACATCATAAATTCTTAAGGTTACAATTATTCAAGATATTCAAGAAAAGGCTTTAATTTCTATATCATTATTATATTTTTTAATCGTGGGATATCATTAATCATATCTGTTGCCATTTACATCCAATTATTAATTACTCTAAACTTTTTACCCATTACATAAAATTATGGCATAAAAACTTCAGAATAATAAGTTACCTCTTTAACACTCTAAACACTTAAAGCTATCTATGCTTATTTATTAATAATAACTAATTTCTCAATTGAACTAATTAATTCTTGGCTGATATAATTTTTCTCAATTCCTTAAAGTACAAGACAAAGCAACTGAGGAACTTTGAAATGGTAAAGTAATTCACCAGTTAAAGAAAAAGTTTCAGGTTATGATTCTGAATCTATTCTTTTTTTCTTTTTCTTTTATTATTGTTATTCATTTAAATTTGTAATCTACATCTACCATTATTGATATTATTAAATCCAATCTTCTATTTATTTATTGATGTCATCATTATAAACATCTTTTTGATATTCTTTTAATCGTTAAATTCTTATTGGCTATAATTTCTTTAATTTATTATCATCTAATTAAGTCAATTATATTAAATAACTATTTATTGTATTTTAAAAATTTAAAAAGAAATTTTATGCCAATTTAGACAATTTCATACCTTCTTTCTTTTTTTTATTTTATGGATTATCAGCATATATTGACAACATTTCTTCCTTCATTTATTTTATTGACTCATCATTTTTTAAAGTTTATAAAATTTAATCAAATAATGGATCAGATGTAGCAATAGTTGATAAAATCCAATTGACTTTTTAATTTGATGCATACAAACTCTATAATTCTTTAAATAATTATTCATCAATTGGTAATTTCAAAGATTCATCCAATAAATATTTTATTTATTCTTAATTTTATGTTTGAATAGCTTATTTTGCATCTGTTTCCCATTTTTCAGTATGTTATATTAAAGTCTAAATAATTTATAAATCTTTAGATCCACTAATAAAAGGAGATTGAAACTTTTATAATTTTTCAATTTAATCTGATGTATGTGATGTTCCATTTCTTTATATATATATTCTACATATAGTATCTATACCATCAATTTATTAACTTTAATCATCACTCAATCTTAATATCTATTTAATCATATAGACTTAGGCATGCCAATCTAAAATAGATATTATTATATCTTTAACTTTTGTCATCAGTGTTATTTCTTATTTGTATCTTAATCCTTCTTTAAAAAGTTCCCATAATTTATAAAATGTTTTATTTTAATTATTTTTTCTAGTAGTTTAAACTTACTTACAATCAATTAAAGATATTAATTATTCTTTCCAAATTTAAATTCTTTCAAATATTTATTCGATTTCTTTAACTTTCTCTGGATCCAATTATTTGATAATATCTGATGTTGGATAAAATAGTGTAGATGGATATTATTTTAATTCAAAATTTTCATCATATATATCTATTAATGATATATTTTAATGATAAGATATAATTTCATCAGCTAATTAGTTCCATTCTAATACTTTTAATGTTTAATTTTAAAGATATTTCAATTCATCATTTATTATTCCTTTACCTAATAACATTAAAATTTATTGATTTGCAATTTGATGTTATCTTTCAGACATTTTTAATTTAATAGAATCCAATATTTAAGTATAATCTATCATATTTTATAATCTTTCTTAAACATCTAAATAAAATGGACAATCTAACACTTCACCTAATAATTTTTATTACATTTCAGGATCATCAATTTATTATTTTACTTTCTCATTTAATTCTAAAGCTTATTAATATAATTCATTAAAATAATCAAAATCATCACAAGTCACTATTAATTTTATTATTTATTAATTAAATATTCCAGCTTAAGATAATGTTATTTTTTCTGTTTTTTCTCCTTAATTTGATATATATTATCCTAATCTAGTTTTAGTTTATTAAATCTTAGTAAATTTACTTATCTTTTCAACTAAATCTAACACATATTCATATAATCTTTTATGTAATTATTCAAATGCTTTTATTTCAATAGGAAGTTATTTATATTCTATATTATAATTAATAAGGATTTTCAATTGAATTTTTTAAGACTAAGAATTAGAGATAAGATTTTCAAAGATTTCATCAAAATTATTATTATCATCAATTGGAATAGGAAGTTTCAATAATTTTTAATAAAATGTTTCAGATTTTTAAACTTATTCTCTTAATTATTATATTTCTGGAGTGATGATTGGAATCTATTCTTCTAATTTTTCTAAACTTTAACTTAATTTTTCTAATGTTTATTTTTCTTTTAATAATTTATTTATTTATTTTTATATTTGTATTGATGTTGAATGAATTTATTTTATTGATTCAGGAACTTCATATTTTAATTATTATCCTTATTCTAGTAATGTTTAAAGTTGAGTCAAATGCACTTTTTATTTGCTATTTATCATATCCATAAGATCCTATTTCCATTTATTTTGTTACATCATTTTATCTTCATTCAATTTACTAATATACAATTCAATTTTTTCATTCATGTATTCATTAGTAAATTATAATGAATGTCTATGCTTATATTGATTATAAACTAATAAACTTGGAAATAACAAATAAAATTTTGCTTTTATTATATTATAGTCCATTTACTTTAAAAACATTAAAGCTCTTTCATTAACTTATTCTTAAGTGATTGATAAACCACTTAAAATTAATCCATCACCACTAAATCCTTTGCTTTTCTTTTTTGGATCCTCAATTGTTTATTCATCCAATTAGCTCAAAATTAAAGATTGCGCAAAAAGAAGATAATCATCAATGTTTTATAGCTTTTCAATTTTTTCACTTTAAAATATCAAACTTTGCCTCTTAACATAATAATTAAAATTTACATGTTAAATAAATTTTTCGAAAGTCTTCTCTGGTTTATCAGGAACAATTGCTTAACATTTCTCATCAACTATAATCATTCTCTTAGAATGCAGGAATCTATTCTGTTGATGAACTTCTTGAACCTTACCATCATTTTATTCAACTTCCATAGCCTCATCTATGAAACTCATTATCTCTTTTTATCTATATTTTTATGAATGATTAGAATAGGCATTATCAAATTAAAACTCTCATAAATTAATCATTAAATAAGATATAAACCTCTTTTATAATTGCAATAAACTACTAGACATGAGATTCAGAATTAAATCTATATATAAATCTTTAATCTGTCTCTTAAAAAATAAGAAAAAGGTAGATTAATAATGTTTGATTTTTATAAAATTTAGTATATCTATAGACATGAAATATTTATATTTTTTAAATTAATGATAATTCTAATTTAGAAATTAAGATCTTTAAAATAAATATATAGTTTCTGAAATTGTTTAAATTGATAAAATAAATATATGAATAAATTATAATTTTACAAGTTTTATAAATTTGTCAATAATATTAATTAAAATTAATTGAAGAGTTTGTTTCTAATTATCCTAAAAGTTGAACTGAATCTGGATATTATTCTGAGGATCTATTAAAATTGAAAGTAGTTTCATCAAATTATATATATTATGGATTTTTAGTTTTGCAAAATAAGTAACATAAAACTACATGAGAGAATGCAAAATTTATAATTTTACAGTCTTTATTTAATTAACTATTTAATAATTAGGAGAATCTTTAATTTAATATATATTCTTAATCGTTATGTTAGAATATAGATTCAGCTAAACTTTTTTCTGAAAATTATTTTAATTGATCTTAGACATCTAACTATTAATATTAAATTAATTCATAAAATGAAACCATTTCACGATTTTATTCTTCAAGTAGATTATAATCATGTTGATATTATTTTTGATTTTTATATTGTTACATATTCTCCTTAATCATTTTGAGAATACTTTCACATAATTATTTTATTTTAATACACAATATATCCATAATATGTGGTTATTAAAGAACATAAATAACTTCTTGTAATGTATTAGAAAAGAAATACATTTCATTTATCTTTTTATTAATTTTTTCTATTTCTAAACTTAATTTATTTTCTAAATAATTAGAATTTATTTCTGATATGTCAATAATTTTAATTTTTTTCTATAATTTTGATTCCTCTTGATTTATAGTTTCTATTTATTTTTGATTCAAAATATCTTATTATTTTTCTTCTATTATTTTTGACTATTCCTAATAAAAATTTGCATGGTCATCCAATGGAATTAAATTAGCTTACAATTGTATTTTGCTGATTAAACCTAATAAAATTAATATTTATATATACTAAAAATTGGTTTTTCAAAAGCTGGATGAAGTGTTAAATCTTGAAAAGATATTCTAGTTTTAGGATCAAAAGATAGCATTTTCTTCAAGAGATCTTTTGTATGATCTGAAACTTCAATTTTATTCTTTTCAAAATTAATATTTGCTAATATTTAATAATATATAATTTTCATACGTTGACTATTTGATAAATAATCCTTTTATTTGAATGGATATCTACCGTATAGAATCTAATAAAATATGACTCCAACAGAAAACATATCTGATGATAATCCATATTGATTTTGATTAAATATTTCTGGTGCCATTGTAAATAATGTTCCCAATTATAATACTGATTTTTGATCCTATAATAATTTTCATCTAATACTTCATTTTATAAGAGTTTACAAAATCCTAAATCAGCAATTTTGTAAATTGAATTATTATGAACCATTATATTTTGCACTTTAAGATCTCTATGAATAATAAATTTTGAATGCAAATCTTTCAATCCCTTTAATATTTGTTTAATAATTCCTTTAGCATCTTATTCAGTCAATTTAAATTTAGGATTCTTTAATTGTTGCTCTAAGTCTCCAGCTAAAATAATAATATTTATTTAATTTACAATTACAATATTCCATTACTATATAACAATATTCACCATCTTAAAATGTCTCCACAAATCCAACAACATGATCACTTTTTATTAGTTATAGAGCCTTAATTTCTGATAATACTAATTGTCCTAAAATTCCATCATTTTCTGAAAATCTCTTTTTTTAGATTACCTTAATTGCTACTTATAATTGATCGGCAAATTTTACTGCTTTGAAAACCTAAGTTAGTAAATGAAATTAACTTATCCAAATTGACCTTTTCCAATATATGATTCAATATAATATCCTTAGATTACTTGACCATTTGATAAAAAATATTGGTTGTGTAATTTCATCAATTTCTATTACTTTGTTATTGAGAATTAAATTTCTTAAAATTATATGCTTTAAATCCAAATAATTATTCGTACTCAATATAATTATGGAATTTATAATGATTTATATATATAATAAGCAATCTAGTAATTTTATTCTATTATTTCAACTATTAAACATAATTCTTATAAAATTATATCTGATTAATAAAGCATAATTGATATTTTAAACTTTTTAATAAATTATTAACTAAAATATAGAATTTAGAAGATTTACTTTATATAAAAGTAATCAAAAATCATTTAAATTTTAGTGGAATGATATTTTTAATAGTATATATCAAAATTATTTATTTTTATAATTTTAAATATTTAAATGATTTGATTGATACAATCTAATTATAATCTAATATAATCCAAATCTAATATAATAGAATAATTTTATAAATATAAAAACTGTTAAAATTTGAATAAATTTGTCAATTCAACATCAAAATTAAACTTTCTTGATTATATCAATTAAATTTTTGTTTTTGATATTAAAGAATTCCTCTACAAGATCTATTTTTTATGAACACAGATCTTGAAAATGCATACATCTTTAAATATGAATTAAAACAATGACTAAAACTTTCTTTTTTTTAATTTCAGCTTCTCTATTAATTTCTTATTTAATTTATGTATGCAAATCCATCAATGCTTAATAATAATTTAAGTGAAATATTCCTGTTGCCTACTCTTGAATCTCATTATCATAATTTTAGCATAAATTATTTAGAAGTTATTTAGAACTTTTTCTATTGGATATTAAATTATAATAGATACATTTAATTAAGCACAATATCGAATTAATTATTTTCAATAAAAGGTTTGAAGACATCTTTTAATTCAGATATTTGTGGATTATTAGACAATTCTTAGAAATAAACTTTACTTTCAGATCTTATTCTTTTTAAGAGCATAAATTTACCAATCAAAGACTTTAATACAATATAATTATTACTTAGCTTTATATTAAAAATGTTATTTGATCAATTTCAGTATATGTCCTTTAGCAATATTCTAAAGCATCTAATAAAATTCGATATTTTTAAATAGTTTATGTATAATCACTAATTTAGCTAGGTATATTATTTTATTGTTTATCTGATTTGAAAGCTATCTCATTATCTTTGAGTTATTATAAAGTATTAGAAATTGATTATTAATTTGGAGACAAATATTTGGTAGATAATAATTCATAAGTTAATTTTTATACGTTCTCTTAATCATAATGATTTTGATTAATTCTACTATTTTACTATATATTATTCACAATTTGATATTGTTCATTTTACTAAGTTCTTAAGATGTCTTCATTTTATCTCAAGACATTCATACCAGTCTATTATATTTAAATATCTTTCTTATTATCATAAATATTCTAATAGAACTTAGAAGTTTCTATTTTGCTAAAATTTTTCTATGCAATTTTACTCACCTAAGACATATTTTGAACTTTTTTAAATAAGGAATATTAAAATAATTGAGGAAAAGTTAATCTTTCTTTTGGATCCTCTATTAACATTTTACTTATAATTTCTTTGACTTCATTTGAAATTACAACTCCATACTTTTAAAAATCAATTTTCTCTATTAAAAACTACAAAATTTAATTACATTATCGAATAGCTTATAAATAGAATTAAACATCATAACATTCAAAAGGTAATTCACCAAACAAAAGTTAATAAAATATACATCCAATAGAAAAGATATCTGATTATAATCCATAACTATCAAATCTAGCAACCTCTGGTGCCATTGTCCCCATTGTTCCTAAACATAACCTGACTTCCATATCCTACAATAATTTTATTAAATAACTTTGTTTTGCAATTATTTACAGAAACCAAGATCAGCAATTTTTACTTGATCATTGTGCATTAAAATATTTGCCAATTTGATATCTCTATGAATCACATTAAGTTTATGTAATTCATATAATCCATTTAATACTTATATAATTATATCTATAACATTCTATTCTTTTATTCTCTTACCTTATTTTTCCCAATATTTTTCCAAATCCCCTGCTAAAAGATTTTATATTTTTTAAAAATTACCATTACAATATTCCATTAAAATATAACAATTGGTGCTTGATTAAAAATAATGTTCTAATTTTAATACATTAGGAGAATCTATTTTAGCCAATACACTAATCTCATCTTTTAGTAATTCCCCAACTATCCCTTCACAATTTTTAAGAGATTCAAATTGAATAATTTTTATAGCATGGTAGGATTAATCATACATATTCTAACATTTATATACCTATTGTATTTTTTATTAATTCATAAAATTACACAGCCAAATGATCCTCTACCTAATTCCTCAAGAAGCTTATAATCTCCAATTTTTTTTCCAATCAGCATTATGTGAGATATTGTATATTAATTTCTATTATAAAAATACAATATTAAAATATTATAATCAATCAATTATAAGATTTCTATTTAATATTACATAAAAATATGTATATATAAATTTATTTGTAGTATTATATTAAATTAAAATTTCAAATATTGGTTATGAATATCCATTGTATGAATTTTATTATGATGTATTTAATCAAATTTTTGGAATTCAGAATTTTTCTTAACTATTTAAATTCAAGAATTCCAAAAAAAAATTAAACATTAATTAAATGGAACAATTCACAATACCAAAAACCTTTAAGGCAGCCTAATTAGTTGAATACGGAAAAGATCTTTAAATTGCTGAAATAGAAACTCCATAGTTATAGGATGGGCAACTTTTAATAAAGGTTGAAGCAGCCCCAGTCAATCCATCAGATCTATAATTAATTGCAGGACACTATCCAGCAGGCAAAGTATTACCTGCTGTCCCAGGAATTGAGGGTTCAGGAATTGTAGTCTAATTAGGGTATTTATATTATGTTATCTATTAGACCAAATGTAGAAAATGTTAAATTGGGTACTAAAGTTGCATTCACTGCTCCCTCTAACTATGGTAGCTATGCCCAGTATGCTGTCACAACTAGTTAGAATATAATTCCCCTTGATGATGATATCTCCTTTGAACTAGGAGCATCATCAATAGTAAACCCTGTTACTGTTCTACTCATGTTAGTAGAAACATAGGAATTAGGAGCTAAGGCTATAGTCCATACTGCTGCTGGTTCAGCCTTAGGAAGAATGTTAGTTAGATATTTCTAAGATTCAGGAATTGACGTCATTAATGTTGTACGTAGATAAGAATAGGCTGATCTTCTTAAATAAGAAGGTGCCAAATATGTGTTAAATCAAACATCTGAAACCTTTTTCCAAGATCTAAATGCCTTAGCTACATAATTGAAGTAATATTTATTTTTAATATTTTAGTGCCACTGTCTTTTTTGATGCTATTGGAGGAAGTTTGACAGGATAGATACTCACTTAATTACCAAATAAATCAACAGCCCTTGTTTATGGATTGTTATCAGGATAACCTATAAGTGATGTCACTGCAAATGATTTGCTTTTTAAGAGTAAAACTGTAAAGGGATTTTGGCTTGCAACTTCAGTACACAAATATAATCCTTTTGCTGATGTCAATGCATAAAAGAAGTTAAATGAATTACTCAAAACTACATTAAAGACAGAATATGCTAATTAATATCCACTTGACAAAATTGTTGAAGGAATAGAATATTATAAAGTAAATCAAACTTCAAGAAAGATATTGATTAGACCAAATTAATGAAACAATATTTACAGTAACATTATTTTAAAATATTCATATTATATATCATTAAAATGGAGGATTTAATAAATATATCTATAATCTATGTTAAGTTGAATTCTCTAGATATAATTCTTTGCCTAATCGACGCCCTCCAGATAAAGTTTTTAAATCATACCAATAACTTAATCTATACTCACTTTTTTCATCATAATCATCACAAAGTATTAATTAGATATTTTCATTTGGTGCAAATCCAAATGATGATTCTTAAACTTAATACCAGTAGATATCTCCATGAGTACTTTTAATAGCCTTTTTTGAGTCAAAAGTTGGTTACAACATATCATTTGCAAAATCACATGCTATTAAATCAATGGCATCTAAATTCATCAAATTTAATCCTCCCAAACATAGTAAAGGGTTGTCACCAGCATATTTAAAAACTTTTTATTATATTTAAGCCATTGTATAAATTAATATGGGTTTATTAAATAACTCGTCATATATTAATTCAAAATTTTTGAGTGTTTATTTTGGTAAATTTTTATGAATTTTGATCAAAGGTCTAAAATTCAAAAGTGAATATATATAATTTTTTAATTAAATTATCTTTCTCATCACATTCTCTTAATTTATTTAATGTACTGTCTCTTTTAGTCTTTTCAATTATTCTAGTTTTACTTTCTTTTGTTATTCAGATTCAGATTTAATCTTTTAATCATTAATAATTTTGAAGTCAAGCATTGATGATATTTGTTAGATTTAACTTTTTAGAAGAACTTCTGAATTAAGAAAATAGGTGAAATTATTTTATATGGATTCTAAACGAGTTTCAAAGTAAATCTTGTTTTTCTCTAAATTTAAAGTAGAACTTTATTTAAAAGTATCAAATCGAAGCTTTAATTTTGAAACACTGTCTATTCCTTGTATAACTGTCTTATTTAATACAGATATATCCTCAGTTTAATTTATTAGTAAATATTGATACTATTATTACAGAATATTAAATTTATCCTTCAAAGTTAAGAGATCCTATATTAAATAATCTTATTTTTGTGCATTTAATTCTTATTGTCTATAAAATTTGATTAATTCAAATTAATTAAATTACAAATAGAATAAATATGGAAATAATAAGATTAACATTAATAATAATAACTTGTTATAAAGAGATTATTTTTTAAATTAAGTGACTTGTTTTTCAAGGACTTCTAATTTCTACTATGACCTAAATTAATTATAAAACTAATTTAAACCTTTTTATAATATTTCGAATGTCTAAATCAAGAGCTTGCATATATTTATCAATTGATGAGAATAGTGTAGCTAATTTTTAATTTGAATCTTCTTAATATTAATTTTCATTTTCGAAATAAAACTTAACATATTAAGTATGGAATGAATTTTGGTATGGAAATGTGAATTTTTATTCTAAATATGTAGAACTCAGAAATTTAAGAAATTTAGCAGTTTCTCCTTCTATTTTTTCAGTGGCATTTTTAATTAAATCAGCATTTCTACTTAGTTATACTTCTTAAATTTTGTTTTTTGAAAAGTCTTATGCTTATTATATAATCATCTAAATGAAAGTAGTCCTTCTAATTTGTTTCTTTTTTATTTCATTAATAAATTATTCTATCTCAATGAAATCATCCATATGTTTAACTACTTTGTTTTTATTTATATGATATTTAGTAAGACACTAATAACATTAAATTTGTTTTTTTTCAGCTAAATAACATTCTTCATTTAAGCAGATATACTTTTCAGGACATTAAGTGTTTTAACAATTTAAAAAATCCATAAGTATTTTATATAATTAATTAACATTTTTAATGAATTTAAGCAAAAATGTGAATAATTAGAAAATGATAAGACAATAATCATAAAAGAATTTATATAACTAATATCCATTCTAAAAATGTTATTTAACTTATTATAATTTGAAAACAATAATAAGTAAATATAATATGAAATTATATTTGGGATATCTCATTATTCTAGTCTTTATCGAAAAGAATCAAACTTCACTTGTAAAAATTTTGAATTAATTGAAAATTCTTAATTATTAATAATACATGTGAGAATAGAATTAAAATAAATCAAGTAGATTAAATATTAATTCTACTTGATATTTTCTTTATTTTCCAATCTTTATAAGCCAGTTTTCAAAATTTAGCAAATTCTTATCTCTAGTAAATCTTAATAATGGTCTAATTTACTATTCCTGCTAATATTTTATGATTAGAATTTAAATAAGAATTAGTTTGACTTAATTAATTGTTATTTCAATTTAAATAGTATATTTATGATGTATAGACAAGAGCAAACTTAAGGTTAAGCCATATATTTAATGTATATCAGTTTACAGATTCAATTTTAAGTAAAAATATCCAATCATTTAGATTTTATGAACTTTAGAAATTAAATTGACTCTTCATTTGATTAGCTAGATATTTTTTCATGTGATCTAGATGAAAATAGCGAATTTTAAGTCACTGAAAAGCTTATTCACTAAGATAATCACTAATAGAACAATTATTTTATACTCTAGCTTATTTGATACATCATTGCAGTGTTACTAAAATGAGAATGAAGATTATAATATAATCTTACTTTAAGGAATCTAAACTTAGATTGTTATATTATATCTAGATTAGATTTTCACTAACATGACTTTTTAGATACTGAAATAAAATATGAAAGGGAATTCTAAATAATCAAATTCATTGATTCCATTTTAGGGATTAATTTACTACCCTTTTGGAATCTATTTAGGCCTTATTCAACCAACTTACCTCTAGGCTTATTATTAAATGTTAAATTAGAAAGAGTAAGAAGATGTAAAATAAGAGGTTAAAGAAGAGTATGATTCAGAATCTATTAAAAAAGAATATGAATCTAAATCTATTGATAAAGATTGTAAGAAAAACATTGTAAAGTTCAGTCTTTACATCTGGCCTGGTGAAACAAAGAATTATTATAAGAATATAGGGAAAAAATTATCATCATTCATTATTAATAGTTTTGACTAACCTTAGGTTAAAGAGGACCCATTTATTATCTAGTTTATAAATATGGAAAGTCAAAACTACAATAGAATTCACTTTCAAAGACTTTTTCACTCTAAAATTGCTAGGAGAATTGCAGCAAATTTTTTCGGCAATTTCTAATGGTGTTCCCAATTTATTTCGTAAAATAAGACTGATATTGACTTTTACCTTAGACATAATAAATAAATGTATAGAAGAAAAAAAAGATAATAATAGAGTCAATTTAAAAAATGAATAGCATAATTTTATAAATGAATATATATAAAAAGCACAAATACATTTACAAATCAATGTGTAATATTATTTATTCAACAAATTTTAACTATATTTTAAATAAATGTAGCTTTAGACATAGAGATCTTTTTTAGGGAATCGATTTTATTTAAGTAGAATATTTTTTACTTTAATTATGCAAGATTAACTTATCAAAAACATATCAAAACAAGTTATTCATTCCAAAATTTCTATTTTATTTAATTACAAATTTGCATGGTAATCAAATTCATACAATATTAATGATATAAATTTTTATTTTTTTAAATTATAATACTTTTTTTGTCAATTTCATAAGCAATTTTTAGAATTTCATCTGAGTTTTTTCTATTGTTCAGATTATTAACTTATTGCTTTTATCTGAAAATTAATATAGTCAATTAAGAGTTTATTATATTCCTCTGTTCACCTACTCTTCATTCCCTATGTTATTAAGCCAAATTTTTAATACATTTCTTAAAAAATATAGACTTTTCAAATAAATTTAGTTATGAATAGAATACATATTAATGATACTAATCATAATTTTCAGATTCAGCCATAAATTCCTTCTCATTCAAAAGTAGATCTTGGCTTATAATTGCTATATTAGAAAGTATACTTTAATATTTATTCCAATAATTCTTCTTCATTTAAATAATAATTAAATCGATTATAAAACCTATTCATTTCTTATTAAAGCTATTTAAGTTAGTCTCATTTCAATTAATATATCATAAACTAGAATAAATATGATAAATATAATTTTAAAACTAAATATTCTTGTTTCAATTTTTGATTAATAGAAATATTAATTTTTTTGATTACATCTATATAAATTCTATTATATAGTGATTATATTAATTTCCAATAGTTATTAATGATCTTCATTTATGATTCTTATAAACTTTTTTATTAATCCTATTAATAGATATTTAGATTTTTTATGAATAAACTTTTAATAAACTCTATTTCATTCGCTAATACTTTAGCAATTATTAATTATTTTTTATTAAGGATGTATTGATTTCTAATGAAATATAAGTATTTGATCTATGCTTCTACTCTTGATGCATATATGTAATGTCATGAATTCTTTAATTGATTTAATTTAGAATAATATTATTAACAAAAAGTTAAAAATAAATAGAATTTAATAAACTCTATTATAATCAGAAGAAACTTGAATGAAAGTAAATTTTATTAATGATTTATTTTTGAAGTAGAAATCAATAGTTTATAATTGTAAATTATGGTTTGATTTTTAAAATACTTTTTTATTAATTAATCATAAAAGCTATATTTACATGTGCTAGAGAAATTTTTATATTTTATTATTTCAGATTTTTATTATTATGATATAAATTTTACTTCTCTATAGTATTGTAGTAAGTGCATAAAAATTACTTAAAACACTTGAACTTGATGTAAATAATAAAATTTCAGGAATAATCAATGTAGAAAAGAATGATGAAAACTTATTAATAGTATTTTATTTTGATACTGCAACTTACCCTATAGCACTAGTGTCTTAAGAAGAAATTTTAGACTCTGACTTTAATACAACGGTAAAGCCAATATTTATTGAAAGTAAAAAGGTTGTTTTTTTTGATTATGAATCAATTTAAACCCATTATTCTACCCATATGGTTGAATTAAAATATATGGAGAACATATATTATTATGCTAAAGATAGATTTGGGCCTTTTAAATTAAAAATATAAGTTTATTCAAAACCTAATTCTATATGCATTAACAATTGTTAAGGATTTCTGATTAATAGTATCAAACAAAGATCTAAGTGTAATACAAAATGTGAATGCGAATCTGGATATTTTGGATCATATTGTCAGTTTGAAATAATAAATATAGAATAAGATGTAAATTATAAGATTCATTTAATTCCCCATAAAGCTGTGTATTTATCATTTTAATTGGAATAAGAAGCTATATTAATTGCAGATGATGTCATTGATCCAATTAGTATAAAATCATTCAATTTTTATAGCTGCTAGTTTTGGGGTTCAAGGAAAAAAAGGTTTCGAGATTCCTGATTAAACATCATATACTGCCATACTCCATAGTTAATTAAGTTTAACAAAATTGATTCAAAATTTAAAATTATAATTTAAGGATGCTAAAATATTGATAATAGGATTGTATTGTCGTAAAGATTAAATAATAAATGTAACACTTAAACAAGAGCAAACTGCCTCAATATGGAGTGGTAATTGTTTATTTTTAGCTTTTGCCTCTTTTAATATAATAATTATAATACTTTGTTTTGGAATCACAAATCTATGTAGATAGAAAGAGATTACAGTGAAAAAAAAGAGAAAAATAAAGATTAGACCTCCAAAAATAGAGAATCCTAAAAATTTCTCAGGTTCATTTTTTAACAAATATTTCGAAATTTATGATTATGAAGATTTCATATAAATAAATCCTCAATACAATTAGAATACTTAATGTGTAGTTTGTATGGAGGATTTAAATCAAAAAGAAATTAGTATAACCCCTTGTGGTCATATATTTCACTATTAATGTTTAAAGAAATGGTTAATGAGAATACTTAATTGTCCTTCCTGTAGATTCTAAATAACTTATTAACAAGTTGTTGAAGGTGGATGGATTGGTAGTAAGATTTTATAAAATCCACTTTGTTAATAATAAAATTGTAAATCACATTCAGGTATTCAGAGAAGTAATTCTTTAATTGAGAACAATGAAAATACAGATAATGTTCAAATGGTTGAAAAAGGAGATGATAATTGTAAATGTATAAATAAAGAATTCTGAAAATATATTTATTGATTTGAATTTCAATATAGAATAATAAATAAAATAATTAGTAATGTTCTAACCAATAAATATTAAATCATCTATATTGCAAACAATTAGGACATGATTTTTATTCAGCACATTCTCTATGATAAACCTTTAAACAAGTATCACAATAAGTGACATTCTTGATATCAAAAGCATGGATTGGTACCATATGTTAACATATACTACAGATATGACCTCTCTTTTGACAACTCTTACAAAGATCAATATGCTTATATAAAATAACATAATATCCTTAAATAACTTTAGTCAGACTTCCATTATAAATTTCATATAAATCTTTTAAACTAAAACAATTTCTTTTTAAACAAAGGTTCATTCTTTTTTCTAATAATGTTTGTACTAATTTAGGATCACAAATCATATCATATAATAAATGAATCTATCTTTTTAGAACTAGAAATTCAAAAAGAGTCTTATTAAGCTGCAATAACTTAGATGTTGGTGTTATTTCTAAAATTGGTAAATCATATAATTTATCTATTTCAGATTAAGCAAGTTTAGAAACCTTATAATGTCTTAAATCAAAACTATCTAAGGCTTTCCATGGAATTGGCATTCTAACTACTGACATGCAATCATTACAAAAATAACGACCATGAAAGAAACATTAATCACAATTAGCACCTATAGTTAAAAATCCATTTGAAATTGGTTTTTGACATTACCAACATTTGAAATTCTAATCTTTCAATTCATATTATGGAGGAGGTTATACAAATCTATTTATATTTGGAGTTTCAATAATTTCCTTATATATCTAATATGTTATAGTAATGTAAATAAACCTCGTCATAAAGAATTTAAGAAGGTTTCTTTCCTTTATGTTTAGTATATAGATGGGGTGGAAGTTTAGTAAATTATTCACTAGGATCATGGTGTAAGGAATCTCTGGATTAACTAAATAACCCAAGCAAATTGTTAGGTTTATTGATAGTAACCTAGTTTTGGTTAATCCAAGACATTTAAAAAAAAATAATTAACAATTAATGTATGATGAAGCTGATGGAGAATAATTTGAAATAACACCTTCAGATGATGGATTGGAGGATGTGGAAGTTATTGTGAATAAGGAAAAACAATATCAACAAGAATTGTTGTAAGTATTAAAGTAGAAGGAAGATGAACATAAAACATTAAGACAAGAATTAGAAGATATTGTATGCAAAATATAGCAAATCTAATTAAAGTGTATTAGATTGATATTTATAAATAGAATACTAAGAAGAAAGACCTATGGTTGATCCTTATCTTAGAGAATATATGTAAGAATTGGGTGAATAACAATTATTTGATTTAGAATCTCAAAGATAAGAATTAAAGGGAGAAAAACAAGGCAAAATTGAATAATTGAGATAATTACAATAGGCTAAGAATTAAATAAAATTATTCTTTACATAAACTGAGATTTCAAGCTATTTACAAATTTCATACAAAAATATGTTAGAGAATCTTAATCAAGAGTTATTCTAATATATGTAAGAAAGAGCAGATTTGGAAGATGAATAATTTGGTTTTGACAAACGACTCAAATCTCTGAGATCCTAAATTAGAGTATGATATTCTTATAAATTTAGGAAGTAACAGAGAAGAATTAAAAAATTATTCAATAAATAGAGAATAACAAATAAATTGAATGAATTCTTGTATTTTATCATTTATTTTCATAAAGTCATTGAGTTCTTTCAATCTTCTACTTAACTTTTGGGAATCGTTCAAGTTACTTTTCAAACATTTGACTTACAACTTAATCAAGAGGTACTTCCTTATTTCCTATTATACTTTTGTTTCCAGGTGATAATACAGAATTTGTTAATTTTTTAATGTGATCTTCATTTTCTTCTCTTTTAGAAAGATAAAGAAGACCTTTCTTACTTGGTCCTTCATTCTTTTAAGGTGGCTCAAAGTTATAAGTTTTTCTAAGGAACTCAGCAAACTGTTTCTCATTTTTCTAAATTAATTATAACTCTACCTAACCATTTTTTTAAGCATATAAGAAATATAAAAAGTTGCCTTTATCAACATTACTCATTTATCTTTATATTTTCTTTTCTTATTTTTTAGGAGCAATTGAAGTTTCAGATTATTATCTTGTTTCTAATTTCATTTGTTTTGGTTTGTTTTAGATTGAGGGCAAAGGATTTATTTATTAAGATTATCTATGAATAGCACTTTTTTTCAAGGTTAATCTAAGTAATTAGGCTTATTTAGAGTGAATGATAACACCTTCATCGATGATTTATTGAAATTAAAGTGATTATATATTTTTCATATTTTTGAAACAAAATCACCAATTTCATTAACAGCATTTCTCAATTAAACTAATTAAGACTTCAAATTAGTTATGTTCTATTCCATCTCTGTTATTTTGTAATCATTCTATAATAATGCCTTAATATGTTAAAATATTCTCATCATATCTGCATCCAAATCACTATACTTTGTAAAAATATATAATTATTACATGTTATTACATTTCAGCTACACCATGATTATTGGATCTTAAAAATTGATTATTCTCATTAACTATTAAAGCTATTTAATTAATTCTTTCTTCACATTCTTCTTTAGTTACTCCATGTTTATGATTAAAAAGTTCAATCTATTCATTTACTCCTCCAAATTATTGACTAATCTCTTCTAGTTTTTCTTACATAACCATAAATTTTTATTAAATTTCTTTATTTAAGATCTTATATAAATTATCTTCAATACTCTTAATACCTGCTAAATTGTCTTTTTAAATTTTCTTCTCCAATTTCTCAAGTTAACCTTTATCTAAAGTCACTTATGGTAAAATTGATGATTAATCTTATTGTTATTATGACTTATATTATTGATCATTCAATTCATCTAAAAAGCCTTATTAATCTATAAGAACTTTTTCTAGATTCTCTATTTTTAACAATACCTTTTGATTGTCCTCTTCTATTTTTTTAATCTTTTGCCACATCTTTTCAATCACCTATTAAAATTTTTCAACATTCACAAATTTTTTCAATTCCTCTTACACTTATAAACACATCTCACATGATTTTTATACATTCATTTCTTCTTAAAATTCTATTGTTGAAGGACCTTAATCCTAAAAGTTTTATTTCATTATAAAATCAATAATATTTAACTATCTTCCTTAATTTCGACAGGAATTTGCCGACTTTAGAAATCTTTCTTAAGAATTTTACCTACTCATTAATTTAATATTATAAATTGAAAATATATTAAAATAAATAAAATCAAGTTTGCATTTAATTCTATCAGCAGAAACAATTAAAATAATAAAACACAAAGAAAGTTTAAGAACATAATTATTAATTATGAAAAAGGTTAAAAAAATCCATAATTCAGGATTATTTATTTTTTTCTATAAAAGAAGAAATTGAAATGAATAAATTTATAAACATTTTATACTGAATAAAGAGAAATTTGCATTAATTTAATGTTCTGATAATTTAAGTAAATGATATTTTACAATCAATAATTAGAAAATATAAGTTCTTTATTTATATATCCATCATAAGATAAAGATTCAAAAAGCTCTTTCTTTTTCTTGTCAAATAGAAGTACAATTGCGTTTACTAATCATCCATTAATAATGTAAAAAAAGATAATCTAAAAATAAGTCTTAAATGGAAGAGAAAATCATTATGATTATATCAATTTTTAAATCTTATGTAAACATTTTTATAAACTATATTATATATTAGTATTTCAGTTGTTAAAATTGTTTGCTATTAAATCAAAACTCTATAAGTACCCAAAAAAAAATGAAATCTCTATTCAGAATAACTAAATTTTAGGGCTTTGTAGAATTTAAGATTTCTTTTTTGTATTTAAGTAGTAATTATGAATTAATATCCAATAACATTCTAATATTTAAGATTGAGAATAATTCTCCTTATTTATTCCTTTTGGTTAGTATTTTATTTGTATGTTATGACTAGAAAAGCTATTCTTCAAAAGTAATTTGTTTCTCAGACTATATTCTAAAATTTCATTTAATCTTCTCCTAAATCTAATTATTTATTATCATCTTTTTTAAAAGAGTATAAATTTTGATATTAATTTTATGCAATTTTATGTATTGTCTCTTCTTACCATAACTACAATATCCATGTTTGTTATCCTTTAGTAAGAGATATACAAAAAGTGTATTAATCTTTTGTTAATTTAATTTCTAATTAACTTTTCATTTTAATAGGTTATAGTTTTAATTATTGAATTATTGATGCAAGTGGTTTACAATCATTAAGATACAGATTGAGAGTTATTCTATTTATATTAAACATTTTGAAATATATTTTTTAAAGTATGAGTTTTCCCTCAATTATTGAATCCATCAATTCTCCAGACTATTAATAATTTACAATATATTGATTTTGCTATGATTCAAAAATGATATAGATTTACATAGGTTTATTCTATTTTTACATGGATGAATGAAAATTTACGACTAATATTTTACTTATGCTATAATAGAATTAGACATTGAGATTGAATTAGAGAATGAGTTTATGTTTGTATGGATATTGTTTAATTAAGTATTCTAATAGGATGAAATATATTTTGTATATGGTAAATAAAATAATTTTCAATCTGTTTTATTAATTGTATGGCACTTTTTCATTTCCATCCAACAACCTAAACCACAAAAACCCAAAAGACCAACCAATATTGCTATCAAAAATAAATGACTGAAGGAAGGTTCATAATACTCAATTTCCATTAATATACTCAATTAAAATGTTTATTTATCTATTTCTAATAACTCAAGCATTAAATCTATAATTTTTTTGTTTTTATACACATTTCATTAGCTAAACGTATTCACTGAATCCATTAACTCTCTTGGCTACTCAAAATTCATAATTAATTAAAACCCTTCAAACTTTTCTATACATCATGTTAAAAAACCCAAATTCTAAGTATGCTTCTCCTTTTATACCAAAGCACAATATAGAAACACCATTTTTATTAAAAAAAATTTGTAGTATGTCATCTTCGATTTGTATTAATAAAATATTTTGAATTTGTTATTCTCAATTGAATTAAAATAAATGTTGGGTTGTTTAAAACAGTATTTTATTTAAATCATTAGATTTATTTAACCACAATTTATTAAAATGCTAATTACTACTTTTGAGAATCCTATGTCATACTTTTTTATTAGCCTTTGTTTTAGGTAATTGCACAATATAAATTATTAGCATTTGTATTATTTATCATATGCAAATCTATCTCCCTTAATTTAAGGTCTCTTAATCTGCTTTTATTCAGATAAAAAAAGTAATTCAAAAGTATATGTAGATTTAACCATCTATTAAATGGCAAAGAATTAATTCTTTCAATCATATGAAATTATGATAAACCTTTTAAAAGCATCATGCGTGAATCTATTATGATCTTAAATTTAGTAAATTAACAATTTTTTGATACATTTAAAATCCAAGATTGTTATTCTACATTAAAATTTAAGTAATCTTTTAAAGGCTGATTGAAAATCAAACTTTCTATGATATTTTATTTGGTCCACAACATTAATCTAAAAATTATTAGATTTTAAATTAGCCAAAATTAGTAAACAATCTTTATTAATCTTCAATGTCTATTTCACATAATTATTAATAATTATTCCTCTGATGATCTAATTATTTTATTTCATAAAGAAGCTTTATCAATACCATAGATTTAGAACAGTTTCCAAAGTTTTATTTTTGAGATTCTCATCACATTCACATTATGTTCTAATCATGATTATAATTCAAATTAATTAGTTATTATTCATGTGTTAATATCAATTATAGGTTTATTAGTTTTGGGCTGAGGAATTGGGAAAAATTGTCTACTAAGAACTGAATAACGAGAAATTAATGGCTCATCATTTATCATTAGATCTGTGACTAATTTTAAAGGTGTTATTGGCAAATCTTTAAGCTAAGCATTCACTTTATTCTTTGATCTAGTAACAAATTTTGGGTACTGATGTAGAAATAAATATTTTACATCTTTTGGAGTCAATAAATACTTCTTTTTATCAGTATTTTCAATTTAATTTAATTCTTCGGTTCTAAAATGAATGGCATTTCCCTCTAAGATAATAAAGAATAGCCTATTTCTTACATAGATCATTGAAAACCATATAAATTTAAACACCACACAAAGAAGCTAATTCATAGGCCTTCTTTAGTAAACCTATCTTCCTTTTATGAAATGTAATCTAATCTATATTTAAGAACATACATTTCTTTATTGTCTATCTTCTATTTTAGTTATTGAAATCTTTTTTCTGCCCATTATAATTTAAATTAAAATAATTAAAGTTTGAAATGCTCATTAAACCATCATTAGGTTAATCTCAGCTTTTATTATTTATTTCATACTTTTTAAGTATTTATATTATCTTTTTTTGAAAAGGAATTAATTATACCATGAATGAATTACTATAATATAAATTTACTTATGAAAATATTATACATTATTTCAATTTAGATAAAATTATTTAACCTATTTACTTGATTTAACCAATCTTGATAATACTTTTGTAGCAATTACTATCAAGACTGTTGTTGCTATAAGGGCATTATAGTTGAAATTATCCAATAACATATCATATGTCTTAAATATAAATATTTACAAAATACTTTATCAGGTGCTATTCTAGTAAAGAAAATATCAGAACCATATACTAATAGTAATGCTGAGGATTCTAAATTTGTAGACTCTATTGAAAATTTTTCAATTTCAAACTAAAATAAATAGATAAAATACAGTTTAATGATATGTTAACATGTTTAAAAAATTGATAGGTAATTAATATTAATAAGGTGGAAGTTCTGCTGATTACAGAGAATATTCTAAAATAGGCTAATCTGCCTTTTCTCTTCTTCTAGTGGAAACTAAGTTTCTGTCTAAAGAATGCAATTATCCTGAAGTTGTTATAATTAATAAATTCTTTTTAGTTAATGATTTAAGTGTTCTAGACATTCCTAGATATTTGATTCCCAAAGGACATCCATAAACTTATTATAAAAAGAACGCTTCAAAGTCAGCCTTATAATAATTTATAATAATTGGTGTTTTTGTAAAGTAATAGTTTTCTAACATTTTAATAAATGAAACTTCAATTTTTGCATGATAGATTTCAACAGTCCAAATTTCAAACATCATTTAAGATTTGTTATAATAAGTAACAAAAACTTAATGTTCATCAAAAACTAGATTAATTGGTTAATTAAAATCAGCTTCACTTTAAACACTTTAATATATTATTTTTCCTGTCTTTGCATTAATAATAAATAATTTAAGTTTATCACCATCTGATGTTAAGACTGCAAAATTAGATTGATCAATTAATTTAAATATAACTTTTTTATCATCCCAAATGGCTACTCTTGGATTTTCTTCTCCTACATGATAAGCTGATCTAATAATCAAAATTTCATCTTTCATATTAATTGTCCATATATTTACTAACTAATTATTTAATAATTTATATCCTCTTAATACACCATTATCATTTCTATATAAAATTATTTCTTTTGTATTCAATGAATCATGTTTGGGATATGTAAATATATTATTTTCTTCATCGATTAGAATAACTATGTTATGATGTTACCCAGGTCCTCCTTCTACTCTGTAAGGTATTGTCCATAATATATTATTTGAAGATTGTGATGCAACTTATTAAATCATTCCATGTTATAAATCTAAAACAAAAGTATTTAATCGTTTTTTCTCATTTGAATAATAAAACAATACATGAGTTGGCTATGCATCATTGTTATCAAAATGTCTGATTAGATTCGAACTAATTTAAATATTAATATATTACTCTATTTAATGATGTGCAACTAATTTAAATGTTTTATCTTAATTATTAATCTATAATTTTATTAATAATGATAATTCTTAAGTGTCATAACATAATAATGTTCCATATGTTGTCAAAAAGTATACTTTCTATTTCAATCCATATGTTTATTCCATTTCTCTTGTTTAAATCTTCTCTTTACCCAAATTATCTATAAAATGAGTTGCTACCTCTTGTAAATCTCTAATCTCATTCAAAATCCTTGAAATAATATTTTAAACCAAAAACAAAGGATTATTAGTACCATGTTTCTCGAGTGATTCATAATATGAATTTTTATGAGTCTATTCTTCATTTTCATATTTTTCATAAAAAACAGCATCTATACTAATTAAAGATTATTCAGTTGTCCATCTAATACCTTTATTATCAACTAATACAGTTTGTAAATCTTAATACTAAATTAAAAATTATTTTTTATTTTAATCTATCAAAAAAGCATTTAATATTAATGACTTTGTTTATATTTCAATTACATCAGTATGGATTTATTTTGTATCCCTATCAAAAGTTACAATAAATAACTCATTTTCCTTTTATTTTAAATTATAATAATATTTTTGAGTCTCTAAATTTTATATCACATACTCATCTTGATTTAATTCATATTCTATTTACCCATCCAAATTAACTATCTTTTTCTTTGAGTTTTCACTAATTACTAAAGTTTATGTTAATCCAATAAATTTATCCACTTTTTTAATAAATTCTTTATCTATAGATTTTGCTGATTTCTCTTTTAGATGATAAACAAATTAATCATCTTAATAAACAAGAGTATTGCCAAATTAATAAATTTTACCATTATTCAAACTTTATACACAATAATTTTATTATATAGATTCTCTAATTTAATAGATACAAATTTCAGTTTATTTCTGCAAAACAACCACTGGAACATCGAAAATATATCCTGCATGTATAATTTAATGATCAAACCTAAAGAAATCTAATTTATAATACTTTTCAGTGAATTTTTTATCAAAAGTAGAGAAAATTGTTTATCCATAAATAAGAATAAATTCTCCATTTAATCCTATTAAACAATGGTCTATATTGCCAATAATTTCCTCTTCTGCTAAAACTGAATATCCTTCATTATATAATTGTATAATCTATTGATTTGGTTCATATCTGACGTAATTATAAGAATCACACAGGGTTAAAGTATTTCTTTACTTAACTTAGCCTAAATCATAAGGAGTATATAAAACCTGTAGATTTTTCAATAATTCCATTTTAATTGTTTGTGTTTTAGAAAAATATAGTTTAATCCTAAACTTAAATATTTTTTAGTTCGCCAAATAGTTTTATATTCCAATCATGAACTCCTGCTTATTATTAATGCAATGCAAGGACATTATTTAAAATAATTCCAGCCACGCTCACAATTAATAATAACATTTATTTAATTTAATATTTTAAGTGCAATTTAAAAAAAAATCGAATTACTATAATACAGAAATTTTAACAACATTTTATTTTATACTTAATTTTATATTCCTTAATAGATTTAGAATTGAATACTAATTTAAACATGGCCTTATTTGATTGACAAGTTTTTTTATTATAAAAATTATTAAAAATAACATTGTCCCAAGTACTTAATCCCTATTAAATAATTCAAAAACAATCAGGAATATGAATTTAAAATTTCTTGCATTATAATTTAATTCACCAATTTAATATTCATGAATCTTCTAATTTTTGTTTTACTTCCTTTCTTGTACTTTTGCCAACATATTCCTATTCTCCTCTTCTGTATAGTCTTCTACTTTTGATATAGTTTCTAATTGAAAAAACACACAAATAATTTTATACTTTGTAATAATATTACTCACTGCATGAATTAAAGTATTTCTCCTTACTAATGTATTCTTTATTTTTTAGTTTTCCTAATAATTACAATTTGTTCTTAAGTATTAAATTTTTTATCTATTTTTATTATCTTTTTCCCATAATCATCGTTTAGCATAAATTTGGGTAGATTTCTTAATTTTTATCTCTAAAAAATTGGTGATACTGTTTTAACAATTCCATCTCTGATTGAGGCAATGGTTTTTTGGTTTCTACTTTGTTATTTCATTTTTCAAAAAAAATAGTTATAAGTTACTTATAGTATCAAATAAATATTTTTTATTTTTTGAGTTATTTTTCCTATAAAAAAACAGATTAATTAATGACAAAAAATAACAAAATTTGTGATTCTAAATGCTTAATTTTGAAAACCGTTAAGCTCAACACAACCCTCATTATTTATTGAAAATACATGTAAAAATAGGAATTACATATCATAAAAATCCTAAACTTAAAATTATGTTTACTTTTCAAACTTTTTCTATTTTTTATATCAATATTACTACACTTCTAGATATTCTTTATTTTATATAATAAGGTGAAAAATATCTTTTACCAATTTTAATAAAACTATAATAAGAAATTATATGATAAATTATGTAATGATTATATTGTTTTTTAAATGATAATTAATGATAATTCATTCATCAATCCAAAATTAAAATTTAGTTTATAATCCTGTTACCCATTTAATAGCAATTCCTTTAAATCCTTATAAAAATAAAACTTTAGTTGATTTTGTTGAATCCCTTCCCATTGATAATTTAAGTTAATATTCTGNATGAAGCTAGTTTTAGAGTTACTTTCATTAATACTTAAATTTCAATTTTTAACTATTTGAAAAGAAGCACGATAATTTTATTTAATATAGGAGAACCATGATAGTTATGAGAAAGATAGTTTAAATTTAATTTTTTGTTTATATTTAAAAAGCATATGAAATTAGAAGATAGTATATTCTATTTGTTTGTTTTATAAGAGTAAATGAATTATAAATCTTTTTATAAGATTAAAAGGAATATTTCTTATTCAATTAATCACAAATCATTTTTATCAGTATATTCATAAGAAAAATGACAAAAAAATAATAAATATATAATAAATAAATTAAAAAAGTTACCTAGTAGTTTAAGGAAAAATTAGACATTAATAATCCATTTTTATTTACTAAGTTGTTTTGTCAATAATTTTCTTCATTACCATTAATTAAATATTTGTGAGAATTGATTAGTTATTAACCTAAATAATTTTTATAAAAGGTTATCGATTATACGAAAAATTACAAAAATTCAAGACCCTTAACTCCAATCGGTAGGTACTTATAACCAAATAATATGGTCAAATGTCATTATTTCATTAAATTATTCTGATGACTTAATATTGCTCAAACAGAGCATTTGTTGAAATCTAGTCATTTCATCAGATCATCTAACCTTAAAATCAAAAATAATTTATAATAATTATGCTAAATTCTAATTAAATTTTGAGTTATTAGAAATTTAAATTAATCATTTTTGGTAGCATTAATATTCAATTATTTAAAAAATAATAATTTTATTTATAAAAAGAAGAATGATATGATATCTTAGAATCTTGTTACTGTAATTAAAAATTTAGAAAATATGGAATAAAATATCATATCACTTAAAAAAAATAATATTAAACTCAAATGTTTAAAAATATAATAAGTTAAGCTCGAAAAAGAAAACTTGTAGAAAAAATTAAAATTTATTTTTTTAGCTTAAATGAATAAAAAAATTGTTTATAAACAATATGTGAGAATTTGAAATAAAAAATATCTTGAAACGGAAGATATATTGATAGTCTTAGAATGTATATGATAAATTATGTAATGATTATATTGTTTTTTAAATGATAATTAATGATAATTCATTCATCAATCCAAAATTAAAATTTAGTTTATAATCCTGTTACCCATTTAATAGCAATTCCTTTAAATCCTTATAAAAATAAAACTTTAGTTGATTTTGTTGAATCCCTTCCCATTGATAATTTAAGTTAATATTCTGGTTGTTGAATAACTTCATTAGATAATAAAACAATATTATCTTATTCATCCTAAATGAATATAAGAAATGAATATACTTCTGAAGCATTTTCTTCTAAAAATGTTGCTTTGAATGAACCATCATCTGATTCTAATGTAACCTTTTTTCCATATTCTGAAATTTAAATCTTAAATCTGTTGATAGATTTACTTTTATATATATAATAGAAAATACCTTGTTTCTTATTGACCACTTTTATCATCTATTTGTTATCTTTTTATATTTGGTTTATTAATTATCACTTAATTTGCTTATTTTATTAATTGTTCACTAATATTTGGAATATTTGGTTTATTAAATTATTATTATGGAGTAATTTATACATTTGTAGGACCTGTTTTAGATGGAAATTAAGGTTATTATTAATTTAATACAGGTTATGGTTAATATTACATTTATTGTTGTTATTAAAATGGTGGTAATGGTTATTAAGTGGAAATAAAAGATGGTGTAGGCTATGGAACGGGGACAAAGGGTGATTGTGGTTGAGGTGCCATAATTGGACCAGATTAACCAATTTAATTAGGAAATTGATTAGCTTATTATTTATCCTAAAATATTTAATAATATTAATTACTTAGCATTCAATAATTTCACCTCCTTAAATGAATTAATTTAACTTTGTGTTTTTAGGGATATTAGATTTTAATTAACCATTTATTTTCCAAATTTTATCTAAAAATTTACCAGAATTAACATGTTCTTCAAAAAGATCACCAAATGTTTCAGTTAGTTTACAATTAACTTATTTTCCATTGATGTATAAGGTGACACTCATATGATTAATAAATTTAATTAATATATTTGTATTTCTATTAAAATTCTTTTGTTATATATTAGAATTTATTATACTCTTCAATAATATTTATATATTATATTAATAATTTAATCAAAATACATCTTCATATAATAAAAACATTTAAGTTTAATTTTTTTATTCATAATTATTTATTTTATTTAAGAGTTTCTTTAATTTATATTAATTATTTTATATCTTTGATCTAATCTTAATATAAATATATACAATTTATAAGTTGCTTCTTCTAAACTTAATTTAACTAATAAATCTAATCTTTCTAAATTTGATAATTGATTTTTCAATTTACAAGTTAATGTTTAATTTTTTATTTCTTTTTTTTCAAGATTATTTAAAAATTATTCAACTTTTTCATTATTTTTATTATCATTCTCTCCTTCTTTTAATATTATTTTTGGTACAATCAATCCATTCATTTAAAGAATTCTATTCCAATCAACTTCATTAAAAAAATTATGTTATTTTATTTCATTTATATCTAAATGTCCAATTCTTTTTCTATAATCAGGTNCTAATATTTGGAATATTTGGTTTATTAAATTATTATTATGGAGTAATTTATACATTTGTAGGACCTGTTTTAGATGGAAATTAAGGTTATTATTAATTTAATACAGGTTATGGTTAATATTACATTTATTGTTGTTATTAAAATGGTGGTAATGGTTATTAAGTGGAAATAAAAGATGGTGTAGGCTATGGAACGGGGACAAAGGGTGATTGTGGTTGAGGTGCCATAATTGGACCAGATTAACCAATTTAATTAGGAAATTGATTAGCTTATTATTTATCCTAAAATATTTAATAATATTAATTACTTAGCATTCAATAATTTCACCTCCTTAAATGAATTAATTTAACTTTGTGTTTTTAGGGATATTAGATTTTAATTAACCATTTATTTTCCAAATTTTATCTAAAAATTTACCAGAATTAACATGTTCTTCAAAAAGATCACCAAATGTTTCAGTTAGTTTACAATTAACTTATTTTCCATTGATGTATAAGGTGACACTCATATGATTAATAAATTTAATTAATATATTTGTATTTCTATTAAAATTCTTTTGTTATATATTAGAATTTATTATACTCTTCAATAATATTTATATATTATATTAATAATTTAATCAAAATACATCTTCATATAATAAAAACATTTAAGTTTAATTTTTTTATTCATAATTATTTATTTTATTTAAGAGTTTCTTTAATTTATATTAATTATTTTATATCTTTGATCTAATCTTAATATAAATATATACAATTTATAAGTTGCTTCTTCTAAACTTAATTTAACTAATAAATCTAATCTTTCTAAATTTGATAATTGATTTTTCAATTTACAAGTTAATGTTTAATTTTTTATTTCTTTTTTTTCAAGATTATTTAAAAATTATTCAACTTTTTCATTATTTTTATTATCATTCTCTCCTTCTTTTAATATTATTTTTGGTACAATCAATCCATTCATTTAAAGAATTCTATTCCAATCAACTTCATTAAAAAAATTATGTTATTTTATTTCATTTATATCTAAATGTCCAATTCTTTTTCTATAATCAGGTCCCTAAATTTTTTGGATTTTTTAATCTTTATTTTTAGCATAAATTTAAATGAATCAAAACCTATTTCATAATTATCCTCCTTTTAATTAAATTAATTTTTATCAATTCCAAAAAGATTGTAGTAAGGCATAACAATCATCTTGCTTTTATCCTTACTTTTAGTTTACTTTTGGAGTATCTTTGTACAATAATTACAATTATTTACAATTTTATTTTCATTTAAGTATTGCTCGCCTTTCTTGTAATTTATATTTCTTATTAAACATTATTTTTGACTCTTTTTCCCCTTATAGTTATTTTTTGAATAATTAAATCAAAATACTAAATTATTTAAAAGCTTTATTTCTTAAATATTCATAAATACTTTTTTCCTATGCATTTTAATCAAATAATATATGATTAATATATCTTTTTCTATGAAAATGAATTCTATTTGTTAAGAAAGACTGGTTTTGATATTGTTTATATATAAATAGTTTTTGCTAGAATTTATCTCACTTTCTTTTAAACATTAAAATATAATTCCACATTTAGTCATTATTTACAATGAACGATAATCCAATTTAACTACAGCAGCTTCCTTACTTTTTTCACTAAAATTATTCCTTTACTGTTTATTTATGTAACCTTTTATATTTTATTATTAATATATAAAAGGTTACATAAATTTTTCATATAGTAATATCAAATCTAATTCAATATTTATATTAGCAATTTTCTTTTATCTATTATTCATATAATGTATAAATTTTTTAAATGATCCTTTCCATAATTAGACTCTGAATAAGTATGGCCTATTATACCATGTTTGATAATCTAAAAATAGACTATGGCTTCCCTTTTTGAAAATATACAGTGTCTTATGTCTCAATACTTAGAGTTTGCCAAATGATTCGTAAAATAGGTGAGTAGCAATAAAAAATAAATTCTCTCTGATTTAAATTTGACTATGATTAAGGTCTCTGCATTGTTCTAATGATTTAAATATTGTTTATAATCTGTGATATATGGAAACAACCTGCAATTAAAACCAATTATTTTTTTCGCAAGGTTCATTCTTAATTCATCTACTTAAATTAAAATCATTAATCTGTTAAATATTCTAATTAGCAAAAAAAAAATATTTTCAATAGGATAAATAGGTAAAAATTATTTCTTATTCTTTAAACAAAAGCAATCTTGAACAACAATCAAATTCAATTTCTTTCTCATCTTTACACAAACTTCCATTATATTTGCCCTTAAACTAATACTATATATTATTTCCGGAATAATGACGGGTAAGAGTCCCCCTTATCATCACCACCTTTAAAGATATACTTAGATGACTTCTTAGATACCCTAAAATAAAATTGCCCATTTAAATACACTACTTTTTAGTTTGCAGATGACATAGAAATAATCATTGAACAAAAACACACTCTCCTTTCTCTAAAAATTAGCTTTAATCTCTTAACAATATGAGCTTAAAATAAATAAAAATAAATATGGATTAGTTCATTCAAAATGCAAAAATCTAAATGGATTTCTTATTGTTAAAAATTATAGATTTTATAAATTAAACATAAAAATTAAGGAAAACTTAACTAACAACTTGATAAAATCTAATAAACTTTAAAATTTATTATTGGAAGGCTATTATGGATTTCTAAATAATTGAATTGGAAATAAAAATATTAGCTATTTTAGATATTCTTACTAGAAACATTCAACTCAATTAAAACTTTTACTCAATAATTTTAATTATTTATTTAAATTTTACCAATAGAAATAATAGATCTATTAATGGAATCTTTCATTTCGATACAATATTAATTATCAATATTATTTTGATTTAATTATCTCATATTTATGCTTAAGATAGCCTCATCAAGTTGATTCGTTTACAATCCAAAAAAGATATTTTCCTTATAAATCAGTAATCAAATATTTCAAATAAATTTTTATTAATTAAAAATCACATTACATTTGGATAAATATTTAATTTTATTTATCAAGTTAGACTAATTAGGGAGTTTATTTTTAAAGATTTATTTTAGATTTAAGTTGTTGAACAAAAAAACAAACGATTTGAAAGAAAATATTAAACTAGTAAAACAATATTATTATTATATTATGAAATTGCAAAATCAATTTATTTACTTTATAATCTTTATTCATCTTTCACTACTATTAATAATATGAGTTAGTGGTAACTTTGTTACTTATAGAGCAATTTTTTATTTTTATTTGAATTTTAATAGTAATAAATAAATATATAACTAAATTAATCAAGCCATTGCTGAGGCTCTTCCTGTTTTATATCCTTTATTAATAATATTTTAATCAAATTTACTCTAAAGTAATTAAGATTATTTTTATTTAAGTTAACTCAGATCTATTTTTGTTGTTTCTTAATTTGTACTCATTACTCTTCTCTTTCTTTTTACTTATTGATTAGAAGGATTATTAGGAGATTTGGATTTTTATTTTGTGATAGCCTTTTGATCTAAATTTAACTTTCTCATTAAACATTCTAATATAATATTAGTAGCCTTTAATTTATTATTGTTATTATGGTTAGGCTTTAATAATTACATAATTTATGGTTTTATTGATCTTTGAGTTGTTGGTCTAGGAGAAATTGATTATTTTGTATTATTGCCATTCCTTTAAGTGAGGGGAATCTATTGAACCTAAAATTTGCAGTTTTTTTCAGTGCTATATACTTTAGGTTATGAAACTTCTCTTTAGGTTTAAATACCAGAATTTTTTAAAGGTTTTTTTTTTTAAAATAGATCATTAAAGTTTTCTTTAAAGTCTAATCTTGAATTCGTATCAGATTTATGATCTAATTTTGATTTATTGTAATAATCAGAATTTTTTAGTTATAGAGGTAGATTATATTTACGAGAATCAAATTCCTTTTGAATGTTTTTGGATGTATTTATGGCTTCTTTTAAATTTTTTTATATTTCGATTAATGTATTAGATTATTCTTATTTTGTAAAATTCAACTAGCCCAAAAGATTCTGCAATGACTAAGTTTATGTAATTATTCAATTAATACTGTTTAGATAGAATTTTATGTTGGGGTTGGCTATTCAATATGTCCTCCTAGCATCCTAGATATTCTGATATATTCTATTCTTCGGCGTTTATCATGATATTTAGATAATGTTAAAGCTATAGGCAACATGAAAAGACGTGGAATATCTCGATGAAACTATTCAGTATAGTTTTGAAAGTAATTACCTTATAATATTCAGTTAATACAATAGTTTTTTATCTTGTATCAGTTAAGGAGTAAAATCGTTTTAAATATTCATTAGTATCATAATAAGTCCATTCTTTATAAGTAGTATATTGTTTAGATCGTTATTGCAATAGTATTATATTAATATCCTTTTGATAGTAATAGTTCTGGCTTGCTGAATATTTGATGTAAAGAGCTCTTGTAATCAGACAGCAAAATTTCTAAGATTATTGACAAAAGAGACAATCCTATGCCTGTAACAGATCCAAGGTACTGGCAGTTGATCCTCCAAATTGGGTTCGTTTGGATTTATACATTTTAAATTAATGAATAAAATATAATTCCACTCTTTGCAGGTAATACCTACAAAAATGGAATTCAAGATGTTCAAGCCAAAATTGAATTATATTGTAAAATAAGTTCATCGTTTAAAATGTGTAATGTTGAACAAAATAGATATTGAACTCATAATAGATTAAATAATATTTATAGTTGAGCTATTGATAGCTGGTTAAGTATTTCTTAATTTATCATAATAGTTTGGTGCACCTTCATTAGCTTATTTAAATGAATTACTTAAGATATTAGTAACAACTTTCAATTCATTTAAACAGAATTAATTAGGATATGTAATAACAAATATGGAAACATTAAAAAAATAGACGAACTAAGATTATTTGAAAAGCTTTAAGCAAGGAAGTTCCAGAAATTAAAAAATAGCAAATCAATTATAAAAGTAAAACATGATATAAAATATTATAGAATCTAGAAAAGAATACTTACAATTATTCGAATAGCATATGCCTAATCATTCTTATTTTGGTTGGATGAACATTAACCTGATTAAAGTACTGCCTTAAAAAGTAAGCGAATATTAGTTGAAACCAAAACGTATATCAAAATAATCATTTATTAATTAAAATAGATTATTACATAGTAAATTAAAAGAATTAGATTTAGAAAAGCATAGTAAGATTGTGTGTAGAATTTGCGAATAATTAATAGAAGTAGAAATAATGGTAGCCCATTGTATAACGTGTTAGAAAAAGGCGGAATAAAGCAAGAAATTATTATAACTAAATCTATAGCTAACCGATGCTTCATAATTAGCATATAAATTAAAACATGATGTATAATTAAAATTAGGAAGACTAAGTTTTTAAGAATAAAAGCAAAATCGTTTAAAATAAAAAAAGCAGGAGGAAGAAAAAAAATCATTTAGATCATTAAGACGAACATTTACAACCCATATAGAAGATAACAAAATATTTTAGGAAGAGGAAGAAAAAAATAAAACAAAAAAACAATTAGCTTTAATTAATTCAGTAATGACAATTATTGTGAATTACACTGAAAAAGTACTTAATAGCAATACTAATAATGAGGATAATAAACGTAATATTAAATTTAAATAATAGTAAATCGCATCACATTTGATGAATTGACTGATGCAAAATGTAATATAGTAACCAATGAAATAAATGAAGTAGCCCTAGAAATCATAGAAAAGGCGCGATCTTGCATTTATGATAGGATGGAATATTTTAAGATTCTGTAAAATTTAGAAACTTAATAAATTTAAGAGAGCCAAAAAATATAACCTTATATTGAAATAGATTTAAAACAAAAATATAAGAATTCCAATTCTAGTTCTTTCAGAATTTCAAAATTCAATAATGCAACACCTACAAGTTAATCAAAAATAAAACAAAATGATACAATAAATGAAGAGAATCATGAAAATCTTCTCTGTCAGACTCCAAAGATAAACAACAATAAAATAAAAAATGTTATGTCTATTATAAAGTATATTTAATTCTAATAATTAGTAAAGAAAAATTTAAGACAAGAAATAGTGGAAGTGCAAATGAAATTAAAAGAAGAGATAGTCTGACTATGATGTCTATGACCAGATCTCAAGTATTAGTTAGTAATTAGATATAGAAGACATAAATAAATTAGGGAACTTTAGAAGAATAGACACAATTTTAATCTAATCCGGCATCTAAGATTTTAGATAGAATTTGTAATCTATCTAATTCTTCTGATGTTTTAATGAGTCCAATATCCAATAAGCCATCTTTATTTAGAAAGGCTTAATCTCCGACAGCAGAAGATTTGGTTATTGAATCTTCTGCTTAAACTCCTTTGAGACGCATGGTTTCATCAGATAAGAATGAATCTCCCGATAATTAAAAAATTTGTTCAATTGCTGATATTGCTTAATGTGATTCTGATTAGGAACTTCCGATCAAAAATGAGGAATAATTACTTTCAATTGACCTTGATAGATAAAGAGATTCTGTTGAAGAAATTCAAAAAGACAAAGATCAAAATGTCATAAATTCTTTTGAAAAGATTAATTAAAGTGAGTCCGATTTAGAGAACAAATCAAATTAGGCTAAAAACTCAACACCTAATTCTAATTAGAATTCGAATTAAGAAATGAAAAATTCTTAATACAATAGTATGAAGAACAGCGGAAGAAATATTATGATGAATATGATGATGAAAGGGAGTCGAAAACTACCTTTATATTCATTAAAATCAGAAATTTCAAGACCTTTGGATATAGATTTATGTTTCACATAATCTGAATAGATAATAACGGAATCTCAATTTACAGCTTCACCACCAAAAATAGATAATAATGAACTAAGTCCTAGTAGTTCATCTTCTAGTAATAATATAGAAATTGTGTAGTCAGATGAAATTAATCACGAAGAAGATTTTGATAGAGTAGTTCGAAAACCTAAAAAAAGCATTTTCCATCCTGAAAATTCTAAAAATATTAAACTTAAAAACAACATGAAATTAAGTATTGCTGTATAAGCATAAAACTTTAAGCAATCGTTTGATTTTGAAGTGATAACAGTTGATAGAGGTTATAATTCAGATTCTGAATTTGTAAGTATAAATGCAGAAAAGAAAACATAAACATAAGAAATAGGGTTAAAAGATTTTCAATTTATCAAGCCATTAGGACAAGGAGCTTTTGGATGGGTATTTTTGGTGAAAAAGAAAACATCAGGAGATTTGTATGCGATGAAAATTATAGATTGCTCTTAAAAAGTATGCAAATGAATTTAATATTAATTAGTAATTGGAAACAAAATTAGACACATTGAAAGCTGAAAGAAATATTTTTGAAATACTCTCAGGAGAATTTGTTGTGAAAGCTTATTTTTCTTTTAGTCATGAATAATATTTGTGTTTTGTCCAAGAGTACATGGTAGGAGGAGATTTTTCTCATATTTTAAAGATGTATACGGTAACTTAAATATATATTTAAAGGCTTTAGATGAAGAATATGTAAGGCACTATATTGCTGAAATAGTTTTAGCCCTTGAGTATCTAAGATCTAAGAAAATTGTACATAGAGATTTAAAACCTGATAATATTTTATTGGATAAATAAGGACATGCTAAATTGGCTGATTTTGGACTCTCAGAAGTTGGATTCAATAATAGATTAAAATTAAAATTACTATAATAGGATATAGAATCGTAAAATACTAATATTTATCATTTAGGATCACAATACCAGAATTTGCTGATCATAACGATCCTAAATTCAATACAATTTTCGATTTAAAGCTACCTCAAGCATAATAAGTGATTAAATTAAGTACATAAAATCAAAGCAGTAAAAATAAAAGGATTGTAGGAACTCCAGATTATATAGCTCCAGAAGTTTTAAAAGGAGAATCTTTAACAAATAGTAGTTTAGACTATTGGAGTCTAGGAGTTATAATGTATGAAATGCTTTGTGGAATTCCTCCTTTTAACGATGATTCTGTTGAAAAAATCTTTGAAAACATTTTAAATTATAAAATTGAATGGCCAAATGTGAGTGACGTAGAAGAAGAAAGTATTTCACATAATGCTTATGATTTAATGTGTCGTTTAATGGAACCTGATTATAGAAAAAGAATTGGACATTTAGATATAAATGAAATAAAATAACATAATTTTTTTAATGAAGTTGATTGGAATAGAATTCTTTAAATGAATGGATTGATTGTACCAAAAATAATATTAAAAGAAGGAGAGAATGATAATAAAAATAATGAAAAAGTTGAATAATTTTTAAATAATCTTGAAAAAAAAGAAATAAAAAATTAAACATTAACTTGTAAATTGAAAAATCAATTATCAAATTTAGAAAGATTAGATTTATTAGTTAAATTAAGTTTAGAAGAAGCAACTTATAAATTGTATATATTTATATTAAGATTAGATCAAAGATATAAAATAATTAATATAAATTAAAGAAACTCTTAAATAAAATAAATAATTATGAATAAAAAAATTAAACTTAAATGTTTTTATTATATGAAGATGTATTTTGATTAAATTATTAATATAATATATAAATATTATTGAAGAGTATAATAAATTCTAATATATAACAAAAGAATTTTAATAGAAATACAAATATATTAATTAAATTTATTAATCATATGAGTGTCACCTTATACATCAATGGAAAATAAGTTAATTGTAAACTAACTGAAACATTTGGTGATCTTTTTGAAGAACATGTTAATTCTGGTAAATTTTTAGATAAAATTTGGAAAATAAATGGTTAATTAAAATCTAATATCCCTAAAAACACAAAGTTAAATTAATTCATTTAAGGAGGTGAAATTATTGAATGCTAAGTAATTAATATTATTAAATATTTTAGGATAAATAATAAGCTAATCAATTTCCTAATTAAATTGGTTAATCTGGTCCAATTATGGCACCTCAACCACAATCACCCTTTGTCCCCGTTCCATAGCCTACACCATCTTTTATTTCCACTTAATAACCATTACCACCATTTTAATAACAACAATAAATGTAATATTAACCATAACCTGTATTAAATTAATAATAACCTTAATTTCCATCTAAAACAGGTCCTACAAATGTATAAATTACTCCATAATAATAATTTAATAAACCAAATATTCCAAATATTAGTGAACAATTAATAAAATAAGCAAATTAAGTGATAATTAATAAACCAAATATAAAAAGATAACAAATAGATGATAAAAGTGGTCAATAAGAAACAAGGTATTTTCTATTATATATANATTAAAATGCATAGGAAAAAAGTATTTATGAATATTTAAGAAATAAAGCTTTTAAATAATTTAGTATTTTGATTTAATTATTCAAAAAATAACTATAAGGGGAAAAAGAGTCAAAAATAATGTTTAATAAGAAATATAAATTACAAGAAAGGCGAGCAATACTTAAATGAAAATAAAATTGTAAATAATTGTAATTATTGTACAAAGATACTCCAAAAGTAAACTAAAAGTAAGGATAAAAGCAAGATGATTGTTATGCCTTACTACAATCTTTTTGGAATTGATAAAAATTAATTTAATTAAAAGGAGGATAATTATGAAATAGGTTTTGATTCATTTAAATTTATGCTAAAAATAAAGATTAAAAAATCCAAAAAATTTAGGAACCTGATTATAGAAAAAGAATTGGACATTTAGATATAAATGAAATAAAATAACATAATTTTTTTAATGAAGTTGATTGGAATAGAATTCTTTAAATGAATGGATTGATTGTACCAAAAATAATATTAAAAGAAGGAGAGAATGATAATAAAAATAATGAAAAAGTTGAATAATTTTTAAATAATCTTGAAAAAAAAGAAATAAAAAATTAAACATTAACTTGTAAATTGAAAAATCAATTATCAAATTTAGAAAGATTAGATTTATTAGTTAAATTAAGTTTAGAAGAAGCAACTTATAAATTGTATATATTTATATTAAGATTAGATCAAAGATATAAAATAATTAATATAAATTAAAGAAACTCTTAAATAAAATAAATAATTATGAATAAAAAAATTAAACTTAAATGTTTTTATTATATGAAGATGTATTTTGATTAAATTATTAATATAATATATAAATATTATTGAAGAGTATAATAAATTCTAATATATAACAAAAGAATTTTAATAGAAATACAAATATATTAATTAAATTTATTAATCATATGAGTGTCACCTTATACATCAATGGAAAATAAGTTAATTGTAAACTAACTGAAACATTTGGTGATCTTTTTGAAGAACATGTTAATTCTGGTAAATTTTTAGATAAAATTTGGAAAATAAATGGTTAATTAAAATCTAATATCCCTAAAAACACAAAGTTAAATTAATTCATTTAAGGAGGTGAAATTATTGAATGCTAAGTAATTAATATTATTAAATATTTTAGGATAAATAATAAGCTAATCAATTTCCTAATTAAATTGGTTAATCTGGTCCAATTATGGCACCTCAACCACAATCACCCTTTGTCCCCGTTCCATAGCCTACACCATCTTTTATTTCCACTTAATAACCATTACCACCATTTTAATAACAACAATAAATGTAATATTAACCATAACCTGTATTAAATTAATAATAACCTTAATTTCCATCTAAAACAGGTCCTACAAATGTATAAATTACTCCATAATAATAATTTAATAAACCAAATATTCCAAATATTAGTGAACAATTAATAAAATAAGCAAATTAAGTGATAATTAATAAACCAAATATAAAAAGATAACAAATAGATGATAAAAGTGGTCAATAAGAAACAAGGTATTTTCTATTATATATATAAAAGTAAATCTATCAACAGATTTAAGATTTAAATTTCAGAATATGGAAAAAAGGTTACATTAGAATCAGATGATGGTTCATTCAAAGCAACATTTTTAGAAGAAAATGCTTCAGAAGTATATTCATTTCTTATATTCATTTAGGATGAATAAGATAATATTGTTTTATTATCTAATGAAGTTATTCAACAACAAGAATATTAAGTTAAATTACCAATGGGAAGGGATTCAACAAAATCAACTAAAGTTTTATTTTTATAAGGATTTAAAGGAATTGCTATTAAATGGGTAACAGGATTATAAACTAAATTTTAATTTTGGATTGATGAATGAATTATCATTAATTATCATTTAAAAAACAATATAATCATTACATAATTTATCATATACATTCTAAGACTATCAATATATCTTCCGTTTCAAGATATTTTTTATTTCAAATTCTCACATATTGTTTATAAACAATTTTTTTATTCATTTAAGCTAAAAAAATAAATTTTAATTTTTTCTACAAGTTTTCTTTTTCGAGCTTAACTTATTATATTTTTAAACATTTGAGTTTAATATTATTTTTTTTAAGTGATATGATATTTTATTCCATATTTTCTAAATTTTTAATTACAGTAACAAGATTCTAAGATATCATATCATTCTTCTTTTTATAAATAAAATTATTATTTTTTAAATAATTGAATATTAATGCTACCAAAAATGATTAATTTAAATTTCTAATAACTCAAAATTTAATTAGAATTTAGCATAATTATTATAAATTATTTTTGATTTTAAGGTTAGATGATCTGATGAAATGACTAGATTTCAACAAATGCTCTGTTTGAGCAATATTAAGTCATCAGAATAATTTAATGAAATAATGACATTTGACCATATTATTTGGTTATAAGTACCTACCGATTGGAGTTAAGGGTCTTGAATTTTTGTAATTTTTCGTATAATCGATAACCTTTTATAAAAATTATTTAGGTTAATAACTAATCAATTCTCACAAATATTTAATTAATGGTAATGAAGAAAATTATTGACAAAACAACTTAGTAAATAAAAATGGATTATTAATGTCTAATTTTTCCTTAAACTACTAGGTAACTTTTTTAATTTATTTATTATATATTTATTATTTTTTTGTCATTTTTCTTATGAATATACTGATAAAAATGATTTGTGATTAATTGAATAAGAAATATTCCTTTTAATCTTATAAAAAGATTTATAATTCATTTACTCTTATAAAACAAACAAATAGAATATACTATCTTCTAATTTCATATGCTTTTTAAATATAAACAAAAAATTAAATTTAAACTATCTTTCTCATAACTATCATGGTTCTCCTATATTAAATAAAATTATCGTGCTTCTTTTCAAATAGTTAAAAATTGAAATTTAAGTATTAATGAAAGTAACTCTAAAACTAGCTTCATTAGGATTATTCAAAAAAAATGAGATTATCTTAATTTGATATTGATGAAGAATAACTTCATCTTTTTAAGATAGATAATACCAATTAGAAAACATTATTATAAATTTATAAATATTATTTATTTCTTTTTAATGTTTTTCTCAGAAAGGAATAAACAAAGCATTCTATTTTAAAGAAAATACAAGCCCATTTCGTTGTCTTAAGTTTTGCAAAAACCACTTATAGTTAAATCTTTACCTCCTATTTATCTTTCGCCTGCATAAAAGAGATCATAATAAAAACCATTAAAATTAGATAATTGTTTATCTTAAAGACCTTCATAACCTTAAATTATCAATAAATTTTAAGGTATTGGAGCAGTAGGTCTATCATTTAATCCCATCGAAAAGGAACCTCTATAATAATAATATGCTTTAATGAGCAGTAAAAAACTTGCTATTTAGGTCTCAAAAAAGTTTAATATTCATAGAAAAATTAATATAAAACATATAGAAAATCAATCTTAGAAATATTATACGGAAGCTTAAGTTGACAAAGTAAATAAATGGTCATAAACTACATTTGATGAGGAATAATTATTAGAATACTTAAATACTTGAAAAAGTCATAGGTTTCCAAACTGATATATTTATTGTGTATGAAGATTTTTTTTGGATGATGAATTTTTATATTTTAATTATCATATAAACAATATTTGAATTATATTCTCATAATTTATCATATATTATTGAATGTGTGAAACCAAAGAATTAAATATTATAAATTATTATTTAGATAGAAAAACTATTAGCTAAAAGTCAAAGTTAACTAATATTGATTTAAAGTGTATATTTCAAAAATATGATCAAGATTATTTTGATAACAAAATTAAGGTTAATATGAAGTTTATTAAATATAAATTATTTTTTAAATATTAAAAAAAATTCAATTTTAGAAATTAAGATTAATTGTTAACTACTCTCAAGTCATTATAGTTATGTTTCTAATTTTAGCATATCATTTTATAAATTATAAATGAAATGACCCTTTTTAGATATTAATTTTAATTACATATTATAATTTCCTAATAACTGATCTTATTCTTTTTAAGTAGTATATTATTAGCTATTAATTAGAGAATTCATCAAAATGAATATAATTTTGAGAAAGATCTATAATTTAACATTAGTATGTCAAATATATAGAAATATTAGTCATGTTATATTAAAATTGAAAAAATTACATGTTTTTAGATGGACAACATAATTATTTAAAATCAATTATATATTATGAATTTCATTTTAATGCTTTAAGTAATTTTGCAAACATAATTGCATTTGAAACAATTATTTGAAGAGCTAAATTTTTTTCTTAATTTTAATTTTATAAACTGTCTTTTATCGTTTACTTTAGATTATCTGATAATTAAAAATTTTGATAATTATGATGTTAATATCCAACCAAAGATTGAGCATAGATAAATATTGAGCTATTAGTTTTTTCATCATAAAAAGGAATATCTTTCAAAATTTTATATCTTTTATTGAGTTTCTTGGCTAATTTTGGGAAATAATCCCTTATTTAACTAAATCCTGATTCATTCCAAGAAATTTCAAAAGTACAAAAAGGTTTAGATTATATAATTTAAAATTAAGAATCATGTATTAGAAGTTCACATTAAACCAAGCAAAATAATAAAATACATTAGATCACCTATTATCTAGTCCAAACACATTCTTTAATAGGCTTTTAATCACTTTCTTATAAAGTGAGTAGTACTTAAAGATCAACATCTTGTAATTAAGCTATCTTATGAAGTGCTATTTTCAATTTCTTAATTTTTGGTGTATCTTATAAATATTAATTTACACATTAATATGAACCTTTTGCACATTAAATAACAGTGTTTATCGTTAGTTCATCTATATATTCAGTTTGTAATGCTTTCTTGATAGTTGACACACTCACCTTAACATAATCAACATATGTTATTTAGTTAATCCATGAATATATTTTAGTTAACATTTCTAACCTATATATATCACTAATTAGTTTTTATAATTTAGGAAAACTCACTCGTTTCATCATTTTAAGATTAAATTGTTATTTCTTCTCTTCATATGGATCACTATATGTAAAATCTGTTTCATCAGAATCAGAATTTAGATCATTTAAATTAACTTTTCTAACTACTTGTGTTAATGTATTTTCTGAGAATGTACTTAAATAATTAAGTAAATCATAAATGGGATGTTTGATATCAACCAAATTTTGAAAAGAAACAACAACATCAATATATGGAGCATGCGACGCTAAATATTAGATCGTATAATTAATGGATTAAGCCAGATTTGGTTAATCTTTTTTTAATTACATGAGTTCTTATTTAACTCTTTATATTTCTTATTGTCTCGCAGATATTTTTTAAGGCCAGATGATTGGAAGAATATCCATTGGGTTTAGTTTATTCATTAAAATACGTATTATTCAAAGATAATACAAACATAAATGAGATAAGTTTATATTTAGGTAGAAACATTTATTTTAGTTGTTTAACTAAAATTGAATTGAATACATATAATCAGAGCAAATTCTAAAGGCTTATTAAAATTAAATACAAAAATAATCAAATTCTAATTCTACTTAAAAAATTCATCAAATAAAGAAGAATTATTATAGATATTTATATTGAAATTATTAAAAATTAGATTAGTCATCCATATTTTTTATTAACTTTTAGTTATAAATGAATTGTATTTGCTAACTTAATAAATTCTGTTAAGTATGTTGATGTAATGTTGGCAACATTAATATTTGCATTTTCTAATTTAGTTCGCATATTAACTATCTCATGCAAAGGAATAAGACTTGTAATGTCACTACTTGATTCTTATTATTCATATCTATCTGTAATTGAGGAAAAATGAGTTGGATTTATAAAACTTGATTTCTGAGGCGATACTATTCCACTAAATTAAGTTATCGAATATTAATGACCCTTAATTGGGAGTTATAAGTTATTTTATTAAGGTGGAGGTGATAATGAAGATATTGATTATATTCTATGTAGAATTTATATAATATTTACTTTTAATGTAATCCATTGATTTTATTTGGAGTAGAATTTTGATTATTCTTATCTGACTTAAATAAAAAAGAATCATTTTATTTTGCTTTCTTACTACTGTATTCCTACAATTTATTTACTAAATTGCTCAATGAAGGAGCACTGATTATTCAACTTATAAATACTTGGATATGTCTTTTTTAATTGGAGTTTTTCTTTGACTTTCAACACCGTTTATTGATTAATCAAATCTTGTTTAAACAGGAGACTTTGAATATTTATCAACCAATCTTTCTCTATATAACTTTAGGTTAAAATTTAACGATTCACTCATTAAGTATAATTAATATATGATTATTTAATTATCACTCTTGTTCATCTACAATTAATTATTCCATTTCAGAATCAATAAAAACTTCTTTTATAGGTGATTCAGTCTTGTCCTTTAATGATAGTCTTGGGAAATTTTATATTAAATCAATTTTAGCATATGGATCATGAAAACAATCATCTTCTTAGCTTTGTACAAAATCAAATAAAATCTTAATATAATAATTCTATACTTAGATTTTATCATTAAAATTAAATCTTCTTGTTCTAGTTGCATTTACAAATCTGAACAGAATCGATATACCTTCAGAATTTTATGGTTCTTCAGGTAAATTTGATAATAATTAAGCTTTTTACAATAATCTTTACTCCTTATTATGTTAAATTTATATTATATACTTCTTTTTGTTATTATTCAATTAATTTAGCTTATTCTTATTATCTTAATTCTTCATCTTTTCTTTTCTTCTCCATTGCTTATTGTTCTGCATAATGATAAGCTTCTTTTTATTATTAAAGTAATAATTCTCTTTATCTTTAATCTTCTCTTTATCTTTAAACTTGAGAGGGCTATTATTATTGTTAAACATGGTGAAAAAGTTATTAATTTTGGTGATAATTTTGATGATAATAGTTTTGATTGAATTAATTAGGGGAATTTACTTCTTTTTTTATATTTTCAATATAAATATATTCTTTATTGAAAGCTGCCCTTATTTACTTAATTTTTTAAGCTGTTTCTTCAAAATTTGTATCAATTGATAAAGAAATCTGTTCCATTAAAGCAACTTCATCTACTATATCTAATTTATAAATTAATATTGCAGGTGGATCTGGTTTGTTTGGCAATTATTCATAAACCTATGGACTACTCAATAAACCAATTATATTATAATTTCTATTTATATTTGTGACAAAGGCCTTGCAATTAGACATTTTCTACAATATCATCAAACTTTAATGATTATGTATATAAACTAATAATGGTCTAGTTTCTTCATTTGCTATTTTCAATTTTTCTAAGAAATTTCCAGATTAAAATGCTATTTCTGTTTGAATCTAATGTTGTTTGAGATATTTTAAGAATTCATTGCCATAATTAGGTGCATTTTTAACTATATAAAAGCTTAAATATTACAAAAATAAGAAATGAAATTTGCACCATATTGAAAAGTTTTTTTGATTATGCCATCCTCATTTGCTCTCTTTTCTTCTTGATATTTCCTATATTTTTCAATTAAAGCAACATCTTAAGGTTATCTTTGAATACTTTAATTAGAACTTTAAACATTTCCTACATCTATAATCAATACATTATACCCTTTGGTGTTTCTTAAATGTTCGACCTCTACTATTATTAATCTTATTATGTTTTCTATTGTGTGGTTTGACTTTATACTCCCTCAAAATCTAAATAGAGTTGTATAGCAGTCTAAATAAAGGATTTTAATACATCAAGCTTATTTTCAGCCATCTAAATGTATGATTATGCTTTCTAATAATCCTAGCATCCAGTTACGGCCATAAAATTAATTATAGATTCTTCAGAAGAAGGTGGCTACATTTTTTATATTATTAATTATAATAATCAAGAATTTAAGATCATGGAATAAAGTCTATATATACTAATTATAGTTAATGATAGTTTCCTTTTTGTAAGGATTAAAATAAAACTTACAATACCTTTAATGTAGATATGAATGAATGAATATTGTATAAGAGCATTGAAGAAATTCTAAAAATTATGAAGATCTTTTGATAATTTTAATCTAAAAATGTTAAGTTTCTTATTTAGGAATTAGATTGCAAGATGTAAAATGGAAATTTATTGTAAATTATTAATCATTTATAAATAATATTTGAAGTTTCTAATACATACACTTCATGTCAAATTGCTGTTTAGATATTATAATTGAAATAGAGAATAAATACAATCTTTAATCTAAATATTTCAACTTTTATAAACTTGATTTAAAAAATCTCTATAATATAATAATGAATTTGTGACAAAATAGTTTGATCCTTTTTGTTTAATTAAAGAAACTATATAATTTTCATTTATTTATCCTTAATAGTAAACTTTTTGAGAGATCAAAAAAAGATTAATACGTATTAAAAATTTACCAATATTAAAAATACTTTTTAGAAATATAAACATTTTACTATTTAATATTAATTCCTATCAATACTATAGTTTTAATCATTCAAATCAACAGATAGGCAAATACAGCTTACGGAGAAGATTTTCCATAATGGACGCGAAATATAAAACATTTTAATATTAAAATAAAGTAGATGGGGTGAATATATTATTTTTAAAAAAATGTTAAAAACACATACTATTTATTTAGTATTAGAGATATAAAATGTTTTTTTGTTTAGTACTATAGTTAAATATATAATTCAAATATCTTTTAAGGGAAATTTATTGTGTAGGAGATATAATACAAAGTTTAGAATATTTTATAATAAAAAATTAATTTGTTCTTTATTTACTTTTAAAGATAAAAAACATGGAAATTTATTTTTAAATCAATCAACATTTATAAAGAGTATGATCTACTTAATAAATTCAGAAAAACTTTTTTATATTTCATCATTGAAAATACTTTATCAATATAAATACTAAAATCTAAAGAATCACTAATATTTATAAATAATTTGGAAGAAAATAATTTTATTCTTTGTTTTATTGAAAGAAAACTAATGTACTTTTAAATCATAAATTTTGACTTTTTGAAGATAAATTAAGAACAAATAAATTCAGTAATAAAGTTTCATCAATTAACTTCCTATTATCTAAAATTTTTACAAATAAAAGGATTAGAATTGAAGTTAGTGATATAGTGAGTGTTATTGAAATGCCTTTAAAAAATAGCATAAAAGATCATAAAATAATTATCATAAATAAAGCAATCATCTATAATTTTTAAATTTATATGATCAAAATCAATAACTAAATTCTTAATAGAAATAAAATATTAAATTGAGAAAGCAATATTATATATATATATTCCTTAAAATTGAATAGAACAAATTTTTATTCNTTCAACTTTTATAAACTTGATTTAAAAAATCTCTATAATATAATAATGAATTTGTGACAAAATAGTTTGATCCTTTTTGTTTAATTAAAGAAACTATATAATTTTCATTTATTTATCCTTAATAGTAAACTTTTTGAGAGATCAAAAAAAGATTAATACGTATTAAAAATTTACCAATATTAAAAATACTTTTTAGAAATATAAACATTTTACTATTTAATATTAATTCCTATCAATACTATAGTTTTAATCATTCAAATCAACAGATAGGCAAATACAGCTTACGGAGAAGATTTTCCATAATGGACGCGAAATATAAAACATTTTAATATTAAAATAAAGTAGATGGGGTGAATATATTATTTTTAAAAAAATGTTAAAAACACATACTATTTATTTAGTATTAGAGATATAAAATGTTTTTTTGTTTAGTACTATAGTTAAATATATAATTCAAATATCTTTTAAGGGAAATTTATTGTGTAGGAGATATAATACAAAGTTTAGAATATTTTATAATAAAAAATTAATTTGTTCTTTATTTACTTTTAAAGATAAAAAACATGGAAATTTATTTTTAAATCAATCAACATTTATAAAGAGTATGATCTACTTAATAAATTCAGAAAAACTTTTTTATATTTCATCATTGAAAATACTTTATCAATATAAATACTAAAATCTAAAGAATCACTAATATTTATAAATAATTTGGAAGAAAATAATTTTATTCTTTGTTTTATTGAAAGAAAACTAATGTACTTTTAAATCATAAATTTTGACTTTTTGAAGATAAATTAAGAACAAATAAATTCAGTAATAAAGTTTCATCAATTAACTTCCTATTATCTAAAATTTTTACAAATAAAAGGATTAGAATTGAAGTTAGTGATATAGTGAGTGTTATTGAAATGCCTTTAAAAAATAGCATAAAAGATCATAAAATAATTATCATAAATAAAGCAATCATCTATAATTTTTAAATTTATATGATCAAAATCAATAACTAAATTCTTAATAGAAATAAAATATTAAATTGAGAAAGCAATATTATATATATATATTCCTTAAAATTGAATAGAACAAATTTTTATTCTATAGTCCATAAAATGGAGTTTAAAATTCATAATATATTATCTATATTTATAAGGTAAGTATTAGATGGATGGATCATAAAAGTATTGATAATTAAAAAATTAAAAGAAATAAAGAAGAAAAATAATGATGTTATTTATATAATCAATATAGGTTTGCTTTTAGTATATATTAAATCAAAATATATTTGTTTATATTTTTATTATCCTCCAAATAATAAGGGGCAATAATAATCTCTTCGTTTCAGAAAATAAAGATCTTTTTGCAAGAGATTTGATAATGATTTATTTTATACAATTTTTATTAAATACTTAATCTTCAAATTTGGATAAGGTGTAAGAAAAGAGTTTGATGAAATTACTTAATTTGGGAATAGCATATTAATCAATACAATTTTTAAGAAATGAATTATAGCATTTTGGTTTGTAAGAATAATTGAGGATGTTTAATTAAATTTCATTTATATTCATACAAAATGAATTTGATGATAGAATTAGTAAGATTGTCTTAATTTTTTTTGTCATCCTAATTACATATTGATTTACTTAAATCATTTCTTATAAGTCTCTATATATTCTTATTAGAATTTGATGTCTAATGATTGATAAGCGTATGAAAGTAGTACTTCATAAATGAATTAAGGACCCATTTCTTATAAACATAAATAATTTAAAAGTAGCATAATTTCTACCAGAAATTTTAATTAGAATCAATCTATTAAGTTTAATGCAAATTAAAAGTGCACTTTTGTTTATACTTGTAGTTTAATCATGGCAATAGGAATAAAATATATGTGTTTGTGGTCATTTAAGCAATTAAGAATAGTGTGCTAAGTCAACAATTTGTTAATGGGATGGCTATTTTTGTGTTTTAAAAGAAGCTACTTATATTACAACATAAAGTCAATTAGATCCATCAAATTGTAAAATATATCCATAAGAGAAGTGTAACACGTTAGAAAAATGTGGATTTTACTTAAATATGTGTACTGAATTTAAGGATTGTAGCATATTTTAGAAAGATTAATGTTCTGAATCTTCATACAAATGTGTGAGTGATGGGGAAAAATGTGTTGAAGTAAAAGAATGTGAAGATTATATTACAAATACAGCCTGTTAAAATAAAAACATTCGCAATTAATATTGTGGTTGGAATATATCAAATACACCATATTGTCAAGAGGTCAAAGATTGTAAATTTTTACCTGAATACTTTAAATCAGATTAAGAATGTAGATAAGCTCTTTCTTATTGTACAGTAAGCCAAAAATATTTTGGGTGTTAAGAAAGTGCAGAAAATTGTGATGATCATTTGATTGAAAATTAATGTATTACTAATAGATCTCAAACAATTAAATGTTATTGGAATCCAATAACATAATTATGTAAAGAATTGAAATGTGAAAATATTACTGGCTATACAGATTAAAGTTGTAGGAATATATTACCTTAATGTACAACAAATGGTTTAACTTGTACAGATCGTAAAAGGTGTGAGGATGCTAAAAGTATTGAGGGATGTATAACAGATGAAAACAATAAGAAATGTGCTTATTCTAAAAAAGCATGTATGATTAAAACTTGTTCTACTGCCTCTTAAGAATATTCAAATTATTTTCTTTGTTAAGGGTATGATGATTAATTAGATTGTGTAAGTGTTAAAGGAGGTGGTTGTAAAAAGAGACCTAATGAATGTATAGATTTTGAATAATAACTTGATTGTGATTTATAAGAATCTTTGGGATGTATTTGGTATGATGATAAATGTTTGGTTAGATAATGTTCTTATGCTCCTATGAAGTATACTTAAAAGGAATGTTAATAATTTGGTGAATGTATTGGTAAAACAGGAGGTGGTTGTTAAGATTGGCCAGAAGCATGTGAATTGATATTAGAATAGGAATTTTGTGAATTTGATAAGGCTGGAAATTGGTGTAGATGGTCTGATGGTAAGTGTTTATAATTAATATGTACTAATTTTAGATATCCAAAATATGATTCTCATACAAAATGTCAAGATTTAAGTAAGAAATGTACATATAGTGCTTAATATGGAAGTTGTGTTGATTATTTATGTGAAACAAATACTGATGATATGCCTTGTTTAAAAGATTATAATGGTAATAAATGTATAAAAAGATTTGGATGTACAGATAAACTATGTTCAAAAGCTCCAGTTGTTTTAAATACAAATGCTTTATGTGAAGATTGGTTACCTGAATGTACAGTAAATGTATTGTTTTTTGGAAAAACTAAAAATGTTAAAGGATGTACAAAGAAGAAGGCATCATGTGGAGAGTATTATGTAGAATAATGTTTTACTACAAATACAAAGGAAAAATGTAAATGGTAAACCAATAAATGTGTTCCTAAATAATGTATTGATGCAGAAATAACAATTATAACTAATGAGGATTGTCTTAATTACAAACCTAAAGGAACAACAGTCCCTTGCATTTTAAAAGTTACTGGAGCTGGCTGTTAAGATTGGCCTACATTATGTAGTAGTCTTGGAAATTAAATTCAATGTGATTATGGATTATATAATGGTACAAAATGTTATTGGAATGGAAGTATGTGTAAAGATAGATCTTGTAGTAATGCTATTGCATCTATTAATACTAATATCCTATGCAATCAATTTAATCCTTCTTGTATATTAGATACAGATTCACTTGGTTGCAGAGTTAGACCTACTAATTTACTTTGTTCTGATGCTCCTGACTCACCACTTTATGATTCTCATGAAAAATGTTATGCATGGAATAATTAATGCACTGTTTAACCAATTGTAGGTTGCTATTAAAAATAAGCCTTATGTTCTAGTTATTTCATTAATTAGTGCACTTATACTATAACAGGATAAAAATGTAAGTGGGAACCTAATTAATGTAGTGATTTGAATTGTGAATTGAGATAAGTTAGTGGTTCAGTATAAAATAGCCATTGTGAGGCTTATGATATTAATTGCACTGTTCAAATTCCAAGTACTTGTATACCATTAAAATCAAATTGTTCTCAATATACTGAAGAATAATCTTGTGTTATAAATTCATCCTTCGAAGATTGTTTATGGAATAAACCATCAAGCATATGCTTTGAAGTCACTTGTGAAACAAATACATCGGCTTTGACTGAATCCGAATGTTTTCGTTAAAAGTAAGGGTTTAAGTGCTAATTAAAAATGAATTCTAATGGAAGCAGTAGTACTGGTTGTGAGACTAGAAAGACTAGTTGTAATGGGTTACCTTAGGGAGTTTGTAATAAAACAATATTATAAAATGGAACAAGATGTTATTTTTATTCTTCATCTTGTACATATTTAAGTAGTGAAAATTGTGGTGCAATCCAAACAGGAGGTTACTAATTACATCACATTTGCTAGTATTATGCTTCAAATTGCATCGGAGATTTGACAAATGCATATAATAAATGTTAGCATAGATATTATTGTGGGTACTATAATAACACATTATGTAATCATATGATAGCATAATATAACGAATGTGTAATTGACCCATATTATAATTATTGTAGAGATAAACTTGATTGTTATAGTTATCCAGAGAATTAATGTTCTTGGAATAGTTTAAATGTTCGTTGTTATTGGACATCATATTATTGTTCATAGAGAGATTGCAGCTATTTTTCAGCTAGTTCAGACAGTAGTTGCCTAAGTTAATCAAAAATTTGTAAATATAATAGTGGTTCATCATATTGTTCTTTTATATATTCTTGTTCTGATGTTGAAAATAGAGGATCTACTGATTGTGCAAATACTGTAACATATTATGGTGAACGATGCTACCATACTGGTAGTATATGCAGGTATCGAGATTGCGCTGATAGATATGGATATTCTAATCTTGATTGTTATAGTTGGAAGAGAAATTGCATATTAGTTGGTGGTTCCTCTTCGTATTGTCAATCTACATCCTGTGAAGGATACTGGGATATCTATTAATGTTTAAGAAACAATTGTCAATGGTAATATAATTATGGCTGTATTTCACATATACGCTGTGATTATAATAATACTGCAATTCTTAACTATGATTGTGAACTATTAAGTCCAATTTGTAGGTTGAATTACAGAAAAAATTAGGGTTGTGCATATAGGTCTTGTGCAGATATTACTAATTCATCAATTTGTAATATAGCCCTTAACTATCATTCAGTTTATTGCACTTATTCTTCAAGTTGTATACATATGACTTGTAGTTAAATTACAGATTAAACAAAATGTGTAAATGCATATGCATATTTTAATTCGGCTCAAACTTATGTAGCTAAATGTTATTGGTGTGGAACTAGTTGTGCTTTCACAAATTTATGTAATATAACCAGTAGTATTACCCCACATTAGAATTGCCATTTTAATAATCCAGCATAAACTGTTGCTTCAGATACTTTTAAATGCTCTTTAAAAAAATAAAATTGTAGTGACTATACCTATTATAGATAATGTGAATATACAATTTCTGGATAGAAATGCTATTGGGATAAAAATCAAACCTAAAGTTGCATTGATTATTGTCTAACTAAATCTTAAGCTGGTTTAACTAATGCTCAATGTTAGACATATCATAGTCAATGTGTAGCTAATTCCACTTCAGATAAATGTATATTCCTAGTCTGTTCAAATTATACTACTGATTTGACTTGTAATAATTTAACAAATTTATGTATGTGGGACCCTATTGATTCGATATGTGTGAAATATGAAACTTATTTATATTGTCATAGATTTGGTATAGAGGCAGATTGTAATTCTGGTTTAAACAGTAGTAATAATGGATGTTTATGGAATTCAACAAATTCAAAATGTGAAGATAGAACATGTTCTAATTATGTTGGTATACCAACTAGTTTAGTAGATTGTGATAATTGGTTAAAAAATTGTTAATTTGATTCCACAAATAATGTTTGTATAGCTGATTGTCAAAGTGCCCCAAAATCAAAATAATATGATACCATAACAGAATGTGAGTAATATTATTAAGATAAATCTTGTACAATTGTTCCTGGAGTCAAAAAATGTCAATCATTATTTGATGATTGTACTTTATATTTGATAGATTAAATGTGCTAATTTGATAGTTCTTATAATGTTTGTTATTGGAGTATTGAATAAACTAAATGTTTTACATTAAATAATTGTCTTGTATTAGATTCAATTAATGATACTCATTTAAAATGTAATCAATTATGGAAAAATTGTACTGTGAATTCTACAGCAACAGGATGCATTGAATTAGATGATTGTGCCAATTATACAGTATAAACTTAGTGTTTTATTGATAAAAATTAGAATAATTGTGAATGGTTTTTAGGTGTATGCTAAAATAAAACTTGTAACACTGCTACTCTAGGTCTATACACCCCAGCTGATTGTCAAGCATATTTTCCAACATCATTATGTACAAGCAATAACGATTCTAATGCATGTTTTGAAGGTCATAATGTTTGCAAGAAATATACTTAAGATGCTTGTAGTCTACCAGGATAAGTTAATAGTTCAGGAGTACCTTGTTTTTGGGATTTAGATTAATCAAGATGTAGAGAGAAAGTATGTAGTAATGCTCCATCTAATTTTGAAACTAATTTATTATGTGAGGGATTTCTAGATAATAAATAATGTTAAATTATTGGTTGTAAGTAAGTTTAATGTGAGGATTTTCCATATAGAAATGATGATACATGTAAATATGCTATGGAGAATTTCAAATGTACAACTAATGGATATGAATGTATAGAGAGAGCTAATTGTGAAAATGCATAATTAGAAGATGCTTGTACTTTTGATTATTAAATGAATGAATGTTAATGGTTTGATTATCCTATGTATGAATGTGTCTAAAAAACATGTGAGACAGCTCCTATTGAACTCATAACTCATATTGAATGTTAAAAATATCTCAAAGGATGTACTAATAAAATTGAAGGTGGATGCACTAATCTTAAAACATGTACAGAAATCAATACTTAAGATGGATGTAAAATAGATATCAATAATCAAGAATGTTTATGGGATACTTTTTATAAAAGATGTTTTCATAATCAATGTGAAGGATTTTGTGGAGATGGCATGATTTAAGTACCTATAGAAGAATGTGATGATGGTAATTTTTTACCTTATGATGGTTGTTATGATTGCAAAATCTAATGTCCTCTAGGATGTAATGATTGTAATGGTAAGATTTGTTAAAAATGCAATGAAATTAAAGGATATTATTATAATCCAGTTATATAAGAATGTTAAACAAAATGTGGAGATAAAATTGTTAATGGATAAGAATATTGTGATGATGGAAATGATATTGAATATGATGGTTGTTATAATTGTGAATATTCATGCGATATCTATTGTGTTAATTGTTATCAAGGAGAATGCATTGAATGTCCTCAAGGATTTAATGAATAGGGTCCATATTGTTTAAGTAAATGTGGGGATGGAATCTTAAATACTATTTTTGAAGAATGTGATGATGGTAATATCAAACCTGATGATGGATGCAATTAAAACTGTTTCATAGAACCTAATTGGAGATGTAAAGTTATATCATCTCTAAGTGAATGCTATTATCTTGTTTATCCTAAAATTGTTCTTACTTTATTAACAAAACAAACTGAATAAACTTAGGAAGTAAAATTGGGTTTTTCTGAAAAAGTCAAATTAAATAGTTCTTCAGTTACTTCTGAAGATTTTCTAAATTAAATCAAAGTTATTATCACAAACAAAGATATTATTGATTTTTCATTTAATATTGTACCTATCAAACCTATATCATATGAATTAGATGATGCTAGTTATAGAATTGCCTTAACTATTAAAGAATAGATTTTGAAACCAAATCTAAGAGTTATAATTAAGTCAATATATTTAGTAAATTAATTTGATAACATCTTATTTATAGAACAAGAAGATATAATTTTAAATGATTCTTTTGTAGTATCTGAAGAATCAAAATCTGTAGCTGCTAATGCGGCATTTTTAAGTTAACTTATCATTTATTCAGTTTTAGCATTGGCTATAGTTTCTTTTCTTAGTGGAAATTTAGAAATTTTATTCAATTTAATAGATGTTTTATAGTAATTATCTTATATTAGATTCATAAATATCAATTTTCCATATCATTTAGATTTATATTTTGATGTATTTAGTTTTGTTACATTATAACCTCTACTTGATTATGTTTAATTTAACTCTTTTTTTGAGGATTATTTAAATTTAGAAACTCCAGAAATATTTCCTACAGGTAAATTCAATATGTTTGGAGTAAATGCATATTTTGGTGTAAATTTTTAAAGTTTCTTAATTTGCATGGTTGTGGGTTTTGCAAATTATTTTATTGCTACAATCATTACATATATATTAAAAAAACCTACTATAGGTTGGGGAGATACTCCAAGTAAAATTTCGAGATATTTTTATATGATAATTATGAAAGCATATTAATTACTTTTTTCTACTGCCTTTTCTTATATGCAATATTTTTTCTTCTCAGGATTAATTAGAATTTTTTTATCAAACTATTATGATCTAACATTTTCAGCATTACTCTAAGTTATGAATTTCAATACATAAACAACTTTATTATAATGGAGTTCATTTATTGCATCAATTACATTGATAATGAATGCATCATTAATATTATTATTTTATGCTTCATTATCAAAGAAAAATGTATTCTAAAAAAGATTATTTGTATTAGTTGATGGATTAAATATTGGAAGAAATAAATGGAATAAATAATTTAATACAGTAACTTTAGTAAAAAAATTGTGTTTTATTTACACATTAATTTTACTTTAAGAAAATCCAATATTTTAAACTTTATTAGTTTCCTTTATCTCTGCAGTTTTTGCTATTTATGTTTTATTATTACAACCTTTTGAACATCAATTTGAAAACTATAAACTAATTGTTACTGAATTTTGTGTAAGTTTCAATACTTGTTCATTTTTAGTTTATTGCTCAAAAGAAATATTTGATAATAGTGATATTTCAAATATGCTTGGATGGTTAAATGTTTTCATATTCAGTTTAATCTTAACTTTTAGTTTAGCTTTGGATTCTTATTCTTAGATTTTATAACTAAAAAGATTATTTGATAGAATGACAAAACCTAAAGTTATAAAGAAATAAATAAAAGTTTAGTCAACTAAATTGTTCACTATTGTAGGAGAAAACGAAATAAATTTTTGAACATAATATTAAAAATTTATCATAATTTAAAATTATCAGTTTATCTATTAATATATCTTTTATGCCCTTATTTTAAGACTTGATTTCATTAATTCTAACTAAGGTTTCAGTTTTTCTGATTCATATTTCTAAGATTATTTTATTAAATCTAGATAAGCTTGAAACTCTGTTTAAAAATTTCTATTATTTTTAAGTATTTAAAGTTAAGGTTTAAGCCTTTATAGATTTTCTATTGCAAATTCTAATTTTAATTTTATTTCTATCTCCTTTAACATTGTTTAAATCATCTCAGAACAATCTTGATCATAATCAGTTCTACTTGCAATCTCTAATTTGGATATTTGATTATATAATAATTTAAATTCTTCTCTAGATTTCTGCTTCCTTTTTTCTTCAGATGTTTACTACTTTAATATTGGTAATTTACATCTAAAAGACTCACTTCTTTATCTAAACACAAAGGTCCAATTTCGTTTAATTTTTAATTATACTCTTTGTATAGGAGTAATTAGTCTTATTAGATTTCCAATTTTTCAACTTAATCTTTTGCTTTATCAATGTATTATTGTACATTCTTCTCATTAAAATTAGTGAATAGAAATAATTGCTTTTGAATTATCAGATCCTCAGCATTTTAACTATATATATAATATTATATTTATTTACATTTATTTAACCTCTAGATGCTTTTTTTAAGCTTCTTCTCCAGCCATTCTATTAAGTTCCTTTAAGAACGCTGTAAAATAATATGAATGACTTACATGTCTACTCTAATTTTTCATCAGTATTAAGAGGTTCAAAAATTCTTGGTTTTTTTCTAGCACTTTAATTAGTTTATTCAACAATAGAATTTCCAACAGCAGAAGGCTTCTAGTCATTTGTTTTTTGAACTCTTATATTTTATTATACTTAAGGTTGAGGTTTCTAGATATTTTGTGTTGGCTATTAATATTATTTATTAAAAGATTGATCAGGTAATTTGACTTCTTTGTAGTTATCAACATTATCTACTTTAAAGTTGATTGTTTTTTTTTCAAGTGATTATACTGAATTCTCAATTATGGTGCCTGTTTTTTTTGCAGCAATTGCAGGTTATTCACTAATTAATGAGGACTTGTTTTAAAATGTCATGTCTTATTCTGATTCTGAGAGAGAGTTCATAGGATTATAAAAGTATCGATCATCAATAGAAGAATCTGGAGAATACATAATAAAAATTTATAAAAATAATTACAATATAAGTGCTAATGTACTAAATATATATAAACTCTCATAAATCTCTTGTAGCAAGATATCTTTTCTCTAAATCAAAGTAACTTTGCAATTCTTTCTTTCCATACTTTAATACTTTTGGTATTTTATTTGTTTTTTCATCAATTGGAGGAAATCTTTATGCTTCTTCTCCATCTTCAAAAAGAATTACAGTTGGTAATTATCTGGACATAGCACTTGTATTAATTCTATAACATTCAGCTAATCTTGGTATTTTAGCTAAGTTTATTGAAATAAATTTCAATCCTTTTGTTGTATATTTACATGAAAAATTAGCCCAAATTTCTTTAGTCTTGAAATAAATATAAATAAAATAATACATAATTACAAGTATCTGCCCAATCAACATAAAATTCAGCAAATATCATTTCAGTCATTTTATAATTTTATATTTTCTTATTTTTTTCTTTTCCTTTTTATTTCTTATTAAATCTCTCATTCAATTCTTCAATTATATCTCCATCTTCATTATCTCTAAATTTGACTCCAACAACTTCTTCAAATTCCTTAATCTCTTCAATATCTTATATTTTTGTTTTGCCATTAAATTTAGGTTCACTACATAATACAAATATCACTAAACAAGCACCTCCATATAATATACTAATTTTAGTATCTACAAACAAATAACTAGTTATTAATGCAATTTTTATTGTAAAAAAAAGTGAGCTCAAAAATTAAATAGTAGAATAACTTCTTAAGTATTTTATGACTGCGAATGCCATGATTGTATAAAATATTGAGTTTTCTCTTGTAGTACCTAATTCATCTGGTACATCCAAAATAAAGAAATTTAATAGTCTAAAAATCCTAGAAATTGGATATATGCTAATTAATAGAAAGTTTAGAATATAATAAAGTGATATCATAAAATAAATTTAATATAATCCAAAAAAAAAATTATTTGTTTTTGTTTATTTTATTTTTATTAAATATTTCAATTAATTATTATATTATAATTAATAAACTTAATGTTTAATCATTTGATATCTAATAAAATTTATGACTGAGCAATTATTAGCTATCTAAAAAAAAACTTCATATCAATAATTTTTTATTTTTTATAGAAGCAAAGTATTTGTTAGGGTTAATGCATACAAAAAAACCTTAATAGTAAAGAAAAAATGATTTAATTGATCTTTCTTAATTAAGTCCACATTTATCTTAGGTCTAAGAAACATAGTATAAATATATACCTTTAATGACAAAAGAAATATAAGATTAACTAGATTCTAAATGGCAAGAATGCAAAATTTAAGGTAAAAATCTTACACCTCGTACAAATTCTGCAATAGCTATTCACAATAATGAGTAATTTTTTATCTGACTTAGTTTGTATTTGTATGGGGGATATCAGTAAATTTAAGGTATTATGTAAGACTTTTATAAACTTAACATGGGTGCAGAATCCTTTATTTGGCAAAACATAAAATGTGATTATGAGCCTGGACCTCGTTGTCGCCATTCACTTTATGTTTACAATAATTGTCTTTATTTATTTGGGGGACAAATATCTGATTCTGTATATACAAATGAAATGTTTGTATATGATATCAATCAAAGATTTTGGAAAAAATTTGACTAAAACGATTCATATCCATAACCATTAGATAATTATTGTTCTACTGTTTAGAATGATAAATTATATATATTTGGAGGCTTTTACTCTACAGATATTTGCAAGCATTCTAATGATTTATATACATTTAATTTTAATCTAAATAATTGGATTAAATTAAATAAATTTAAATAAAGACAACCTTCTCCTAGGGATGGTAGTTCTATAGCTATTCATAATTAAAATCTTTATATGTTTGGAGGAAAGAATGGATTTGAAAGATTTAATGATTTGTGGTAATTTGATTTGTCAAAATACGAATGGAATTTCATCCCTATTTTGTGTTCGAGTGATATTCCAATGAGTCGATCTGGACATTCACTTATAGTTCATGAAAATTAATTGATTCTTTTTGGAGGAATTCATGATATAACTTGGGAATTAGATGATTTACTTACTTATTAAATAAATAAAAAAGAATGGAAAACTATTAATTAAGATTCTTCTAGAAGAAAAGAATTTGAACTTCCATCTCTTTGTAAATCTAATAAAAGTCCCTAGAATAAAAAAAGGTCCGTTAAGTTTACTTCAATGATTAGACCATTTAGTTTAAGAAAATCTGTATGTTAATCCCTAAATAAGGTTAGATCATTTACTTAATCAAAATAATCTTATTTTTCTAATTATTAAAATGTTGTATTGACCTAGGATCAAAAAAATAATTCTGTTGTTAATACTTCAATAAATCATGTTTAAGAAAGAAGGAAACTAGAAAATCTTAAGAAAAAAGCTGCTATGTTAAAACTTTTTGATGTTGAATCTAGTAAAAGAACTTCATTTTAAGATGATTGCAATGTTACAGAAAAATTAAGAACTTCATTAATTTTAATAGGAAATCCAAAACAAGATTTAAAATTAACAAAAGGAACATTGACTGAGTTTGGATAATAAATTATTTCAAAGTATTATATATTTTTTATTTTAGATTTATACAACCATTTTTTGATGGAAGAAATGTAATTAATGGAAAAAAACCATGTGCTCGTGATGGACATGCAGTTACAGTATTTGAAAATTAAATGGTTTTATTTGGAGGTGATAGACACACTATGTCTTTTAATGATCTCTATATTTTAAATTTAACGTTGATATGATTTTTTGGTTGATCTGAATTTTCATAGCTCTTATAAATATTTAACAATGCAATTTTTCAAAAGTAATAAAATTAAATATCAAATCAATATTTTATTCTTGTTCCAGGAATTATTAATACTATTTTTTATTAAAAATTTTAGTATTTTTTTGAGTTAATATGAAAATTTTAATGAAATTTAACTCATAATAACTAAAAATATTTGTATACATTGTTTGAGTAATAATAATTTAGATAGATTTCTTTTTCTTTTTTTTAAAATATATATTAAATATAAATTTTAATTATAAATTATGCTAGAAGTGATTGATTACGATGGCCAATCTTAAAACTTTAATTAATGTCCAATTTGTTAAGAACAAAAAGAAGATAATTTTGAATTAGGGTGTAAACATAAATTTTGCAGGTTTATTTATTAATAATATTAGAAAATGTTTAGAATAGTATTTAAATGTAAAGATAGATGAAGGAATAGTAATGTAAATTAAATGTCCTACCTGTCATTATTAACTCTAATATGAAGAAGTTGTTTTAAATATTTAATAAAATGAACTTGATAAATATGCAAAATTTAGAACATTATAATTTGGTGAGAATGATCCCACTTTAAGACATTGTCCAAATAAATTATGTGAATTATATGTTCAGTTGGATTCCAAAAGATGTTTATGTGGATAGGATATTTGTGTAGATTGTGGGAATAAATATCATGGTCTCAGTAGTTGTGATTAATTGATGGACTAAATATTTGTATTAGATAGTAGGCAAGAAAAAATTTAAAGATGTCCAAAATGCAAAATTGTTGTACAAAAAGAAGGTGGATGTAATCACATGACATGTAAGAGATGTTAATATTAATTCTGTTGGATATGCAGAAGATAATATACATGTATATTGTTCATAATAATATTATAGCATAACATTATGATAATTACAATTATTTTTTTGGGTGTCCAAATATGTAATACTCAAATAGTATGCCATGGAAGTATCCAACATTAAATAAAATAATGCCTTTTCTATTGGTCTTCTTATTATCACCCATTTGGATAGTTTTAGGAGTTATCGCACTTATAGCACATCCTCTCTATGGATCCTATTATATATTTACTCGATGGGATAATGAAGCAGTTGGTAGGTATACTAATGTATAAACCTTAGGTTGAGAAAAGTCCAATTGTTGATGGTATTTTTTTTTGTTTATTTGATTGGAGGAATAGTTCTATACCCTTTTGTAGTTTTGTACGAATGCATAATGATTATCTATTTTTTAGTGTCCTTACTAGTCAGATTCTATAAGAGGCTTAGGAATTTTTGATTAATTTATTTATTCTAATGTTTCAATAACGATTTGATTATCTCAGATTACCTAAGCAAGTTGCCGATAATATTATATTAAATCGTAAGATAATATTCTATTCTCTATAGCTAGTAGTATCAAGATTGGAACTGGTTAAAATGCTGTTAGAAAGATCTTTAAAATTTAGGATTATGATTAATTTGAAAGGATGCAAATTAATTAATTGATATCAGCTCTTTAAAGGAATGAAAAATATGATTAAAAGGATTATCCTGAAAGTTTATTGTTAAGATATCTTTATGCTAATAAATTTGATATCCAATCTACTTTTAATGTATCAAGTAATATTAAGCTAGTAATTGGCTTAAACAAATAACATATTATTTTAACCTGGTTATCTTGATTTAACTAATGAAATTGAAGCCTTATATGTAATATTATAAAAATAATCTTATAGTCTAATGGAGCCATATATATAGAAGGAAGAACTAGGAATCATATTCCTTGTATTGTAGTATCAACAAAATGGATAGATGATTTGATTTTATTTGAAAGGGCAGCTGTATTATTATGTGCATTAGTTGAAGATTATATGTTTTATTAAGGTAAGGTGGAATCTTGGATTGCTATAATTTAGACTAAAGATTAAAGTGCTTTTAAAATGCCATTGGATAGGATATTTTAGATTATTCAAATATTGTAAATATGTTTCCCAAATACTTGTGAATCAATTTATATATTAAATACAACTCTATCTATTAATTTATTATGGTCTTAAATAGAATGTAATAAAATTATCATAAATTAGAATGTATTGATCCAGTTACATTAAATAAGATTAAATTTTTGAAAGACAAAGAATTAACCATTCTTACTAATCAATTCGATCTCATGCATTTAGAATAATCTTTTGGTGGTTAGAAAATAATAAAATCATATTGGCCACCTGATCCAAATGATTATATCTATGATTTGCCTTAATAATAACCAATCTATGAAGAGGAACCTTAAGTATTTTACACTTAACCCTCCAATAATTTATAGTATCTAAATCAAGCTCCACCACTAGAAAAGGAAATTGAATCTTCTCTCCTTTAAAATAATCAAGTTTAACCACTTAATATTGAATAATAATCTTAATAATTACCTTTAACATCAACAGAGAAGAAAAAAAAGTGTATCTGTGTTAAGTGTTCTCGAGATCTAAATGAAGTTGCATCTTAACCTCGTCAACCCAAATAATTAGAATCCTAACCTATAGAAACACCTAATCAACCAAAATAATTAGAATCCTAACCTATAGAAACACCTAAAATCCCCTAATAATTATAATCAGAATAAATTCGACAGATAAGTGAACCAAAGGAATTGGATGATACTTATGTACCTTATGAGAGATAATATGATAGTGTTCTTAATGATTCATATTAGATAAATCCTTAAAATGTTAATGAATCTCTATAAGAGAATAAAAATCAGAATAATCAGCCATAAATTAGTGGAAATGAAACTTAATTATAAAAATAATAAAATTAATAATAAACAGAATCAAAATAATAATAAAGAGAATCAAATTAAAAATAAAATAAACCATCATTAAATAATTCTGTTATTGTTTCTTAATCTTAGAATGGATCTTAATATTAATCATAAAAATAATAGCCATAAAATTCTAATTATGTAAATAAAGAGATATAAGCTAATATGGATGATACATTAATAGATGATAAACCAGATTATTAACCTAAGTATGTGAGTAAACATAGTAGACCAAATTAAATTTCTCAATCTAGTAGAATTAATAATAATAATCCAAATTTCAATAATTTTATTAATTAGCCCAGTTATAATCCTTTAAATCAATCTTTGTAGTCTTAAGTACCTAATACACAGTAATAGCTATCTTAATAAAATATACCAATAATTTCATAATAACCATAGAGTTAATAGCAAATTGCAGATTAAATTAGAAATGATGGGGTTATATAATAATCTGTAAATGTATTGGATTAAAATAACTACTTAAATAATACTTAATCATATTATACTCCTCAGATTTCAAGCGATCCAAAAAAGAAATATGATTTCAGTTAATGGGATAAATATAATGTTATAAAAGATCCATATCCAATTTAATCATACACCTCTCCCTCTAATAACTAAATGAATCCTTATTTATCAACAATTCCTATCAAAGATAATGTAATTGGGGCAGAAACTTATAACAAGTTGTATGATAACACAGAGGATTATAAACCAGGAGAGTTTAAATCATCCACATATAATTTTACACCATATGATTTCAAATATAGTGATTAATAATACTAACCTAGAATTGAAAACACAACAAAATCGAATAGGTAAGAGTATTCTTATTTTAAATAGCACACCGCAATCATATCAATAAAAGCCAGGGTCGCAAGCATGTCAAATCTTTTGATTTATCAGTTAATATGTAATTGAATAATCATTTATTTATCAGTTTATTTTTATGTTTAATTATTAAAAGAATTATATATTTATATATGTTTTGAAATAATTGAATTAATAATTTTTTGTAGATAGTTTAAGTTTTATTTTAAGTTTGATTTTGATTTAACTTATAATAATAGATTAATATATAAACATTTAACATAAATAATAGTAATCTATTTATTAAATCAATTGTATTTAACTATAAGTTTCTCCATTAGGCTAAGACATTCAACTCTTTTTAATCTAAAATCCTCTTTGAAACTACGGCAATTACTTAATAGTTTATTAACATCATTTGGAGAGAATGACATTTACTATAAGTACTAAGCTAATTGTCCAAGAAGAAATGTAAAGTTTACAATCTTAACATTAGAGCATTCAAGAACTTAATCATATAAAAATGCTTAAATTAATATTAAAAATTTACATTTAATAAATTAGGCAGTTAAATTATAAGCAAATTTAACAAAATGAATGGAATATTCAAAATTGTTATTAAATATTTCTAAAAAATCTGTATCCTACATAACTAAATTTAAATTTTCATTTAAATGTAAGAATGTCTCTTAGAATTGATTGAATGTTTCAAAATGAATTTCTAAAATGGATTTTTCTAAATTTCTAAATGATTCTGTCATTCTAAAATGTTCAAAATCTCTCAAATCTAAGATATTAATTTATTTGTCAATAAGATTTGATTTTATATCTGTTGTTTTAATCATAACATTTTTTAGTAGAATAAAGGACAATTTTTCAACAGTTGATACCTAACTTTAGTTATTACCATAATATTCTAAAAGTTGTTCTCTAAGTTTTTTTAGAAATAACAAAAATTCAATCTAATTTTAAATTAACATCCTATTAATAGTAAATTCATCGTTTTCAGAAGATTGTCTGTGAAATAAAAATTTTGGCTCAGAATGTTGATAAAGATGTTTTGGAGGACAATAATTTCTTTCTGATTTATAGTGATCCTCTCTACATTACTTATTGTCACTATACCTACTTGTAGTTTATTATGATTCAACTTTATGATGAACAACACTTACAGTTCTATCCTTTTTTTAAGTATTAGGTTAAGTTTAACAATTAGTGATTTTTTAGATTGATACGTTGTTTTTATTTTCCTCATCATTTAAAGGTGAAGCATGAGTTTTAACATAATGCTTCCCTTTAATTAATTAAACTTATCTATTATCGATATGTAATTAAAGAGGAGATATTGTATTTCTTTTAATTTTATCATCAGATGGACTGACATTAGGTATTATTTACATAGATTTATTTTATTTAGCTTCCTATGGAGTTAAATTTTAAGTATTTGAAAATTGGTGTGCTTATGGTTTTATATGTTAAATTGTAGTTTTTTATTATTAAGTTGGTATCATCTGTTACAACTATTATGATGGTTAAGTTTAAGAAAAAACTTATTAAATTTATTATTAATGCATAGAAGCTTATTACTATTTTGAGCAATTCTTGTTCTAAGAAGTTTATTAAGGTTAATTTTGTGAATGATTTTGTACAGGTTATTATGTTTATTGATATAATTAATGAGGTTATATTTAAGTTTAAGGCTATGTTAATGGATTTTAAGGTTAAGCCTATTGTTGAGTTTCCTTTTTTGGTTGTCTCTCAAATGCATTTTCAAATAATGGATGAGTAAAAACTTATTCCCAACCAAATCTACTACTTTCTTCATATGCCAAACAGCCGGTAATGAATTATTAAGCTAGTTTTGAAATTTTTTTGGCTAATTATAATAAAATTAAATTACAAAAAGCTATTTTTTAATTTCTTTATTTATTAACTAGATCTAATATATCTCTTACATTCCATGGGGTTTTACCTTCTAACATTTCATAAAAGATTAATCCTATTGACCATACATCACATTTGGAAGTATATTACTTTCTAAGTAATACTTAAGGAGACATGTAGAGTGGAGTTCCAACTAGAGATGTCATCAAATCTTCATCTAATTTATCAAATCGTTTGGCAAATCCAAAATCTGCAATCTTGAATATGTTATTATTGGCAACTAAAATATTGGCTGGTTTGAGATCTCTATGAATAATTCCTCTTTTAAATGATTAAAGAATCCCCCGCAATATTTATATCAATATTTTAGCAGCAGCAGATTCCTCTATTGGTCCCTGTAATATTAAATTAAACTATTACTGATTTTTTCATATATTCTTTTAAGTCTCCTCCAGTGCATAGTTCCGAAATTATATAACAATTATTAGCCGTTGTAATAACATCTATTAGTCTAACTATATTGGGGCAGTCTAAGTCTTTCATTATATCTATTTCTTTTTGTAATAAGGCTTGATTGTCAGAAGAATATTGTTAGAAGGCAATTGCTTTAATGGCAACAGTTTATCTAAAATAGAAATTACAATATCGAATACCCTGAATCTATATTTCTTCCAATATAGACTACTCCATACGACCCTCTTCCAATGATGGCTTGCGTAGAAAAAGCATAGTTGTGAATACGCTTATCTGGAATATGTTTAGATAGCTGTTGAATACGAGCCTACATATAAATTAAAATAAAATGAACGTTTGAAAATAAAAAATATATAAAATATGGTAATCATTAATTCTAGCAATAATTCAGATAGGATTCATAATGTTTAAGAATAACTCCTAGTCTTCCATTTATGTCTGTACTATAATACCATTTTAAAAGTCCATTTTCACACATCTATATGGTTTGTAATAATTCTAATGAATGTTTAGATATTTATTCTGGTTAGACTTCATCCTTTTTACCAGCCAAAGCCAATATTTGGTTTTTAGCATTTTCATTCAAAGATAATATTTCTATTATTTTTTCTATACATGCATGTAATTTCTAGTAGAGTATTAATGTTTCTTAATCGAAATTGTCAATTATTGATTGTGTAGTTGCATATTTTAGTTTCTAAATATTATTTATAATATATACAGAATTAGAATCCTATATTTTTCTTTCAGAAAAACCAATTATTTTAAGACGTTGAATATTCTAAACTGTGCAAGTGTATACTGAATGTTCATGAACTGGTACACATTCAATTAGTTTTACTCTTATGCAATTGTCATTGTATTGAGGATCAATTATAAAAGTCAAGTTTTTTTTTAATACTTCTGTAATCATTTCCACATATCTACAAATTTATATTACTTCATACCTTTTTTCAAAGAAATTAAATTAAGTTTAAGTATTTTGATGTATAGTAATTCTGTAAACGAAGCAAGGTTCCCCTTAGTGTTCATGCATTATTTCTTCAGGTTCAGTAATGGAAAGAAATCGTGAGTTTATGTAGTTACAGCATAAACGTCTGCAAATTGGACAACTTTGCCTTTGCTTAAATTTTTATAAAATAAATATACTTCTAGTGCAACTACTATACATTCTCTACAAAAAATATGATTACAAGGTAATTTAATAGGATCTACATAATCCTCGAAGCAAATGCTACAATTTTCTTATTATGACATTTATAAGAAATATTATCTAATTTAAAAATATAATCTAATTTTTTATTCTAAAGCAACTCGTTCTTAAACATAAACTCAGAATGAAAATGTTCTTAATTAAATAAAAGTATTTTTATAAATTATTGTATGATATATTAATAAAACACAATTAGTGTATCATTTATATTTAATTTGATATTAAAAATATTTTTTGATTCATCAAGAGAATAAGAATTCTAAGTTTTTATCTAATAAATATATTGATATATATTAGTATATGACTTTAAAAAAGCATTAAAATTAGTGATGAAGCTATAATTTATAATTTAAATCATATTTCCTTAATTCTTCAATCTAGATATCTAACAAAATGTATTTATGTTAAATTTTAGGTTTCCATTTTTTTATCATTACATTTTCTTATCATTAAATAAAACAAAATTGTACAGTAAGAATTATTTAAAAGGCAATGAGATCTCTCGTGTATTCATTTTGTTGACTAACTTTAATCAAACTTAATAAATTGTTATTACATAGGACATAAAATGCTATAATAATCTCCTTTTATGTTTATCATAAATAATATGGGTTATTAATTCATTTCAAATTAATATAGAGAGAGAATGAATCATAAATATTTATTTGAATAAATCATTATGAGATTAAAATGGCAGATGAATTTAAATATTTATAATGTTCAAAAAATAACTAAAAAGAAAATAAATAATTTATAAATCTTAGGAATACATCTATTATTCATATAAATTCTAGTGTAAAATCATTGTATAAATAATCATATTCTAATCTTTTTAAATATAACTTTTCATAAATAAAATGTAAAAAATAAGCAAAGTACTGAATTAAACGTGAAAAGTATAGACATAATTAGACAGGATAGCAACTAGATGAACATGGAGGCTATTATCAGGGTAATGACTGAGATAACAGTTACTAAACAACTGAAAATTTTGGACTTAGTAACTAAATGTTGTTTACTCTATTAATGCATTATGTGTTTGAATCCTTTATTCCTGTTCTAACTAAAAATACTATCAAATTAATACAAAAATATGGTATGAATATATTTGAAATCCCTAAACATAACAAAGCTAGGCAGTAAATCTCATAAGAAATATTACTTATCTAAAAAAAATTAATTTATTTTACAATTAAAGATGGATCATTAATCGATAACCAAATAGCAAATAGAAAAATGTAGATTCCCATTCCAAACTAGATGATGATAAATATTTTCTGAGCCAGAGTTGTTCTTATTTTTTTCATAAACATCTTTTCAAAAAGATTAACTATTTAAAGATCTATTTTACTTATTTACTTGCAAGATGCTCTTTTTATATCCAGCTAGGAAAATAGAATATCCTATTGTTTACACCAATATTTGATATTCATTATTTCTTCTTGAATTTCAGAGGATCTAGTATCAAAATATGTAAATTCATTAAAAAGTATTACTGTCCTTTTATGTTAACCATTTATTGAAAATAATTTTTTTCTAATTTACTTTGTGGATTTCATAATTTCAGAATTTAGCTAACAAAATATAATGATATATCCAGTAACTTTAGGATCTCTAAAAGGTAATAATGTGAAAAATGAATCATAGGATGGAGTATCAATTAATTCTATATCATAATCTGGAATTTTGGATTCTTAGAAAAGTTTTTAATTTATAGCTGAAAATTTCTAAGCAAATGTAGTCTTTCCAGCTTATTGTAATCCAATGACCATTATTGTCTATTTATTTGGAGCTTCATTCAATGATAAATTTATATCATTCTGCATAGAATATTATTAAAATTATATAAAAATAAAATATTTGGAATATTTTAAAATATTATTTTGTTTCGTAAATAGATCATATAAATCTCATTATTACTTGTCTTATACTTTTGTATTTGTATTTGTATTTCTGGTATTATTTTATCTATTATTATCTCTATTATCTCTGTTATCTCTGTTATCTCTATTATCTCTTCTATCTCTGTTATCTCTACTATCTCTGTTATCTCTATTGTCTCTGTTATCTCTATTGTCTCTGTTATCTCTATTGTCTCTGTTATCTCTATTGTCTCTGTTATCTCTGTTATCTCTTCTATCTCTATTGTCTCTGCTATCTCTATTGTCTCTATTGTCTCTTCTATCTCTATTGTCTCTATTGTCTCTATTGTCTCTATTGTCTCTATTATCTCTTCTATCTCTATTATCTCTGTTATCTCTATTATCTCTGTTATCTCTGTTATCTCTGTTATCTCTTCTATCTTAACCTCTATTATTTTCACCTCTTGGAGCACCTCTGTTTTGTCTTGTATTTCTTTCTCTTTTTTCTCCTTCTAATTATTCAATTTATGAAAATACATTGTCTTTATCTTTAAGGAACAACTTCAGATTCAGGAAGAGGTTCTTAGTATCCAATAGACTTTTTATCTTCCTCTGTAGGTTTAGTTGTCAATTTCACTGTTAAAATAGACAACTATTTAGTGATATTGACTTCAATTAATCCTTCTTCTGTTGGGACATATTTGTCCACAATTTAAGTATTACCAATTTAATTAATCTTTGTAATTAATTGTATTATATACTTGAGATAATCCAACAACTCTTCTTCTTACAATTTCACTAATCACCAATACTTTAGGAATGGCATTATCAATTCCTTTAATAAAAACAGTGTCTTATTTTGGGATTTCTTCTGTGCCAAGCAATAATTCAATAGCTCTTTTGATATAAGAGCCATCAAGACGTTTAGCTGAGACTCTAATTTCATTGATTGGAGTTTGTGCTTATTCACTTCTGACGTGTTCGAATTTAGCTTAAGTTGTTCTCATAAATAAATTAAAAAAATGATTTAAATCAAAATATTTGAAATCAAACTTATTAATAGAATAGGAATTATTAAATTTCTTTTAAGATTTTTGAGAAATAAAACAACATATAACTATCTATTATATTCTTTGATTAATATTTTTGGTGAAGCAAAAAGAACAAATACATACTAAATAGCATTCTTTTAGTAACACTGAAATGTATTTCTTTATTTTAGAAATCATAATAGTTTTAGGGCTTGAACAATGGTATTAAAAAAAATAATAGCTATCCATCCAAAATAAATAAATTTCTTTATTCACCTATTACCATATTGTATTTCATTAATTAAGTCATAACTAGTAATAGCAATATATTTTATTTTTGAGTTATAATATGTTTGTATTAACGAATTTAACAATTAAGAAAAACTTTTATTGCTTAATTACAATTTTTTTTAAACTTATCATATGAAAAAGCCTTTAAATTTTTACTAAACATTCATTTTTTTGTTACTAAATCTAAATTTATTGACATTAAATATTCAATATCTAGGTTACTTCTAGCTTAGAGCAAGATAAATAATAACTTTTTAACATATATGATTTCAATTGAGAATAGTAATATATTTTTATTATATTTTTCTAATTGTCAAATAAGTTTGAATATTCTTTTTAATTTCAAAGAAAACTTCTTTATAAATGATTTGATTTCCCTTCTTTATAAATCAATTTTTAATTAGAATAAAATTGAGAGTTTCTCATAATGTATTTTAACATTATTAAATAAATCTAGCATTTTCTAAATTTTCAAATGATAATACTATTTTTGATTAAGCATCAATTTTTTTGATATAGTATTTAGTGATTTGAAAAAAGTTTCATTTTGAATTATATAGGTAAGTTTATTTTGAATAAAATTAATTAAATAAATTATTTATGAATATTTACAATTATCTCTTTAAGTTCATCATAGTTGGAGATACAAGTAAGATAAAAATAAGTAAGTTTAGATGTTGGTAAAAGTTGTTTACTTTTGTAATTTACAGATTCTAGATTCAGAAATGAACATGATGCCACAATTGGAGTAGAATTTGGATCAAGAAATCTAAAAATTAATGATAAATAAATCAAATTACAAATTTGGGACACTGTATGAATATTTCTTAAATATTTAGGCAGGCCAAGAATCCTTTAAATCAATTACGCGATCTTATTATAGAGGGTATAGAATGAATAACTAATATAGATCAATCGGTGGAATACTTGTATTTGATGTGACAAGTAGACAGTCTTTTGAGGATTTATAAAAATGGTATCAAGAAATTTAAGGATATGCATGTGATAAAATAGAGATGGTTATAGTAGGAAATAAGATTGACTTAGAAGAGAGGTAATGTTAAAATAAAGTATGCTTTAGAAGAGAAGTTAAAACAGAAGAGGCTAGGAAATATGCATAAAAATAAGGATTTGCTTACTTTGAAACTTCAGCTAAAACAGGTGAAAATGTTGATAATGTGTTTGAAACTATGGCTAATTAAGTATTAAAGAAAATTGATAGTGGGGAAATAGATCCTACTTAAGAAGTAATTAAAAAAAAATGATTTTTAGGTTTATGGAATCAAGATTGGATCTATTGGTATCAAAAAGAAGAATGATGTAGTTTAGCCAAGAGAATAACCAAAAGCTTAGCTAGTAACAACAAATTAGACCTAGTAATAATAGAAGAATGAGGGCTGTTGTTGAAGATTATTTTTAGTAAATTGTATATTCGATTTCTTCATTTCTTAATTTACAATGTGTAAATCTATTCTATATTTATTTCAATTCCAATTTAATAAAAATTTAATTGTTTAAATATTTTTTTATTAATCTATGTTACAAATTCTAAATAATGCCTACCTCAACATGATTCTTCTTAATAATTCTATGAGAATTTATTAAAAATAAAATATAAATAAGAATCCTCTTATAGATAATTATAATATTATTGTTTGATAAATAAATTAGACCTTTAAACATTCTTAAATTCATAAGCTAAATTATTTAAATAAACCTAAGATAGATTCATGTCTGATATTTCTAGTAAATATAAATATAAAAATAGATAGTATTGTGATTTCGTCTAGCGTTTGTAAGATTGAAATCATTGCATATAATTGAATATTATAGCTATTAATTCTATAAAATATCTTTCTTCTTTATGCATTTAATCTTGCTTCTAAATAAATAATCTAATTCTATAATATCTATAGATTATTTCAGTATTAAATAAACCGTAATATATCTTATATCAATCTAATTTATTTGGTTTACAATCTTGGGTTATTCATTAATGGGACATTAAATTTATTTATGTCTATATTTTGATCATGAATCAATAATAAATTACTATTAATTTATTGATGAATAGAGTATGAAATATAATTGTTATTCTATATATTTTTTTTCATTCTTACNGAAACTTCAGCTAAAACAGGTGAAAATGTTGATAATGTGTTTGAAACTATGGCTAATTAAGTATTAAAGAAAATTGATAGTGGGGAAATAGATCCTACTTAAGAAGTAATTAAAAAAAAATGATTTTTAGGTTTATGGAATCAAGATTGGATCTATTGGTATCAAAAAGAAGAATGATGTAGTTTAGCCAAGAGAATAACCAAAAGCTTAGCTAGTAACAACAAATTAGACCTAGTAATAATAGAAGAATGAGGGCTGTTGTTGAAGATTATTTTTAGTAAATTGTATATTCGATTTCTTCATTTCTTAATTTACAATGTGTAAATCTATTCTATATTTATTTCAATTCCAATTTAATAAAAATTTAATTGTTTAAATATTTTTTTATTAATCTATGTTACAAATTCTAAATAATGCCTACCTCAACATGATTCTTCTTAATAATTCTATGAGAATTTATTAAAAATAAAATATAAATAAGAATCCTCTTATAGATAATTATAATATTATTGTTTGATAAATAAATTAGACCTTTAAACATTCTTAAATTCATAAGCTAAATTATTTAAATAAACCTAAGATAGATTCATGTCTGATATTTCTAGTAAATATAAATATAAAAATAGATAGTATTGTGATTTCGTCTAGCGTTTGTAAGATTGAAATCATTGCATATAATTGAATATTATAGCTATTAATTCTATAAAATATCTTTCTTCTTTATGCATTTAATCTTGCTTCTAAATAAATAATCTAATTCTATAATATCTATAGATTATTTCAGTATTAAATAAACCGTAATATATCTTATATCAATCTAATTTATTTGGTTTACAATCTTGGGTTATTCATTAATGGGACATTAAATTTATTTATGTCTATATTTTGATCATGAATCAATAATAAATTACTATTAATTTATTGATGAATAGAGTATGAAATATAATTGTTATTCTATATATTTTTTTTCATTCTTACACTTTAAATTATTTTTTTTTAATAATAAGGTCTGATATCAACATAAATGTTGTTTAAATAAAATTATTAACTATACAAAATACATTTATAGATATTTTAGCATGCAAAATATTAAGAGTTTCACTTTTATATATTTTAGTGACTATTAAATAAATGAAATGAATTATCTAAGAACATTATTCTGAGTTAATTAAAAATGAACATCAATCAATACAATAAATTTTATTTTTTTTGATATTTTGTTAAAATATAATGAAGATTTATGTATTTTTATGATGAAAAAATAAAAATCATCATAAAGTGTAATACTTCAATTAACTTTAAAATTGCTGAAAATTTATATCTCAAAGTAAATTAGTCTTTTAAACATGCTGAAATATTTAAACTTAAATATACTTTTAGCAAAATAGACCTGAATTTTTACATAGAATTATGATAACCATAATCTATCTTTCGACTATTTTAAAGATATAAATATTAATAATCCAATATTTATGTATTTACAATATTCTATCAAGTCAAAAAGAATTAAGAAATTTTGATGATTTGTAATCTAATAAATATTGGATATACCCCATAAAATATAGAATCAGTTTTTATCGGTAAGCTAGAAAGGAAAAGTTAATATGTATTAATAAAATATATAAATGAAAACACATTAATTGATTTAATTTATAAAAAAAAAAATTAAAAATGGCACTTAAAAGAATTCAAAAAGAATTGGCTGATCTTTCTAAGGATCCCCCTTCTAATTGTTCAGCTGGTCCTATAGATGACAAAGATTAATTCCATTGGTAGGCAACTATTATGGGACCTGAAGGCTCTCCATATTAAGGTGGATTATTTTCACTCAATATTCACTTTCCAACAGATTATCCATTTAAACCACCTAAAATTAACTTTGTTACTCGTATCTACCATCCAAATATCAATCAAAATGGAGCAATATGTTTAGATATATTGAAAGATCAATGGTCCCCAGCCTTAACAATCAGCAAAGGTAATCTATTATTCATATAATTAGTTTTGTTAAGTATTTCCTCTTTGTTAACTGATCCAAATCCAGACGATCCCTTAGTGCCAGAAATTGCAAATATTTATAAAACTGATAAATAGCGTTATGAAGCAACAGCAAGGGAATGGACAAGAAAGTATGCATCATGAAGATTCTATGTATATGTTTTATACATTGCTATATAATTATTAATAATTCTATATTTGTTTTATATATTGATTGCTAATGATAAAAAGAAGAGAATTGAAAATTGTATGAGTTTATTGAAAAAAAATACATTTTCTATGGATAATCTGAAAAATATTTTAGTTTTAAATTTTACTAGAAAGTTTTAATTGATCATTATTTTCTGAAACTATTATTATTTTATCTATTATATTTGAAAAGAAAGCCAATAAATGATAGAAAGTAATTAAAAAAAAAATATAATCATGAAATATTTGAAGTTATCAATTATTTTATTAATTATTTATTTTATATAGAAAGGATTTAAGAATTATATTAATAAGAGAATTTCTGTAAAAAGGGCTTTAAAATTTAAACCTTAAACAATAAATTAATATAAAAATGTACTTATATCAAAATTAATTCAATTGATTGAAATTCTATATTAGTCTTAATAGTTTTAAAGAAGACATTATGATTATATATCTTCATTCATTTAAAAAAAATCTGTTAAAATAAAGTATAAAAAATCACATATTTAATTAATAAAATTGCTAATGAATTTTTTGTAAATAATCATTGATGCCAAATTTTTGTTGGGTATCGGTGTTGGATTTTTTGTGGCATCATTTTTAATGTTACCAAAGAATGAAAATAATTAAGGAAATGGCTCATATTCTAAACTAAAATTATCATCCAAATCATTACCTTCAACATAAGATTTAAAACAAGTTTATTTAAAACCTAGTGAAAGACCAAAAAAATTAAAAGAGAAGGATTCATTTTTAAGAGAATTATAATAAAAAGGATAAAAGAGTTAAAAATATGATTTTTTAGAAGAAGATGAAATAAGAAAAAAGGTAAAAATGTAGTATCATTAATTTGAACCAATGTTTGAGGAAACATCAATTAAGGTCTAATCAATTAATACTTCTTCAGATTTTGAAAGCTCTTAGGAGTTAAGAAATGAATGCGTAACCTTATTGCCTAATAATGAGAATGTAGTATAGTATCATGAGGATAAATACTTTAATTAATATGATAAAGGATTTGATGAAAATGATAGAGATTTAGAAGAGTTGGCTAATATCTAAGAATCTCCAATACTTAAAAGTAATTAGTTTAGTAATCGAAAACTAAATGTTAAATTAGAATTTTAAAATAAAAATCAAGATTCAGTTAATTAAGAATGATTAATAAGATTTTGAGATTGATTTTCATTTATAAATAAGTTTTGCTATTTGAGTTTATCATTTTAGATATAAAATTTTTATTTATTTAATATGAATAAGGAAATATAGCAATTTTTGTAAAAGTTAGAGAGTGTGATTATATTTTAGTTATTTTCCTGATCTAAGTAAACCTCCGAAACCTGATTTAGAATTTATGGATGAAGATGAATTATATGAATGGCTTCATCAAAGATTATTATTATTTATTGTTACTAAAGATATTCAATTAGGAGCTGTTGCAATTCAATAGTGGTGCTTAAAGGGATATTGTAATATTATTAAACTTTAATACATAGAAATTAGAATCTGGAATCCCATTAGTTCATTAATTTTTAACAACAATGGCTGGATAGTAACTGAAAAAGAATCCAAAAATGGTTGATGAAATAATACATCTTGTATAAGATGAAGAGGAAAAATCAAAATTGATCATTTAATTGTAATAAACTTAACAATAATAAGTAAATTTACAAGTATCAGATGTAAAAATATTATTTCATTTAGTCACCTAAAGTATTAAAAGCATAAACAGATAAAAAAGACCCTAGTTTTTTTTAGAATATTTTAACAGCCTTAAGATGTTGGGATAAAAAATAAAAATGATTCACTTATTATAATCATAAAAATGTTTTTAATTTTCTAAAGATATCTAATAATATAATTTAAAATAAAAGATTAAATTGATATAAATTGTAATCTAAAAGACTTGTATCTGATAAAAAAATAGAGTTTCTTTCTATCTACTAAACCAATTTATATAGCCTTAATTATTTATTATCATCATCAATTTTTTAGGAATAGAATACTAATCTTTTTATATTATTGATCTTATAATAAATTTGTATTAAAGTAATAAATAAAATAAAAATTCACAAATTCTTTAAACTCACTTTATTCATATGATTTAACTATGGTCAATCGATTATCATAATTTTGAGATGATTGCAAACTCAAAAAAATGAAATTTGTTTTATTTTTTTGATTATTTATATATTTACTTCATACGTTATTTAAATACTTCTAATTAAATTATGAAATTTAATAAGTACCTTGTTCTAAAGACATTGAGTTCTTAAACCTGAAATAGTGTTGAATGGTATAAATTATTGATTTCTAAATTTTTAATATTTCATTAATAATATGACACATCAATATAGATTCTTTGGGAAATAAATTACAAATATAGACTATTTTTTCTTAATAAAATCAATGATTCGAGCGGTAATTTTGTTAGGTGGTCCTAGTAGAAAAGCAAGTTATGGAACATATGAATAAGCTTCTCCTTTATTTCCAGTTAGTGGGGTTGAAATAATTGGTCATCTCATAAATGCAATCCAGAAATTACCCAATTTGAAAGATTTTGTTCTTATGGGTTATTATGATAAGAAGTGTTTCTAATACTTTTAAGAAAAGTACTAAAAATTACATGGCAAAAATATACGTTATATATAAGAATAGAGTGAAATGGGAACAGCAGGTGGATTAGCATAAAATTTAGAAGAATTATATGAAGAAGTTGAAGGTATTGTATATAAAATAATACGAAGATCTTTTGGTTGTACATTCAGATATTTGTTGTGATTTGTAAGCCTAGAAATTCTATGAGTACCATAAGAAGTAAATTATATTAAATAGCATTAATAGTAAATCTGGTATTTGTAGTATAATGACAGTTCGAGTATCAAAAGATGAATCAACTCGTTATGGGTGTTTAATTAAGGATAGTAATACAGATTAATTAATTCATCATGCTGAAAAACCAGAATAATATATTTCGAATTTAGTTAATTGTGGAGTATACTTCTTTAATTAATCATTCAAAACAACAATCTTGAATGTAAAAGCAAAAAAAGAAGCTAATTTAAGTGAAGAACTATAACATCAACCATATGTTAAGTATATAAAAAGAAGTACAGATTTGGATAAGGCTTATTTATCATTAGAGACTGATGTATTAAAATAAGCAGAGAGAGATAAAATTTTTGTATATGAACACAAAGGATTCTGGTAATCAATAAAATCAACAAGTGATATACTAAATGCAAATAGACTTCTACTCTAATATTATGGATAAAATCCTTTTTAATTTAATAGTTCTGATTTTGAAATAAAATGTGATGGAGTATTGATTCATAAGACTGCTAAAATTCATCCATCTGCAAGGATAGGTAGTAATGTAGTTATAGGAGCTGGATGTGAAATTGGAGAGGGAGTTCGTATAAAGAATTCTATTCTATTAGATGGTGTTGAAGTCAAAGTAATTATTATTCTAGATTATAGAATTTCTCATTTATTTAAAATTCAATAATCTGCTATAATTCAATTGTAGGTTATTGGTGTAGAATTGAAGGAGATGTTTAATTCTTAGGGCCATGGGTAATAGTAGACAATGAATTATATTTAAGGAATGTTGTATGTCTTCAAAATTGCAGAGTTTCTTAAAGTTAAGATGGAGGTTGTTTGATGTGAAATTAATATATATATATATTATCAATCAACACCCAAACATATATCAATTGTTGTATCATATATTACTGTTGGCATTACTGATTGCATAAATTTCAAGAAGATAAACAATGCCTACATTGGTTTAATATCTGCTCCATTTTATTTGGCTTTATCAAGGAATGCCTTCATTGTAGTTGAATGATTGCATGGATGTATTGTAACTTATTAATAATGAAGATATGGATGTTCTTCTACTGTTACTGTTTCATTTTAATAGACACTCATAATGTCTTCATAAATCTCTTAATTTTTTAATGGTAAACCAGAATTTAATGCAACTCCTTATAGCCATAATCTTGGACAATGATATTTACGATCATATGTTATTGTGATTGTATAAACTCTAGTTTCTTGGTCATTCAAAGCTTACTATTGTTTTTTACTCATATCCACACATAAAAATCCTTCTTATCCTTGATTGTTTTAGAAATCAAAGGACAAAAACTCTTTTATACGAGTTTAAGATGTTGCATTGGCTATGAGATACATCTTTTCTGGATGAGGAGGATCTACACCTTTTTTTACTTGAGCTTTTTTCCATTGCCATCCAGTCATAGTTAATTGATCTCCAGCTTCAACAAATTATTCTGGTGTTAGCCATCCTTTAGAATAGAAATCCTATGGTTTTGGAGTAGCAAATGAATTCACAAAATTATTGATTCCTTAAAACATTTTGTTTAATTTAATTATTATTAAAATTCTAATCTATATTTATTCACTATGATTTATTTAACAAATTTGATTTGGAAAATTAATATAAATGAATAGATAATAAAGTCATTACATGTCAATTAGATATTCTTCAACTTTTTCATATACCAATACATATGCTTATTGTTACAAAACATCTTATTCTGTAACTAAATATATTTTGTGATCATCAAAATAATACCACTATTATAATTTACTTATTATATAATTACTTAATCTTATCTAGATGAGAATGTAACATAATGGCCTCTTTCAGGTGTTCCTTAATGAACAATTATTGATCTTAATTTATATTTTGCTTTTATGGAACAAAATCTATGATAATTTTAGAATTGAAGTTATACTCTTAAACATCAAGACTGATTGGAAATCTCACATGTCCATTTAATTTAATTCTATTTGGATAAACCTAAAATCTTTTTAAATGTATCATTAAATACAAAGGAGGAGTACCAATTACATATTTTTTAACTGCTCTTGTTTCATTATAACAATTTTCACATTAATAATGATCACTCAATATTTCTTATGCAAAAAATAATCGTAAACATTTTTCTAAAGTTTATAACTTATTCATAGATAAAGATAAATCTAAAAAGGATTCAAATTTTGTTGATTATTGATTACACTAATCACATTTAATTAAGGACATCATCTATCCTTAAAATACAATCTCTGTGATAGGTTAATCATATTTTAATTATCCTTATATTTCTATAGTCAATTATTCAATAAAATATCTCAAAAATTCTTATGAATCATGTTATAAACGAGGATCAAATTTATTTTTTATTAATTGTTTTAATAACTAAATTTTTATAAAGGCTCCTGCTTTTTTATTAACAGCAATAGTAATTATTTCTAAATAAGCATTCAACCATCTATACTTATCTGAATATTAAGTAGCTATCTTCTTCCCTTCATTCATCATCCAACAATTTATTTATTCAACAGATAATATAGTTTATAAAGCAGCATGCATAAAACAATAATTAGATTCATTATAAAATCCTATTGGTGGTAATTCAAATTAAGATTTTTAAAAAGGTAGAGTAATGCTCATATAAGAAACAGTATCCATTAATCCTGACTACATTGAACTAACTCTAGATAAAGTAGGCTTTTGTGTTGAATTTTCAAATCCTTCTCCTTTGCTATAATCTTAAATAGAGACTTCAGGTCCTCCACCATATAAACTATGAATGAACATCCAAGTATTCCTATTTAACAAAACAAAATCCACATCTTATTTTAGATTTGGTTTGTAAATAGCATCTGTAGAACATTAATCAGCAAAAAAAGGTTAATTATTAATAGGTCCTGGTACCTTAGTATTAATATGCTATAAATAACTAGTATAATATTTAGCCCAATCAATATGAAGCATATATTATAATTTGGCTTATTATGAAATCAAAGTCCGAATGATTTATCCCTCTACTTCAGATCTTATATAAATAAGTATTCTTACCTTTATGGTGAATTAAGATGTTTTCTTATGGTCTAAAGAAAGCGATTAACGATGTAATCATAGGCATGTCCGGCACTCTTAATAGTGAACAATACTTACATTCACTTAAGTTATCTTTGTGCTTCCTGATAACGAGTCTTCTAATTTTGATGGTGAGTTCAAGAATTATTTACTTGCAGGTCTCATTAGTACTTGTTTTCCTTATCCAGGATGCTTGAACTCAGGAAATTATGGAACTACTAGATTTGTAATTTCATCACTCTCATAAATTCTAGAATATTTACTCGTTCATTCTATCTAAATTATTATCATCAACATCACCTTTAGTTTTTATTAACATTAATTATATATTAGAATACAAAATCACAATGTAAAAAAACATTCATAAACATCTTGATCAATTAACTATTCTAGACTCTAAATCCCGTCTGTGTTTTCAATTGATTAATCTACTGCATACACTTATACACTCATTTAACCTTACATTACTAAATTTGCACATTCTCTAAGTTTCTATGGAAATGCATCATCTAAATATCTTATTACATCTTAAATCTCATTAAATGCATAATTCTTATTAACAATCTTATCCCATATAAATTAACCCTCTTCCTATAAAGATTTAAATTTAATCTCATTATATAATTTATTTATTGTATATAATTTCTATTCCAAAATGTCCTCATCTTGTAAATTACTCAAATCCAAATTAGCTTATTTTAAAAACTTTTCAATTTCTTCATTCCCTTCTGATGGTAGAACTCCTTACATATATACTTATAATCCATCTGCACATCCTAATGGTTTTCTCTTAATTAAAACTTATTAACCCATTTTAAAATAATTGTTTGAATAAGATTATAAGAAATCTGCATAGAAATATAATTTAGAAGTTGTTTCTATATTTTTCAATCCTGTTTAATAATAATTGAGTACTGATGAAGTCATATCATTATTTGATTCTCTTTATACTATATATTTTAGATTTTATCCCTTTAAATTTAATGTTCTAGTCAAATAAGTTTCTTAAGAGTCTTCAAATGCACTGTCATTTGGTAATATATTACCAATATTTAACACTTCTATTTTGCTTGACAAGAGAGAACCTTAAAATTCTAAGAATTTTTGATAATCCACTTCATCTAATACATTTATTATTTCTTATGGAGTATTAATTGGTCTTAACATAATCTTTGGTAAATAATATTGTTATGTCAAAAGTGACAATTTCTAATCATGGAATCTCTTGATATCTTTATTCAGTAAATCTTTTACATAATAAAATAATTATTCATCATCTATACCCATCAAATCAAATACTTTATCTTAAAATTCTGATTGTTTTTCTGAATAACTAAGCATCTAAACATTTAAACCATTTATTGTCTCTTTGAAAGATAATTCATATCCAAATAAAAATTCTTATTAAAATAATCTTTTTGACAATTCTGTATAATATTTTTATAATAATTTCAACATTGTTTTACCTTAAGCTAATGTAGATTCAGGCTTTTCAATAAATAATCCAGTGAATACCATTGCACCCAATCTACTAGGTTTCCACCACACATTACTAGCAATTTAAAATGGTGTTAATGAAAATTAAGCATTTTTCTCTTTTTCTAAACAATCAACTTAAAAGTCTGGTAATGGAAATTCACAAACATATTCAACTGTTTCAAATTTAGGTTCTCTTGATCCATCAAATTTACCATCTTTTACTGTTAAACTTAAATCATCAACTTATTAAAATCCAAATCCTTATATTTTATATACAGGCTCTTAACAAACTGATATAATTGCAAGATTTTCAGGTAAGAATGGACTTATAGCAGGTAATTAGAATTAATATTAATTGTTAAGTTCAAATAATTTTACTAAAGGCTTTAAATCATATGTAAATCCTTAATGTATTTTATTTAGAATAGCATCCAATATAAATATTGAATCATCCTTTTATGATTCATAAGTTGAATTGTATTGAAAATTCTCACTTCCAATCAAAACAATAAAATTATTAGCTAAATTTGATAAATATTAATCGAATTCATCTTTATCAAATATTGGTAAACTTTCCTATCCTTTTAAAGCATAAATAGGATCTGAAAATAGATTCTATCCAGTAGAGATAAGATTTTCTTCATATTTTGTATTAAATATTAATTCTTCTGTTGCTAACATTTAAGAATATAAATATTAAAGTTAGGTTTCATCTGCTTGTTTTAAATAATCTAAAAATTAGATTAATTTATTTATGGAATTTAAAACATTACTTAAATCTATATCTAATGTTATAAGTAGATGATTCTACCACATTGCACCATAAAATGGTTTTGGTAATAAGTATGCTAAGAATCTTTAACAACTAAATTGATCACTCATAGATAATAATGTCAATACTTCTGTATCACTTTTAAATTTTAGAATATGTCTACCTAAAGGATATTTATTTTAAAAGATTGGTTATTAAAATCTATGTAAGTTTTTTAATCTAGTTAAATCTGATTAAAATAATTTATCTAAAATCTTTTCCTATTCTTCTTAGGTTTTAAAAACTATACTTATAGTATCAGCTGAAATATGAGATATATATTATTAGTATAATTATTCAGAATCTACATTTAAAATATTTAGTTCATTTAATTATGATTATTGATTCAAAAAATCACTTACATATTCTAAATCACCAGATTTTGAATCAAGCATTAAATCATCAAATAAATCTTTAGCATTTTTTTCAATATCTATAAATTATGGTTTTGTTAATATGTTGTACAATTCTTAAAATTTAGCATTCAATTCTTCAAATAAACTTAATTAAACTGTTAAAGTAGTATAATTATTAAAAATTTCTATGAAAAAATTGGTTTATAGACATCTAAATAATAGTTCTGTCAATCCAGGTTTATCTTCTGGATCATTCTTTTTTCCAATATTTAAAGTAATTGTCAAATGAATACCCTCTGTTGTTGATTAAATTAACAAAATTTTTATTCCATTTTATAATTCTTTATATGTATAAATATTTTTAGAAAACACAGGCTTTAGAATTTAGATATCAGATTCTTATTAAATTATAAGTTCTTCCAAATCCTAAACAACATTTTATTATTCTTCTAATTTTTCTTCTATTTTTTTATTGATTTCATCATCATCATCTACCCAATCAGTACGCACATCATTGTATTATTCAATTTTTGAGATATAACTATCCAAAACACTATCTATTGCTATTTCATCCTCTTTTGGTGCTTTACTATCTCCAATAGTCTAGACTCCATCACTGAATTTATTATATACATCCTATAAAGTTGTGTCTTTTTAATTAATATTTTATAATGCACCACGTACATCCTTATCATTAAGTTTCGATGGAATTAAAACTAATCTATTAATTAAACAACCTTACCATTATAATGCTTTAGCAATCCAAATCCTGATAATCCAATCATAATTACTAAAATCAGTATGACAATTGCATCAAATTTTGATGGACCAGATTAATCATCATAAGTTTCTCTCTTATCTCTATTCCCAAAATTGTATGTCTTAAATCCTATTTTATCGTTTTTATCTTCATTGTTAAGCAATTTTTCTTGATCTTCCTCATAACTCATAAAATATAAGAATTATTTATTATTCAAAACGGATGACAATTCTAATTAAAAATTGTTAAATAAATCAATAATCATTTTTTCATTAGCATATATTGAAATATTCGATTAGACAATTTAAGGTATGTGAAAATTGAAAATTCTATAAAGATCTCAAAAACAATTTAATATAAAAAATTCACTCAACTAGAATTTATTAAATAAAGATAAACTGTCAATTAATCTATAAATTAAGTTTTATATTAATACAGAAATGGTTTATATATTTCCATTAAAGCTAAAGTATTACAAAAAAATAGTAAATTTCAGTCAATTTGGAAATCAATAATAATGATTATTCAATTAAAGATTGATATTCAATTATAAAATATTCTCAATAATCATTATTTCTATTTAAAATGTTACATAAAATTCAATTTTTCCCAATGAAAAATTAAAGATCATATTTTAATTAGTGATAATACAGTATAAATAATTGAAATCATTTTTAATAAATGCCATTATCCCAATATCCTTCAATAACTTTTCCTTACATTTCCAAAGTACCATAACCATTATAAACTCCATCATACCATTCGCCATTATATATTAAATTGTATGTTGTTAATTTACCAATTCCTTACTTTTTTCCTTTATGATAGTTTCCCTCATAAACTTTACCGTCAGGCCAAGTAAACTTTCCCATTCCATGCATATATCCATCTTTAAAATCACCTATATATATTTCACCATCTGGAAAATAATAAGTTCCTTTTCCATTAATTTAATTTTCAAAGAAATCTCCTTCATAACTAGCTCCATCAGTAAACCATTTTATTTTTCCTTTGCCATGCTTTAAACCTTTATAGAATTCTCCTTCATAAGTATAATGTTATTTAAGTATTTCTTTTCCAAATCCACTAGGTTAACTCTCTTTCCACTCTCCTTCATATTTAATTTAATTTGATGTATATTTTCCATAACCATGTTATTAATCATTTTCAAATTATCCTTCATATATTTCACCTTCTTAAAAGAGTATTTTTCCATAACCATTTGCCATATCATCTTTCCAAATACCTTTAAAGCAAGAACCATCATGATAAAAAAATTAACCTTCTCCTTCTCTTTTTCCATTAACCATCTATCCCTTATAGACTCCATTAGGAAATTCGAAAAAGTCTCTATTCTGACTAGTAGGTGTTTAAACATTAGAATCTTGAATTGTTTCAAAATGTAAAGTTCGTTTACGATGTAATTTAAGATTAAAAGGTACCTTCTTAACTTTATCAGGGGATTAAGATTTAGTAGTATTTAAAGATTCAATTTATGCCAACTACCTTAAATCAGAAATATTAAGATTAAAAGATTTAGTATCAAACTTATTAACAAGAAAAGGTTGTTACCTATTTTCTATTGAAACAGATGCAAAATCCTTGTCATTTATTTCAACTTGTTAACAATAATTTCCCATTTATAAATATATATATATCAATTATAAAATAATGTTCTTAAATCTTTTTCATTAATTTTTATCTTCATGTTTAACTAGGGTTTTCTCTTGTTATTTGAAGTATACTTATTTAATATTTTATTTATGAGATTAATTAATTCTAATGATAAATTGAATATAAAATATTGATATTTAGTAATATATTTTGGTTCAAAAGATAAAAACTCCTACTTTAAGTTATTAAATATAATTAGATTTTCTAAATCGTATTAATAAATATATATTTAAAGAATGTTGATAATGAAACTGAATATTTAAATTATAAATGTTTCTAATACTTAATATATTTATAATAATGCTTAAATTTAGCAATGTAAATAAATTTATAGGTATTGTTATAAATAAATTAAGAAAAAGAATAGGAAGAATTAGTTTCTCTTATGATTTCAACTTAAAATTAAAATTAATTTATTGTTATTTATCCACAATATAAATATTTTTTAAAGTATATTAAATTATAAAACGATTAGATTAGTTAAAATCATGATTCTAAACTTTACTTTTTACGTACTAGTAACGGGTTTAACCATGGTGTGAACTCCTCATTGTTCATTTGTTTACTTTAAAAAAATTGATTATTCTTTTATGGACCCAATTAAGGTGATTCACTTATGGATGCTTAAAATATTATTCCTTTTTTCTTAGACTTTTCGCTTTAATATTTTAATATTCATACTAATATTCTAATTCTTTGTTTCTTGGATCTGTTTTAAATTATATTCCTAGTTACCTTAAATACAGTAATATCCGACGTTCACTTTCAAATTATTCCTAATTAGAGCTATGGAATTAGGGTAGAAAGCTATCAAGTGATTCAACGGATTCAGTAGGTAAGATTTGTTTTTCCAATTCTTCTGAATATAAGAGTTCAATTTTTGATTTTGTCAATTCGTTTTCTCTTTTACCATACTGCATTAAATAATTATAATCTTAATTAATTAATTTTTCAATCTTTCTACTTGATTTTGTTATGAATTTTAATGTGTTAATATAAATGTCATAAATTATAAATTATTAGTACTGTTGTTTTAATTAGATAAATTTTGATCATTTGTTTATTATTCTTGTTCTCAATGAATTAAAGAAAATTCTCAAGTTGGACAAAATATTTAAATAATTAAATATTATAAAAAGAATCAACTTAATGTTAATTTAAATCAATATTCTTATTATTAAAACCATTTTCTTTTAAGTTTCCATTTTTTAATAAGAATATTGATAAAAGATTTTAATCAAATTCCATTTACAGTTAATTAATTTATATTGATTTTAATTTTATCTTCACTAATTAGAAATAGTATTATATGTATTTTATATATTTATAAGACGTAATTTATTATAATAATAATAATTCATTTTATTAAAATTGTCATTAAATGAATTTTTCACATCATTCTCCAAAATATGTTTATTGATAATTATTAAATACTTTAGAGAATATTAAAGTATTTAATAAATAAATACAAATTATTCTCATCAAAATTATCTTATATAAAAATTTGAATGGGAAAAGATAAAAAATTAAAATTATATTTAAGTATAACAAAATTAATTAAAGAAAAATGACTAGTAAAATATACCAAAGTGCTCTTATTTTTATAATTAATTCCTTAATTTATTGTAAAACTATTATTTTAATAATTCAAATATTCTAAATATAATTTCAAAGTTTTATCTAGAGACAATTATATTAGTTACTTTAAAATAATAGATTAATAAAAATTATTTGTTTGAATCCTTAGTTAAGAAAAGATAAAAAAAAAGATTTTGAAAATCAATTTATTAAACATAAATTAGTATCATCAAAGAATCAAGAGTCAAACTATTTCTTATTATTGTAACAATAATCTAAGTTATCTTTCATAAGATTCATCTTCAATCAATATTTGTAATGGGATTATGTTAACTATTTTCTTTATTAGATAATATTCAAAAATCAAATACTATCTTAAAAACTTTGCAATTAATATCAATCCAGTTAATGCAATCACAAAATATACTATTGAAAGAGACTAAGTCAATATTTAAAATCTACCTTACTAAACTACAGCTACATCTTAGTTATTTCTTCAATTCCATATGACAATTAATCATTCAATTATATAAATATTCTAGTTATAACTTAGGAACCTTCTTGTTCATACAGATTAAATGTTAGTCTACTGGTGAAATTATTGATTGCCTATTCTGCTTTAATTAAGTTGGTAATATAATTTAAACTCTATATAGTTCCTTGCTTTAAAGTTCCTTCAAAGGCTAGATTACATTAATTATACATAAATTTTTTAAAGTTCTACAAAATTAAATACAAATACATCTGTTAAAATTTCACATAAATTTTCAGTCTCTACATTTTGATAATAATCAATGAATGTCTAAGTGACAATTAATTGGTCAAAATCAAAAGAATTAGCATACAATACATATTCATTCATTATTATCAGTGCTTCATTGATTAATATATGTAATTTTTATTTATCATTTTATGTTAGATATGTAAAATTATCCCATCTATAAAATATCTCTTTCTACATAAGAACACTACCTGATCTAAGTTTCAAATTAGAAATTAATTTAAAAAAATCTATTGTTAATAGATATTTTTCAAAAAAAGTTTAATTTGATTAATCAACTAATGTTGAATAAGATACAAAAATAGCACAAAATATAAATAAAATTAATGCAGGTTTCAATCTACTTACCTTAAATATTTTCTTTAATTTATTATTTTTTTTATGTATTGAATTATTTTTAATTCCATTCTAAATTTTATTCTAACAATATTCAAAACTAAATTAATAATCAAAAATCAGTTTTTCATCATGAAGAATCTAAGATAATATAGATTTTAATTTTATTATTTCATTTTCCAAACGATCATAAGACAAATAATCCATGAGATATAAAAACTTATCATATTGGACTAAATATTGATTGTAATAAAAAAATGATATCATATTTGCACATATTACTATTAGAATTGAAATCAACCAAAATATAGTCCATTTTTGATTAACACTTATTGATCTTTCTTTTGAATAGATAAAAATCTCATCACTGATTTATGTTAATAAATCATGTAAATCAAAGTAATTAGCATAAAGAAATACTTAATAAGTAGACCCACTTGGACTTTCTCTCTTTCCATACTTTTTAGCATATGCAAATTAATATTGAAGTACAACTAATAATACTTCTCTAAAAGTCATTTATTTTTAAATTATTGAAGAATCATTATCCTTCATGTATGTAATATTCATATCATAATCATTATAAAATAATTATAAATATGGATTATTTAATTAATTATATAAACTATCTTTGAATTCTTGATATCCATGAAAAATGTTATCATAATAAGGATCTGTTAATTGAACAAATAAAGTTTTATTTATGAATCCTTCATTTAAGGCTTATTAATAAGATGATAATGTAACTCTCATTGAAAAATAAAGATCATGTGGAGCCATTACATCTGAGTGAAGACCTATCATATTTATTTCAACAATACTATTATCCAAATCAGTTGGCATTAATGATAAAATTATAATGAAATAAATCATTTGAATTAAATTTTAAATTAATAAAAATCCAATAAATTAATTGATTTTTAAAGGAGGTTTTTATGAAGTAATCTTTTCAACTAACTCATACTTTTTATAATATAGAGATTAATTAATGCTTGCTACAGATGATTATGATTAAGCTTATTGTAATTATTATTATAATTCTTATTTATCTTATTATTATTATTTATCATCATTTTATTCTTCAGATTTTATTGATGATTAATCCTTATAAGGTACTAAATGAGATAATTTACAATTATAAAATGTTTATTATTCTTATTTCTTTTTAATTTTTTAAGGTGATTTATTGATTTCATATTAATTTAATAAATTTTCAATTACCTAATTTTGAGTAGTCTCTCTTATTTGTGTTTGTAGTTATCTAGTACTCTAATCACCATTATTATTAAACAAAGTTGTTAATGGTGAAAAAAGAGATAATTAATTATTTAGATCTTGTATATAAATTTAATTTGGATGATCATCTTCAATTTAACTGATTACACAATTTTAACTATTACTTATATTTGATGATTCAGATAAAAATGATTCTTAGTTATAAACTTCATCTATAATAGTGCTATTATTTTAGCCACTTAATTATTATAAATCTTAAATTTCTATTATATAATAAGAAAAATCTTAATGATTTCTTTCAAATATATTGAGTTTAGCTATAAAAGATAATACTTTTTCTTTTTATTTCCAAATAATTGGATTTAAATTGGACATTCTTTTCTCCTTATCTTCCATAATTGTTGATTTACGTACCTTAAGATAATCAAAAAAAAATAATTTCTCAACCAAAAGTCTATTATCATGTTATTGTTTTTACAATGCCTCATCAAATTATGGAAAGATATTATAAATTGATATTTCATTCAAATATTTATGTTTTACCATTTTCAAAATTAAATTATCATCATAACCTATTTTCTATAGAAAATTTAAAGATAAACTAACAAAACTTTTATCAAATCCATCAACTATTATATAACATTTTTCATAAACTAATTCTTAAATGAATGCAACAAAAACCAATTAAGAATGATGAAAAACTGATGTTGTATCATAGCATAATTATATACCTTTTACTAAACAATCATGTTAATTTACAAAATTAGGACTAAAGTTTCTATAATATCGAGATTTACCGGTTGATAAAAAATTGTTAACCATTAATGGATGATATTAATAAAAGAATAATGGTAATATTTCTCGAAAACAAGTATTTTATTAATTGGGTTTTCCTATTAAATTTAACATTTAATTTGAGATTGTTTAAACTTCCAATTACTTTAAGTCTTCTTTTAATGATAAGATTACATATGCACTCTACTATTATGTTAAATTTAAAGCTGAATGATTATTTTAAATAAATTTTAGATCTCCATTAATAGAATAATTATAAACTTTATTAGCTTCAATGTAATTACTATATAATTCAGCTAAAAAAAATGTTAAGGCTTTTTATAATCTAACACTTGGATATTTCTCAAATTAAATTTTAATATAATTCTCTGTTTAATTTAGATTATTACAAAGATCATTTGTTTATTTTAAGGATTTCTTTAAATCAAATTATTATTATTCTTTTATTAATTCAGAAAAAAATGATATTTTTGAATTAATAAGATTTATTATCATTTATTTGACTCTTTATATTATTAATTCATAATTTAAATATTAATTAATAGAGTCAGAAATAAATGTTTATTAGGCTGCTTATAATGAAGAACCAAAAGAAGCTTTCAGATTCCATTTTGTTTAATTAAATAATTATATAATCCTTGCTCTATCAATAATTCCTAAACTAATTTTAAAATACAATTTCATCTCATTAGCATTTTCTTTATCTTTTTATGAATCTAATGATTTAAACCTTTTATATAATTAAGTAGTAGATCTTATGGTCATTTCTTTATTTTATTTTTAAATAGTAGTTTTATCAAATTAAACATTAGCATTTTAATTAATGAGAGGATTGACAGTATCATTAATTAATATTTTATTAAAAGCTTTGGCAGCTAACATTGTCCAACCAAAATCATTAAGTAATATAGCATATTGAATTAGTAATTCTTAATTACAATAAAATTCTGAGTTTTTCTTATTAATAATCTTTTTAATTAGAGATATCTTTTCAAATATAAAGTTTCTAAATATCTATCCTGTTATAGCATTAGCTTATCTTGGTTCTGCTATATAAAATGTAGTTGTGCATGAACATTATTTTTGTAGACATTCCTTTGTATGAAAATAATTTATCAATGAGGATCTAATAACTACATAATTATCACTGATATCACATTTATTAAGCATACAAATTAAAACATTCATAACTATTTTTATATTTGAAATATTAGTAGATTTAAATAATAATAGAAACTCTTATGTTTTTATTTAATTTATATTCGATAGAATGTATACTAACATTAATGGAGTTATAATTAATAGTAAGAATGTATAATTAGTAGTTTCAGTAAAGTTTTCAATAAATTTAAGGATGCAAAAAAGCAATTAAAAGAGATAACCAGAATAAATGATAATTTCTTAATATCTATAAATATAAATAGAATTTGTAAATTAATTTCTAATTGCTACTAATTAAATAAAAAACACTAAAATATATTGAATAATTGCAATAGATTGAGTATTTTCAATTAGGGTAAATAATATGACTGAAATAGTTGAAAAAATATATATAATTAAATGTGATTATGTAACTTTTGATCTTTCCATAGGCCTCAATTTAAATGTTATGGGTTGTCTATTAATTGAACAAATCATAATTTAATCTATTTGTAATAATATGAATGTGATAATTTGGAATGTTAAATTAACATATTATATTGATTAATTAGATTAGATTAAAGTGACACTTCTCTTGATTGATAATAATATGATAGTATTAAATGGAATAATAAAAACAGGACATAGTAATTATTAATAGTAGCTTTAAATTCTAACAAAAATTTGTAAAGGTAAATGTTATTAAATTAATTACCCAAATTTATCTGAGTGATAACGATGTTTTAAAATAAACATTAATAAAATAAAGCCTATTTTACTTATTAATATCACTACCAAAATAAATAAATATATTAGTTCCTCTTAAACTTTTTAATTTATGAAAATATAAATCTCTGTCCTAATTATAAAGGTATATATTAGATCTAGTGATGAATTTACATGAAAATCCTTTATTTGTGTAAATGTTGGATGAATAACCATCATTAAAGTTTGGAGAGAGTTTATTATCAATAGATAAATTTCAAAGGCATATGAACAAACAAATTGTCCTCTCACAAAAATTGCAGTCATCACCCATAGGTCATATAAAGACGAATTTTAATTCAATTATTTTTACATCATATATATTTTAATGTTTTTAATATCAATTCAATATTTAATATACTTATGTCTATAAATCAAATTAAACCTTAATGTAGTGCTATTTCTCTGAGATACCTGTCTAAAGATTCATCATATAGAATTGATTCTTTTGGTATCATAAATAACGACTATCTGATTTAGTGGTATTCATTTATTAAATATTTTCTATATATTTACTTAATGAAAATAATTAAAAAAGCAGAAATGAGTAAATAAATTAGAGAGAAATACTAATTATAATTAATACTCTTACAATTAAAAATTAGTTTAATTCATTGCATGTATCTTTAACACTCTCCAAAAATAAATTAGATAATCCAAAAAAAGATCGAGTGATTATCTATGATCCTTCTTACTCATATAATTCAATTTCTATTCTTTTAGTGAAGTTATTTATTTATTATTACATTCTTATTGAGTTGGAAATATAATTTAGTGTTTATATTAGTCCTTTTGATATTGTGCCTTCAAAAGACTTATCACAATAAAATAGCATATAATCTTCCAATTACTTAAAATAAAATAAAAAATCTTACATCTATAATTTCTAGACAAATGTTATTTTATTAGATATCTATAAATTTATCAGTAAATTTGTTCCCCACTAAATATTATGATGAGTCATAAGTAGAAGAAAGAAGTATATATTGATCTATTATATTATGTGATTAATCAATATATTAATATAAAATATCTCTTTCATCTTAAGATAAAAAAGTGAAATTATCCCATCTAAGACTGATTTCTTTAAATAAATAAATACTTCCACTCTTTAATTTAAGATCTTGAATTATTTTATAAAGATTAACAGTATCTTTATATTTTGATAAAAATGTTTACTATTTATAAAATATTACACTTGTGTATATCAAATAAACAACAGTAATTAAAATAATGATTGAATAGACTTTAAATCTTGACAAGTGTTATCTATTTCTATTTAATAGTTTAAAATGATGTACTTTACCTCTACCATATTAAGATTATGTTTTTTCTTATTCATTTAATTCTTAATCAAAGTTATATCTCATTATATCATCTGAAATTTATTGTAACTATTATTATACAATATCATATCTATTTAATTAATCATAAATTAATTATTTATTAAACTCATTAAATATTAATAAGAATTGATCATAATATTTAATGTATTAATTAAAGTTAAATAATCCAATCAAACCAGAAGTTATCAATAATAATTAAAGTATAATCCAAAATATTCTACCTTTATTATCAATAATTTCTTTTGTGTCTAATAACCATCTCTATATTTCTTATGTAATCTCCTCAATCTTATCATGTAATACAAAATAATTAGCCATCAAAAATATTTAACATGCTTTTCCAGATGTACTCTCTCTTATTTCAATTGTTCTCATATGATCATATTAATATTATAATATTGTTAAAAGAGATTCTCTAAAACTTTATGACATTATTTGTAATTCTCTTTCATTTTCATCCATAAATCTTAGTGTTAAAATAATATCATTAAAAAATTCTTATAAATATACATTTCTTAATTATCTGTAGAAACTCTCTTTCAATTCTAAATACCCTTACCGTATATTATTATAAAATGGATCTGTTAATTAAACTACTTAATTTTAACTTAAAAATCCTTCTCTTTACATTTATTAATATGAAGATACTGTAATTCTCATTGAAAAAAATAAATCATGTGGTCCCATAATACTTGCATGTAATGATCCCATTTCAATATTATCTATAATAAATATCATATCAGATGTCATATTGATCATAACTAAACAAGAAAAAATAAAAAATATTAAACTTTATCCTATAAAAAAGAATAAAAAGGAGTCTATTTTTTTTGGATTCCTTTTTTCAGTCATTTTTTATAATAAATAATATCTATTATAAAAAAATGGTCTTTAAAAGCCTGCAACACTAGATGATTATTATCCTATTCTATCTAATTATTAATTATTTATTTTTGTATTCTTTCCTTCATTATTCTTTTTTTTATCTGGAGAATGTTCTTCTTTTTCAAATTAACTATTTTATACATCACTTTCAACAAATGATTTATTAAAAGATTTATAAAACTCTTACTCATTTCTTGCTCTACTACTTAATAAATTTGATTAACTTTAATTTTATTGTATAAACGATGATTAATTCAAGTTTTTCATTTATCCTTAACTTTAATTTAGTAATATACTTGATTTTAATTTCAAGTCTTATATTTTTAAAGTATTTTTCTTTCTTTCTTAACTAAAATGACTAAATGATAATAAACTCATTATCTTTAAATGTTTTCCTTTCCATTTTGATCCCTTACTCATAGTACTCTCTCCTATACAAGGCTTATAAAGTTCAAGCATTTTCTTTCTCTCATCATAACTTAAAATTTATTTCAAAGAGATAAATTCTAATTAATAGTAAAAACCAAGTTGAACAGTTACTTTTTCTATTTTTATTTCTATACTAAAACAATTAATATTATCTTTGTTTCTCCATATATAATAATTTTAATCTTTCTTTATACTTGATTATGTTAATGTTGCTTCTTAACTATATTATGGTTTCAGAAAGAAACAAAATGTAGTTACTATATCAGTATTAATTTCAGCTTTACTCAACATATTAAAATAAGGAATTATAGTAAGAATTCCTACTTAATGTAATGCACCATCTTCAATAAATTATTTTTAATTAATTTCATTAATTCCAAAAGCAGATAAAGTTTAGCTAGTAAAATATGCAATTTATGTCTAAGCATCTACAACTATAATTGGAAGATCTGTATTTACACTTTATAAAAGACTAACAAATATGAATTTATCTATTTTAAAAATTTGTGTATTATCTATGCATAAACTAACTTATTTTAATAATCCATTATGACTCTTGATAAATGTGTAATTAAAATTCCTATAAAATTTATTCTATCCAGTATGAAAAAAATTCTAAACTGAATTCTCATGATGTTTATGATAAAATTAAGGAATAATATCACTAAAATTGTAGGTAGTCAAATCAAATGTTACTCCAAATAGTTTAAAAAAATTATGAGATGTTTAAATTATACTAAATGTTCTAAAATTTTCATCTACTGATAAAAGAATATATGAACTTATTTCAGCAGATAAATTTAAATTCTTTATACCTCTATATTTTATTTAATTTTCCTTTAAGTTTATTTCTGACTGTTTTATATTAAATGCTGCAAGCAAATTATTCATAATTTATGCCTCAAAAAAACAGAATGTCTTTTATAAAGACAAATCTGGACTTAAATTAAATAAGGAATAAAATTATTTTTCAATTTTCAATAAAAATTTTGAAGTTTCTTTTACCTTCTTAAAAAGATGAGAAAAAGTAAATCCAGAATCTGAATCTAATATTTCATAAAACTAAATTTTTAATTTTACACATTCTTTCATTCCAGCTATTAATTCTTACTAATTTGATTAACTAATTAAAAATTCATTTAAGTATTATCTTATCAAAGTTTAAACTGCTGCTCTAAGAGATGTTCCTAAATTTGCTTCAAATTTTATTCTTGATTATTATAATACTAAATTAATTTAAACCTATTCAATTTTTGACAACATGATTCTGATTTTGGTTTATTCATTCTCCTTATAATCTTTCTAACTAAATTAATTTAATTTTATACTTCATAAAGTGATATAGAAATGAAACATTGAATAGTTTATTTTCTTTGAGCTTTTTCAATTGACTAAGAATTTACAAAGAAATCATCATTTAATTAAAATCATGAAGTAAGATTGCTGTAGATATTAATAAATCTTATTTCACTTGATTTTTCATCTTGGTCAAAAAGAGTTTTTTAATCAGTTGTTTGTATTAAGATTTCATAAAATTATTTACCATTAAACTTGTTGTGGCATTTATTTATGTACATTCTGTTATGTTATAGTCAAGTTCACATACACAAGTTACTTTCTTACATTTTTTTTTATGATGGAAGTATATTAATGATTGTTTGAAATTCTTATTATTTTAAACACAATCACAATTGTTTAAAATTCTTACTAATTAATAAAGAATTTAATTGGTATTCAAATTTTCAATTTAATCAAAATCTCTATTTTTATTTAAGAATATAGCTGTAAAATGTTTAAGATCTTGTTACTCTTAAAATTTAATAAAAATATAAATAATTGATGGCATTGTTACAAAAAACATCAATTATATTTCTTGTTAATTTACACCACTGTAAATCATGATAGTATACATTCCATTCATAATTAAAAATGCTTAAGAGGTGAAAAATATTTTTTTTTGTGTTTCATATATAAAACCACAATTTCTTATCTAATTTATAACTTAAAGAATTGAAAGGAGTATAATCATAATTTATTAGATTTATTGTAAATAAATTGATTAGTTCTAATCAGCAAGGATAACTTAAAGTAGTTTAATTTTGAGTATATAATAATCAAAAGTTGAAATCTGAAATTATTTACATTTGAGTGTTTTAAAAGAAGTAGGATGATGATCTATTCTCATAAAAAATAGTGTATCAATTGCATAAAATACTTATCCCAAAATACAAAGAAAAGATTTTAAAATTGATGAAGAAAGACCTTCATTTATTTCTCTTACTGATTAGTTAAAAGAATATAAAAAAATCCTTGTTATTGGTAAAATAAAATATATTCCTAGGAAACATTAGTAATAAGTAATTATCTAAATTATATGTTAGATGATATCCTTTTATAAGTATTTCTATAATTAAGTTTCATAAAAAGAGTTCAGCAAACAAATGAGAATGAATATTAATTTCTGAATAAGTAAAATTATCAATAAAATGATGTAAAATTCTCCATAAAAATATCCATTTTAGATAATTATGATATCTGGTCTGATAAATATTTGTAAAAGCTTATAAATAATATTCTCATCAACTTCAATTTCCTTTTTGAAATAATAAGGCTAAAATAATGCTAAACTGAAAACTAAATATTACACCTCATTAGGGCATTTAAAATGTTAATTTAACATATACGTAGTTTTTATCCATTATTCTAACATAGAGGATAATTTAATATATTTCTATTTAGAAGCTGTATACATATTTAATTTATATATTTTATATTTAAATTGTAGTGATTAATTAGTAATAAAATTGTTAATAAGAGTCTATATAAATAATAATGAGAAGCTAATAAAACCTAATCTAAATAAATTTTAAATATTAAATTTGTAGTAGATTTTAATCAACCAATAAGAATTTTAATTTAACCACAGTAAGAGTTATCATTTCTTTAGAGATTCTTCTCAAAATTATATTAATATCAAAGAAAATATAATTAGAATGAAAATTTAAAATAAATAAGAATTAATTATATTTTTGATGATAATAAAAATCTTCGATATTATCTTAAAGGATGAAATTTTTGAAACACTATTTGATTTAAAGACTAAATTTATAACATAGAAAGGATTAAATATGAATTATTCTTTCTATATAGTATAAATTAATATAAAGTATAAAAGGAAGATATTATAATAGAATAACATATTTTGGAAATGAATTTTTATTAATATAAGAATTTGGGAATTAAGGTTATAAATTAATTGAATCAATTATTTCAATATAAAAAATCACATCATAAGTAAAGGATAGAAAACTTAGCTATAAATTTACTTAATAATTGATAAATATAATGTTTATAGATTAGTTTCATTAAGGTTTCAAGTAGAATAATTAGATATAAAATAAATTAATTGTTAAATAAAAATGGATTCTATTATTTAGTTTAAGATATTGATAACATAATATCTAATTTGTTTTGCATTGTTTTGTGGATTAGATTTTTTGATGTTTTCAGAATTTTTGAACTTTTTCCATCCATCTTAGATCTTAGAGTACTACTCACAATATTATTTAGTTATAATAATAATAAATAGTATCTAATTAGAATAGAGAAATAAGAAAACTATATTTTATTATGTTACCAATAATTGATTTATGTAGAATTTTAAGCAAGAATTAATTTTTTAACGTCATTATTAAAATTTAACAATATTTATTTTCTGTTACAATGAGTTCATTTTAAAGACCTACTTCATCAAGAAAGAATACTAATACGCTACCAGCCTAATAGGGAGACTTAGAAGAATATATGTAATTCAATTTATTTAAATATTAGCTAAATCTTATATGATCATTAAAAGAGCTGTGAAAAGGCTGGAAAATATCTTGAGGCTGATCAAGCAAAAAAGAGACTGGCTGAACTTAAGAAAGAACTTGATTCTAAAAATAAAGGAGATGTCAAAGATAGACATTGTTCTGAGAAGTAGGAAATAGAAAAAGCTCATTGCGATGAATTCAATCAATTCAATACATTTTGGGATTAGAAAATGATGGAATTTGATTCAGAAGCTCAAAAAGTTAAAGAATAAACACTTTAAAGACATGAGGATGAGTTAAGATAATTTTCAGAAGAACTTGAAAATTCTATTCCTGTAAAACCAAAAGACTCAGCTGAGTTATTGGCTTTAAGAAAAACAGAAGAACAATTAGCCAAATAGGAAAAGTATAAAAATTAAATAAATTATATAGTTATATGGAAGCCCATTTAATCTAATAAAAAATCTTAGCTTCAGAGAGAGATGAATTAGAGAAATGGACAGTAGGTAGATAATAAAAAATAAGGAATTTAATAAGTTAACTTAGATAAAAATAGATTAATGAATTGAATGCACTTACATAAAGAATTTTAAGTGGATAAGAAGAGTAAAGAAAAATTAGATCTTAAGAATTAGAAAAGTAATTAATTTGTATATAATGTAATTAGATTATTATAAAAATATCAAAATGTTAGAAAAGAATTAGAAAGTCAATAAGTTTAAGAGATGACTAGATTAGATAAATCATGCAAAAATTAATGTAAAGTATACTCATTAAATTTTAGCTATTATGCAATAATCTAGAATGAATCAATCAAGAATGTAATAAAGTTATGCTAAGGACGAAAACCAATATATAAGATGAGATTTAGTTAATATACTATATAAATATATAAATTAAAAATTGAAATGGGCACAGTTTGTGTCAAAAAGCAACAAACTTCTTAAAGATTATAACCATAAATTCAAAATTAATCTACAAAAACCTAAAATGCAAGTGTTGAGCCTTCTTAAAGAAATTAAAACCAACTTCAAGAATATCAGCAACCACCCAAATAGACCAACATGATTTAAGTCAAAGAAAATACATCTAAATAAATATATTTTAGTGAAGTATCTAAAATATCTAATTTAGTTTACATCTCCTAGATCTGAAATCAATGAAAGATCAATTCATAGTAAAAGTGATCTTTCAAAAGTTCAGCCTATGAAATATCATAACTTAAATTAAGAAAATAATAAAAACCAAAATTAAAATGAAGATGAATAAGATACAATTGTTCAAGTTTCAGAACCAAAAATCTAAAATATTAAAGTTCTTAATATCTTAAATACATTATAACCTTTCAGATATGATCTTGATAATGATACAAAATTTATTGATTCTATATCATTATCTCCACAAGTAAATTTGTACCAAGTATTATAGAAATTTATAAATACGGGCATAATATATGTTGGATAATGGAATAATAGATAAAAATAAGGTAGAGGACGTTAATTTTGGCCAAATGGTACATATTATGAAGGATACTGGTAAAATAATTAAGCTAATGGATTTGGGAGACTGATATAACCAGATGGATCATATTATGTAAAATTTAGGTTTTGTAAATTTACAGGAAGGTAATTGGATGAATGATTTATAATTTGGATTTGGAAAATTTGTAGATAGTGAGGGTAATTATTATGAAGGAGAATGGAAAGATAATGAAAAGAATGGTTATGCTATTGAATATTGGATATCAGGTGATTAATATTAAGGGTAATATCTTAATGGTATGAAAAATGGAAGAGGTAGATATACATGGGTCAATGGTAATAGTTATGAAGGAACTTATGTTAAAGATTAGATTTAAGGTTTTGGAACATATAAATGGCCAGATGGTCAAGAATATACTGGTGAGTGGTTGAAGAATTAAATGCATGGTAAAGGCACATTTAAATGGCCAAATGGGAATAGATATGTTGGAGATTATAAAGAAGATAAAAAAGATGGATAAGGCATATTTTATTTTTCAGATGGTAAAACTTTAAAGGGTACTTGGATTTAAGGTAAACAAAATGGAATTGGTGTACTTACAGAATTGGATGGAAAAGAAATTGTTGGAATTTGGGATAAAGGAAGATTAGTTTCAAAAGAATGATTATAAAATATATACCACACACTATTTAATTTTAATTAACAGATTACATGTCGGTTTAAAAATATAAAAAAAGTGGTAGTTGCAAAAGTGATTCAGCTTATTCATTTAGTTAAGATGTCAATTTATTACAGGATTATGAATATTTATTACAAAAGTCTGCTGAAGAATTAACAAAGGTCAAAGAATAAAATTAATTTTTAGAATAGTAATTAGCATCAGTTCAACCATTTCATCATAATCAATAACAATATTCTACATTTTAATTTAATAAGTCTGATTTATTGATTGAATAATTAAAATAGGAAAATGCAGATCTAAAACTTAAATTAGAAACTAAAACAAAGGCTCATAAAAAATTAAAAACTAAGCTTAAATAACATGAATAAATAATGTAAGAAAATGAAAATCTTAAACGCGATATATAAGACTTGTTAAAAGAAAAAATAAATAATAAAGAAAATAGATAAAATCTTATAAACTAATCCACAAAGACCCCTCAATAATAATAATAATAAAATGTGAATCAAGCTCCTTGTAATAACTTTAAATTAGATTTATCATTGGCATCTAATTTTAATTTCAAAGGTTTAGAAGAAGCTGATAAATTTCTCTAGGAAACAAAAATCCAATCTTCAAGAGTTTCAAAAATGTAAACAATACCTACTCCAAAGAGATATTAAGAAATATAAACAATAGAAATTAATTTTTCTGATTTTGATTTACAGAATAATTTAAGCATTTAATAAGAATTTGTTTAGTTTATTGAATAAGTCATTTTTAAAGCAAATAACTAATTAAATTAAAGAATCTAAACATCTTAAATTGATAATTTTATTAAATCTAATTAAGATTTGGAAACATAAATTATTTAATTATCAGAAGAGGTTTGGATTTTAAGAGAAAAGAACAAGATTCAATAAGAAATAATTAAATAATTAAAGCACAATTTAGAATGTTGTGATTAAAAAGATATTGAAGAATTAATTAAACTAAATCAATAAGCAAATGATTTTATTGAAATTTAATAATAAGAAATCAAATCTTTATCTGAATTAGTAATATAAACAGAGCAAGAACTACTATAGAAATCATAAATTATTTTGGATAATATATAAATTATTGAAAAAGCTATTAAAAAAGCAACAATCTAAGATAATATTCAAGATGAAAATAAAGAAAATTAATCTTGTATTAGCAATTAAAAATTACAAAAGAAATAAACAAAATCCTCTAATTACTCTAGTTTATAATCCACCTAAACTTTAAACAAATAATCTCCATAGTTATCTATTGATTTATAAGAGTATAATGAAATGAAAACAAACTTTTAGAAAGTATTTTAAGAAGTAGAATAATTTCAACAATTACTTAATGAATTTTAAGAGTAAGAATAAAATAATAATATTTCAAATTAAGATTTATTTGAAATTCTAGAATTATTTTAAGAAGAATTTAGTTATAGGGAAAATACATCTATTAAAGATCAAATAAAATATTACATTACTTAAACTTTAAATTAAAATGAACTATTAAAAAATAAATATTTAGATCTTATATATAAAGTAATATTGAATTAAATAAAGACAGATACTCGAAGAACTGAATTATTAGTGAAAAATGATTAAAAACTATAAGATGCTTTAAAATGGTTATTGCAAAATACAAAACGTAGCTAATCTGTATAAACAATTATATATAATTGTGATATATTAACAGATATGATAGTAAAAAAACTTAATAATTCTACAAGAATGAGTGAACTTCATGAAATAATAACTATGTAAATGAAAGTTATTTATACACTACTTTAATCTTTGTAAATTGGAAAAAATAATTTATAAAGTAGCAGAACAATTTTAGTTAAAAATGAAAAATAAGAAACTTTGATGAATGAAGCAATTTAAGATTTGAAAGATTTAAATAAAAAAATAAGTAATTTACCAGATACAAATGATGATCTTGAAAGTTCAGATGTAAAAGAAAATATTCGTTAAATTTGCAATAAATTTATTATGAATTGAATATTCTAATTGTTATTTTTTACTTTATTTATTATTTTCATTATAATTTTGGATCATATTAATAAATCAAGATCCATAATAAGTTCTTATTATAGAAATAAAGTATTCTTAGAAAACTTGAATATTAGTAAATTTAATATTTAATATTTAATAATTTTGAATATTTAACGATTAAAATGTCAGTTTATATTTGGGGAACTACACCTTAATAAGAAGAAACCACTACACCTAAATAAATAATCATAAATTTCCAAATAACCAAAGTATCATGTGGAGAAGAACATATGTTATTTCTATCTAATACTAATTAATTATATGCATTAGGAACAAATAATTATGGTGTCTTAGGAATTGGAAGTGATGATTATTCTGAGAGATCATTGACACCTTAATTAATATAATCAAATATTATTGATATGGATTGTGGTTGGAATCATAATATTTCTTTAAATATTAACAATAATGCTTTTGTTTGGGGAAAGGTTTTGAATGATATCACATTACCAAAATAAATAGGATAATCAATAAGATTTGTAAAATGTGGTGCTAGACATACTATGATGATAAATAACAAAAATCAATTATATGCAATAGGTGCTAATGATTCAGGATAATGTGGTATTTAAAACACTAAAAGAATAAATGAAGTAACTCATGTTATGGATAATGTTTTGACTGTAGCATGTGGTGTATCACATTCATTAATTAAAATTAATTAATAATTATTAGCTTGTGGATCTAATAATTTAGGATAATTAGGTATCTAAGGAGTTAAGAATTCCTTTAAACCAATATTAGTTGATATACCAAAAGTAGATTTAATTGCTGCAGGAAATCATTCAGCTGCAATAAGTTGTGGAAATCTATATATTTGGGGATCAGGTTGTTTTGGAACATTTTCTAAACCTACATTATTTTTAAATGATATTGTTGATGTCAAATTAAATGGAACTCTTGGATTAGGTGTAGATACTTAAGGATAGTTATATTCATGGGGTAGTAATGTAAATGGAGAATTAGGAGTAGGAGATACATAAACTAGAACAGAGGCAGTTAAAGTGTTAAAGAATATCTAGCATTTTGGTGTTGGAATAAATTATGCTATTGCTATATCTAGACCACCTTAACCTGTTACTACAGAAAAAGAATATTTGGCTAAGACTTTATAGATTGAAAGTGATGAAAGAAGTGCTTTAGAAAAAATAAATAGAGAATTAAAGTCTAAATTTGTGGAATTAGAATAATGTAATATTGATTTGAGAAAACTCTTAGATGTCAAAAGTGAGGATATTGATAATTTATAAGTTTAAATTGAGAATTATTCAAGTACAATTGCAAATTAAGAAAGTCAAATTAAAGATCTTAAATAATAATGTTAGAGACATTAAACTTTTTAAAAGGATGCTATTTCTAAATTAGAAAAATATGAAGATTACATTGATAATTTAGAAAATTAATTGAAGGTTAAAAATGAAGAAATTGATGGTCTAACTAATTAATTATAAAACTTTAAAGATTCACTTAAATAATATTAGGATGATGAAACTTCATAACTAAATCAATTTAAGAATTAATTAAGTGAATTAACTGAATAATTAAATTATGAATAATAAGTGAATGAATAATTGGTAGAATAATACAGTAAAGAAAGGGAATCATTCCAATAAAGAGGTGTTTTGATCTAGTAATATGAATTTGAAATAGGAAATTTGTAATCTTAAAATAAAACTTTAGCTTCACAAACAAGTAATTCATTATAATAACATTAAAAATTATCAGAAGGCTTAACTATTGCTAATCATAGAATTGAATCTTTATAAACTTAAAATGCAAAATTAATGTAAGAATTAAGTTTATTACGTACGAGTGTATATTCAGATTTACAAAAACCTTAAGCTTTAGAGGTATAAACAATTATAGGATTAAATAAAGAATTAACTGATTTAAATAACTAATTATAAAGTAAACTTAGAGAAAAGGATGCTGAAATTATAAAATTAAAGTCTCAATTAGGTAATTTTGGCACTCTTAAAGACAGTAGATAAAGTCTATCTTCTCAAATGAAAACTTCATAATGTTAAAATTAGTTATCATAATAAAATTTGAATATTCCAAAGAAACAAAAATAAGAGAGTCCCAATGGCAAAACTATACAGGAATTGTTAGAATCAGCTCATAAACATGCGAAGTATATGAAAAAGATTTTAAAATCATCTGAAAATTTTGAATCAGATACTCCAAGCCCTAAGAAAAAACTAGAATTTTCGAAAGAGAATTCACTTATTAAAAACGATAGTTTGAGTGAAGTGAGAGAGAGACTTAATAAACTTTAATAGAATAGATAATTATATGAATAAAAGCTTAGGATTTGATTTAATTATTATGTGTTATTATAAATCTATGATAATAGTATTTTTTATTTGATAAGATTTCTTATTTTTATATCAAAATAAAATACATATAAATATGATTTTCTTATCAAAAATAAATGAACTTTGTATAGATAACATTTAATGCAAGAATGAAGTTTGTAATTTATTGCATCCTAGATGCTTTGCAGGAGTTTGCATTTAGCATTTGCAAAAAAAGTAAGATGATTGTAATGAATCTTTATTGCATTTTTCAAATAAGGAATGTAAAGTTTATTTGTAATCAGGAAAAATTAATGGAGTATATTGTTTTAACCTTTGCAAAAAATAGAATTTATGTTAGGGTAAACAAGATTGTAGATTTTTACATCGAAAATGGGCTGAAAACATTTGTATTGAAGATTTAATAGATGAATGTAAGAATAAATAAGAATGCTAATTGAAACATTTCAATTGGTAAGAAATTAAAAAGGAAGCATATTAAGAATTTAATATTCATGATTTAAATCCTGAAGAAATAGAAAATGGTAAGAATCATAAATTGCCAAATGATATATGTATATAATATTTATAAGGTCTATGCCAATTTTAAACTAGTTGTTAAAACAATCATATAGAATGGGAATGTTTAAAAAATAGTAATTTTAAGGATATTAAAGATACAAGAAGAAGATAATGTATTTATGATTAATCCACATAATTGATAGATTAATCATCAAAAATGATGAATCAAGAAATTGTAAATTAATACTTTGAAAAAATTTAATATAACCGAATGAAAAAAATAGTTTTGAAAGCATAAATAATAGATGTTCTATTTATAATTGATAACACTGGAAGTATGTAAAGATGGTTGAAATCAGCTAAAGAAAATATTTGTTAAATTATCAATGAATTTTAGACATAACTAGATAAAAAAAAACATATAGTAAGAACAGCCTTAGTAGCATATAGAGATTATGATGATGAAGATAATCTATTATATCGTGAATTCACAACTGAATCTAAGGTTACCTTGGAGTTTCTAAAAAAATTGTAAGCGAAAGGAGGAGGAGATGATCCAGAAAATGTTATTGGAGCATTAGTAAAAGGAATCAGACTCAATATCAGTAAAGATGAAGATAGTGTTTTATGCACTTTTTTAATTTGTGATAGTCCTTCTCATGGTCCTTATCATGAACATCTAAAAGATGATCATTTTGATAAAGTATAGGAAGGAGATTTGGAGAATATCATGAAAAAGTATTTCGAATTAAAAGTAAATAATTTCTTTACTTGTCTTAAACTTACAGAAAATACAAATTTGATGTTTAATAAAATGAAGTCTGCTTTTCCTAGTTTAATTATTACTAAAACCACTCCAGATAGTTTTCACGAATCAGTTCTGTTTTCACTTAGAACATCCTTAAAATAATCTGAAGCTAAAACATCCAAAACTAAGAAAACTATTAAAATAAAGGCTAAATTTAGTAAATATAAACCACTAGAAATTAATAATTCACTATTAAGGGATAATAATATTGATTACTGGTAAAATTTCTTAGAATAGGAAAAAAATAATAAAATTGAAGGAGATACTTTATTGATTATTAATAAATATTAAGAAATATTGGAAGAAAAGGACAAAGGGGCAGAATGCTTAATTTTTAAATTATTCGATATAGTTCTAAATAGAAATTTGGTTTTAAAATTACCAAAATACATTGTAAATGAATATAATCAAAAACAAACCATATCATAAGAGAACTTAAAATCTTATCAACAATTCATAAAAATCAGATATACTTCTTTACTAATAGCTTAATAATTAGCAGAGGGGTTTAGATTAAAAACTTTATCCATCAAAGGAGCACCTCCAATTTTTTATGTTTCCCCAATTATTTATGAACTAGAAGAACCATTCATGGGTGTTACTTAAATTTTTGCAGAAACTTATATAAACCTACCAAATTTTTAGGAATGGAAAAAATATACTAATAATGCTAAATTTGTTGATCAAGATGAATATTATTACACCGCCTTCTCTCATTATTCTTATGTGGCTACTGAAGGAAAACTAATTATCACGGATTTATAAGGTAAAAATAATATTTTATCTGATCCAACTATTCATACAATTGATTAAAAAATTCGAGAAATTCTTAATGATGATTCAAATTTTTAATAAGAAGGACTTATTTACTTTTTTGAATAATAACATCCTAAATGTCATGAAATTTGTAAACAACTTAATTTGAAGAAATATTCATATTCTTAATAGTAATAAGAATTTATTCCAGATAATTAAGAAGACTCAAGTAATATATTAGTTTGGAAAAGGGATCCACAAGATTTCATAAGTGTTATATGTTAAATTTGTGGAGAATTTAAAGATTTGACATATGAAGACTATTTTAAAGAAAATTCTTGTGTTTGTAATAATTGTTTAGAAGATGAAGAACCAATTCAACTAATTTGCATTTGTTGTAGAAAATAATTTAAATGTTTCTATAACTAGGAAGTAAAAATAGGGAAAATTCCAGAAAAATGCGAATAATGTAAATTGAAATGTGTCTAAGGTAATTTAGAATGCTTATATTGCGGATGTTATTGTGAAAAAAGAGTGAATAAAGTATAAATACAAAATCAAGAAATAAAAATTTGTAATGAAGGTATAAGATTTCTAAATTCACTTACATGTAGTAAATGTAAATAGTTGTATAATTTTGAACTTTTTATCACACCAAACGATTATTAGTATGCAATTTATTTTTGTACAAAATGTAAACTATTAACATGATTGCATATAAATTAAAAATGGAAATTATTTAATATATAAAATTAACATTCATTTTTTCGGTGCTTTCTTTGGTTTCTTTGATGGTTCTATAAATATTTTATTTAATTCATACTTTTGACTTATTATAAGAATGCTTAGATATGTTTAGCTGCTTCTGATTTCTTTTCTAATTCTATTTAATGTAGTTCTTTTAATCTTCTGAATTCCTCTTCCAACTATCTTTCTCTTCCTTTTTCTGAATCAACTGCTTTGAAATACTCCTACCTGTCTTTCAATTATTTCTCTATTGAAGCACATTCACTTTATAAATCAGTTAAATTTTTCATATATTCCTCCATCATCTGATCATATATTTATATTGCTTCAGATAATGATTAATCTTGAACTTATTTACGCCTTTTCAATGTTGCCTCTTCCTATGTATTCTCATCTTTCATTTTTATAAAACGAGCTCTCTAAGCTTATAGTTCTGCTTATAATTTATCTTCTTTTGTTTTATGATCTTTTTCTAATCCCTCATACTTAGTCTAAATTTCTTTGGCCAATTAATCTTATCTCTTTTATTTATTAGCCTTAACTTCTGCAATAGATTATTTCAATTTTTCTATTTCTTCTTTCATCTTATTCATATTTGCAGTTCTTTCCTATCTAATTTTTTGTAATTCTTGTTCTAATTAACTTTTAGTTTTCTCTTATCCTGCTATCTATATTATATAATAATATATTTACTTTAGACTTTAAATCTTCTAATTATTTAACATGACTATTCTATTCTTCTTAAGCTGTACTTAATTTTTTCAACATAACTATTTTAATACACTTTACACAATGTAATAAATCACTCATTTCTGTATTGATATTTGTTTTCATTCCTTTAATGATATCATAATCTTTAGGACAATGTTATAGTCTTCTTAATAAATTCTTGAAATTTTCTTATAATAAATTTTCTAATCTCTCTGATTCCATTTTCTTTGTCTCATCTATTTCTTCCCCTTGATTCAATGCTGTGTCTAAATTTGCATAAGGTCTATATTTCTGTTCTATTTCAGCTTAGGATTACAAAAGTTTCATAGTTTCTTCTGTTAGCGGTTACTTTGCATCTTTTAAAAATTTTCCAGTTTAAAAGCGTCCAATAAATTCAGTATCCAAATATAAACAATATTCTAAATTTTAGATAAGCTAATCTAAAACTCTTAAAACTCTTTAAGCTTCTACGATTGTAGGTTTTCCTATTATTGTAGACATTAGGTTCTTTATAATTTCTTAATGACCCTCTTATAAAGACCTTTACTATTATTTAACTCTATTTTCACCAAGACTTGTTTCCATAGTCTTTGCAAATTGTTTGTGTGCTCCTTTCATTATTATATTATTTAATTTATTATTAATATAATATTATCACTCCTTTTTTGTGCTAAGTTCATGAATATCTAAAGCAATATTCTAATATTATGTTCATTTTTATTACTAAATCAATTGAATCTATGCTTCCTAAACGATGCCTCTAGACTTCCTATTCTTTATTGAGTGCTTCTTTAATTCTTAAAAATTTTTCCTTATGTTTACGATCATATTGTATTTTAGCCTTTTTGTATTTATTCTATAGTTTTAAAATCAATTGAAAAAATACAAACCATAATTTATTTTCTAGTTCGATTCTTAAATAATAACTATATTAAATCGAAATCAGTTCCTAAAATAGAAACACATTTTTCTAATTTCTTTAAATCTTCTGGATTCCAAATAGGATTTGAATTGGATTTGTTAATTTTGGTTTATTGTTATTTTTTTTAGATTCTGGGTCTCTATTTCAATAATTCTTTTAAGGTTTCACTATCCTTGGTATTGCTTTCACTTGATAAGGAAGCCATAAAATAATTTATTTTATTTTATTTGCAATAAAACTGGTGGGGGCCATGACCAAGAGAGAAAAATATCAATAAATATTTTTATATTTTGTATTATTATTAATTTTATCGTGTATTGCTATCTCAAATAGTCCATGGCTATCCATTTACAACTGATCTTTCCCATGTTGGAAGAACACCTCTTTGATAATATGAATTTCTTAGAGGTTCAAAAAGACCAAAATGAGCCAATCCCAATGCTAATAACATTACAAACCTATTTTTATACCTATTGTTGTAAATAAGATTTCACGTCTGCCTCCCTTTCTTGATTGTCTCATAAAATAGTTGCTTGGTAATGTGGTAAACCATTATTTTGCCATCTTATTGTATTTTTTATATAAATTAAAATAATTAATAATTTATAACTTAGTATTATACTATATATATATTATTTCATTAACATTTGATAACTAGATATTTTTAATATTTCAATAAGAATAATTATCCTATCTACAAGATTGTTTAATTTATCAATAAATTTGTTAAAAATTAGAAATAAGTGTAACCAATAAAAATATTTGTTATCATTCAAATATATTATATATAATATAAATTGTTCTTTGACTTTATTAAAACATTAAAATATTATTGTTATTTTTCTTTTATATTCAGGAGCTTATAAGATGAATAAAATTTTCATCTTTCTCTCTTTATCAAATTCCCAAATATACTTTTAATTTTCTTTTAATCCCAAAATTTAAGATATGAGTTACTTATTTCATACTCAAGAAATCTTAAATTAATTATTTCAAAACATTTTTAATAGATACAATCTTAAAACCTTTTTAATTAATCGAAGCTAAAACTTATTGGAAATTAAAAAATAGGGACTACTTTAAAAGGTCTTTAATAATTAAATCCTTGAATCCTTTTTTCAATTAAGACTTCATAATTTTAATAAAATTTTAATTAAACTCTTAATCTAATATTTATTCAACATAGAAAAATAAAAAATTTTTCCGATACCGGGGATTGAACCCGGGTCCCCAGGGTGAAAACCTGATATCCTAACCACTAGACTATACCGGAAATGTTAATTTAATATTAATTAATATAATTTTATATTGCAAAGTTAGTTAATTGATTAAAAATAAGTTAGAATATTATAATGATCATCTGATTTAAGCATAATTATATTTATTTATATTATTGAAATGGAAATAAGTAAAATACTTATACTTATTTTCATTTCATATACAAAAAGAATATATGTATGAACAGTTGTTTAAGTTAAGAAGAATACTGTAACAAAAAAGAATTTGCTTATAATTACAAGAATCAGAATAATCAAATTTTCTTTTTACTTAAGATATCAGATAATCATTGAGTATTTAAGTAGATTTGATATTCATTTAACTTGAAATAAAGAGAACTCTATTTATTAAGAGTTCTTATGATAGCAATTCTTATAAAATCACTCTTATTTATTTGATTACTCAGTTTTCTTTTGTACTTCATCCATTGCTTTTGTTTTGATTCTATTAATTTTATCAAACAAAAATTATTTTTCCTGTTCTTCTGATTCCCAAGATGTCTAAAAATTATAATAAATCTATACTTCTGGTCCTAAACCTAATTTACTTAAATCTTCTTTTTCCATAAGACCATTATTCATTCTACATTGTAAATAATCAACTTGATATTTTCTACATCTTTTTGGCATGTTCTCATGTTTTTGGATGCATTAATTATATTATTTAGCTTCATTATCACATTCATGAAAATGATCTAATGGAAATGCTCCCTTATCTTATTATAATAATATAAATTACCTGGTCCTTTTGATGCATTCTACTTACTTCTATTAGACATAATTAAAATTTAAAATATTTATATATAGATATATTTAAAGTATCACATATGATAATTTTCTAAAATTGTTCTATATTTATCTTTTAAAATTTTAAGTAATTATATATAAACATTATGCTCCAATTTGTATTTCTGAGCATTTTCTTAAGCAACTTGAATTAGATTATCATTTTTTTTCATAACTATATTAATTGTTTTGCCTGTTTTGAGTTTAAATTAAACAGAAAATAATTTCTGATTCTTATTATCATTTATATCAACACATTTTATGAGTTATTTGTTTGGTGTGATAGATTTATAATTCAATTATCTTTCTGGAGTTTTATTAAACTAAGTATTGACTTATTCTCTCAATTATACTACAATACCATTTGAAGATTTATTTCTATAACTATTTCTATTAGTATTTTTACTAGGTTAATTGAGAGACTTATTTGTAGCCATTTTAGAAATATAATCTTAACTAGATTAAGGATTTTATTCAATTGTTAAAGTAGTTGATTTTGTTTAATGATGAAAATAATTATTTTAAAAGGTTTTAATTTTAGTACTATTTTCATTTTCTTATTTAATAAATTAAGAGATTTCATATATATTGATAGAATCTTTTTTTTTTAATACATTTTCTGATTTCAACTTTTATTCTTTTTATTAATATAAATCTTAATTAAAACTGTCAAAAATCTTTTCACATTCTACTTAAATGTAATTCTGAATTTCATATATATATTTATCTTCAATTTCAGCTTAAAATTATTTAAATTAATCCAATCCATTTTTCATTGCATCTTAAATAGTTGTAAATTTATCTTAAGAATTACTCATTTCATTAAATGCTGATCTATTTGTATAGATTTAAGATTGTAATTTAGAAGGTGATCTTTAAAAGATAACTTAAGAATTAGAATTTTAATTCTTATTGGTATCATTATCAATCCATCTACTGATTCTTGAATTTTTAGGAGTATTATCACTACTAAATTAATTGAATTTATATGTATTGACTTCTGATTATTTTTGTTAAGTCTATTATAATGTATTTGTATTCTTATTTGAAAAGCTCATTACTTAATCTTATTTGATTGATGGACTATTTTATGAATCATTATAAATGGATTTACTTTGATTCTCTAAATTTTACCTTAAAGGTGAATCTTAATCTTCTTGTATATATGTTTGAACTCTTCTCATATGAATTTAAGATTAGTTAACATTAAATTCCTTTTATCTAAAGGAATGAGTAGAATTAATTTTTTAGTTATTATTTCCTTAAGAATTATCTATTCTATTTGAATTGGGTGAGACTTCACTTTCTGTTTGAGAAACATTATTGTTTTTCATTGATATACGATTAAACTTAAGAACAGAGATTGTCGATGATTTTTAGTGTCTATAAGACTTATTTCCACTCTATTATATCTATAATTAAAGAGTCTAAGATTAAAATGGAAATGAATACATAGATGAGATGACTAACATTTTATTTGGTGATACAGGATATTTCATGGTAGCTCATTCCATACTTTGCAGAGAATTTAAGGGCATTTTCACCTTTGTAGATGTAAATGAAGCATTTTTACTCGAAACTTTTCTTCGATCTATGAGATCAAGTTTATTGCCAATCAAATATGTACTCTTATTTTAGATTTCTGAATTGTAACGATTTTTTAAGTATTCTAAGCTGTTTTGATCACTAATGTCAAATAAATAGATTGCAACATCAGCTCTGGATGTAACCAATTCTAACTGAAAATTTTATTATAATAGTTCAATCAGAGTTCTTTTTCCAACACCATTTTTGCCTATGATTTAGAATTACATTAACATTAATTAATTAGTTGTTAATTTTATGACTTCCCCTTCACGTCTGTAAATTGAATAAGCACTTGAACTTGAGAAACGATTTGAAGATGGTGATACTTAATATGAATAGATAGCTCAATTAGCTCTTATCTATAGATAATTCATTGAGTATTATGATTTGAATAATAATCCAATGAAATAATACTTTATAGAAAAGATGAAACGTTTAATGTAATCACCTTGCACAATGCAATCCTTAATTGTTTCAGCTCCAAGTACAAGACGTAATTCACCTACAGGTTAAGAAAATCTAAAACATTATTATCAGAATTATTAATATGAAACTATGAAAAATCAAACAATTACTCCAAGAGGGATTAAATAATTACAAAATGTAATTTAATAGTTATTTATTCTTACAGGACTTTTTATATTAGAAAGAGAATATTGAAAAGATTATAAATAATGATTATGCTAAGTAGTTATAGTAAGTAACGGAAAAATTATAGTAAAGAAAATAGAAAAAGGGTCCTAATAAAAAATCTCCAAGCAGAACCTTCACTAAAATTTATAAACCTCCTACTCTAGAGATGCTTGATTTGTGATTAATAGTTGTTATTTTATATTTATATAGTTATTTGTTTAAAACAATATGACTATTTTGATTTTAATTTAAATCAATAAATTTAAGATCTTCTCATAATTTTTCATCTTTTTTAATTAGAAACTCTTTTATTTAGATTATTTTAAACAATGTCGATATACTTGCTATTTTTGTTATTTTTAATAATTAACTTTGATTAACTTTAATTAACTTTGGTTTAATAATTAATTTTAATAAACTAATCTACCTTAATGTCTCGATTTTATGCTAAAAAAGAGTTTAATTCTGAATACTATACTTTACTTAATGGATTAGAATAAAGTTTCTTTAAGGAGGATATTGAAATAAAGGATTTGATGCAATTAATTTTAAGTATAGCTGAATTAGTTGAATATTTTGATTTGAAAAAAGATCCTATTAAGAATTATTTTTTGGAAAAAATGCAATATATTCTTTCCAGACCTTTTACACTTTGTAATTTAAAGAAGAAAGAGGATGAAAATACAAACAATAAGGAAATGAAAAAGTCACGTCATTCTCATTTCTCTTCAAATGTTTAAAAATTAGAAATGCAATCATTGTTACAAAGCAACTCTGAAGAAAATGAAGGAACAATAAAATTATTATAAGAAGTAAAATATTTAATAAATAATTATAAAAGGATTATGAAAAGTAATTAAATGATCAAACTTAATTAGTTTAAATGGACTTGAATAATTAAATAGGCATATTTAAAAATAAATTAAGACATCGAAAAAATAAAAGTTTATTTTCTCCATCAAGCAGAATTAATAATTAAGAAGATTAATAAAGAAGATCGATTAGATAAAATACTTGTCTAAGTAGTAATTCAAATAGAAGATAGATTATACATGATGATAATATTTGTTAAATTCTAACATAACAAAATCAATGAATATATAAAAAATAGAGTTTTGTATAATTAAATATAACAAGTTATTAATGTATTTCTTTTAATAATCATTTAGATTGATCATCATTTCCTTCTTCTATTAGAGCCTCTTGACTAGTGATTGCTTTAAGTATAATTTTTTTACTTGGCTCTTAAAGGAAGCCACCCAATAATAATTCATCCAAAATGTAATAGGCTTTATGGAAATTAAAAATTAAATCCAATTCACATACATTACCAAAATACTTATCCAAAACTTCAACAAAATGATGAATGATCTCTAATATCAACAGTTCATTATCTTCCTTATCACAAATAACTATGAAATAAAGTGAAGCATATCGTTTATAAACAATTTTGTATTCTACATACTCTAAGAAATTGCACATCTTTTGACCGCGTGTCAATACTAATGAGTTTATCTTTACAATAACATCCATAGCAATACTTCTTTTAAAAATCGTTGCTTTTCCCTTGTAGTAAGTGATTGATTATACCACTTAGTCAATCTGGTCTTTCCTTGTCTGCTAACTAGAAATAAACACTAGATCATTATGAAAACTCTTTTAATTTATTAATTAAAATATGTTACTCATGAATGAATCCATAAATGTATTAATTTAATATATACTAAGGTTACCATTCCTTTATATCAACAAGAATCATCAAATGTTTAATATGTGATTGATATTAAGACAAGAAATAAATAGTAATGGCAAATTTCTAAACGATATTCTTAATTTGAAGATTTACACAAGAAATTGATACCACTATTTTAAGAACTCCCAGAATTACCAAAAAAAGCATTTATTACATTTTTGGTTGGAAAATCAAAAGAATAATTAGAGGAGCGAAGAGCTGGCTTAGAGAAATATCTTTAGTAATTAATAGTTCGTCGTGAAATATATCATTCTTAATTACTTAGAGATTTTTTGCAGGTATAGTAATTTGTAATAAGCTTGAATAATGCGAAGAAATTCTCCCACCTAATTTACTTCATTCATTTAAAACAATTATGGGCATACGTGATATTTCTTTATCTGATTAAGGAGTGATGTTCCTCCTTTAAGCAGATATGAGTGTTTTAAATAGAGTGGATGCTTATGTTAATAATATGAAGATGCCATGGGATTCTGAATAAGGGGAAGTCAAAACCATACCAGTGGGATAAGTTGAATGTTATATAAAGTAAGAAGAAGGAGAATTTTGTTATAAAAAAGTATGGACAAAAGAGTATAGTACTTAAGCAATATGCATGTTTTATGAACCAATCACATGCACTTTATTAATAGGGTAATATTATTAGAAATAATATATAGATTGGATTCAGGAAATATTAATTTTATTAAAGTTTCAGAAAGAGATTCATTCGAAAAGTATGAATAAAGTATTGAAATCGAAATACATATGAGCAGAATTATGGGTTTATTTTATAGAAATGGGTAAATTCACTCAGTTTCTAAGGATACTCATTATAAAGTCATAGATATGGAATAAGGTGGATTAAAATCAGGTTCAAATTTATTATATTATTCTAGATTTTTCAATTGGTAAACATGAATTAACATCATTGACATATAATGAATAGAGATAAATATCTGTAGTTGGTAATAGGAATGGTTAAATCTATATATTAAACATTAAACCTGCATAACCAATAGTTATGTTGTAGGTTGAAACGAGCACATCATTTATTAGAGGTTTAGTTTTGGATTATCAGAAAAACTATTTAATATCTGTTTCTTATGATGATGGTGTGATTTGTGTATTAGATGTTGGTAAATGCTTATAAGACAATGTAGGAAAAATCAAAACAAAAATTTAAGCTAAAATTAAAGTATAATAAATCAATTATTATTAATTTCTAGACTAGAGAAGTTTAATGGTCAAGTAAACGAGGTGAATTATTCGTTGGAAATGATGATGGAACTGTAACTATTTATAATGCACTTGATTTATAACCTTAATGTATTTTCTTTTATTATTATTTTAAGTTGTACTAAAAGCACATGATAAAGCCATTACTAAGTTAATTTGGTAAGAATCAACATAGATTCTTATTACTGGTGGAAAGGATGAAATAATTAAATGGTGGCATTTTCCAAAAAAATGGAAAGCTGGTGATTAAGATGAATAAGTCAAATCAAAATAATTGATTGAAGCAAAAATGGAGAATATTTTAAAATTGTAAAATTAGAATCAAAAAATTGATTCAGATGAAGAAGATGAAACAGGTTTAGGTAATTGGCATAAATGATATTGTATGATGACTTTATCAAATTTTTAACAAATTATTTATAATTTATTTATAATATGCAGCAATAAAAATCAATCGACGTAAGATTGATAGTATACATCATAGATCGAAATTATTTCATACTCATATGAGAGTACAACCATATTTTATTAAATTTCGGTTAAAAATGGAATTAGATAATGGATTGTATAGAAAAGATATTCATAATTCGAAGAGTTGAATCGTATTCTTGAATTAACTTTTAAATAATTACCTTTATTGCCAAAAAAAAAATTGATTACTTTCCTAGTTGGGAAATCAATTGAATAAATCAATGAGCGCAAATATGGATTATAGCGTTATTTATAGACATTAGTTTCTAGATAAGAAATTTTAGATTGTGATGCATTTTAATAATTTTTAAAACTAAAACCAACAGAATAATTAATTAAAGAAGAGTTATTTAAAGAAAATATCTTTGAATAAGTGTAAAGTCCTCTTAAAATAAAAAAATAATTTGATGGAACTTAAAATAATTAACCTAGTCCTCAGTAAGTATTTGTTGATAAAAGAGATTATCAATAATAAACTTCATTTATTGAAAATTAAATAGAAAAAGGAAAAAACAACTCCTTTGAATAATATGATAATTAGTAATCATCAGATATCAAGTAAAATTAATCAAATGATAATGCTGAATTAATAGTATAAATGAAAAAACAACTTCAAGAATTCTATGATTAAATAAATGAAAAAGATGTTATTATCTCTAATTTTAATCAAAAAGAACTTGAAACTTAAGAATATTATAATTAATAAATTTATGAAAAGTAATATAGAATTAATGAATTAAATGGATAAGTTAATTAATATTAAGAATCATATTCAGAATTATAGAAATAGTATTAAAATATGTAAAATTAAATTGAAGAGTTGAAAATTAAACTTTAAAAAAGTCAATAATATTCTGAGTCATTAAAATAATAATTTAAATAATAATAAAATTTAATCTAATAATAGATTACATCAATAGGTTATGATAACTTAAATTAGATAGAATTATAATAAATAATAATTGAGTAAAAAAAGAAAATAGATGAATAAATATAAATAAATAAAGAAAAAGAATTTGAATTTAAACATGAATTAGAAAAACATTATTTAGTTGAAACTTAAAGAGATGAATTATTTTAAGAAAATTAATTATTAAAAGATCAATTAGAGGAAGAATTATTGCAAAAAAATGAATAAGATGAAACTATTGATTAATTGAAATTAGAAATGGAATATTTATAAATGTAATTAAAGGATAAATAAGAACTTTTAGATATTAAAAATGAATTATCTTGATTTAAAATAAAGATTTTATAAATAAATTGAATAAAAATCTTCATAAGATTTTATTCATAATTATGTTTTAATAAAATTGCTAAAAATTACATATATAGTTATTTATCAATTCCTAGTAGGATGCAATAGATTTAGTAATTAATAATAATCTTATTTTTATTAAAATACTATTTCAAATGTGATTCATATTATTATAATTAATTTTATGAACGTTTATTATTATTTTTACATTTTTATTAAATATTCTTTGATAGTGAATTTCTTTTTATTATTTCTTAAACTCTAATTAATTTATGTTTATCATTATAGTTTATTTATGTCTTGATTATTAGTATTATTTAAAATAATTTTAATAATTTATTATAATTTTTAAAGACTATCAATCAGTACATTAGATTTAATTAAGTTTATTATAACTTTGATAGCATTATAATAAAGGTTAAAACAGATTTTATTATTGATAAATCTAATTATGATGTATTATATTATTTTTCCATTTCAATTATAATAAAAAATACTAATTATATATTATTTCTAAGAAACTATGAGAATATTTAAGTTTATTTAATGTAATCATAATAAGTGAGTATTTTTCCTTCTCTCTTTAATTATAAATTATAACTTATCAATAATACTCTATATATCTTATGACTGTTCTTTCATTTTCATCTTTTGAACTTCTTAATTTTTTTATGGAAACATGAATTTTATCTTTTTAATTTTATCCTCATCTTTAAGATATTTTATTATAAGTAATTCATTATTTTTCAGTCCTATTTAAAGAATAGAAGATATTTGAATTCTTTTATAATCTTTAGTTTGTCCAGATTAATGATTTTACAGTAAAAATTGAACCATCCATTTTGTGATTTTACAGAAAGAATAGTTTTACTATTTTTTTTTAGTGTAGTAATAATAAAAATCAAAATAGTCTATTCCAATAATGACTTCACTCATTTATTCATTGTTTTCTATTTTTAATAAATTATATTCTTAATAATTAAACATCTATTGAATTTTTTGATCTATTTAATCATCTTTCTGAATTATAGATGAGGTTATTGATTTAATTGAAGATGTACTAAATCCATAATTATGATTGAGATCATTAAGATTATCTTAATTAGACTTATATTTAATAATTAACCAATGAATTGGGAGTATAGAAATAGGAAATTTAATATCTAATGGTTCTTAATTATTAAAATTAACACAAGGATATTTAAGTTAGAAAAAACATTCATTTTTATTATATTAAAAATTACTTCTCCTTTATAGTTAATTATATATTTCTTAAATGGTTGTGTTTTCTTCGAATTTTAAATTGTAAAATATTTCATTTTTTGTATCCTCAATTAATAAAATTATTTAAGTGGGATACATTTTATTAGTTATCTCAATTGTAAATAAATCAATACCAAAGGTTGATGTATCTGATATTTATAATGTAAGATTTCTAAAATTCACTTTAGAATTTAATTCCAAATTAAAGTACTCTCTATTTATATTATTTTCAACGTTATCAATAATATATTAAAATTATTGATCTTCATCTTATTTAATAAATTAGTTATCAATAAAACTATCTTTTTATGAAGGTTAAGCAGAAAAATCACAATAATCATCAACACTTGTCAATTAATAAGCTAATGTAAAGTTTGAGTATTTTAATAAACTTTAATCAAATTCTGAAGTTTTCTTGTATTCCTATATAGCAAGAACTATTAGTTCACATGCTAATATGTTCTTATCGACAAATAGAGTTTTGGAGTATCGTGAGTTTAAGTAATTAATAGATAATTATATTATATTTCTCTATAAGTTTGTTTTAAATAAAGGTGTCATTAATGATCTCTTAGATGAAATCAATAAAAGCGTTTTTGCACTCCTTTTGTTATTACGATATCTCTTAAACTTTTCTTGTTCTAAAATAACTTATGAAAATGATTTTTTATGTCCTTAGTAAGATGAATTACTACATTTTAAATTAGGTTTATGGTGTATTTCATTACATTTTTCTTTTTAGTCTTCGTTGATTTCTAGAGTGGCTTAATTTTCATTAACTTCACTTAGGCTACTTTGATTATTAGTTCTTACTAATTGATCCATTTTAAGATTTAATTCAGAATTCTGGCTACTTTTGATAATATTGGTAACGTTTGATGCTTGACCCTATTATTAGCATTCTTAATATAGATATTCAATATCATTCCAATCAAATTCTTAACTATTTTATTCTTTTGATGAACAAGTGCTTTTTGATTAGTTATTCCACTTTATTGATTATTAGTGCATTTACAAATAAAAATTGTCCATAACAATAAAATATGATTAAACAATAAATTAATTTTCATCATATTTTAAGATACTTTTTATAAATAACATAAATTTATACATATTATCATGTATGTAAACCCTAATATTAATATATTGGTTACAATCTTTTAGTATTTGTGCAAACGACTTTTTATTATATATATATATATAATTTATTGCTATTTAATATTAAATATATCAATTTAGTATAAATTATTTATTTAGAACAATAAAGAAATGGATAAATTGTAATAATTAATTTAAGAGTTCTTCAATGTTTTAGAATAGAATTTTTTTCTTTCTAGAGAGTTCAATAAGATTTTTATATCTCAAGAGAATGCTAAATAAATTGCATAAGAAAAAAAATATTAAGAACTGACAATTAAATTATTAGAGTTTATTTTATCTATTCATAAAAGCAACTAACACTCTGCATTATAAGATAGAATTGCTTAAACTTAAAAACTACTATTAAATTACCATAGTTAAATCAATCAATCATAAAAAAAGGAAATATAACCATTAAATTAAAATCTTGATATTCCTACAGTCAGCAATTATAAAAGTAATCCAGTCACTCCTAGAGGTGTGTAAATCAATTAAAGTAAAAGTGTTTAAAACTTACATGGACCTGAGAAAAGACAAAAGTCTAATTAGAACCCAGTTTAGGGAATGTCAAAAGGAACCCCAAATAGTTCATCCTAATAGAGGTTTTTTATCGAAGATATTCCTAAAATGGGTAAATCTCAGGTAAAAGATGATTAATAAAGGAATTATAATATTATTACTGGTTTGTGAAAGAAATTGAATAATATGATTTATGAGCTTCAATATTAATCATATAAATATTATACATTAATCCTTATACATATTGATTTTGTATCAAATTATTCACCCTATTTCCATATAGTTAATTATGCAATCACAATTCCCAAAAGAGTTAAAATAATCAAAATTTAATTGATAATACAACAATAATATATATATATAATTCTAAGAATATAGATTACTGTTTAAATTCAGAATTTATAAGATGCATACTTTTATACCCATTTATAAAATTCATAATACATTCTATTGATACTATCTATATATACTCTAAACTGTTTAATTTATATACTAATTCTTAATTATGTTAAAATTATCTAATATTTATATTTCATTTTGTATTAAAATGACAAAATATAATTATTGAAAGTAGAATACAATAAAAAAAGATGCTTATTTATAATCTTCAGAATTATTCTCTTCTAAACTTTTATAAATTTAAATTGCGTTTTACTTGGCATCTCTTTTAAAAACTATTTATAAAGGAAATCGTATATCTATTAGAAATTTGAATAAGAGCATCATTAAGTACTTTAATACTACTCTCTTTAATAAAGTATTAATAAACAATCATATTCCCTAAGATGATAATTATCAATTATGATAACAATTAAGGCCCTTATTAATTGAATTAAAAACATAAAATTAATGTAATAAGTAATTCCAGCACCCAGAGTTTAAGTAACATAACCATATGCAGGCTAAAAACCAGGTACTTCAGGCTTACGTAAGAAGGTGAGTGAAGCAACTTAACCAAACTATTTAGAGAACTTTGTGCAAAGCATTTTCAATACATTACGCAAAGATGAATTAAAGCGTATCCAATAATAGTAATTTTATTTAGCAAGAAATGTTCTATTTGTTGGTGGAGATGGAAGATACTTTAATAGATAAGCTATTTTCTAAATAATTCGTTTAGCTTATGCAAATGATATAAGTGAAGTGCATGTTGGTTAAGCAGGTTTAATGTCTACTCCTGCCTCTTCACATTATATTCGTAAAGTAAATGAAGAAGTTGGAAATTGCATTGGAGGAATAATTCTCACTGCTTCTCATAATCCAGGTGGTAAAGAACATGGAGATTTTGGAATCAAATTTAATGTAAGAACAGGTGCTCCTGCTCCAGAAGATTTTACTGATTAAATCTATACAGTAATTATATTTATTTATATATATTAGCATACAACTAAAATAAAAGAATATTTAACAGTAGATTATGATTTCGAGAAATATATAAATTTAGATTAAATTGGTGTTTACAAATTTGAAGGCACTAGATTAGAAAAATAACATTTTGAATTTAAAGTAGTTGATACAGTTTAAGATTATACTTAATTGATGTAAAAACTTTTTGATTTTGATTTGCTTAAAGGATTATTTTCAAATAAAGGTAAAATTAATTTAATATTAAATAAAAAGATTTTTCATTTAGATTTGATGGAATGCATGGTGTTGCTGGACCTTATGCTAAACATATTTTTGGAACTTTATTAGGATGTTCAAAGGAATCTCTATTAAATTGTGATCCATCAGAAGATTTTGGAGGTGGTCATCCAGATCCAAATTTAACTTATGCTCATGATTTAGTTGAATTATTAGATATTCATAAGAAAAAGGATATAAATACAGTTCCATAATTTGGAGCTGCATGTGATGGAGATGCAGATAGAAATATGATATTAGGTAAATAATTCTTTGTAACACCTTCTGATTCCTTAGCAATTTTAGCTGCTAATGCTAATTTAATATTTAAAAATGGTTTATTAGGAGCAGCTAGATCAATGCCAACTTCAGGTGCTTTAGATAAGGTAGCAAATAAAAATGGAATTAAATTATTTGAAACACCTACAGGTTGGAAATTTTTTGGAAATTTAATGGATGCAGGATTAATAAATTTATGTGGTGAGGAAAGTTTTGGAACAGGATCTAATCATATTAGAGAAAAAGATGGAATTTGGGCAGTTTTAGCATGGTTGACTATTTTGGCATATAAAAATAAAGATTCTGATCATTTTGTCACTGTTGAAGAAATAGTTACTTAATATTGGTAATAATATGGTAGAAACTATTATTCAAGATATGATTATGAATAAGTTGATTCAGCAGGTGCTAATAAAATGATGGAACATTTAAAAACAAAATTCTAATATTTTGAAGTATTTATTATATTTTAATATAGTAATTGAAAGAAGGAAATAAAGCAGATATTTATGATTATGTTGATCCTGTTGATCAATCTGTATCAAAAAATCAAGGTGTAAGATTTGTTTTTGGAGATGGATCTAGAATTGTATTTAGATTAAGTGGAACTGGATCTGTAGGTGCAACTATTAGAATCTATTTTGAATAATTTGAATAATTGGATATTAAACATGAAACAGCTACTGCATTAGCCAATATTATTAAACTTGGATTAGAAATTAGTGATATTGCTTAATTCACAGGAAGAAATGAACCAACTGTCATAACTTGAACAATCAAACATATAAATAAATAAATATACAAAATTATTAATATAAATGTAATATTTTATACATTATTTTATTGTAAGAAACTTATGATTTATAGTTTTATATAGATTTTAAGATGGTTTAAAAAATATAGGTTTTAATTTAAAGTAATCAATATGAGACATAAAAAATTATGTCTATATCAGATATATTAATTTAATTTTAATGATAAATAGTAATGAAGTTTCTCCTGTTAAAATGTCTAATGGTATTAATTAATGTTTATATCCCAGAATAGAAGTAAGATATTATGAGATCGATATTGAAAGAAGAATCAATGATAAATATTACTTTAAAACCAATTGAATAAGAGGTTTTCTTAGCTGAAGATCCATAAGTAGCATTACTAAAATTGAAATGTTTCTAAGAACTGATAAACAAAGAGAGGTAACCTATAGAGTTGATTGTAGATTAGCGTATGCAGAGCATTTGGCAGAAGTCTTTGAAATGATTGGAGATGATGCATATAGAAATTTAGGATTTATTCTTAAGCAATTTGTAAATGTTGTTAAATACATATTTGAAAGGTTCATGATTCCTATTCAATCTAATTATCTATTATTAGATAGTTACCTCTTCTTGTAGAACAAATAAAGAAACGATAATCTGGATATGTGGAATTGAAAGATCATGTTCTGCCATTTATGAATATATTTCTTGTGCATGAAGACTCTGATGTAAACTTATTATATGAGTTTTAGATTAAAAAAGAAGTCTTAACTTAATTACTTAAGATAGCACCCTTTTTAATTGAATCAGATAAAGTTGATACAATTTTAGCACATTTGATTGAAATGGCTCATGATGAAAAAAACCATTAAAATCGTATTTTAGCAGCTGAAACATTTGGTTAAACTGCTTCTCTTTTCTCAATGAAATATTGTGAGTCTTATATTTGTGGAGAACTTTTATCACTTGGTATAGATTTAAATGAATTTGTAAGAGAAAAAGCTATAGAACAATTACCAAATTTATCAGTAAGTCTCTCTTAAAAATGCATAGAACTTAAAATTATACCATTCTTTCTTTAGTAATATTATATCACTATATATTTTATAGATCTTGTGAAGATAGATAAATTAAATTTGCTTGTATCAGATCAATTTCAGGTATTTCAAAATATACAGGACATCACTTAAAAACATAAAAACTAATTCCAAAATATTTAGATTTTCTTTCTGATTAAAATAAAGAAGTTAGAAAGACAGCATATGAATATTTAGGTGAATTCATTAGTACAATTAAATTTACTGAAAAAGATTAATAATAAATGGATATTCTATTGGCATATTATTAAAATTAATTAGATAAAAATATCAATATGATGGGTGTTGATGTAAGAATCATTTTAATATTATATTTTAAGCTTGTTTATAAATGTGCCTATTATTTTCCAGGAGTATTACAAGCAATTGGTCGAAATCGTTGGCTTCTGATTTAACCTTTGTATGGATTCCTTTTAAAATATCCTTCAGATGTACTTATAATTCTAATTTAATAAGAAAGTTAAAATCTCTTTAGCTTATAGTTTTCATGAAGTAGCTAAATTATTAGGTCCAGATTTGTCTAAACAATATTTGATCACTGTATTAGAAACATTGGCATAAGATAAATTGTAAGAAGTCAGAAATGGCATAGTAGTTAATCTATCAAAATTTATATCTATATTTCCTATAGAAGAAAGAGATTATGTTATTGATCTATTACTCAATTTTTAGAAAGATTAACATAAATGGCGAACTCGTTAGATTATTTGTACATCTATATTTCCAATAACCAGATGTTTTAATAATGATACTATCTTTTTTCATATTGCTCCTATTCTATTCAAATTTTGTTCAGATACAGTTGCTAAAGTAAGAAGAAAAGCTTCTAAAAATGTTATACATTTAGTTGAGACATTTGAAGAAGAAGGAGAATAAAGAACTGTTATTCTTGAATAAATTAGAGCATTTTCACATTCTAAGAGATTTAATTAGAGATAATCATATTGTTGGATGTGTTATAAATTATTTTACAGACCAGATTTTGAAGATCTATTTTTTGAAAGACTCTTTGAATTATGTAAAGATCCTGTTTAATGTGTAAGATTATCAGCTGTTATTGTTATTGATAAATTTATTTAAAAAGAAGGTTTCTCAAAAGAACGTAAATATTTGAAATATCTATTGGTTTAATTTATTGATGATCAATGCAAAGAAGTTTAATTAATTTTAACTAAATATAATTTTGTGATCTAAAAAACCAAAAAAAAGACACTATCTTGTAGATCACGTAATAGTGGATCTTCAAATGGTCATTTGGAAGACATACCAGAATTTGATGAAAAAATTGAACAGATTCGTAAGTCTTCTGGTAAGGTTTGATTTTATTATAAATAATTTAAATTCCAACTCTAATTTAGGAACACTTATTATAAGAATTCTTATTTAAATACTTAATTAAAAATTTATAGATAAATCAAATGAATTTTTTTTATTTGAAAAATTGTTTTAATTTTCTAGCTTATACAAAATTTGTAAGCATCATTAAAAATAAAGTTATTAAACTAAATAATATTATTTTATATGATATTTTAGAAACATTTGAAAATCTAATTGATTATCTTTCTTCTATTTCTTTTTAATCAAGCTATTTTTTAATTTAATTGCATTACTTCAATCGAATCCACTAAACCATTTAATTTTTTTAAATGAATTTCTAAAGGCTTTAAATCTTCTTTCTATGCCAACAACGAAAAGTCTTATGCATCCATTCCTGTTACCAAAGTAAAATTAAAACTCATCCAAGAATTTGCTAAATTGTGAACACAAAACTGATAATTCAATTAAGTGTTATTAGTTGTAAATGAAAACTTTTATAATTCTAAGCTATGAGAATATTAGAGTATATTATCAACCTTTTTTGTTGGTATCTATCATAATCACTATAATTACATTAATTTTTAGAGAATATTCACTTGAATTCCCTTAAAAAGCTCCAACTATTAAACTATTTTAACCTATATTTTCTCCAAAAAACTTCAACTCCTTCGATTTTAATGAAAACGTAAATTGTACGCTAAAAGCACCTTAAAGCAGAAATGCAATTATCAATAACATTACGTGTCAAATTTAATAATAATTAAAAATCTAAAATTTATATAATGTCTGTATCTTAAATCAAAAGACTAATAATATCTTCAAATCAATATTTATAAAGATGAACATAAGTTAATTAAAGTATTATTGCTTAATCTAATTGAATCCTTAATAAAATAGAAATTAATGCTAAAATTAAGTATTTTATATAGATTTAAAATTAATTCTCATATTTTTAACAAGAAATTTCATTAAGATATATAAAATCTGATTAGATTTTAGGATCAGATTTATTTATTTTTGGGTCTTATAACACTATAAAATATTCAAATATATTTTAATTTTTAGGTTGTTTACTTGCTAATTTATATTTTAAATACAAGGATTATAAAATTTTTAAAGTTATGAAACCAATTCAGAATTTATATTTTTCACTTATTTAAAGGTATAAATAATCCTACTATATATAAGTAATCAATATATAATGTAAAGAATAATATAATTTATATACCTTCAACAATGCTAATGATAATATTTGGTATAAAATTTATTTCTTATTTTAATATTACAATGTCAAAATAAGTTTTAGTTTATGATCTCTGTTTCTAATTCAAATTTTTATAAAAATAATAATTTTATGAAATTCCTTATTTTCTTCTTCTATGTGTATTTAAAATGAATTAAGTTCTGATGTGTCAATCTAATAATTAGATATCATTTTCTACTATCCGATTAATAATTAGAAGTAATGATTGTAGTGTAATTTTTAGAAATAATTATAATATTTAATAATAATTGTTTTAAATTGATATTATGGAATATAAAATCATTATGATTATTTATTTGAAAGAAAAAGTATTCAATATTTAATATTTTTTAGAATATCATCAATTTTGTTTGATATAAATCTATTATTCTAATCAATATATTTGAATTATCCATTCTTTTCTTCTAAATCATTGATATCTTAAAACAATTTACTTTCTAAAATTCGTTTGTTTATTGAGAATTTGGATTAAAGAAACGACTATAATTACTAATAAGAATCTCTCTTTTATTATGAAGTAAACAAATTCTAAACTTCAATTTCCTTGTCTATATTATAAAAAATAATACTTAAAAGCTTAATCCTAGAACTTTTCATAGATTCTTATAATCCTTAAAATTATGATTCATGGACTTTACGAAACATTTCTTCAAGTTTATTGAGAAATTCTGAAAGTAATTAAAGGAAATTTTAATCAAGTTTACTTCTTTTAACAATAGTTCTATTATCTGAAGAGTAAGTAAATTATTTATAGATTTTTTTGAATAATTGTTCAGAAGAAACAATATCTTTAATTTTAGCATCTATAAATAGAAAGGATAGATCATGAAAACGTGTATTTGAATGAATTTCTTTTTCAATTAATGAAATTAAGCCTTTCTCACTTTTATATTACTTTAATTCATTTATGATATATGAAATCTAGTTTAGTATCTACATTAAGTTAGTTTCTTTAAAAGAAATAGATCTTATTTATGATGAAACATCAATGCATTAACTTTATAACATTGATCTTTTATTAGGAACAAATGTGCATAAAGAATTCTTATCTTACCTAAAAGACTTTCTTAAAGCTATTTCAGAACTTTAGTTATCTAAATTTAATTTATTATTAAGTAGTGTTCCTAATGCTTATTTAGATTTTAGTGATTTTTTTAGTATAGATTATTATGAATTTTAAGAAATTTGAATGATATTATTACTTTTAACCATTGAAAACGATTTCTTGGGTGAAAGAGAAGGAAATTCTTAATTAGACCTTTCTTATGATTCTCGTTATGATTTTATCATGTCTTTTTTATATAATTAAAGGAGTGAAATAATAAATAATTTTATAATCATAAAAAAAGGATTAATTAATATATTGATAATATTTTCTTATAAAATAGCATTTATTTAAGATATTCAAATTCCTATTTTAATATTGATATTTTAAGCATTTTATTTAGAAAATATTATTAATAATTAAGTAAATTTAAGATATGATTTACAATTAGATTGGTAATTATTTTATGATTAATAGATATTTTAAATAAGTTAAAAATGAATATTTCATTTAAGACTGAACATCTTACTTTCTTATTACATTTTTCTAAATTTTGCTCTTGATAAAATATTGTTACTCTTTGGAGTTAAGAATTTAGCACTAGAATTAATTGTTATTGGCTACAATAATTATTAATAGAGTTCTGTTCCTCTAATTGATCCATTTGACATTAAAGTAGTTAATATTTACTCAGAATGAGTTAACAAGATCAATTAATTTTATAATTGATTTTTTAAATTGCTATTTTTTTTTTAGAGTAATAATATATCTCTTAAAGATTCTTTTTCTTTTTCATTTGTTTAAAACTTCTTTTATAGACTACCTTATAAAGAAAATTTTGATTCAGATTCTTTTAATTTATTTTGGTGAGAATCATTTATGCTTAAACAAATATTAGGAAGTGATTCTTTAATATATGGAAAAGAAGACTCTTTTTGATTGGAATCTTTAATTCCTTTTAATCTTGCTGATTAATAAGCTAATGGTTTTAAATTAATTCTATCCAAAGATTTTTATTAAAGGTTTCTGTTTGTTTGAATAGTTTTTTAAATATCTGTGGTTTAAACATCAATTTATGTAATTGGAGGTTCAATTGTTTAATGGGGAATATTTAAAAACTTATTATTTGACTATGAATTATCATATTGATCTTGTATTTTTTAATTATTCATTTTTTTTTGATATCTACCAGTACTTTAGTTTAATATTTCAGTTTATTTAAAGTCTAGTGATCTTAGAGATGGTTTAATTAATCTTGACTCTAATTTATTATAGGATTCATTTTAGGATATTTGTAAATTCTTTTATGTTTCTACATATTTATTTGCAGAATCTTAGAGATATTATTGTGATATATTTAAGGACATTATCTTTGGTGTTTATCTACAATCTTAATCTTAATTGTGATATTTTTATTGATAACAAAAAGGATTAATATCTTGAGATTCTTCTTTTATTTGATTAAATATTTCAGATTGAAATAATAAGGGAATAATTTTAGGAGAAGAATCAATAAAGCTTTAAGGATTTAAAAGTTTGAGATTGGAATCAATTAAATTTTAATTTAATTTATTTTCAGATAATTATTTGATTTAAATACTGAATAGTTTTTTTATTTCTTTAAGAGAATTATCATTATGATCATCTTCAGATTTAATTTCATATTATTTGATTTTATTTGAATATCTTTTTATTGTATATTAAACCAGTTAATTCCTTTACATTAGTTTATTGAATTTATATTCGAAGGTATTTTTTAAAGAATCATAATTTAATATTGGTTAGATGAGATTTGAATTCATAAATTAAAAAGGAGGAATATCTTCTAAACTTGTTATACTTTATTATAGTTCTTTATATTAATATCTTGTTGTTGTTTTAGATATATGTGGTTTTAAATTAAGGATTATGTATGGTGCCATGAAATCATTATTTTTAGGATAGAAATATTTATCTTAAATTGTTTAAATATAGGTTAGATCTATTTTGTAATTCATAAGTTTTGACATTATTGGTTCATCTATAAGTTTTATGGATTTAGTTATTTTAGATACTTCTAAATTGAGACGAGTCTATTGTATAAAATAATAGTATTACTCTTTATTATTTGAATACATCTTCTATTGTTACTCCACCAAAATTTATTTATTTTACAATATGAACAAACTTAATATGTTCTTTTATTTATAGAGCTGAATTTGCAGGGAAGTGAAATTTGAAATAAGAAAATGTTAAATTTGCTATTTATAGAAAACTATTCTGAAAATAGTCTAAATCTTATTGTGGCCATCTTTCAGTTTTGAGAATTCTATTTTCAGATTTTTGGTTTTGAGAATCAATTTTTTAAATTTGTGTGTCTTAATCAGTTGCATTGTCTGTTATTTAAAGCATTTTTGATAGTAATATTAGATGTTCTCTTTTTAGAAATAAAGACACTATCTTAGTTTTCATGTAAATATAAAATTATATTTAATTCTTGTAAAATAGTGCATAAATGTATATAAGAATAATATGAAAAATTGGAAAAATAGATTTAATCATTATTATAATAGTATATTTCATTGATTTCAAATTAATTTATTAGATAGAGTATGAATAAGTCCAATTTTGAAATATTAAATTAAATAAATAATTATGAGATCGAATTCAACAGCATATACTCCTTAAAATCCAGAAATCTTCCATAAAGGACACATTCATTTCTTTGATTTATTGTCTTCGTTTCATGGATTGGAAGATTAACCAGACTACCCAGTTTAATAATAAACTATTTAAGATAAGCTTAGACATTAATACCTTCATGATAACAATTGGGAAGATAGTATCAAACAATTTATTATCATTTAGAATTGTGTTATAGAACATGTTTCAAAATTTAAGAAAAAGATTATGTATAATTCTGTTTGGATAAGAAATGCTCAGGCACACCTTATTTGAAGGCTGCTCAAGTTTTAGGATATGTAAAAACTGGAAATCCAACACCTAAAGCACATGGACACCATCATCATTGATCAAGCATTAATACATAAACAATAAATTTATCAAAATTATGGTATTCTTTAAGAATTCATATAAATATCTTTTTTTGCTTATCTATTTGTAATTGGTTATATTGATTGTATATTAATAGATAATATGAAAATATAAATATCTTATCATACTATATACAAAATAATGTAGTTCAATTCTTTGTTATATTATTTGTAATAAAATTGAATTAGTAATAATAATAATAATGAATTTAATTATTTATAATAATGAGGAATATATTTAGTTATTTTTATGGAACACATGTATTCTTTAATTTTATACATAGGCTAATAAACCAGGGACTGAATTAAAGATGGACTAATCATATGAAACATTTGTTTTTGAATTTACATCAAATGAACATGTTCCAATTTATGAAAAATGGACAAAAGGAGAAGAACAAGAATATATAGGTGTTTATATTAAATAAATTAGATATTAAATTGCAAGCAGTAGAAAATATTTATTTAGATAACTATGATTAATAGTTAAAACAACCAGAAGAAATTAATTTAATAGATTATATAGTTTAAGAGAATGACACTCTATTTGGACTAGAACTAAAATTTAATATTAAGTATTGAAGTCTATTAATGTTAAGTTAAAACAGAATATTAAAGTTAAATGACATATCTCCTGAGTGTTTTGTACCTGGAATGAGAATTAAACTTCCAAATCCATAGGAATAGGAAATCTAATAAGATTAAACAGAAAATGATTATAATACTCTTAATCAGAATTAATCATCATATTTTGGTAGAAATTTGATGGATGAAATAATGTCTAAGGGATAAACAAAAAAATGTATATAATATACATATTAAACATATTAGTTAATGTATATTATTTGACTAATTATGGATGTATAGAAGGAATTTTAACAATAAATAATGATGTAATTCTATTTGATCCAAGTTTCATTGATCATAATAAAGAAATAGTTAAAAAATGTTAAAGTAATAATATATACAATAATAGAATAAAGCATTCTTAATTTTTAAGCTTGTTTGATGACAAAAGATGTTAGATCTGTAGATTTAAATGAATTGCCAATGAGAATTGCTAAAAGTTCAAATAAATGTTTTAAGGATTATGTATTACTCATTCATGTTAATTCAAATGTAACAAGTAAAAAGTTAGTTGAAATTATACCAATCTTAAGTTTTAGAGTATATATATTTAATCTTATTATAGATATAAAATGATTAAAATCAAAAAGAACATATGTAATTAAGTGTTGATTTATATGAAACTTTAAAATAAGTTGTGAGAACTAAATCTTAAAGAATATTAGAGGATTAACAATAATCAAAAGAATAAAATCTAACTATTATTCCTTTTTATGATATTCAAGATTCTTTATTAACTGAAAAATTATTAAAAAGAACAAATAATTTATGGGGAGCTTAGGATTATTTACCTTAAATGATGTAATAATCATAAATTTGTGATAATGATGAATTAATTTAGGTAAATTAATTATTATTATTATTAAATTTAAGATTATTGCTCATGTTCCATCAATCTATAAAACATCAAATTGGAAATTAATTTTCTCAAATGTTATTCATGGTTCATCATTTCAAACATTATTACATAAATGTGAAAACAGATCACCATTAATATTAACTATCAAAGATGGACATGAATGTAAATTTGGAGCTTATTTAAATGAATCTCTATAATTAACATTTGGAAAATTTTTTGGTAATGGTGAAACATTTTTATGGACTTTTAAAGTAATTATAAAATGATTGTAGGAAAATGAATTTAGAGCATTTAGATGGGCAGAAACAAATAATTATTTTATATTTTGTGAATCAGATGGATTTGCTGTTGGATGTGGTGATTAATTTGGTCTATATATTAATCAATCTTTGACTTCAGGTAATACAAATAAATGTGAGACTTATAAAAATGAAATATTAACAGTAACTAATGATTTTAGTATTAAAATACTTGAAATATGGAGTTTAAGTGAATGAAAAAAAAATCATAAATAACTTTGATATATAAATTAGCATAAAATATGATCTACTATTATTTTCTTATTTAATTATCTAAAGTCTAGTCTAATCATTATTTGTTTCTAAATATTATTATTTTTATTCATTAATTAAACTTTATAGAAAATTTCAATAATATATTTTAATATTTCTTTGATTATGTATCTAAATTTGAATTACCTAATTTTTACTTTACTATTATCAAATTAGTCATTTATACAATTATATGAGTTTTTTCAAATGATTTTAATTGATCAAATTCGAGATTAAATGTATAATATTGTAGTTATTACGCATTATTATTGAAACATAATTTGATCAAATTAGAACTAAGAAATCTATAAAATTATTTTTAAATAAAAATGATGGCTCAATCACCAAAGTTTAAAATAGAAAAAATGGCTCCATTAAGTCAACATCAAAAAATACTAATTGAAGAAGAACCTATTGAAGATTTGATTGAAGTTGATGAAACAAAAATCTCATTCAATGAAAAATTAATTGTCTGTGATTATAAACCATGGCAAACTGTTATTTAAATAAGAAAAACAATAGAAAAATTAAAAGGATATTAAAATGTACATTGGATTAATCCTATCCTTGATGTCCGTATTAAGAACCCATCTAGATCCATTTTAAAAAACCCTTCAAAACTTTCATCCAATCTCGCTATAAAAGAGTGATCCATATTTATCCTATATTACAACTATATTTATTAATGAAAAAAAGAATAATAATTTTAAAAGGAATTTTAAATTAGGCTTACATTATTAAAGAGTTTAAGTTAAGATATACTATATAAAATAGTTAAAGATTCTTAAACAATTTTTCTAAACTCTATAATAAGATAAGAGCAAAAATAATAAATTTCAAAATGAAGCCTATACAGCAAAAATTATTATGATAATATTAAGAGAAAATAAATATTCAAATATTTTCAAATAAATATATGAGTATAATTCTAACAGAAGTCATATATCAATTGTTAATTCTTGTTTTTAATGGTAGAAATTCTATAAATCAACTAATAATTTTTATAGAAATATAATATTAGAAATAAAGTTTAGATTAATTTTATTTTAAACAAATAATCTATTTGTTTAGTTCCCTTACTTCATTTATAGGAGTGCAATACTAATATAAAATTTGTATAAGGATCATTCAAAATTTGTACTAAAAAGAATCAATTTTTTTGTAAATTCATTATAATTTTAATAGAATATACTCTATATATTAGCATGTTATCTACAATCACTTAATTAAGTAATCTAATCTAATAATAGTCTTTTAATATTTTAGATTAATTGACATTTAATAATTAAGTGAATTTTTAGATCAATCATAAATTAAAGGATTTATTAGAGATCTTTTATAAAATATTTATCTCTCAATAGAATTCTGTCAAAGAAGTAGAAAATAATAAAATAATAACATATTACAAGTTGAGTTTTTATAAACCAATTTACTATCATAAGGTTCAATAATTATCTCTTTATTATTATTTGATCTCAAATAAAAATTTATATCTAGATTTTATAAGAACTCCCAAGTATTCATATTATAAATTAATATAATTTTTCAAAATAAATTCAAATTATAATTATTCACTATTATTTTCCTTATTATGATTATTGATTAGTATCTGAATCTGATTGAAGGTTTTTTTATGAATGAAATTGCTGAAAATGTTAACCTAATATTTAAGATTTTTAACATCTTGAGAAGCAAATCCCACAATAGTAACTATTCTCAAAAATAAAATTTTTTCTTTTTGTAAGTCTATTCTTTAGAGGAATCTTATTTGAACATTTTTTTTAATGATTTTACTATTATATATTTAAGAATCGTAAAGGATCCTCATTTTTCATTTTTTAATACCTTTACAGATCATCATCGTTTAGTTTTTCCAATTCTTCATGTTTTTTTATCAATGCATGAAGTAATCTAATCNAAGCCTATACAGCAAAAATTATTATGATAATATTAAGAGAAAATAAATATTCAAATATTTTCAAATAAATATATGAGTATAATTCTAACAGAAGTCATATATCAATTGTTAATTCTTGTTTTTAATGGTAGAAATTCTATAAATCAACTAATAATTTTTATAGAAATATAATATTAGAAATAAAGTTTAGATTAATTTTATTTTAAACAAATAATCTATTTGTTTAGTTCCCTTACTTCATTTATAGGAGTGCAATACTAATATAAAATTTGTATAAGGATCATTCAAAATTTGTACTAAAAAGAATCAATTTTTTTGTAAATTCATTATAATTTTAATAGAATATACTCTATATATTAGCATGTTATCTACAATCACTTAATTAAGTAATCTAATCTAATAATAGTCTTTTAATATTTTAGATTAATTGACATTTAATAATTAAGTGAATTTTTAGATCAATCATAAATTAAAGGATTTATTAGAGATCTTTTATAAAATATTTATCTCTCAATAGAATTCTGTCAAAGAAGTAGAAAATAATAAAATAATAACATATTACAAGTTGAGTTTTTATAAACCAATTTACTATCATAAGGTTCAATAATTATCTCTTTATTATTATTTGATCTCAAATAAAAATTTATATCTAGATTTTATAAGAACTCCCAAGTATTCATATTATAAATTAATATAATTTTTCAAAATAAATTCAAATTATAATTATTCACTATTATTTTCCTTATTATGATTATTGATTAGTATCTGAATCTGATTGAAGGTTTTTTTATGAATGAAATTGCTGAAAATGTTAACCTAATATTTAAGATTTTTAACATCTTGAGAAGCAAATCCCACAATAGTAACTATTCTCAAAAATAAAATTTTTTCTTTTTGTAAGTCTATTCTTTAGAGGAATCTTATTTGAACATTTTTTTTAATGATTTTACTATTATATATTTAAGAATCGTAAAGGATCCTCATTTTTCATTTTTTAATACCTTTACAGATCATCATCGTTTAGTTTTTCCAATTCTTCATGTTTTTTTATCAATGCATGAAGTAATCTAATCAACTGCTAACTTACTTAAGGTCCAAACTCAAGATTATTCATAATATATATTATTTAAAGATCAAGTTCCATTATAAAGTATTTATATTAACTATAAATCTTATTTTCTATAAAATAATTAAAGTGTGTATTAATTCTACAATTTAATGATCCATATTTTTTTAGAAAATATGGATCATATAAGATGAATTCAGAATTAAAAATAGATTAGATCAAAATTTGCTTATTAAATTTCAACTTTTCAATTGATATGATCTTTCTGTAAAGCTTATTTATTTTAAGTTATAACACTGACTTTCATTAATAATTTTCAAATCAAAAGGTAAGGTATTTGTTAATAAACTAAAAGGATAAATGAAATAGACCTTCTGTTTTTAATATATAAATCATTTATTTTATTAATTAATAAAAAATGAAAAAATATGTAAGTTATAGACTTTGAAATAGAAAAGCAAAAAATATTGATACGAGTATTAGAATATTATATGCTATTTTTTTATTTGAAATGGAATTTGTATATAAATCATAATAGATAATAAATATTAATAATTAGGAGAAACAAAATTTTATAATTTTTCAACTATATTTCAATAATATTATTTTTCTTCTATTAAACAAATTCATTTCTCTTGTTAAACTTTCCAAAATGAAGGCAAGAATGATAAAAATTATTATCAAAATAATCATCATTCTTTATACTAAGATATTTGGAATAATAAATTTGAACTTTGAATTAGAACAATAAATAAATTTCTACATAAAATATTTAAATAATCAAAATTATGGTTTATTTAAGTTTATGCAATAAGAAATCATGTTTTATGTTTAAATTTTTAATTGATTGAGTAGCAAGTCTATTATAATCTTGATAATGTATAATTTAAACACTTAATTGAGTTTCAAAATAAAACTCAGTTGAAACATATAAAGATTTTAATAAACATCTAAAATTAAATAAATTTAAGGGTCTACAAATTAAATTGATTAATTAAACTAGAGAATTGAGTATCTGAAAATTCAATAGTAAATTATTTGTGCTATTTATATATTCATAATAATATTTAGACATTTATGAATATTATTATGAAAAAATTATAAAATAAAAGAATTTGAATTGTTATTAGAGAATCAAATGGCTTGCAAAATCTTTTTAATGAAGTATTATTATTATTTATTATAATGATGCGTTTAAATTCTTAGAAAAATTAATTATATCAAATTATTATTACAACTTATCAAGAATTCATCATTACTAATAGGTATTTACATCATGGATTTGGATTATAAAACGATTTTGTAGTTGCAATTGTTAATTATATAAATTAATTTGAATGGAAGAAGCACGATTCAAACACAGAAAAGCTTCAAAAAGCTCAAGTGTACTATCAATGTTAGCTATTCAAAGACCAGATAAAACATAATCTAGTTTGCAAACAATTGTTGGAATAGTAAATTCAATGGTTGGATCTTTATGTTTAGTGTTACCATTAGTATTTTTGAATTATGGAGTGATTTCTTGCACAGTGATTATGATTATATTGGGATTTGTTCAATATAATACTTGTTCTCTTTTAATACTTCATCTAAAAGATTAGGAAATAGATACTGAACATATGATCAAAAGAATTTTAGGTAAACCATGGATGCAAGCTTTCAGATTTTGTTCTGGCACCTTATTGTTTATTGTGGGAATCATTTACTTTCAATTAATCAATCTTACATTATACCCAATTACAACATACATTTTAAGCTACAATGATATTGAATTTGCAGATGCAAGTGAAAATTTTGTATTTAATAAGTATTTATTACTTTATAATTTTTAAGGTATTCAATTTAATGGTAAGCTTTGATAGTCTTTCTTCCACTATCAACATTATTGTTAATTAAGGATATTACAACAATTGTTAAAATAGCTCATTATGGAGTAATTGCTTTATTTGCATATGGAATCTTTATCATTTATATTTTTATAGTTAATTTGACAAGTGAGGATATTTCATAAAAATTCCAATAAATAACATTATGGTCTTGGGAATTTAGTTAACCTGCTGGTTAATTTGCTTTAGCCTTTATGATTCATAATGCTATAGGATAATTAATGAAAAATAATGAAAAGAGAGATAATAATTCTAGAGATTTGGCTATAGCTTATACAATTGCAGGAATAATTTATGGCATAGTTGGAATATTTGGTTCAATTGGAATTCTGGTAATATTATAAATTAATTTAGGGAATTGAAAATGTTCATGATGCTTAAACGATTCTTAATTGTTTTAAGAAATCAGATGTAGAGATTATTATAATAGAGAGTTTATTTTTAGTACATTTGGTTACAGCATTTCCAATATTTAATAATATTAGCAAATATTAGATTTTGGAAGTTCTTTATAATAAGAAGGAACCATCTAAAATGGTATATTGGGGATTCAGCATTTTGTTTATGGTTTTATGTTTAACAATCTAAATTTTGAACATTCCAGTTGGAGTTGTAATTTCTTTTGATGGAGCAGTTTGTGGGTTCTTATTAGTTTACATAGTTCCAATCAGTTTGCATTTGAAATGTTATTACAGTTAGAATAAGGTCACTTTGATAGGGGATGAAGATGATTAATTTAATACTCAATAAAATTGTGTGAATCATAAGGATAAGAATTCGATTCCTATGTTTGCTAGGATTGCATTCTACACTTTGATGATGGGAATTGGAATATACAATTTATTTGTATAATTTTATGATATATTTAAATCCTGATATTAAAATAAAATTAAAATATTTAATATGCTACAATTAATTAGGGTAGGAAAGAGACAGTTAGTTTGTGTTCCTTCGTTTAATTATAAATTAAGAAGGCCAGCCCCTAAGATGTCAGAGTATGATAAAGAAAGGATTGAATATAAACATTTAATGAATTAGGTAGGAAATTAAAGATATCAAAGTATAGGTCAAGAATCGTCAAGGACTTTTGGGAAGAATAAACTAAAATTGAAAATTAATATATAGATGACTATTTGGCAAAAGAAAAAGCAAAATAAGAGAGACTTGATATTCATAGAAGAAATTAAACTGTAATCTAAACATTTAATGCAACATAATAATTCAATAAGTTATAAGACATTAGAAGAGTTAGAAATGAAAGAGTCAAAAAATATCTAGTTGAATAAGACATTAAAAAAATGAATAGGCAATAAATTATTAGAGTATTAAATGAAGAATCAAAAAATTGGATTTCTGATAAAAATTCATATGAAAAATTAGTTGGAAATCTATTAATTCCTGATACTGTTTTAGATGAAATGTCATATTATCATGATTTACAAGAAAAAGCTATTCTTTATGAAACAGCTTAATATGATGAAATTGATAAGTATATAATATATATATACATTTAGATTAAATGATCCAAATATCTAATTAGAATGGAAAAATAGACTTGGTATGCCATTATATCAAAGAATTGTGACTTTAATCAAATTCTTAAAATAAGATAATCTCTTAGGGAATTTAAAATTTGAATGGGATACTTGTCAAGCAATTATTTTAACAGACAAAAAATTAAGTGAAAAAGAAATGGCTGAATAATTAGACAAAGTAAATAGTGCATTTTAAACTGTTATTGCTTAAAAAATAGAAGAACTTGAAACAAATCCAGTAAAAAGATTAGAAGAAATGAATAAATAACTTATAAGATTATATAATCTACTTGAATTATGGGATAAATATATTACAATAGTAAAAATGGATAATTCAACTGCTCAATAAATTATGTAAGCTGCAAAATCATAAATTAATTTATTTGAATCAGAAGGTGGAAAAGATTATATGATCACTAATGATAATAGTCTTATTGAGAAATTTGATGGGAAGGAAACTCAAACTAAAGATGAAAAAGACGATAAATATATCAGTGCTGATGAAACACATACAGATAGTGAAGATATTGATTTAGAAAATCTATAGAAAAAGAAAGAAACTAAAGATATTTATGGTGGCAGAACTACAAAATCATATGAATTTGATACAGAAAGAATTAAGGATAAAGATTAAGAATTTTCAAAATTAGTTGAAGAATTGTTTGCAAAAGCTGAAGCTAAAGCTAAAGAAGCCAACCTTGAATTCGAATCTAATTATAGAAAGAATCCTCATTTAAAAGTATTTTATAGTGACAACTTAAATCCTCCTAATGTACCTGATGCTAAATCAGTTTTTGAAGGAGTAGATTTAGAATAATTATTCCCCTCTGAAATTCTCAATGATGAAACTAAGACTCCTTATCTTGATTTCAAAAATGTTGAAGATATCGAAAATCATTATTATGAATTAGTAATATCATTAAATTTATAATTGTTAGAAAGCTATCTATAGTCTTAGAAAACAAGGTGAATAGAATATCCTTGTTAATCCAGATGTTTAAAAATTTAATACAACTATCACTGCTCAAACTTACAAATAAATCTTAAATAATCTTGAGGTGCCACAAGAGTATTCAAAATTAAAATAGGATACTTAAAAATTGGTTGATGCAGTAGGAGAAATTAAAGTCACTGATGCTGATTTCTTATTGAAGATTTGGAATTATTATAATTGATGATAAATAAGAAATATGTATAAAATAAAGAACCAATATTCAAACATATATCCTCAATGAAAATAAAATTCTGTTTAATAAATAATTTTAATTTATTTATGATTAAAAACTATGTAAAGCGAGCCCTCCTTTAGAGGTATTTACCAACAACAGGTTGTTTTTACGAGTTTTCAGAGTCTTAGGATACAGAAAAAAAGAAGACTAGGTTAAAATATACTTATGAAGAATAATAAGAAATCAATAGATAAAAATAAAGTAATATTCTCATTCATATTAAGGCAATTTTTTATTAAAAAGGATTCTATTAAGCTATTATAGATATAAACCTAATAAAGAAGAGATGATCAAGAAAATAAACTAATATTTCAACCCAAAAAAGTAAAAAGCTGAAGAAGCAATCACTGAGACACAAGAAGGTGAAGAAGGCTAAGAAGGTCAAAAACCAATAAAAAGAGTTTCTCGTATTAGTAGGACTAGTAAATAGAGAATCTTTAGAGACTTAGTACATGAAAAGAAGATCTTCAAATATAAAAGAGATTATATATTTTCTAACAAAATAAGACCATATAAGCCTACAAAAGAAGATATCACAGAATAAATGAATAGAGAACTTACAGGTCAAAAATAGATAACTAATCCAAATTTATTTGATAAATTTAAATAAAGATAGAGAGATTTTGAAAATTATAATTTGACTAACCTCATTATGAGATATGATAGTTTTCAACCATCTCAAGTTTATGAATTTTTGAAATCTCATTTTACTAGTGGACTTTATGGATTTATGAAAGAAGAATAATTTACGTATTTTTAAATATATATTAATAGAACTTTAATTTTTAACAGACCATCATTTTAAATATATCTTAATCAATTACCTGAATAATTCTATGTTCATTATTAGAAGTATTTAAATCCAGAAAATATTAATTAAATTATTAAAGAAATAGAGTATAAGAATACTAAATTTTTACCAATCCTCAGATTTTGTGAATTGAAGAACAAAGAATTGTATTTTGAAGATTAAGAAAAATTTGATTAATTTCTTAAGAAAGTCCCAGAATAAGATTAACTATTACTATAATATTTCTTTTTTAATGAAAATGCTTCTAAATTACTTAATTATGAATCTTTTCTTAAGGGTATTTTAAATATCTAATGGGGGGGTTAAGTAAATTAGGAATCATTAAAATAATAACTTGTTACTCTATTGAATGTTAAATTTAAGATTAATTTAAATAAAGAATTGTAATTATATTTAGCAGATTTATTTTTTGGATCTGAAACATTTGATAAAGCAATTATAGCTATTGCATTATAATATTTATTATTATAAAGATTGACACATGCTTTTCCAATCAAAGACATTTTAGAAATTTTTAAATAAACAATGGGAGATGAAAGATATACTTTTTATTTAGAATAGGAATTACCATAAATTTTATAAAACCTAAATGTTAAAACATATTATTCATTGTACTAAAAAGGACTAATTGAATATCAACAACAAAAATCAAGTATATAAATATTTAAATTATAGAAAAACCATTGACTTTATAAAATTATACAAATCTTGATGGAATATTCTTAAAAGGGAAATATATTGAGGTTTCTTAATTTTAAATTCGCTATAATCCAAGTTCATCTAATTTAATATACTCTAATCAAACTATTGCATATGACGTCAAAGAAAATGCAATTAAAGAGGCTGTTTTACAAAACTCTACATTATTATTAGAAAAAGAATTATCTTCTCTCTTTCACTATAAAAATTATAAATCTGATATTGTTGATGTTGCACATAGATTAGTTTACAGGAAAAATCTATAACATAGAAACTTTTTAAGATATAATCTGACAAAATAATTCTTACAAAGAAAAAGAAAATTGAGAAAATATAAGCATAGGGCAGAAATATCAAAAGAATTGGCTGATCTTTAAACTCGTTTAAGAAAACATTCAAAAATTTAACCACTTTTATAAACTATTTGTCCAGTTTAAGTTTAACCAGAATAAACACCTACAGAAGAAGGTTAAGAAAAGCCATAAGAAACATAAGAAACAACAACTGAGGAATAACCTTAAGAAAAGACTTTGGAAGAAGAAATCTTTTCCCTCACAGAAGAGAAATAATAATATAATTAAATAAGATTAGCTAGAGTTAAAACCTTTACAAAGTTTTCTAAAATTTTACATAATATCATTATTGAAAACCGTCCAATGATTAAAGAATATAGAGAGAAATAATTTGTTTAAAAACTAAAATCAAACTTTTGCACTTAAAAATATTAAGAAATTCCAAAAGATGAAGGAACAGGATTCATGAATTATTTAAAATCTGTTGAATCAATTGATTTAGAAGTTAAATAATAAGAAGAATTAAATTAATTATAATAATAAAAGAAATAATAATAGTCAAGAAAGCATGGAAAGATTCTTTTAGAGAAAGGAGAGACATAATAACTTAAATCAATATTTTCAGAGGATGGTGATAAGTAATATATTATTAATAATTTCTTAGTTTAATCAGAATTAGATAAGAGTAGAAAAAATAATCAGAAATGTTCTAAAAAGTAGAATAACCATAAAGATTTAGAAGAACTAAAGCTAGTGATACAAATGAATAAGTTCATAAATTACCCTTTGAAAGTACTGAATAAGATAAACCAATTTAACCTCAATTATAAGAATAATATGTAATTGATAATTAATTGTACAATACAGATTTAAGTGCTAAAGCTCATTTTTAGATTGAATAATTATTTAAAGAAGATTAGTCAAGATAATAATTAGTTGAAGATGTTTAAAGCTTTTTAAGTGGAATCAAATCAAGTGAAGATGGTTATCACTAATATTTGATATCTGAACTTATTTAGGCATTAGAAGCTAAAAAACCTTTAGAATCAAAAATAATATTTACATAGATCATTTGTTAAGTTAAGAATAAGATTGAAGTGAATGAAAAGATAAGAGTGAAATATACTACATAATATGGAGATATTGAAAAGAATTATGGAAAATATATTAATCAGACTTGCACACCATTTTCAATTGGATCAAAAGGATATAATTATTTATTGGATTACATTATGTAAGAAGGAAATTATAACAGATTATTATATAAGAGAGTATTAGCTCATTATTGTCTTTATGAAACTGTACTTTATGATTCTACATTTGAAAAGATTACATAAATTACTAAGAATAATAAAATTCCTTAAACTTGTGCTGAATTCTTTTATGCATTTTTGTCAACTAAAATAACTATCAATTTTACATAAATGAGAAAGATTGTTAATTTATTATATTAATTTAAACATTTTGAAGCAGAAGCTGAATAATTGATTATTGGATTCTATTATGCTTATTAATGGGTATTAAAGTTTGAAGAATTATAACCAATATTTTAAAGATTAATTAATTAGAATAAGAGAGATAGATATATGTCTTTGTATGAATCTTTGAAAGATTAATTAATGGGAAGAAAACTTAGATAAATTCCAACTTAAGATCCAGTTGAAGTCAATAAAATTATGACTGAATATAAATAATAATAAAAGGACTAACTTAAAGAATTTGTAAGAAAATTTTCATAATTATTGTTGGATTCTAAATTACCAGATGATGCAAGATTAGTTATCAATGATGCTAAGAGATTTAGATATTAATATGATATACTTGATTATAGACTTTGGCTTTTATCTCATGTCAACTTTTTTGAAGATGCCTTAAAAATTTGGGCTGATTATGGTGTCAAATTTCCTAATGTTTATGACATTACAATGTTAAAAGCCTTTTTATAATTATTATAATAATAAGAAAATGCTAATGAATCAGATGATACCAAGGCATTATTTTAAGATGTTATTCGTGTTTATATCTTTGAAAAGAAAATTCCCTTGGATCATGATTTAATATTTGAAATTACAAATACTTATAAGAGATTAAAAGAATTTACAAGTTATTAGAATTTCATGAAATTCTTACTAGAAATAAGATATAAATGCATACCTTCCCATAAGTATTTGTTTTATAAAATGATGAATTTTACTGAAATAGATAGTGTCAAAGAAACAATAAAAGGAATTATTGACATTCTTTTTAAGGATGAACAACAAAATAAAAGAAAAGATGGAAAATAAAAATAAAATAAATAGGAAGAGGAAGTGAATTATGATCTTGGTAATAAAGGTCCAAATCCTTTACATATTTAAGATCTCACAAAGGAAGTAATTTTATATAATTAAATTTAGAATAAATTAAATAACAAGAAAAAGAGAGGTGTTCTAGTGAGAGGTGGCAAAAGTAAGTTTTCCCAAATAGAAACAGACGGTTTAGCTGATAAAAATTCAGAAGAAGAAGGAAAAACTGGAAAAGATGGTAAAGCAACAAAAGATGCCAAAGCAACAAAAGAGTGAGCTATAAATTTAGTGTATAAATATAGTAAAATAATATGAATAAAAAACAAATACTATTTGGATTATTCTTATTCTATAATCTCAACGTTTTAATTTTAATCCAATCTCTAATTCTAAATAGTTTACCTAATTTTCTGGATTAGTTAAACTTTAAGAGTTTACTTTACTTTAAATTTATTGAGTATTTTACTCTGCTATCCGAACATTACTTATATAATCTAAAATCTAATTAAAAGTGTAAATAACAATTAAGATTATCCAATCTATTAAAAATTAAGAAATTTATAAATTTTCCATAAAATTTTATTAAAAATAAATCAAAATATTTTTTTTGGCTAAACGAAATTTAGATAATCTATTTTCTCTTTCTTTTCTTCTAAACTGTCATTAATTTTAAGATTCTTCAATAAAGAATCAGTAGATTTGAATCTTGCTTAGTTTAATATTGGTTCTTTAGAGGTTTAATATTTTCTGACTTTTTTGAATGAAGCTTATATAAGTTATTGGACTTATCTAGCCTTTTTATCAGGGTTATTAGATTTATACGCTTCCTGATACATTAAAGAAAGTATTAAATTATCCTATGGTACTTTTGGCAATCTTGTTATTGAATCTAGAATCTAATCTAAATTCATCTAAGGGAGAATTTTATTAGGACTTATGCTAGGCAATTTAGCATGAAAAGAGAATTTTTCCAACTTCCTCTATCTTAATTTAGGAACTAGTCTCTCATCATTATAAGTACTTAATAATTTAAGTATTTTAATACAGTTCTCTAACTTATTTTGTTTAGGATTCAAGATTTTGATTTCCAAATTTCTTTAATTTTTACTAATATTATTGAAGTGCATTACTAAAAACTCTTTATCCCTTATCTTCTGTGAGTAGTTCACAAGAATCATCATTTATTATACCTGATTCTGTCATATTTTGATATACTTAAACTTAACTCATGCTATGGTTAGATGAGTGATACTTCTTTCTTTTTTCTTAAGTTTTCTTTTTATCAATATGCAAATAAACCTATATTGATATACAGCTTTTACATTATTTTGATCATTCATTTATGCAATAGCAGATTTATAAATTATATTCCAATGTTAAAGAATTAATTTAGATTATTTCTTCATATTATCATAAACAACAAAGTTGCCTAGATTATTAAAAAATTTATTTTTTCTTATTTTATAAACAATTAATCTAGGTGATATAGCTCTAGCAGTAGTAAATCTTGTGATTTTATTCAAAATTTCCACTTCTCCAAATTATTAATGTTCTCCATAAGAAGATAATACTAGATTCCTGTCTCCAATCGTTTTGGAAAGTTAAACTTCTCCATTAATGATAAAAAATAAGGAATTAGATTTATTTCCTTCTTGATATATGATTTCTCCAGATTTATATGATATTTTTCTACATTCTAGTAAAATTCCCATTATTTCATTCAAGTCTGAATCAGCTGATGTGAATAGTGTATTTCTTTTAAAATATTATATTTTTTCTTCTAATGCTTCACTTAAATAAGGATCCAATAATTAAACATATGCTGCTTCAGTCATATATAAAAGATGAGTATTTTCAACTGCAAAAACTGTTGAAGCCCTTGAACTTTCCAATTTTATAGCAACCTCACCAAAAGAACTAACAATTTTCTATTTAAAAATCATACTCTCCAGAAAATAGCATTTTCATTATCATATACTCAGGAAATAAACTCTTTAAACCATAAGGATCAATGGTTGATTTATTTTCTTAATCTAATTCAATCTCTATACTATTAATTCCAACCATTTTTTCTTTAGGTTTTAAAACTACACATCTTCCATCTAGAATAATATAAAAGTATTTATTTTGGTCTCCCTATCTATATACTATATTAAATGCTGGAATGTATTAATATCTAAAATCTAATATATAAGTAATACCTTAATTAAGTATATACTTTATGCATAATTTCAGGTGGAATTTATTCTTTCATAAATTTTATTGATTTTACTTATCCAAGTTGTTCAATTAAAATTGGTGAAGTTGGAATGAATGTATTCGATAAAGTTCTTAAACTTGCTTTCTGAAATTTTTTACTATATTTTTTTTGCTAATGATCAATAGTGAAAGGTGGTAACTTATTTAGTTCTGATTTTATGGATTCAATATCAATAAGTTTCTTTTATTTTTTATAATCTTTATTATTCATTAATAGTAATGATTGATTTAATTCATCTTCATCTGAATCTGAGTTTGGCTAAGGCTTTGTAAAATCAAACAATTATTTATCTGAAATATTAAATTAGGATTGAATGTAGGAACTCATTAATTCACTAAATGTCAATTATAATTTTTTAATTAATATATTGATTATCTCGAATTTTATAAAATAATTCAGAAATAGGTATTCTTCCTTTTGTGTAATAATATTCCTTAAATTGAAATTAATCTATATAATTATAATATCATCAGAATTTTAATTCATCTAATTTTGTATTTAAATAGAACTTCTTGAAAGAATATCAAATAAGTTAAATTAAGTATATTGTTGAATTGTTAAAGATATTTTGCTTTATTTTTTGATAATAAATTAAGACATTTAAATACTTTTTAAGTAGAATTGAGCATGTTTTTATTAAATATAAATACTTTAAATTTTATATGCATTATTTTACCTAATAAATTGTAAGATACTGATAGAAAATTAATAAAGTATATTATATACACTATTATATTTTGTCATGAGCAGTCATCTTAATGGTTTTGATAGATGTTTTCTAGTTCTGATATGATATAGTATTGAGTTACTTAAAATTGTTAAAATATAGAAAATATTATTAATATTATATTTCTATACAAATTGTAAACCATAATTGTTAAAGTTCATATAACTATATAATTAATGTATACATATTCTTTTTTTTTTGGTGGTTATTCAATAACTATAGTTTTAAATAAAAACGGAATATATAATTTAACATAATGTCAGGATACTAAAGAACTTATTAAAGTTCTTTTACATCTTAAAGATACACATCAGAGGCAATCTCAAAGGAGTTGAATGTTCCTGGATATGAAACAAGAGTGAGATATAAGTATCAAAGATAATTATTTTAGAAATGATTTGGGAAAACGATAGAATCAGGAATTGGATATTGCTTGCTTTTTAATGGCAGTAGAAGTAGAAAGGCTAGTTAAAGAAAATACTTAATTGAAATAGGAGATTCAAAATTTTATAGACTCAGGATTAGATAGAGTGAATTATGAGATGTAAATTAGGGATTTAATGGAAAAATTGAAAAATCAAACATCGTAATATTTCAATTATAATTCATTTAGTGAAGTAAATAGCTATTCTGAAGAACGTGAAAGACTTGTAATAATAATTAGAGAGTTGGAAGATGAAATTAGAAGACTTGAAGAGTAACTCAAAGATTATGATCCAAATTGGAGGAAATCTTAAAGAGATTTAGAATTGCAATTATAATTATAAAATAAACTATTTGGAGGGAAAGGGCCTGAAGAGATTTCAAAAGAATTAGAAGAACTCAGAAAAAAAGCTAAGATTTTAGATGATTTGTAAAAGAAAATAGGTGTTAAAGCTCCAGGTATCTAAATTGAGTAGGATTTTAGATGAATTATTAAAAGAATTAGAAAATTTGAAAAAAAAGGCATAACAATTTGATGATATTAATAAAAAATTAAATGGCAAAAACTTTTCAGATTTAGAAAAAGAATTAGAAAAATTAAGATAAAAAGCTGATAAATTTGATGAAATAAGTAAATAATTTTCAAATCCATGTAAAATAATAATTTGAATTAATAGCTGATATATAAAAGGAGCTTGATTAATTAAAAAAAAAAGCTGCAGAATTGGATAAGATGAAAATGTAATTGAATAACTAAAATCCTGATTAATTATTAAAGAATTTAGATGAAAATAAAAAATAATTATAATCAAAAGATAGAGAAATAGGAGATTTAAAGGTTAATATAAAATTATATATTTTAGAGACTCTTATCTGAATTGTAATAAAATTAAGGTTCTTAGGATGATTAAATTAGATTCTTATAATAAAAGATAGATGAATTAGAAGAAAAAGTAGTGGGTTTGGCTTAAGAGTTATCTAGATACAAAATGTTATTAAAAGCTAAAGATGATGAAGTTAATAAATTATAGACATTATTCAGAGACAATGAAACTAAACTTGCATAAATGAATAATGAATTATAAAGATCTAAAAATGATCTATAAAGAGCATAAGGAGATTTATAAAAAGCATAAGGAGACTTAAGGAAAGCTTAGACTGATTTATCTAAATCATAATAAGAAAATTAGAATTTGAAATAACAAACTGATGATCTAAAAAGATAGAATTAAGAATTAGTTTAGGAAAATAATAATTTATAATAAGATTTAGAAAATCAAACATAAAATTTAGGATAACTTGATGAAATAAAAGATTAACTTAATGAATTATAAGATGAGAAGAATTAATTAAATGACAAGGTTTCAGATTTACAGAACAATCTTAAAGAGAAATAAAGATTATTTGATTAAAAATAATAAGAATTAGAAGATGCATTAAAAAGAATAAAAGATTTAGAAGCTAAATTGCTTGAAATGGATCATTATATTGATACATTGGAAGATGATTTATAAAAGTTTGAGAAAGATAATTAATAATTAAATAGAGAAGCTGGATAAAAGTAATTGGCTGATAGAGAATTAGAAAGATTAAGAGGTTTATTAGATCAAATGAAAAATTAGTATGATTAATAACAAAAAGAATTAGGAAAACTTAAAAACAATCTTGAATAAATGAGAGATTTACAAGATGAACTTGCATAAGCCAAATCAGAATTAGATAGAGCTAATTCAGTAATTGCATAATAATAGGATGAATTAGCTTAAAAAGAAAATGAAATATCTTAATTAGTTAGAGAAGTTTAAAACTTAGAAGAATCTAATAACTAATTGTAAGATTAAAATAATAATCTTTAATAATCATTATAAGAATAATAGGCAGTAACTAATGGAAATCAAGAGGAATTAACTAAATTAAGAAGGATAGCAGAAGATTATAAGGAAAAGATTAGATAATTAGAATTAAAATTTAATGAATATTCTAGTATGGAAGATAGACTTAAGTAATCAGATCATAGAATTGCTGTTTTAATGACTGAAATAGAGAGATTAAATTCTTTAGTGAAACAAATAACTTCAGAAACTGAAGATTGGAAATAAAAGCATTCTAGAATAGAATTGGCTCTTTTAGAGTATAGATAAATTGAGAAAACAAATAGAGATGCTGTTAATAAGAATTAATAATTTATAAATGAAATAGAAAGATTAAAGAAGTTATTAGAAGCTAAACATATAGAATTACTATAAACTATTGAAAGATGTGAACTTTTAGAATCTTAATAATAAACATTGATGAACTAAGTTTAAGATGCCTTAAAGAAAGCAGATACAGGAGATAATATTTTACTTTAATATTTATTGATTGCAGCAGAAAATGAAAGATTATCTGGTATTTTGCAACCAATTTAAGAAAAGTTCAATTAATTAACAGTTTAAGTAAAGGAAATGACCGTTAAATATACTGAATTATAAAATAAAACTTTAGGAATTGATTTAGATGAATATGAAAGATTAAAAAAATTAATTATTGAATATGAAAATAGAATTGCTATGCTTTCACTAGAAATTTAAAGATTAAAAGCAAAAACTAATATAATTGATAGAAATAATGGTACATAAGGTAATTTTGGTAGTAATGATAATATCAATATTTAGTATAATAGTTCAATGTTCTAATCAAATGAAGATTTATCTAACAAAATTACTGATTTATTGTGTTTAGTTGCAATGATGTCAGCAGAATTGGATGTCTTAAGAAGTAATAATGAAAAATAAGTTTAACAATAAATGGTAAATTAATATAGACAAAATAATGATGTTGCAAATGTTTAAACAATTCAATCAGTTGAAACTACATCTGGATTCTCCTATTAGAGAATTTCTTCAAATAGAAAATATTGAACATTATTTGCATTAAAATTTTAATATCACATATAAATTTAATAATTATACATAACTTTAGATATTAAAATGAAAATAATTTTACAAATATCTTCTATTTAACAAAAAGAATTTATAAAGTATATATAATTCAATAGCAAAAATATTAATAAAATACATATAGATATTATTATTTAATCAACACTTTATAGTGATTAATCAAATAAATATATGCAAATTAATCATTAAATTCAAAATTGAATATAAAATCTAAGGATATACTAAATTTATGCATAATATAATCGAAAAAATCTTAGTAAAATTTGATCATTAATATATCTCTTGATTATTTTTATAATATGATAAGAATTATTTCTTGCGCAACTTATTTAGATTTTTATTTAATTTTTTATTTTAATTTCAAATTCAAAATGTCCTTTCTTCAATACCCTCCTGATAAGAAAATCTAGAATTACTAATTTAGTTTCAAGGCAAAAGTAGGAAAAGGAGCTTACGGAACTGTTTATGCTGGCAAGAATATGAATGACAGTAAAATCATTAATAATATTTAATTCAGATAAGATTGTAGCTTTGAAAATTATAGATAAAAAAATATTATAGACAGACTATGCCAATTAATTAATAGCATCAGAAATTGAGATTATGAAACTCATAGAAGATAAAAATATTGTCAAATTAATTGATGTCTTACAAAGTGTGAATAATACATATATAATTACTGAGTATTGTAATGGAGGAGATTTAAGGGAGTATTTAAAAAAAAGAAAGTATTACTTTTTTATTAAAATTAGATTAATCTCTGAAGTTGATGCTATGAATATATTTAGGGATTTGCTTCATGGCATAAAAGCCTTATTGAAAATTGGTATCATTCATAGAGATATAAAACCTGCAAATATCATGATACATGATGGAGAGTTTAAAATTACTGATTTTGGTTTTGCTAAATAGGTTGATTCACATATAGATGCTATAATGAATTCTTTGGTTGGTACTCCTCTTTATATGAGTCCATAAATTTTAAAAAGACAATCATATACATCTAAATGTGACATATGGTCATTAGGTTTAATTTTATATGAATTGCTTTATGGCATAACTCCATGGCATTCTTCAAATCTTGTTGAATTAATGGCAAAATTGGATTCCAAGGTATTATATTATATTATTTCAAGCCCTTAGATTTTCCCTGCTTTCCAAGAGTAAGCGATTAAACTAAATAGATAATTAGAAGTTGCCTCTAAATATATGAAGATAAAAGAATTTCATGGGATGGTCTATTTGAATTAACAAATACTTAAGATTTAATCAATATTCCAAACTAAAGTATGCTACCTCTAATTTAAAAACATCCTATACAATATTAAAGTTAGCAAAACTAATAAAATAATTAAGCTACTGAAAATATTGAAAAAGGACCACATCAAAGAACTAAATTAAGAACTGAAAGTATGGGAAATTGCAATTTCACTAGTCGTCATAATAGAAGCTTAAGTAATGCCAATAATCATGATAAGGATAAATCAGATGAAAGATAAAAAGTTAAATGCACAACTCCAAAATTATCTTATCTTTAAAAAGTCACACCTTAAAGACAAACTACAACTATTACATCAGATTCTGAAAGAGAAAGGAGTAATTCAATAATTAAGTTTGCTAATAAAAAACTCAGTTTAATGAAGTATTTGGAAAATGCCCATACAACACCATAAGATTAAAAAGATAATAATGAGTAGAGTAAATCTCCAAGCTATCTCTAATCTAAATCAACTAATACATCTAATAGACATATTTAAGACTAAGAAAATTCATCAAATAAAACTAAAGTAACTGAATTTTAGATTGAAGAAAAGACAAGAGATCCAATCAATAATATTATGAATAATGGATATTATAATTTCAATTAAAATTCTAAATTAAAGAGAACTTTTAGTAATAATTTCAAAGAAAATAGTTTATCTCCTATGGGTTAAAATTAACATGGGATATAACAATTATTAAAATTAATATAAAATCAATATGACTTAATACCAAGTCATTTTATAATTAAAAAATAGATTGAATAAATTATTGGTTAACATAGAACTAAGATTATGTAAACAAAAGATTTTCAATATACATTTGAAGATACTAAAGAATTAAAAAAAATAATTAATAGGTTAATTGATTATTTAAATGAGCATCCTAATGACAATTTTGCCATTTAATTATCAGTGATGCTATTATTAATTATAAACTATAATTAAGTTGTGAATTATTGCTTATAATAAAAATCCTCAGATTTGTCAAAAACATTATTAGACTTAATTAAGAAAAATTAAAGTATTTAATAAAAATAATTAATTCTAAATCCAGCATTTTTAAGAGAAAATATAAATAAATAACTTTTATGAATTACTTTGAGTTAATTATTATTTATTGTTTTTTTTTGTTAAGATTATATCTCTAAAATGCTATCAAATCAATAAAGTTCAGCAGAACATTAAAGTATACAAAAACTACAATAATTCTTGTAAGGATTAAATAAATCAATCGTTAAATAAGGCATTTAAGCAAATTTGTAAACAATATCAAATAATTTGGATGCTGCTGCTAATGAAATAGGTTTCTTATTGTAATCAAGAGATTTGAATGAGTTTAGTCATATAGTAAATAAATTGTCATCAGTATGGAAAGAATTATACAAAACTGTTTATAATAGTAAAATGGTTAATGAGTTTGATAATGAGACAAGTGATTTTCAATAAAAGATGGACTTGATATCATAGACAAAAAGGTAAATGAAAGATGGAATAGGAGAAATAGGTTAATTAGGAGGTGTACGAGTATCAGCTTATCAGACTCCTTAGACAAAAAATATGATGAGATAGATGAGTAGATAATAAACAGGATTACCATCAATTTCTGGATAACCTTAAACTGAATATAAGCATAAAATGAACTATGAAATTGATGACAATTAAAGGGAGATATTGCAAGAAGTCTTAAGGTAGAGTAATAAATTGAATATGTAAATAGTAATGAAAAGATATGATCCAAAAATAACATTAATGGTAAGTCAAGGGACAGATACTAATTTAGATATCTAAGAAGCAATAAGAGGATTTAATAAAGATTATTTAGAGATTAAATTATCAGAAATTACAAAAGAAAATTTAAAGAATTTAGAAGAAATACAAAAGGTGATGTAAGAGAAACATGAGTTAAATTAAGTGGCTGAATCATCAGCAACAGAAAAGTTAAAATCAATATATAAAACAATTTACACTAAAACAACTGAAATGGATTAATTAATGGTAGAGGCATCTAAATAAGAACCATAAATTGTAAAAGATGTTTTGGATGAATTTTTACATCATATAACACATAATTATAAAGATATATAATCAGAAACTTTTAAAATTGTTGCTAAATTGTTTTAATAAATGTAACACAAATAAAAATAGGATGAATTATTGAAAAGTAGAACATTATAAGTATAATAACCTTAACATAAAAAAGATAAATTAAGTTCATCAAAGAGAGGTAATTAAAGTTCTGCTGATGAATCTTAAGTTAGTGAAAAAATAAAATAAGAATTAATTGAAAAGAAAATGGAAGTTGATAAAAAGAATTAAGAAATATTTGAATTATAAAATAAGGTTAGATAAACAGAAAATTAATATATACAAACTGCTTTAGAATTGGAATCAATGAAATTAAATGTTAGTAAATCAGAACAAGATAAAGCATAATTAAATTATGAATTTAAGAAATTAGAAAAGTAACTTACTTCTTTTAATTCAAAGACATTTCAAGATTAAGCTATTTAATGTACTGATATTGGATAATAAAATTTAATTTAAAAATTACAAAAAGATAATTAACAATTTTAATAAAAAGTTTATTAACTAAAAAGTGAATTAATTAAAATAAGTCCAAGTTCAGGGAGAGAATTAAAATACTAATACACAGAGTTTTAAGATAAAAGTGATGATTAAAATATATAAAATTCATAAAATGGAACACCTAGATAAACAAGTAGATATAAATCTGCATATGATTTTGAAAATTAATTGAATGAAGATGGTTATTCAATTGATTAAAGATTAGATTCTTCTTAATAAATGTATAAGAATAGTGAAATATCAAATAGAGAAAGATTAGATGATATGGGATTTGAGAGATCTCCTACTCATTCAAATACTATTAAAGCAAGTTAAAAAATAAAAAATAAAAATTAAGTTTAAATAGAATCAAGATAAACAAATAGTCCAAAATCTAATTCAGAAAGATCTGTTAAAGTATCTTTGTAATTGAGTTAAACAAATTTCAATCCAAAGAAAAAAAAATAAAAATCTATTCTTAAAATAGATGAAGAAGATTCTACATTAAATTAATCTGCTGAATTGAAGAAACAAAAAATTAAAAAGCAATCTTTCTCTAATAAAGTAACTAGAAGATAAACTACTTTAGAAGTAGCATCCAAAGATTTTTTTAAAAATTAAAATTCAATTAAAGATTAAGATGAAACATAAACAGCAACTAATTTTGAAACTTAAAGGACATAATCTGGATAAGCCATAAATAAACCTTAAAGAATTACGTCAGTTGATAAAAAGAATAATGTAAGTGGAAGGAGAATTCAAACTGAAGGATAGGAATAATTATAGGAGAGTGATGATAGTTAATCAGAGAATGGTAACACTAAGGTTAAATTTTCAAGAAGTACTACTTAAAAAGAATAAAAAAAATAAACCATAAAAAAAGGATAGTAAATTACTTAAAGTAAAAATATTCAAACAAAAAAAACAGTAGATGTTTAAATGATTGAAACTGTAGAAGAAATTCCTTCAAATATTACATCTTAATAAAGTTTAGATAAATTTAGTTTAAAATAATCAAATACTATTGAAGAAACAGATGAATAGATTAAGCATAAAAAAGATTATTTAAAATTTAATGGAAGTTCTCCAATTAAAAGATCAAGCACATCAGTTCCATAATAACTTTAAATGACTATCAAATTAAATGATGAAGATTAATAATAATTTACAACCTATTGGCATTAGAGTAAATATTAATAAATATATTATTAGGACATATTGATTAAGAAACTTAAACTGAAAATTATCTATTGATGTAATTACTATAAAGTACAATTACTTAATTAGATCTTCCTATGAATATCAAATAAAATATAGCTTAACAATTACCAAAAAAATTAGAAACAGCTGTTGCTATTGCATTGAATCAAAGTTAAATAATACATTAAACAGGGGGTTTAAGTTCAGATAATTTATAATAATTTGAATTCACTTCTCCTCAAAGTTCTCGATAATCATAAGAATCATTTAGATAAAAACAACTTAGAAATTAAAGATCCCTTGATTCTCAAGGAAAATAAAAATTATAAACTTTATTAGATTTGAATTAATTTGATCCTCCTTAAACAAAAACAAGTTTAGATAGTAAAATTGGTTAATTAACTTAAAAAAACTCTGTAGAATTACATGATTAAGGAAATTCTGAAAATAGTGATATCATTTTGAAATCTAAAGGAGAATTAGAAAAATAATTCTTAAAATAATAAGAATAGGTATTAAAAATGGAAGAATTCTTCAAACCAGAAGATGAAGATTTAGGATATGAAGAATTAGCAAAATAAATAATAGCAAATGAGAATGGAGGTTAACCTTTAGAATAATTCAAATAAAACGATCTCTAATCAGAAAATTTTATGAAAAGACTTCATAATAATATGACAAATCATAAAACAAGAGGAGCTGCAGCAATATAGGATATGTTAAAAAGATACTATAAAAAGAATCCAAAAGATCAAATTACTTTTCATGAATTTAAAGGATTTTATTAAAAAGTATTTGCTACCCATAAACAATGTGGTTTTAATATTGTATGTAGTCATTTATAAAGATTTATAATGAAATTAGGATTTACTTGTTCTTTATTTTCTAAACGAAAAGTAATGATATAATATTATTTTAGTTATTGAAAACTTCCCTTTCAATACTTAAACCTTTCAATCCATTGCATGAAACAAAATAAAAATTAGTGAATCAATCAACTACTTATTAGAATTCAAGTAAATTTTAAACTAATTAACATTTTTCTGTTGATTAATGAATATTAATAAAAATTACAACTTACAAATAAATGATCAATCAAAGATTACTCCTTCCTATTCATTTATTTCTTATTAAATTCTACTAAAATGAATAAATATTTATTCAAGAGAACTAAAATATAATTAAGTATAATTACCTTTCATTAATTTAGAAATCTTCAATGATCCCGTTTTATATTTATCTTTCAAAATATTAAAACGTTTTATAAAAGCTAAAACTTAAGTCATTTATTGAAAATGTCATAAATCCTACTCTTTTATCATCTAATCTATTAATAGTAGGAAATTCTTATTAAATTGAATTAACAATTTCCTAAACTTAATGCTCATCCACATTACTGAATTTAACCGATATTTGATAACCTTTACTATATTTTCTAATTATTAATAATAAATTTACTATCTCAAATATTAAGGAGTTCCTAAACATTTGAATTAACCAGCTATCAAAATTCCTATTCTTTAACTCAAACTTTCAGCCTCCTCAATAGTATGAGTAGTCATAATTGCAGAACAATTTCTTAATTAAATATTTCTTTATAATGTGTTAAATAAAAATCTTCTTGATATTGGATCTACACCAGTACTTGGTTCATCAAAAAATGTAATATCACTTCCTCCAATTAAAGCATCTGCAACACATAATTTTCTTTTATTTCCTCCACTTAATTATCCAGCTTTTGTTTTTACAAACAAATCAAGTTACATAGTTTTGATAAAATAATCAACAGCTTATTTTAAATCATTTCCATTTAATCCTTTAATTCTACCAAATAATTATAAATGTTCAATTGGAGTTAAATTTTCCCAAATGCAATCAAATTAAGGACAGATTCCAACATGTTACATAATTTCTTAATTTCTTTATTTAGGTTCAGCACCATTAATTAATGCAACACCTTAAGTTGGAGTATTAATACCAGTGAATACATTAATAAGTGTAGATTTTCCAGCTCCATTTGGACCAATAATTCCAAATATTTCTCCTTATTTTACTCCAAAAGTCAATTTCTAAAGTGTAGGCTTATCCTTTATATATTCCTTCTCTAAATTTTTACAAATAATAGGATCAGAGATATTTCCTTTTTCTATTCTAATCCTTTCATCAATTATTTCCTATTCTAAATTCTCATTTAATTTCTACTATCCCTCATTTATCACAGTAGGTAAAATTAAACTTTTAGATTCAATTAAGTATAGAACTATTACTTAAAAAATGATTTATGCTAATAATACCAATTAAAATGCATAAGTTCTTTATATTAATTAAGGTGTAGTATATAAGTTGAGATCATATATTTTCTAAAAATTATCAGCTAAAAATGTACAAGCTTCAAAAAATGCATAAAAAGGAGATACTAGAACAAAAAGAACTTGGAATATGTAAATAAGTTGTTCTGCAATAGCACTATTAAATTTTTGATAAAAAAAGTCTATAAATGCTATAAGGATAAAAGGAACACAGAAATTCACAAAAAAACAAAACATAGAATATAGTTTTAATGCATTTTCTAAAGTTTTAAATAAAAATCCCATTAAATAAGCAAATAGTATATAGCTAAATCCAAAAAGTATATAGCAGGATAATCCAGCTCCTAAGTATTTAAATGCAATTTCTAAATTTAGAATGGCTGATATAATGTAAAATAATGCTACAAAGCATAGATATATAAGGTAATCAAATATTAATGTTCCTACCCAATATGGAAAAGTTCTACATCCCATACCTATTAAAGCTTATTTCAAATAAGTTTCTTTCTCTAAAACTGGTTATGTAATATAAACTGTAGCATTAAAGCAAAATGCTAAAACACTGCAACTACTCAATAAAGATATTTTGAAAAATTCAACAGCCTCTTCTAAATTATTATGATCCATTTGTGGGAAAACATTTTTTAATATTTCATCAAAATCAACTCCTGCAACAGTTGTCATTCCTAAAATAAATGTTAACATAGGTATTATAATAGAGAAATAATTAGTGCTTGTTCTTGTTACAGTATAATATCTCCTTAAAAATATAGCATAAATTTATGAACTTAATTTATATTGAGGATCATTTTTAAGACATTCTGGAATATTTTAATTTAGTTCTTTTTCTTCTGTGAATTCTTATATTATTGGAAGACTATGAAAATCTTCATTTTCAATTAAATTATTTGTATCTTCATCATTTTCAGCTATAATACCCATACTTTATTTAACTTATTTAATTTCACTTTTTCTAACATAATTCAAATGTATTTTTTCATCTTCCAATCCAATTTTAACAAATGCATCTTCTAAAGTTTTCATTTCCAATCCAATTTTAACATTTAATGACTCTAAATTATAAAATAAATTTCCTAATTTTCCTTTAGAAGCAAAAGGAATATTAAAAACTAATTTATTTTCATTTGAATGTTATGTTTCTAAAAAACAATTAGGAATCATTTCATTAACTTTATCATAAATTTGATTTCTTAAATTATTATTATCAAAAGATAATTTCAAATTATATCCTTCTCCAAATTTCCTTTTAATAAAATCTGAAGATCCTACAGCAAGTAATTACCCTTTAGACATTATTCCAATTCTATTAGCCAATAACTCTGCTTCATCCAAATGATGTGTAGTTAAAATAATAGTTCTTTTGTCTTCTCTAATTCTTTCTAATATATTCCATATTGCCCTACGAGAATATGCATCCATACCAGATGTAGGTTCATCTAAAAATATTATTTTTGAATCTCCAACTAAACTCATAGCCAAAGATAACTTCCTTTTAGATCCTCCAGATAGCTCTAATATCTTTTTATTCTACTCTTCTAATAACTCTGTCTTCTACAAAATTTAAATTATTTCATCTTTATTTAATCTACCTTTAATTCCACTAATGAATTCTAAATGTTCGATTACAGTTAAATCATTGTAAAGACAATCTTTTTATGTACATAATCCTAATGATTTTCTAATTGTTTCTAATTATGTATCTAGATTCATTCCATACATACTAACCTATCCAGATGTTTTTTAGATCATTCCAGTCAATAAACTAATTGCTGTTGTTTTACCTGCTCCATTATGTCCAAGTAAACAAAATATTTAAGATTCATAGAGATGTAAACTAATATTATCAACGGCATTCAGATCTCCAAATTTCTTTAGAAGATTCTTAATTATAATACTTGGAGGACTAGTCATTTTTATATCTTCATTATACATGGCAGAACTACTTTCTGTATCATTTTCATTTAATTACAAAAATACGTTATTTTACTTATCCTAAATTTTATTTCTTTTCTGATTAGTTGAAATTTTTAAAAAGAATAATGGATGTTTAGCAATTCCATATTCATTAGGAATCACTTATTCAAAATAAATAAATATGATGAAATAGACAACAAATTAAATTGCTTATTATAGACCTGCTAATGAAGTTGGATAAGTATCACTAATAATTGTTGTTGGAAATAAATTTAATTTTGTTAAGTCTGTTCCTTTTTCTGAATTCATAGAAGAAATGTAAGAAAAGGCTATACCACATTATGGACTTATTATTGTCATGATAATATAAAAGGCAACTTTATTAGCTACATTTTCAACAAATGAAAAGTAAATAAAAAAGGTAAAAGCAATTTATAAAAATGACTACATTTCACCTGCAATTTTAACTTCATTAAATAAGCTTGATAATAAGAAATTCTAATTCATAGCCTAAAATTATTGTTAAATTCTTACTGCATATGCAAATAAAATGTAAGGCCACAACATATCACTAAATGATACATGAAATTCTTCATCCCAATTTATATTAAAAATAGCATTAAATATTAACCAGCACACTTCAAAAATAATCACGGACTAGATTATTAATTCATACAATTACTATTCCTATCCTTATATATCCTGTTAAGATCCATCCTATTGTATAAGCTTTTTCATTCATTCCCATAATCTTAAATTATTATATATACTTTACCTTCTAAAGTTCTTTGTACCTTTTGCTTTTCTCTTCGACTAATTTTATTAACATTGACCTTTATGTTGAAGTCAAAGCAATACTATAGAGTAAAGGCATCAACTATTGAATAGCTTGCAATTAAGCTAAATTTTATATTGATTTTTAAGTACCTTTTAGTGATAGCATACCAGCCACAACAATAGGTAGAATAGATTCAATCAAGAACTCTTTATTTCTAAGACTGACAAGCAGATTTTTTTTAACGATAAAGCCTATTTATTCACATGTGCTCATAATTATAAAATAGACTTTTAGATTTTCTTAATTTTATTTAATATATTTAAGAATTATAATTTTAAGTATATTTATATGATAATAATAAAGATTAAATACAATCTTTATTCAGTGAATTTGTTTACTCTCTTTAATTAGGTTTAATATTGAATCATCCTTATTATATAATTAGTAATATATTTTAAAGTAGATCAATAATAGTATAAAATAATTGTATTAATACACTCTATTTCATTTAGCACAGAGTAAAAAAAGATTCAAAATAATAGGATTTTATTATAAACTAAAATGAGAGAAATTATAATAATCCATCATCATTTTATAAACTATCCAATTATTAATAATATATCTTATATATAAATTAGAATTAGATACTTATTAATATCTATAAATATAAAATCGATATTTATGGAATCTTGAAACAATTTTAGATAAGCAAATATCCTTAAGTCAATATAAAAATACTAATTACCTTTTTCCTAAGACTTATATACTCTATAATAGAGAAATTTTTTCTATAGATATAATTGATATTAAAGAAGAATCAAATAATAAAATTTGTTTAAGAGCCGATATGCTAATCCTTTTATTAATATTTTTTATATTTAAGAAGAGTAATTGTGCTTCTTAATTTTAATTAATTAAAATTTATATCTATTTTAGTTAGAATAATGTAACAAATAAACCAATGGGATATCAAAAGACTGGAAAATACTCTATCGTGTTACTGTAACTTCTTTTAATTTTAACTTTGTTAAGATTAGTCTAAACAGGTTTAATATGTTGATAATCTAAAGAGATAACTTCCTTTGCCATCATCATTAAACAACATTTATACTATTAAGTTAAGAATTTATTCACTTCTTCTTACCTATCTGTAGGAAGTCTACAAGAGGATTACTAAATAGTATCATCTTAATAATTAATTATACTAATAGCAGGATTATTATTATTATTATTTTTTTGGGATAGATTCTTATTGTATATTTTAGAAGAGTTCAATACTTTCTCAAATTCAAAGGCACTAAATTATTATTGATCATCAGAAGTAGCAAATGATTAGATATTATGTTGAATTTAATCTTTATGTTTAAGATAAAATTCCTTATAAAATGAAAACTATTAATAAATGCTCGACCATTTTTCTTCATACATTTAGTTTGATTTGATTAATGTTTCATTCACATTTTATAATTCCATAATTTAGAGATTCAATTCTGTTAGTTATAAATCTAACTGTTAATTCAAGACTAATTAAGCATGATATTTATTTTTAGTTCTTAATAATTCATCTTATAACCTATATAATATAATTGCATAATTACATATAAATTTTCTATTCAACTCCTTCATTTGCCAATTTATTCGCTAATAATTGCATACGTTTGATATTGAATTATTATATTTATTAAGCTTTAGTTAAATCAAGTTTTGGTATGTGTTTTTCAGGTTCTTACTTTAAGTCTTTTGGTATTTGAGACTTTTACTATCTTTTTACTTTTTGTGGCAATGTTGGAGAGAAAAGGGGAGAAAATACTGCTGATTATTGCATATGCATTTTTTCATCTTATGAATCATCATCAAAAAATAATCTCTTTTATACTAGAAATAGAAATTTGATACTTACATTAGACTAAATTATTAATGAATTTTGATGGATCTTCATTTTGACTAACTAGATTAAATTATTAATTATAATTACAAAATGTTTTTGTCTAATTTCTAGGAGTGAATCTTTAAGTTCTTATCTTTAGAATTTCATTTGATAAGCTAAAATTTAATTGAGCTAAATCATTTTTTTATTCGATTAATTCTTCTATTTGTAATTTCTATTTTAATAACATTGAATTCATTTATTAAATTACGTTATTAAAATTCAAAGTCAATTATTCTGGTTAAGCTAACTAAGTAGTATAATTTTGATAACTACATGTTTTTCTAAATAAATAGTCCCCATAATTTCATTTGACATCTTGACTTATTCATTTAACTTCTTCTTTAATTCTGTGATTGTTCTATTTAGACTAGTAATCAATGAAGATTCTACTCTCTAATTTGATTCATTAATTTATTCAGAAATAAAAGCCTATAAACTCATACAGTAAATGATTTACTTTATCAAAAGCTAAGTTTCTTTCATCACTTAATTATTCTATTTTTTTCATTAAGACTTCATTTTCCTCTTAAACAAATTTTAGTAACACCAATGCAGCTTTACATTCAGAACTTTAGTCAAATTATGTTGGATTATAACAAATTTTTAATTATTCCTTATTTAATCTAATTAAATCTTTGGCATCTTAAAGTTGTTATTTCATTGAATCTAATTCATTCTAAAGATATCTGCATTGTGTTTTCCATTTTTCAATTTCCATATTTATAATTATAATTTAAATTTTTATATTTCAATTTTCATTATTAATTTTTTCTTGTTTTATTCTCATTATCTTAATATGATTTCATCTTAAAATTTCGAAAGTGACCCTTATACACTTATTACAACTAAAAGATAAATATTTAGTTCTGAAAATGAAACTAATTTGCATAAGATAAATAAATAAAATTCACTGATTGATTAAGCCGATAATTTAAGTTAAGAAAAGTAATTAATTTTAATATGTGAAAGAAGCAAGAATATGAATTTTATTGAGTTGATTTAATCTAGAAGTTCAGTGATTCCAACAGTTAAAGTATTATCACCAAGAAGTGATGAGATATTATAAAATGACGATGGGTTTTATATGTAGTCAAGTAGGCAACTTAATGAAGGGTAAAGTATTTTTTTTAATAGAGAGTATGAATAAAGTTTGGTAGAAGGGAGGATTAAAAATTATAAAATACGTTGCTAGATTCATATATTAACTAAAAACTAAAGCAGACAAATTAAAAATAAAGTTAATGAATAATGAAATATTTATAAAATTAGGAGATAAAAGCGCTGATTTTTAAAATTTTAAGAAAGGCAATTAGAAATAAAAATTAAATAATTTATTATATCGAATTTTTAATAAGATGATTTTCTAAATTATTTAACTATGGAATTTAATAAGTTAAAGTTTAAATAAAATAGCAATCATTTATCCTGAAAGTACATTCAAAATTATTTGGGATACTGTTGTGGTATGTTTCATAGTTATCAATATATTTTTTATTCCAATGAGTTTAAGTTTTGAATTAGATAAATCTAGTTAAATCTCTACCTTATTTTTTGAAACTATTCCCAGTTATATTTTTATTGTTGAAATCCTTTTGAACTTTAATACTGCCTATTATAGTTAAGGAATTATTCATACCAATAGAAGTGACATCTTTTTTCATTATATATCTAACAATTTCATTTGGGATTTACTTATAGCAATACCTTTTATTCTAGCATAATTCAATATACCTTATATTTAATTTATTTTGCTATTACGAATAGCTAGAGTGAGATCTATGATATAGAATGTAGAAGATCTATTAAATGCCAAAGAAGAAGTTTAAGCTGTTATCGAATTAGGAAAACTAGTCTATTTTTTAGTTTTAGTTGCTCATATGTGCAGTTGTGGTTGGCATCTATTGGGTAGAATTGAATATGAAATTTATCAAGATGAAAATAGTTGGCTCGTTTATTACAACCATTATGATAAATAATGGTATGATAGATACATAGTCTCATTATATTGGAGTGTAATAACAACTTTAACAGTAGGCTATGGTGACATTGTACCTTAAACTACAATTGAAAGACTTTATGTAGTTATTGTAGCTATGGTATTATGTGGAGTATTTGGTTATATTATTTCTATGATAGGAGAAATCTTAAAAACTTTAGAAGAAAAGAAAGCATTATTAAAAAAATCTATGAAAAAAGTCAATTAATATATTAAATAAAAGCAATTAAATTTATAATTATCTCTTAAGATTAGAAAATATTTTGAGTTTAAACATCAAATTGATGAATAATTATAAGATTAAGACGATTCTGTTTTAAATAAATTAAGTGGATCATTAAAATAAGAAGTATTAATTGATATATATAAACCAATTCTAATGAAATCTAAATTTTTAAAAGAGAATATTCCAGAATATTTAATAAACAATTTATGTCAAAGGATTAAATAGGCTACATTTGCTCCAGGATATGAAATAGTTAATGTTTATGATCCAGCTAATAAATTAATATTTATTTTAGATGGTCAAGTTAATAGCTATTTTATATCTAAAGGACTTGATGCTTTATAAAAAAATGAAAAAGAAACTAATTCTGCAATGATGTAAAGAAATTATTAAAGAGGAGATATCATAGGAGAATTAGAATTTATCATTAATTCATCATATTAATTTTACTTTAAAGCCCAAACAGTTTTGTCAATTGTGTATATTGAAAGAAATGACTTCTTATAAGTTATTTAAGAGAATGAAGAATGTCGATAAAAATTTCATTAATTGAGAGAAAAGCTAACCTATCAAAAAACATATGGTAGAACTTGTGATGTTTGCAAATGGACTCATAGATATAAAGATTGTCCATTTGTATTTTATCAAACCAATATTTATAAAATAGCAAGAAATGCAAATACAAGTCTTTATCAATCAAGACTTAAATTTGATAGACCTAGGGATTGTAAAAAAAAATAAAATACTTTTGATTATTAAAATATTTTAAATTAAGGTATTGATTTTATTATCAATTATGGATATTTAAATGAGGAGTAAATATATTTATCAATATTTTAGTTAATTAAATGAATCATATCTCATTAGATTAGGTTTAGATATTTAGGGAGGCTTTAATGAAAAATCTAATTAATCTTAGGAGAGCCAATCCTAAGATTCTCATTAATAGGATAATCATTCTATAGCCTAAAGGAAAGGATCTTCTTAAATTGAAAAAATGAGAACAAGTTTTATGAATTAGAAATTTAAAACTGGATTAGGTTAAAACGCTAATTTTACAAGAAATTAAAATTAAGATGACGATTCAAATGGAGCAATATAGAATCCATATATTTAATATTAACGTAAGACTGATAATGAAGTTCAAATTGATCCTAGAGAACATTCTTATTCTAATGCATTTTCTAACCATCATAATCTAACCAATAATACAATAAAGCATAATCCAAATCTTTATTCATAAGGTAATGTAAGAACTTCAGTTGCAAATCATATAGCAAGAACTGAAACTTCAATGCCTAAAAAGAGTCTTATAAGTTAATAATAGAATATTCATCATTCTGTGAAAATAACCAACAATAATAATAATGTAGAAAATGAGAATGATAAAAATCAATTGCCAAATTAATTCTAAACTAATGGAACCATTTATTATATTCCAGATATAGAGTTTGATAAAATGAAAAATTATGACTGTTATTTTCCACAGTTTAATGTTATAAATGTTTTAGAGAATTTGAAAAAATATCGTCTTAATTAATTTAATGAGAACAAAAAAAGAAATATAAAAGATAAACTAAAGTCTATAAGATTGAACAAAACTATAAATAAATGCTTCAATTCATCATTCAGAAATATTGATGAAAGTATCTGATATTATTTCTCATTTAATTGATTTATTATAATATTTCAGAAATCATTCAAAATTACCTGAATGTTCATTTCTAATAAAGTTACAGGGTATTTCCAATCAAATCTTTCTAATACTTCTGGATGAACTACTCCCAAACCTCCGATTGGTTAATCTTTATAAATGATTTAGGCTTATAATTAATGGAAGAACAAAGGATCTAAATTCAAAATATATTTTACCATTTGATTATTTTAAGTGATAATCTGTCTTTTTAACTCTGAGTTTTATCATTAATTAATCTAACAAACCATGTAAGATTTCTAACTCACTTTTTTTACTACTAGAATGAATGGCAACTAGATTTCTTTAATTATAAGCTCCAACTTATCCTTCTCCTTTTTAAAATCCATCTTTTTCTGATTTCAATCCTTTAACACAAACATCTGAAACTTCAAATAATTTAATTGGTAATTTGCTATCAGAATTAGCTTATAAAGTGTGTAAAATTCCTGGAATGAGAGTTGATCTCACTGATTAAAATTATGGAGTTTTAGAATTGTTGATAGACACATAATTTTATAAATTTGGTCTATTTAACATTTTAGTTTATTCATCTATTGACATTAATACGAAATTCAAACATTCTACAAAACCACATAAAGCCACTTCTTCTCTTACCATATCTGATAATTTATTTAATCTATATTCTGATCCAGTTGTTGCAGTCTCTGGTACTTTAAATTCTATTTTATTATAATCATAAGCAATTCCTATTTCTTCAGCAATATCACATTATTAAAGTATATCACTTCTATAAAATGGTACTTAACAATCTAAAATATTATCATCTTTAGCTACACTTTATATACCCATAATTGACAATAGATCACTTGCTTATTAAGTTGCTAATATTATTATTAATTTAAGTACTGATATTTATTCCCAAAACTTTATTAATATATTAAATATTTGTTGTTAATGTTCTTTCATCTACTACAGGTGTAACAACTTATTTATTATTTGATTCATAAACAATATTAACTTTTTCAATATTTAATTTATTATTGTATATGGCAAATCCACTAATCAAACAATTTAAAGTATGTAAAGCTCTTTATTCATCTATTGCTGTGACTTCAATAAGAATATTTTTTGTTTCTGCTGACATTTTAGAATGCTCTCCATTAATTATTGGTGGTAATGAACAAACTCTCTTTTAGTTATCATAAATAACAGGATAAACAGGTGAATTTTCAATTATCTTCAAATAACCTTTTAAGTATTAATCTTCCTATTATTAATTAGGAATATAATTACTCTTAATTTATTAAATAAATCAATGCAATTCATCTGTTCAGTTTATTTTAGTGCTTAGAATACAATATCTTAAGGTGCTTATGCATCATAAAAGAATGGACCTTCTATTTTATCTAAATCATGAGTTCCAATAGAAACTAGAGTTCTTTTTCTAGCATAATTTTAATGAATTTTATCTTGAAATGATAAAAAGGATTTAAAACTATCATCTGTTAAAGTAACATCTCTCAATATTGCTCCAACAACAAATGGTCTAATTTATTGTGTCTATACAATATATATTTTATTAATACTGCAGCTTTCACATAAATTGTTTCTTTTGCAGGAGTAAAACTATAGATTCTTTTTTTTTCCAATCCCATATATACTCTTAATGAATGCACTAAATTTTCAACACACAATAAATCTGGTCTATTGGCAGCAATTTCAAAATATAAAAGATCTGGTTCTTCCTCTCTTTCTTCTGCTTCAACACCAAATCTGAAAAGTAACTCTTCTAATTCTTCTTCATTTAATTCTTTTCCTAAAAGCTTAAAGAAAAGATTTTTGTCAGATGATATTTTAGGCATAATTAAAATTTTATATTTTTTATAGCATACATTTCAATCACAATATTCAAATACTAAATCCCTCAATCAATTCAATTATTAACTTATCAGCTTACTATTCCTTTTTATGTACTTAATCATTCATGTAAACAATTTTATCGTTAAAAGGAAATACTATTTAACAAATTCTTTAATTTCAATTTTTATTTTAGATATAACTTAAAATTTTTGTTAAATCAATGTTTATTTAGCCAATCATCAAGTATTCTTTATCAATAAAAAATGGGTTTTCCTTAAATAAAAAACGACAATGTTGGAAGAAAAAGTTTAATCATCATAAATTACATATTTCAATTTCTATTTTAAAATAAAAAAGGATCTTAAATTTTTAGTTCTAAAGCATCTTTATACTTTTTTTGGCTTCTTTAACGAATTCTTTTTTTGAAAATATTTTCTAATGCAAAACTCATTTATAATAACAGTAATATTATTTAATTATCTATTAAGTAATATTTAAGTCACAGTTCAATATCAAATGAAATCAAACTTTTAATGACTTTCTAATAAAAATAAGAAACTAAAATTGATTATAAATAAATATGATATTGTTCAAAATTATTGATTTTTTGGTTGGTTTTAGAATCTCAAATCATAATTTTTACTTTTAATTAGCTACGAAGAGCTAGTACGTCTATGATCAGGGAATTCATTAATTTAAAAAGGAGTATTTTACACTTCTCTAGGTTTTGGTTTTTAAGAATTTTATACTCCAAAATTGATTTATTAATTGTTCAAATATCCTGAATGATTTGAATAAGGTCCAACAATCCCTGAATAAATTTGGCTATTTTCTGTTAACTCTATCGGATTACTGTGATTATTTGGTACTTCCTAATTCCATGAATACTATTATTTTAAGGTTTATTTAAACTAAAGATTATGTATTTCAGTCTCTAAACTTCTGATTCTAGATTCCATTTGAAATAATTGTTCCTAAAAATTATCAAGACACAAATACTTTTTCTCTAGCCAAATCATTTTCTAATTAATTATTTTTTTCTTAAAGCATATTATTTTATAATCTTAAATTCTAAATATCTCTTTCTTTTGCATTATTTTCAGAATCATATTTCATTTATAAAGCATCAAAATCTCTCAATTTTAAATCATTTTAATTTTAAGTTCTAAGTAATTCATCCATTAAATTTTTGACTTCCAAATTTAATTACTACTTATCTTGTTCTAACCTTTCTTGATTTTTTATAGCATTGTTATTTTACTCTTATAATAATAATAACTCTATAATTTTGATTATATATTTTACCTCTCTCTAACTAATTACATTTTTTTTCATACAATAGCAAATCATCATGCATCTCTTTCATTTTTTATAATGTTATTGTTCTTTCATTTCTGTATTAAAATTCATTTTCTTAAGCATTTTTTATTTGATTTTACATCTGTACATATTCATTTTCTAATTAAAGTAAAGCTACTTCTCTTTTCTTTATTTCTTATTCTAGTGATAATCCATAGTTTTTCCATCTGTCAAGAGTTCCTTTTAAATCAGCAGATTAAATTTGTGATTTATTTAAACTATCCTCAATAGTTCTTTCAAGCTGATAAGATTTATTTTGTAACATTTAATTTTGGGTATTTAATTGGTTTACTTATTCTTTCATCTTCCATATATCTTATTCTTATGATTGACTTTTGACAACTAATCTTTAATATTCATTCTTTCCTGTCTATATTGTTATTGCATATTATTCAATCTATCTTTATTCTAAAATTTATATATAATTTACAGTCAGATATTTATTATTACATTTATCTTAATTTATTTTCATTCTATAAATTTATGTTTTACACATTTTATAATTCCTTTTCTTTTTATTGAAGCTAGATTATTTAATTTTTTAATTGATCATTTTAATAATTGAGATTTTAGATATTTTTCTATAGATTATTAATCTAATCTTTGGATCCCTAATTCAACTGATTGATTTTTTGAATCAACACCTAGTTTTAGGTTTATTCGTTTGTTAAATCCTTATTGATCATATCTAATGCTTATTTCATCTTTCTATTATCATTTAGGAGTGAATCATTCTTTTAACTTTGCATCTCATTGTTTTATGTTAACTCTTTAAGCTATAATTTGTATTTTTCAATAGTTTCCTTTTATGTCTATATCTCACTATCTGAAAAAGAATTTAATCTTTTTTGTTCTTACACCTGTTTATTAGCAATTGAAAGCTGCTACTCCAATTCAGATATCTAATTTTCAAGCCCCTAATTTAGTTCTACTTGCTTCTTTAATTTTTATAAATCTAAAAGTTAATATTGATCATCTTAAATTGTATTCATTAATCTCTTATTTTCATTTTTTAATTGTAGTATTTAATCCCTAGAATATTCATTTATATCATACTACAATCCTTAAATTTCAGCATTATTACTCTTATCTCTATTACTTAATTGCATACTAATATACTCAGATTTTTTATACTTATCGTTTTTTAACTTATAGTTGTCCTACTCCAAGGTTCTCCACTAATATCTAATTACTTTTTGAAACATACCTTAATGTTTCAATCTCTTTCATTAATCTTTAGATCTATTCTTCATGTTCTTATTCTTTCATTGTTTGTTATCCCATTACAGGATAATTGAATTATGGATATTGATAAACTTGAGGAATATTTTATTAATATCCATAGCTAGATTGTATAAATTTCTTACTTATTTGTTTGTGAAGATCTCCTTGGAACAAACCTAATGTTTAATTATAAATGCCATACTCATTATTATCTATGCTTTTAATATTTTATCCATTTGATAAATTAGATGTTCCCAATTATCGATTAGAATCAGGTTTGCTCCTTTCTTGATAAGAAATTTGTGCTTAAGAATTTGCTTCTAATTAGCTCATTAAGTAATTATAGAAATATTTTTTATAAACAAAATTACTTTAACAAAACTTTATGATATCAAAATAAATAATTCTCTAGAAATTGTTATTATAACTTTTAAGCGTGAAATATATTAATTATAAACTAAATTTAGCCAAAAATCATAAATTATAATTAATAATTAAATTGTTTTCAGAATTTATAGTTTATAATTACAAAAACTACAAAACATTTATACAATAATATTTGTTACTTAATGATATTTTGCTAAAATTTAAAAATTAATTATGTAAAAAATAATTCTATGTTTTTAAAACCTAAGCAATTTAATAGAACAAAATAATATTCACACCCTTCTATCTTTATTTTAATTATTCTATCTATTGAAACCTAAAGCTTTAATATATAATTAAGAACTGTTATGCATTTCTATTTTAATGGAATGTATAAATTATATAAATTCAAAATACAGATTAAAAAAATATTTTGTTTTAAGATTAGAGTTATTGTTCAATTGAAAGCCTTTTTGAGCTAATATTTAATTTGCTTTATAAAAAATTGCTTGAAAAATTTGGTCTATTCTAAATTATGTTATTATTTTTAGTGTTATTAATTTTAAGTTTGAGCACTTCAATGAATTGATTTAAATCTTATGGTGTTTTATTACCTGAAAATTAAGGTTTATTACCCTATAGTTAAGGTTTACTTGATGATGTTTTTAATTATAAAACTCTATCAATCTCTTTAAATGGAGAAGGTGATGCTTTAAATTTCTTTTTTGAACTCAATTCTTTATAATTTGAAAAGTTTAACTTTTTCTAATATCTATTTGATTAAATTGAATTATCATGATCAAAAAATTCAAGTATATAATTGTTCAATTCTGATACCTTATAAGTAATTTCTGAAAAAAAAATATTTTTTTATTTTAAAGGGGATTATATAATATGACAGTTAGAATGAGAATTGATAAGCTCCTTATTTTTTTAAATTTCCTACAACTATAACCTCAATTCATATTCTTGGTCTTATAAATATCGATTTCCTTTATCTGCAACTTTTTTCATAGCCTCACTAATAGATTAAATTAATTAATCTTAGTAGGATTTTATATTCTTTAAGAATTGTTTATAATCATCTCTTAAATTTAATAACCTCTTTATTGTAGTTTATTCTTTAAATGATAAATAATCGATTTGCTCTTTTTAATCATAATGATCTGCTTAATTCAAATATTGTTTTTAGGGTGAGATAAATGTTGGTGATTATGCTTGGTGAATTTTAGTTTCTACTTATCTAAGAAGTTCTTAAGAGTCAATAGATAATCTTGATTCATCCTTTGATTTTGAAAACTCAAAATATTTATCCATACTTTATTTTTATATTAAAATAATGCTAAAGAAGATGAAAAAATATTAATTCCAAAATCATCAATAATTACAAACTCTATATAACATATTTGTTATGAATATTAAAATTATCTAGATAAATCTTTAAATCTTGTTTCAATTTAATTTTTACATAAATTAATAGAATATTCATGTCATTATCAGAAACTCTAAGTCTTAGTTATCTATGAAATAAATTTTAATTATGAATTTTATTAACAAACAAAAACAAAGCATACCAAAAAATAGATTAATTTTTTCAACCCTTTAATTATCAATTATTAAATTATTAAGTATAAAAAAATTGATTAGAATGAATTAGAAAACTATATATAGATTATCTAAATATAATAGCATTTTTTATAAATTAATGGAATATTATTTTAGGAATTTTGAATAATCAATTCAAATACAATCATTATCATATTTGAGTCATTAGAGATTAGTAATAATAATAGATGATAATTGCCTTAATATATTTTTGTAATATTATTATATTCTGTTGATTCATGCTTATAAGAAATTAAATTCAAAATAAATATAATAAATTAATGGGACAATTATGTATTGAGAAACCAAAACAAAAACACTCAGAAGATAATTTACATGAACTCAATCCATAAACTTAAAAGTATCCATAAACTTAAGAATCCTCTCTTTAAAATCCAAATTTGTCAGAATAAGAAGTAAAAGATAAAACTCAAGTTAAATTGCTTGATTCTGTAAACACTCATTAAAATTTATCTATTCATGATGTTTATAAAATTCTTTCTCCTCCATTAGGGAGTGGTAAAGCTAATATTAATTTCAGGGTCATATGCTGAAGTGCGTAAAGGTGTACACAAAGTTTTAGGTATTACAAGAGCAATAAAAATCATATCAAAATCCGAAGCCACCAATGAAGAAGTTTCTAGAGTCTTACATGAAGCAGAAATACTTAAATAGTTGGTAAGAAATATTTAATTTAGGATCATCCTAATATAGTAAAAATTCTAGAGATATACTAAAATTCTGAATAAATTTTCATTGTGACTGAATTATGTACAGGAGGTGAGTTATTCGATGCAATTGTGGAATCTCAATAATTTTCAGAGAAAGATGCAATAAAATTAATTAAATAGATATTACAAGGATTAAATTACTGTCATCAACATAAAATAGTTCATAGAGATATAAAACCAGAAAATATATTATTTGAAAGTAAGGATAAAAGAGGAACAATAAAAATCATTGACTTTGGAACTTCAAGAGTATTTGATCCTCATTAAAAAATGAATCAAAAAATAGGAACTGTAAATATTTATTTAATTCTTTAGCCTTACTACATAGCTCCAGAAGTTTTAAAAAAAAAATATGATGAAAAATGTGATATGTGGTCATGTGGAGTGTTAACTTATATTTTATTATGTGGTTATCCACCATTTAATGGAAAATCAGAGGCAAAGATTTTAGAAAAAGTAGAATAAGGAAAATATGATTTTAATTCAGAGGAATGGGATATTATCACAGAAGAAGCAAAAGATTTTATTTCTAAATTGATGGAAAAAGATCCTTTCAAAAGATATAATGCAGAATAAGCACTCAAACATCCATGGATTGCATAATAAAATGAGGATGTTTAAAATGAATTACCATAAATTGACAGAGCTTTAAAGAATATGAAAACCTTTAAAGTAAATCATTCTTAATTTCTTATTTAGTCCACTAAATAGCTTCAATCAGCAATTTATCAATACATAGTGAATCAATTTTCAACCTAGGAAGATAAATCAGAATTATTGAAAACTTTTAAAGCCTTAGATACTAATAATGATGGGTAATTAAGTAGACAAGAATTATTAATTGGGTTAAGGAAGATAATGAATGAAAATGAAGCAATCGAGGAAGTTGAGAGAATCATGAGAGATATTGATTAAAATAATTCAGGATCTATAGATTATTCTGAATTTGTTGCAGCTTCAATAAATAGATCAAAATTATTATCTCAAGATCGTCTTGCTAAAACATTTTAAGCTATTGATAAGGTTAAATTTAAATTTATTTTAGGATGGTAATGGTTCTATAAGTATAGATGAATTGAAATTAATTTTTGGTAATGGATTAGTTCCAGATTAAATTTGGAAATAAATTATCCATGAAGTTAATGATAAAGAAGAGATAACTTTTTAAGATTTTTCAGAATTAATGCTAAATTTGGCATTTTGAATATTTGTGCTGTTATCATTATATATTATAATCAAAAATTTTCAATGTAATAGAAATTTTGAAAATCTTAGATGAATATTTAGATATATATGAATCAAATCATTAGCTCAAATCAGAATCACCAGCAGCAACTCTCATGGCAATGTATTCCTTTAAGTCTCTCATGTTGCTATTCAAATGTCCAATCAAGTCAGAAACAGTTTATCTGTCTCCATCTCTTGCAGTTCTTCTTTATTAATATTCATAAGCAGCTTATTAACATTCTGCTCTTCTGTCATCTCTTTATTAGGTCTTGGCTTCAAGTCTGGCAGCATTGTCATCTTATGAGCTGTGAGTGGCAGCAAGTTAATCAGCCAATGATTAGATTTCAGCTTCTAAATTGGCAATTGCAGAGTTTAGCTTATTCATATCTCTGTTCAAAAGTGTATTGTATGCTTCATAAGCTTATCTTCTAGCATCTTCAGTCTTTCTGGCTAAATCGAAAGCTTAGCTCAATTAGTTTTATAAGTCATCGATTAATTGAATGATTCTTCCGGTTAATTCTTAGTTAGCATATTATTAAGATTTGACAGCCAAAGAAGCCATAAGTTTGATGGCTTTTCCGAAAGTTCTAATGTGTTTCATTTAACCGGCTTTGTGAGCAGCGGCATTTAAATGAGTAGCAACTTAAGCAAAAACTTATGGTGTATAGTGAACGGCTTCACTTGATCCCTTTTATAAGAAAGCTGGGGCTTATAAATTGTCTGTGAAGAGTCTTCTAGCTTCAGCAAGAACACCTGAGACAAATGTGAATTCTTCTCTTTAAGCTTCGAAGTCATCATTCTATTCTTATCTTTTAGCTTAAGCTTCATCGATAACTTTTTAGAGGAGAGCTTTTTCAGCTAATTTGGCAACTCTTTATCCGACCTTTTAATCATGGACTGGTTGAAGTTCGTCGAGTTTGGCTTATAATTCTGTGTCTCTTTATTCAAGGTTGGCAATTTCTTAGTTAAGACCAGCAAGATCAGCATCACAAACACCTTAGAAGGCTTTGTTTTCAGCATCGTCTTCTCTTTAGTCGTTTTGATATCTCTCTTCCAAATCATAGAGTGTAGAGAAAATTCTTTCTAATGGTTCACCTGTTTGCATTTGAATAGCAATTGTGTTCAACAATGTCTTTCCAAGTTTGGATTATTCAAGTTTCTCGAAAGCGGCTAAATTAGTAGCGAAGGCTGTTGCAACCAATACTAACAAAACTATGGATTTCATTTATTAATACTTTTCTTGATTTCAAAATGGTGATTTTATACCACATATTAAAGGAAAAACGAATTTTTTCCTTTAAACTAACGTATTTAATAAATTAAGAAATTAATAATTCCTTTGTTGAAGGATTAATTAATATTATAGCATATATTTAATAAAACTATACTAAGCAACTTTTTTGTAATTGCTTAATCAGAATCTAATAAAACTACATTATATTTTTGCATATCTTTTCTTTAAGATATTTCATTAATATTTAGTACTCTAATAACTAATTGTTAATATTTCTATTTATTATTTAATCAAATAAAATTGAGACATATTCATTTAGTCATAATGAAATTATTATAATAAATTGGAAAATTAGAAATAGTGCAATGTTTTTCTGAATTATTACATTTTTATTCATTTTATTATTTAATAAAAATATTTTTAATTTAAATTAAATTAAATAGCGCCGGTTAAAGTGCGCGTAAAATAATTATTATTAAATTTTATCAAAATATGAGTTAATGCCCAATTGAGCATCATGATTAGTAAAAAATCAAATATATATGTATTGATCCGAAATGTACACACGAATAAAAATTAGGTATAAAACCAATGATTTATAATATTTTAGGCTGTGCTGATTGTTTTTTAGAAAATCACATTTCATAAGCTCCATAGAGTCATAGTCATACAAGAGTACAGATCTCAAAATTTGAGGAGGATTTAAATTCTAAAATATTAAATGTAAGAAATCTTCAAATAGAACCAATCGCTAATGATTCTAGTTAATTTGATGAAGATTTTAATATATGCTTAAATTAAGTAGCATCAAAGCTTAATAATTTTAAAGATGAATTAAAGAAAGAAATGAATAATGATGTATTGAATTTTGATGATCATGTTAATGAATTCAAAAACACAATCTAAAATTAAATTGATCCTATACTTCCATGTTAAAATTCTACTGTTTTGACTTGTACTCCAGAAGAATTAGCCAAAGCTATTAGTTTTTACTAAGATTCTGATTAATTATCTTCAGTACTCTAAAAATAAATTGATTAAATCGAAAATCATAGAGAAAAGGTTCATTAAAATAAATAAAAAATTACTACGAAATTACAAAATGTAGTTGATTAAATGCTTAGATAATTAGACTAATATTAGATCAAGAATTCTAATGGGGAAATTTAAGGGACTCCAGAAAAAGCAAATGTATCTTAAACAGCTATTTTCTTAAGTGCAAGTAGTACAACTCAATCCCCACCTATAAAAACAATAATTGATGCTGCTAGATCACGTAAATCTATCTTCCCTCAAACATAATAATAGTAATAGTAATAGTAATAAAAAAAAGGAATAAGAAATAAAAATTGAAAATTATAATTAATAATGTTTTTAACAATTTAATTGGTTTTATTAGATTTATACTACTATGAATTTTTTAATATATCTTGAGTTATAGGACAAATGTATTAAATGATATTCAATTCTTATATTATACTGGCTATTTCAAAAATAATTCAGCTGAATGTATTGAAAAAGTAAAATTAACTCAAAATTGATTTCTATTCTACATCATTAATTTAATCACTTCATCATTTCATAAAATATACAAAACTATAAATTTTAGTAATTGCTAATTATTTTTTTCAAATTAATAATATAAGAGTAAATTTCCTCAATTATTTTATACTTATCAATTTTAATATTTGACCAATGCTTATCTTGATTGAGCTAAGACTTAATTCACTCTATTTTGAATCTCAATATTTTCTGTGAAATCATTTAATGTGTGCTTGATAGGACTTGCATAAGTAATTGGAGGAGTTGGGTGCAAATTGATTTAATAATTGTAATTATCCAGTTAATTTAAAGAATTGGGTATTTCAGTAGGTTTTTATTGGCTTTCTTCTAATTGAACAGCAATCTATTTAATTTACTATTAAAGTGAAACAATTTTCTTTATTACTCTTCTATAATTTACTATTATTTTTATTATTATTAATATTATTATTATAATATTTATTGTTATTATTTCAATTATTATTCTAATTATTTATTTATTAATTTATTATTCTCTCAAGAGTAATTCTTCATCTGATTTTTCTCTAAAGGAATATGATTATTGAAAATTAGAAATATTATCTAATTAATTTAGATCAAGATGAGATTAAAAAGTTTAAATTTAGTTTTAAGTAAGATTTGATTATTCAATTTTTGCAGTTACTAATGGTTATATTAAAGGCTATTAATCATGCTAAATTGTATTTGGTTGTCTTAGATTACTCAAATTTAATGTTGGTTTTAAAGGAGAGAAGTTGTTACTTTAATTATTTAGATTTTTGTTTAGTTCTTATGAATTCTTGAATATGATAAATATATACTAAAATATCTTTTATTCCAACCCTATAGTGAATATCTTGATGAAGCATATTTTTTGTTATTTTTATTAAATCATTCGAAAAACCATTCATTATTGATTCTTTCATGCGTTCCTCTATCAACTTTCCATGCAATTAAGGCGTATTAGAATTAAATGAATAGCAATCAAAACTACTTTTTAGTGTCATTTATTCTAACATAGTCATGCCTAATGAGAAGATATCTGATTTTGAAGGATCATGAACAGGATTTATGTTATTTAGTTTTAATTGTTCAATTAATTCTGGTGAGAGTAATGCTTTCCCTTATTTATTTGAAACAAGAGAGTAACCACTCATCATTCTTAAGATTCCCATAGGAATCAATCTAACTTACATATTTTAATCTATATAAATAGTATCTGGCTAGATTTACATATGCCATTACTGTTTACTCTCTAAAAATTGAAGCCCTTAACTTATTTGATACAGAAACTATTTACATATAATATAAATTTATACTTTCCACAAATCTTTTTCTGGAATTAAAGACTTATATTAAAAATGATAAGCACAAATATTTTTAGTTGTTTTATAAAGTGCTTAATAATACCATCTACTAATAATAAAATTAGTTGTTATTTCAGGATCAATACAAAACCCATAATAATTTATAAGGTTTGGATGATATAGGTTTTAAGCTTAATTATGAAGATTTAGTAATATTTTTTCTTATTCCCCTGAGACAGAGTTAGCAATTATTTTTTCAAAAATAGTTGGAAATTTAGTAATTTCGTTTTTTAATTAATATAGTTCAACTCTTTCGATATGTTAATAATATTATCCACCAAGATGTTTAGATTTATTAATTTAAAGGTAAATTTTAACTAAAAATAGAGGCCTCCATTGTTTTTGCAAAGTACCCTTAATTTCCCATTTGTAAATATAAATAAAATTTATTTACTTTAATTTATTCAGATCTCAAATAAAGAATAATTTGCCACAAATTTGATGATGTATTTTTTAAGTAATTTAAAAAGCAATTATGGAGTCCAAATAAAAAGGGATTTGAACATTATATACAAGTTGGATTAGATATAAATAGAAAATATAATTAAATTTTAATATTATTTTATTTACAATGAAAGAATCTGTCTATTCAATGGAATTAGGAGAATTGCTAGGTAGTTTAATAATTTATTTGAAGGAACCAGACCAAGAATACTAAGAAAAGAGAGAAACATAGGTGCAGACAAATTTATATACGCCTATCTTAGTAATGATAGTATTCATTATAAATTATGAAAAGAATAGAAAAAAATTTAAAATAATATAAGAATGAGAAATCCACTATTCGCTGACTTCTAATGCCAATTGGTAGGAATTATAATTTAAGAGTACACCATAATTGTTAAAATCTAATTAAGCAAATCCAAATAAAATGAGATATTTTTAGCATGATGAAAATAGAGTAGAGGATTCAATTGATCAATTTAAAAAATCAAGCATTCAATAATAATAACATTTTCTGAATTAATAAATACAAGAATCAGAAAAAGATGTAAATTGCAAAAAGGATTTATCTTAGCAAAGTTCTAAAAGTAACTCAATAAAATCTAAAAATAATCAAACTCATTCCAAAATAGCTGATAAAAATGAAAATAATAAATATTTGAAAATAATAAATATTTGGAAATATTATAAATTTATAATCCTAATCAATCAACAATTAGAAAACTGTTAGAGACTAAAAAATAAAGTAAACTAAAATATATTTAGGTTTTATGTAAGAAATAGTACTTAACAATAAGGAATATTATACTCCTCAATTCGATATGGATGTTCAATTTAGTAATTGTAAATAAAAATTATATATTTATACAACTGACCAAAATTTAAAGACTATAAATATGAAGATGCTTCATATAAATAAGTAGTCGAATTAAAAAATAGATATTACTTAAGTGAAATGATGAACAATGAATTTGTAACAAGTTAAATTATCATAATTTCTTAGCTAATAAAAACTATAGATATGGTCTGAAAGGCTATACAAAATTTCCTATCTACCCTTCCTCAAAACCCCAAAATATTGATAAAGAATGAAAAACAAGCATGCGATTGTGATATTAGTAGAAGATATATGATAGTAATTATCAAATTAAAAAGTTATGATGAGTTTCAAAAATAGAATAAATAAATCTTTGTTAATCGTTCAAAATGCTATTATAAATGTGCTCCAGTTCTATTAAAAAAATCTCTATCATTTTACAAAAAGAAATAAATGTTTATTATAATAACTTTAACTATCATAGCAATCTAACCATTAATTATTCTAGTATTCCATACGTGAGACCCTCCTAAGATTTATCAGTCATTAATTCTGTATGTGAGCATCTAACAAAACCTCTATAATCCTTCAAGAATTCTATTGTTTTTTGAAGCAAGAGGAAATAATTACTCAGTCCTTATAAAATAAATCCTGGTAATTAAATCTAAATTAATTATTTTTTTACCTCCTCTGTTATTGGAGAATCTAGATTGATATTTTGAAAGTTTTATTATCTAAAGTAATTTTTGATTTCACTCAAACTTTGTTTGATATATTATTAAGTAATTCTATAAAATGTTTCTGTTTCTGTAAAGTCTTAGTTTAATAGACACACAAAGGTTGTATCCTTTTACAATTCTAAAATATTTCAACCAAAATACCTGATTTAGAGTTGCATAATTTAAGCAATTTATCAAAATACTTCATATACTTTTCATTGTATTCAATAATTGCTTAAGTAAATTTTTAATAAGAATCTGTTTTTTTATAAGAAGGAAAATCTTCTAATTATAAGCAATTTGGTTAATTATTTTCTTTATCTGTAATTTAATTGAGTTTTGTAATTTTAATAGCAATATTCTTACCCATTAGAAATAGCAATTTATCTTTTAATTGATTACTAATTATTTTGCATTAGAGTAGACTTGAGGAGAATTTATAAAGAAATCTACAAAAATTAACTTGAGTAAACAAAATATCGTTATTAACTTTGCATTCAATTGAGATTCCTATATGCTTGATATCTTCAGCAGGCTATGTTTTTTATTTAATATAATGTTTTTGAACTTATTGTTAACTAGTAGATCTTTGAACATTCTATTATTATGGTTATAATGGTTATTTATTATTGTCAACTTGTGCAAGCTTCTGTAGTTGTTGATTTTATTATTGATAATAGTTTTCTTTATTCTCTCTATATTTGATGTCTTGTTTCCCACCTTGACTAAGTGATCTTTTAACTCTTTGTTATTATTATTATTCATTTGGAGGAGGAGTAATAGCTTACCTTTGCTATTACTGACGAGGGTATTATTATTATTGTTATTGAGGTTAAGAAGGTGTAATCGATTATCTAATCAATTAATGATTAGCCATATCACGCACTCTCATTCTTCTGGCATCATCAACATTTAAACATTATCTGATAAAATCTTTGGCAGCAGAAGAAATTTGTGGATGAGATGGTAAATGCAAAGGCTGATTCATAATATTAGAAATTAGTGCTGCTTCTGATTGACCATTAAAGGGGGTTCTTCCAAAAAGCATCTCATAAAATACTACTCCAATTGCCCAAACATCTCCTTATTCTGTATGTCCCTACTATCTCAAAGCTTATGGACTCATATAAAGAGGAGTTCCAACATTGAAGTTTCTGCCTTATATTCTAGCCTCATGTAATGGAACAGCAAAACCGAAATCAGCTAGCTTTGGAATTGAGTGATCAATTAAGATGTTGGCAGGTTTAATGTCTCTGTGAATAAAGCCTTTTTTATTCATTTCCATCATGGCTGAAACAACGCATTATAAAATTCTTGTAGCTTCTTATTCATCTAGTCTTCCTTTTTTACGAATGTAATTATTGAGATCTCCAGAGTCACAATATTCTGTGATGATATATGTGTTATTTTAGGTTTAAAAAACATCATGCAATTTCATTATATGTTTACTATTGAATGAACGTAAAGCGTTGATTTCATTTTTTAATAATTATGAGTGAATTGATTATTTGATCATTTTCATATCAATCACCTTTACAGCAACTGGTTCTTGGGAAACATCGTCTTTTCCCTTATAAACCTTGCTGCTAAAACCTCTTCCAATTTCCTCATTTAGTATATAGCTGTAATGATCAATTTGTTTCCTTGTTATGTTTTATCTTCTGTACATGTTAAAATTAACGATATTATTAAAAAATTAAAACACTCTTTAAACTATTAACAATATTTAAATTTTTTGAAAATCATATTAATTTCATGCCTTTCTGTTAGTAGGTGACACTTGATAAGATTTTGGAATTGATTTTTGGAAGTATAAAAAAAATCAAGAAAATGCTAAATATGATATTTTAATTGATTATAAGCAAAATTAAGAAAGATATATATTTTGAAATTTTATTTTAATGTATTATCCTTAAAGCATACCTTAATATTATCCTCGTTCAGTGTATCCACCTTAACACTTACCATACAGACCTTAATACTATCCTTCTTATGTTCCACAATACTTTCAGCCATAGTCTCTCTATGCCTCCTATAATGGATTTCAAATTCCTAGAGCTAACATTCCACCTACCCACCCTATGGTTAGCTAAGCAATTCAATCTTCAAACAAGAATTTTCAGAGTCCAGCCCGAGGATTTGCATCACCAACAAGAAATCATCTTATGCAATCTTAATAATAACAGCCATAAAATAAACCAACTTAATAATAACAATTGTAATCACCAACAAGATCTGGGTATTTAACTTATGAATAAGTGATGGAGAGAATTCAAAAAGCCAATACTTAATAATAATCACATTAGCCTTAGCAATGTAATGAATCTTTTTACTAATTTAGAATCAGTCCCATAACCCTAAGGATAATAGAAACCACAAACCGGATAACTCCCTAAATCCTAATAATAATAACCAAAATAATAGTAAAGTCAATTGTAATAACCAATTCAACAGTAGACATTATAAGCTAAAACTCCAAACAAACAAGTTTCTTAATAAATAGAGGATTAATAAAAATAACCAACGCCGCCAAAAGATCCAGAATATGAGGCTGGAGATGGAGAACTGGAAGGTATCATCTTATTATAAATCTAAGAATTGGCCTTATAATACGAAGATGGTTATATCTATAGAGGTTAAGGTTTTCCTCCTTAAACTAGAAGTGGATTTGGAATTTTAACAGATAGCGAAGGTCAAGAAGTATATGCTGGATATTGGAAAGATAATTTTTATGAGGGTGATGGAAAATTACGAAATTTATAGGTTGAATTAATAAATGGTCCTTATGATTACACAAATATGACAAATATTGGAAATGGATGGGAATTTTATGAAGGTATTATCTATGAATATTGAGCTAGGCAAATTTGAAGGTGGTAAAATGCATGGAGAAGGAACATTGGTTTTATCAAATTAAGAAAAGTATATTGGTCAATTCGATGATGGAATGATACATGGAGAAGGTGAATTTATAACTAATAATGATAATGTGGTGAGAGCACAATGGAATTAAGGAATTTTAGAATAGTATATTGAATGATTTATTATTTTTTCTTCATTCAAATCCAGGTAAATTTTCTCCACTCAATATATGAGCGTGTAAATGAAACACTGTTTAACCTCCTTTTTATCCATCATTTATTATCACTCTATATCCTTCCAATTGCAGTTATTTTCCTATCCTATTCACTGCATACATCAAATTTCCTAATAGATTAATATGCTACTCAGTGGCATTTGATAATCTATCTAAATGCTCTTTTGGTATTACTAAAACATGTATTTTTGCTTTAGGATTTATATCCTCAAAAGCTAAACACTTAATTATAAGAAAATTCTTACATGTTTATCCTCATATATGATTTTTGCAGGTATTTACCTTTTTATTATTTTATCAAAAACTGTTGAGAATGAATATTAGATGGATCTCATTAATGTTATTTATTAATAAATTTTCAATTACAAAAATAGGAAAAGAATACTCATATTTTAAATTAATCTAATTAAATAAAGTAGCAAAGCAAAAAAATTATCACTTTTGAATAAATAATAGTTTACTATTTAATAGATTATATGTAGGAATTCTTTGTATATTCATTTCAGATTACAATAATAAATCCCAAAATGTATATAAAATGAGAGTAATGTATCAATATTGAATTATAAAAAAAGCAAAATTCTAATTAATTGAATTAAAGAGGGTTTATAATACAAGAATCTAAAAGAATATTTAAATTACAATCTTCATAATTAATTAAGTTTTTTAGAATGCCCAAATATTTTCATAAAAGCAATTAGTGAATATTATAAGGATAATATAAAATTACAATAAGTCTTAAAAATACCAATTCTTAAATGTGCATTTATTTTTTTCTAATTTATTATAGGAAGATACAACCTAAATCACAATATAACCATGATTTGAAAAGAAGAATTATTTTAATCTTTCGAAATACAAGGATGTTTTAATATAATGATGAGATAATAAATTAATATTTGAAAATGCTCAGTTGCTGCATAATTAAAAATAAATTTATTAAGATTTAATGAATAATCCTCGTCCATCATAACTTCCTGCTCAGAAGGCAACACCATCATAATTGCCTCCTACTACTTAATAATAGGTTCCAGAAACATATTTGGCATAACCAAGTTGGGTTCCTGCAAGTTCTTAAATTCAACCAGGAGTATTGGGCTAACCAATTCCACTTTAACAAACAGGATTAATTTCAAATCCATAATATTTGTAGTAGCCAATGTATGCTTAATAACAATTGATTCAATCAAGTGCACCAGTTGTTACATAAGGAAATGTAATCCTTAAATAATAATCAAATAGGCAATTAAAGGTGAATCTCGCATAGAATATATTCCGTACACAAAAGAGGTTACTGAGTATGTGACATAAGAGGTGGTTGAATATGTACCAAGAGAGAGAAAAATTACTGACTATTATGCAGTGGAATATGTGACTGAACACATTCCTTAAGTAATATAAGAAAAATATATCGGTAATTGATTGTGTTTATGATTTGTACAGAGTATGTGCCAGTTGAAACAATAAAAGAGAGAACAGAGTACCAAGCAGTGACAAAACAAAGTGTCATCTAAACACCAATTGATTATTAATAAATCCAGACAACTTAATAATATTAAGGTAAATAAATTTTATTTAAATTAATTTTAGTAGCTGCCCCAATTCAATATGCCTAAACCTAGACCTATACATAACCAATTCAATATGCTTAAACAACCACATAACCTATTCAATATGCTTAAACAACAACATCACCTATTCAATATGCTTAAACAACTGCCCAATATGTACCAACTACTTAGAGCCAATATATGACAGTTCCAGTAGCAAATTCCTAATTTATTCCATAACCCTATTCAACTACCACATATGGAGCTCCAATCACAACCTATGGTTAAGTGACATAGAATTCAGCTTATTTACCAGCAACCACATATGGATAAACCGGAGTTGGATAGGTTACTACAACAACATAATAGTATTCTACTGGATGGTAATAAGTATATCCAGCATCAACAGGAAATGTTTAACCTTAATTGCAATAGTAATAAGTAGGTCAATTGCTAAAACCAGGATAGAGTCCTAAGTACGCATGATGATATTATAATAAGGAATTATTCAATTGTTACAATAATTATTATTAAGATGTATCATTTTGAATGATAATAATATTAATCATTTTGATCTAGCAAAACCAACTCTATCATTATCTCTATCGTAAACAGAATAATATTTGCTAAGAAAAGTATCACCCAAAATCCAAGCTGGTCCTTATGGTGATGGGATATCTAAAGGCATGAATGAACCAACACATTGGCAATTTGCTCCCATTTCTACAAAACTATCAGTACTTGCAAATGTATCATAAGCAACCTAAATTATATTCTTAATATACTTCATTTCCTTATGAATCAATTTTCATAACGTAATCATTAGCATCCAAATCATAATTGATACCATCTAATACGAATGTTAATTTTGGTAAATCTTTAACGTTGTTGCAATTTTCATCAATATTTAAGGTATCTAAATTAAAAATAATAAAATACCTAGTAAATCATATAAACCGTCTGATGGACCAGTTAATAATGAAGTACCAGTATCTGCAACTACTTTGCATCCATGTTTGCAAAGTCCCACGTCTTTTCCATTGACTAAAATGTTATCTGCATCCAATAACCAATAATATTTGTTGACAACATTATGAAAATGTAATTCTCCAGTGAAATGATCATTATCCCAACCACCCAAAGTTAATTCTGATGATCTAGAACCCTCTTATCTCGAAAAGTAAAAAGAAAAAACATTTCTGTCTAGTAATTTCTATTGCATGATGTTATCAAATAATGGATTGAAATTATAAGCAGCCATTGTTGGATATGCTAATCCAACAATACCATCAAAATCTGATTGTGCAAAGACATCTCCATTTTCTCTTACAATTTCTGCAAATTCTTATTTGGCAATTTTAACTCCTCCAACATAAGCAGTATCAGCATTAATCTAAATTTTATGCAATTTATTACTTCTCCCATCAATTCTCCAGTACCGAATTCAACATCCAAATCGTAACCTAAGTGTTCATAAGTTGGACTCTTTGAACCATCATATTATTTATGATTTTTGCATCCATAATCGTTACATCTAGCAGAATTCAACCAAATGTTAGCTGATCCTGTGTCAAAGATAACCTAAATTATTAAATAGTCATACCTTGAATTTGTTATTTTAACCACCTAAACCAATCTCTCCTGTATATTAGGTATTCTTAAAATTGTACAATTTTATCGATTCTTTTTATTTGGTCTAGGCCATTTCCAAATCTGCTTCACCTAACAAATCAGGGCTCTTTCTATATTATTGACTTGTTGTAATAAAATCAAATAATGATTTTCTAGCCTACGATTCAGTTCTGTCCAACTTGATCTTATATATTTTATTTTCCATTGGTTGTTGTTCATCTAAGAAAGAAGCACAACTACCCAATACCAATAGGATGGCCAAACCTAATACCAATTTCATTTATTAATTAATCACTAAAACAAAAACGATATTTTTTTTCAAACCAACCTAAAATAACTGAAAGAAATTATTTATTAATTTCTTATTTGTAATCAATCATAACAACATAATGAAAATCCCGTAAATTATTATTTTTATGTATTTCTTCTAAATTCCATTTATTAATTTTATCTTAATCTGATAAAACTTCTATTATTTTGGTTTTTCCTAATTTTTTACTTAGAACTGATTATATTTTAATGATAGATATTCAAAATTTACAATATTCTCCAATTACAAAGGGAATATAAGAATAAGTATTATTGAATCAAATCCTTTTGATAATTTTTATTTTTGAAAATTTGGTAAGAATTGGAACTATGAAAAAATGTAATTTTGAAATTGTTTAAGATATTTAATCAAGTAAAGTAAAAGTGTGAATCATTTTTTTTAGAAGTCATCTTAATGAGTTGTTAATATAAGATATTGATTAAAATAAAAAATGCATTGTACGAGACTCGAACTCGTGTCACAAGGATGGCAACCTTGTATACTACCCTTATACTAACAGTGCTTGATAAAAAATCATAGCTTATATTATTCAAATAATGTAAGCCTGAAAATTTAGTTAAGCTGAATATAATGAATTTTATAATATATGAAAAATAATAAAGGTAAAATTTATTTCTTAATGCATGATCTTATAAATCAGCGGGCAAAATAATCAAATGGCTCTTAATCATCTTCATAATTGGCTTTCCATAAATCTTACGGCCCTTCCCATTATTCTGTGCCTGGAATAAATTCAGTATTATGGGTTAGTGATTATGATGTCTCTAATTTGTTTTAGAGAATTTTCTTTCCTAATCCCACATGTTTGGCTAATGGCGAGCCTTGGCCATATATTAGTGAGGCTGGAATATTCTAAATTATAGTATAATAAATTTACTTTGACTCCAAAAAACTAAGCTGTCTTATCTAAATTATCCACATTAATCCTGTAGAATTTGAAACCAATAAATTAATTTGAAATTTCATTGTACATTTCATTTACTTTTTAATAGCTAAGTTAATCAATTATGTACTATGGATGTCCAACTTAATTAAATATGATGCAATGTAAATATGGCTTAGTTTAATAAATTTAATCTAACAATTCTTTCAAGCTTCCCACATCTTACACTCTATTAGCTTTATTTGAAGCTATTAGTTCAGCATATGAAGTGGAGAATCTAAATCTCAGCAGATAAACCTTTCTGAACAGATTGCCTGTAATCATTATTAATATTTATATAAATCATCTAATACAAAGTACAACTAATATTTATTGAAATTTTTAGATATCAAAAGGCTTCTGTAAAATGTTAAGCATACCTGTTTCTATTCATTTCTCAAAAGACTTATTTGCTACTGAAAGCCTTCAATTTTAAAATAGAGATAGTAGAGATTTATCCACTTTATATTATTCCTCTCATATTTTTGTAGTCATCCAACTATCTACAATAGGCATTTGTCAATCCATTAGTATAAAGCAATACTGTCCCATTTAATACATAGCTTAACATTATAATTATATGTACAATATCTAATTAAAACCTTATTTTCTTAGTAATAATTGCAATGATTTTTGAGTAAAAAATTCGTCACCAAAGCTTAAATATTATTACTAGTACCAATTACTAAAACAAGTGTCATTGACAGAAAATTAACTAGATCCTCATCGTATGTATATATTGGCAATCAGATTTTTTTTCTGTGGGCTTTATCATGAAGAACTTCACTTATTAAGAATTTCAATGGAGCAACGCTTTTTTTCATAGCCTTTTACCTATTCTCTAACATCCCGTATTGAGGAACAAGATAAATTGCATTCCTCAAAATCTGTTGTTTTTGTTTTACTAGGAGCCTTTAATTTGATTTGATACAGACTAATTGTCTCTATACTATTCTCAATGTGGGCATGCTTTTCATTTTAGATCTCATAAAAGAAACTGTTGTTTCATACTCTTTCCCAATAGATTCAATTTAGTTATATCCTAAAAGCATTTATTTGATTTAGTTATTGTTTTTATTCCTATCCCTTCTTCCTTTAATGAAAATTCTAATTTTTTTTATTAAGACTTTCTATGCTCTCTTAGATAAATTCTTTTAAGAAAAGCAAGCACATTTTAATTTTATTTGTTAACTCTTAAAAATGATCTTTAGTAATCTGTTGTAATTGGAATGAATAGAGATAAAGGTGTAAAAGCAAGGCCAATTTATTTAAATTAGAATTTAAATTTCAATTACTGAGTTATTTTGTTTATTATTTTTGAAAGTTTAAATTAACTGAATTTCGAATCTAATAATTTTGCTTTTATCAGACTGCAATCAATATTATCACAGAAAGGGTTATAAATATTATTCCTATATAATTTATTCTAATTCAAATTTTGGGGCTGATTTTAAAATATAGTAGCGCTATGAAGAGGAGTTCGAAGTTCATGAGTAAAATGATTATACAAAATTTGTCTTGAATTTATTCAACTCTTTTAATTTTGATAATTCATTCTATTTGGTAAAATCCTAAATACTTAAACTAGGATTAATCATTTCATGAAAAAAAAAATTATAAATAGAATAATTTGTTAAAAAGATTTTAAGAAGGCGACTTAAAGGCATCATTGTTCATTTTCATAAAGGGAACATCTTAGTACATTTTTAGTTGTTAATTTTTTCATATTTGAATTTAGCTGATTACGGATAATTGTATGCTCTAGCAAAACTAATCCTTTTCATTACAAAAGTTTAAAAAATTGTATCAAAACTCTTCGCTTTTTCATCAATACAATTTTTCCTGATCATTTAATTATTCATCAATTTGGCCAAATTTTAAATGAGCTAATTTATATCAATTGAGTTATTCTAATCTAAGTTCGTTGTAATAAAATTCATTTCTTCAAATCTTGAGCGAATTTACAAATATTAATTTTAGTTGGCTGACTAATAAAGAAACACTTTTTTTCTTATTTGTAATCAGATATTCTTTGTAAATTTATGGTAATTGAGGAATAAAATTCATAATCAGAATTAAGAGTGTTTGAGAAGGTTATCAAAATATTTAAGAAAAACTGGCAACATAGCTCCTAAGTCATTAAATAATCTCCACATCGTCATCTAATGATTGGAATTAAAAAATTTTTGGATGAAATAGCCATCTATTGCAAATTATTAAATGCTTTAATTTTGTTAAGATAATACTTCACATACAGATATTATTACTTGGTGAACTAGTATGCCGTAGCCAAATATTTATTCATTTTTAATGCAGTTATATCCAGAAAAGAAGAGGCCAACCTGATTTTTCATATTGTCTCAACTTAGGTAATAAACGAAATCCAAAATGTAAGACAAATTAAAAATAAAGGTTTAATTATAATAATATCAAGTATATAATTATTTTATTTGGTTTTTTTCAAATGTTACCTGACTTGTTACTATAGAAAAACAAATCAATAAAAAAATAAAAATAACTCTAATTCTTGCTGTGAAAATTGTGAGGAGTAAATTTTATACATTTTATATTCAAACTATAATAATGCACTAAAAAAGGAAGTTTCTATCTAATTGAAATAAAATTGTTGAAGAATTATCATTTCTAATAGATCAATAATCTTAATTCATTGAATAAAAAGATAAAATTTTATTTTTAAGATGTTCTTTGTTTATAGCATTCAAAAATAAAAATAAATATTTTATCATTTATTTTGCAATTTATCTAACAATTTAGCAGCATCTTAAACTACTGAATCTCTTCATTTATTGCTTTACATATTTATCCTCTATTAAAATAGTTTATTAATAATTGTCTTTTCCTTCATCCTTATTGATTTTAACTAATGAGATAAATCTATCACTTTTATGGATTATAAATTGATTTTTTTTTGTTATTCAACAACAAATTTTTGTGTTACTTTGTTTAAATGTACTAAAATCTGAACATTCATACAGAATTTTTCTATCTTACAGAATTGTAATAGTTATTATTTTTGGAGTATATATTAATTCATATGACCTATTTGATCAATCTAGTTGTCTGAGAATAATAATATATTTATAACTATTTGTATGCAAGAGGCTTATTCTGAATCAATGTCTAATATAAACTATTAGGGAAGGGGTATCAAAGGCTTTCTAATTAACTTAGCATATTCGATTGTAAAATTATAGGTATATAAATCATACTTTTAATCAATTTGAGTATTTTAAAGCTAAAAGCTCTAAAATTTAGAATTATCTAACTCACGCAAAGAATTGGAGTGTTCAATGTTGAAATAAACTTTTTATTTATTAAGACATAGAAAATTATGAATAATTAGTCTTCTTTTTAATAAGTATTGTTCTTGCTTGATTATTATTTTATAACATAATATTTCATAGATTGAAGTTAATCAATGAATCTTAAATGCACTTTAATTCATAGAAGGATCATTTGTTGAAAATATCTCATGTATGGATTTACTCACATTTTTTCTATTATGAAAACTAGGTAATTTAATACTGCATGTTCGAGGTTAAAGTCTAAAATTTAAATTAGTCTGATGCACAGAAGTTCTAATAGAACTTCTTCTATCTTATCTAAATTAAAAATTTACTAAAAAATAATATAACTATATCTATACTAGGTTTTTCATATTTCTGTAAAAAATCGAACTCATGTTTTTTTTGGTGAGGTTTATATATCTCTCTTGAATTATCATGAAATTGTGACATTATAGGTTTGATTCCATCATAAGTGAGTTTCCTTAAATTTTTCATTTAGTTGATTCTTTAATTCAGAGTAAAAGCACTATTATTTGACATATTAATCCAATAAAATTTTATTATTGTAATTATTATTATTACTAGCATTATTTTTTTAGTTATATCTTTAAACCAAGAAACTAGATTAATATAAATTATATTAGTGGTCTTGATGTTCATATTTATCTATCTTTATTAATATTGGAAAAGGAAAATTAACTTTTATTTCTGATGAGGTCTAAATTTGGGTCATCTGAGAGGCCGTCCTTTCCGATCCCAAAGAAAGCTAATAGTGTTCTATAGCACATTGGGACTAATGCTGACGATGGCACTCAAAAAAATAAGAAAGAAAGCAAGAGAGTGAGATTTAAAGAATCGTAGATAGGGCAACCTTTTAAGCCCCGTTGAGACTAGCTTCTCAAGGGAAGATGATTGTAAAAGTTCTGGAATAATAATATTTGGGTTTTGAATTTACAAATCTAATTAATTTTGCAAACCTGTTTTTTTTTATGGTTTAAATTAATAAATAGTTCAAAATTTCTTCTCATTTACTGTTTATTTGAAAAAATATTGATAGGTTTAACTTTGAAAAGACCTGAACAAATAAATTTAATAATAATTAAGCAAACCATGTAGAGTAAATAATAATAGAGTTTACTATTTCTTAGGTTTCATAATATAATTCGTTATTTTAGAATTCTTAAAGGTTCTTCCTAGAAAAATTAAAAGCATTATTTCACTACAAACCAATTCTGAATCATTAATTTCCTGCAATCCATATTTTTTTTTTTAATGTTATTGAAATAAATAAAATCTTTATTAATAATTCCTAAATATTAACGAGGATTTTATTTTAATTAATGTTTCTCATTCTTTTTCTCTCCTGATGCTATTTATCCATTTCTTAAAACCTAAATAATCATTCTTTTCAATCAAGAGATTGTTGTTCTTTTTCATGACAACCATTTAACATTAAGTGATGAAAATGGGTCTATTAATACCATTCTAACCTTATCCAAAAAGGCAATTTTAAGGTTAAAGAGACTTCTTCATATAATAAGTAATTAAATTTAATTTAATTATGTATCGTCAATAGAAAAAAAAAGCTAATCGTAAATAAAAATTTTTTTCCGGCGTTATTTGGGGCTGCGCCCCTGCTGAGGAGGGTGGGTAAGGGAGTACTAGATTAGATTTATAATAAATAATAATATAGTCCTATGTACGGTTGGGGCTGGGTCAGATGGTTCCAAAAAGTTGCGCTAAGGTTTTTTTGTAAAAATGGGGGTTTGAGCAAAATTTTTGAGAATTCAAAAATCGTGAAAATTGAGGTATGAGCAAAAATTAAAGTATTTAAAAATCGTAAAAAGCGGGGTCTGAGCAAAATTTTTGGAAAAAAGTGTTAAAAAAGTTGCAAAAATAGATTTTTGATGATTTTTGTATGTTTTAAAAAATGTTAAAATTGATGATTTTAAGGATTTTAATGATTTTTTATAATTTTTATTAATTTCCTTTGTTTTTTTTCCCCAACCCCAACCCCAAAAGTTGGGGTACATGAATTTTGAATTCTGATTATTTAGTTATGTTTTTAGTTTTTTTCGTTTTTTCGAAAATTTATTTACTTATAAGGGTTTGGGTTTGGGTTTGGGGTTGGGTTTGGGTTTGGGTTTGGGTTTGGGTTTTGGGGTTGGGGTTGGGGTTGGG